CATGAGAGGCGGTGGGGAGCAGCAACGAAGCATCAGTCGTCTTCCGGGCCGCCTCATTCCCTCGAAGAACCGCGGGCTCGTCTCGCCCTATGCATGTTCGTCGAGGACCACCCGGCCCCTGTGTGCTCCGACACCCCTCCCAGGCGAACTGGCTATCAGATATGCTGGCCCGAAAGGCTTGACGCACGCTAAACGGGTGGGATGTGTACTGGTTCGATCCCGGCTAGAAGCGAGATGCGGCATCAGACGCGGAGCAGCTCGGTGATATGACCTCGACTCCCGTACGGAAGGCCAATCGATTGTCCTCGTGAATAGTACATAACCCGTCTAGCATCCTACTTAGACTAATGAGCATCTGCCCCAAGACGACGGGCAAGTTCACGCTTCATGGTGTAATATCTCCCCCCGCCCGATCCGGCTGTCTGCTATATGGCAACATACCTATACATTGGGAGCCTGGAGAGGGGGGCAGCGGAGGAGGAGAGAGACGGAAGGGAGACAGACGAGGGGAGACGAGCGGAGGCAGAGACGGGTTTGCACTTATGACTCCCCTCATCGTGGCAGACGGGTACGATGGCACACATGTTATCGTGGTTCGAACCCACATGCAGCCAAGGCAGTCCTGCCTATGAGAGACGGCGCTGGTGTGCATGCGTCCTGCATACCCTGATGGAGGCAAATGCCCAATGGCATCTCGGCTCTCCGGTGCCTCAGAGCCAGGAATGTTGCGTTGGCGAGCCGGTTCTGGCTGCGTCCCTCTGCCCCGTCCGCCAGCCAGCGAATGGCATCCCACGAGACGCAGAGCACAGGCGTCACCGTCGTCGTCATTATTTCCTGTCGCCGAGCCGTGCTCTACCCATCGTCCATCGATGCCCGTCGTCCTGTTTATTTCTAACCCAGCCGAAGGATCACGACCCATCGATCAAGTGATCCCGAATAAGAGCGTCGCGGGACCATTCGGAGACAGCTCGCTCGTCGCAGCAGAGTCAACCCGCGTACTGGTATATTTCCCGGCACCGTATTGGTACCCAAAGCGCGAGATATATAGAATCGGGCATTAAGGGCCGGCAGCTGATTTGATGGATTGGCCGCATCGCGTCTCGCCTTATCGGTGGAACTCGCCCAACTCGCTGTCCTTTCTGCCTCACGAGACAACGGACGACGTTTTTTTTTTTTTTTTCGCGTTGATCGGCGCCCAGGGTCTCTCCATCTCATCTCGGTATGCACCCACTCACACTGAGACGATTACACGTTTGCCACTGGACATGCTCTCCTGGATTGTAGAGGAACCACCAGCACCTATAAAAAAGAATCTTGCTAGACAACGCAACTCGGCGCTTATTCCAGACGGAGATCAGTTGCAGCGGTAACAACGAGGCTCGCGAGGAAATGAAGTATTTCAGGGATCCTGAACAAGGGGCACGCCTCGCCCCGGCCAAACTGTATCATGAGCGAAGGAGGGGGAGGGACGGTAGCCATCGGTTGGACGAGGCGGGATCTCCATTGGCGAGTATGATCCCGGGCTACGCTGTCGAAGAACGATATTTGTGGGATCTCTGGTCGTCCTTGGGGGGCTCGTGACCCACCGTTGGGTGTTGTCACCCTTTTTTTCCTTTCCTTTTTTTTTCTTCCTCTTCCTGCGTCTCGAACTTCCCAGGGATCTCTCTCCACTCCCTGCCCGGCTAGGCGTCTTCCTTTTGACGGGGATGGGCAGGGTGGGAGGTGAAAGCTGCCAAGCCCAACTCCCTCCACTCGATAATACACGTACATGCCGACAAATAGGTAGGTACATGTATGAATACGAATACCTATTACCTACCTCCTAGTACCATACTCTGGTCTGTAGAATGGATAACTCGCTCGCCTCAGTAGCATGAGAGTAGAGAGCGAGAGAGGGGAGCCGAGGGGAAGGGGAAGAAGGCGAGGGAAGAAAAGAAAAGAGTGATACATGGGCATGTACCTACGTAGGTATGCGCGAGATACCAGGTATGCAGGAGGTACCTAAGGCATTGACCAATTTTGAGGGTTATCGATATTACTTGCTGATATCTTATATCGGCATGTACCGCATCGATAAAACTGTGACAGGGACTGGGGCCATCCCCGCATGAACATATTATCCCTACATGTCGTAGGGACTCAGGGTTAGCCTAGGTAGGTACCTACGTAGTAGCAAGTACTCTAATGGTATTAGCGTTGCCTTTTTATTTCTCCCCGTGGCCGGAGGAGGCGGTAGAGGAGGCATATACTCATTTATATATCGCTTGCTTAGGAGACAGGTACTTACCTACTTAGGTCTTTACTTGCTTAGGTAGGAATGTAGGCACATCCTACAGTACATGCTTTTATATCTACCTAATATATCTATTCCATATATAAACGTCGAGAAGCAGGGCGGGAAGCCCGCGACTATACAGAGATACACAGAGTTCGGCGTTTCCACCCGAGATAGGATGAGAAACATCGGCCGGGACGTACCTCTAAGGGACAGATTTTGTCCCTGCTGCTGGCTCCCACGGAACGCTCGGTGCCCCATCTCAGATTAGACGGGCACGTAGGCGGACGCATGTAGGTATTTGCTGTGTGTTGAAGTATGCAGCGCAAGTCGATACCACCTTGCCCGGCAGGACATGGCATTGATTATGGCGTATTGTAACGCGTACACGGTCGTCTCCCATTCGCTCCTGTTGCGGGTTTCCATCTCGTCTGCTCCATTCTACATGTAGGTCAGCCTGCTTACCTATGCACAATATTGCCTGCTAGGTTGTCCTGCTAACCTTGCGGGCCTCTACCTTGGAAACGCTGTGCTGTTCAATAGTGTCTAGAATGGCTCGTATGTACACGTACACACCCAGAACACGTAGAACGCAACACGTCCATCACGAGCATGCCTAATGCAATGGAATACCTACATACCTACATACATGTCTACGCATCTCGTACCTCAGGTACCCAACGAAGGGACAGCCTCCCATATGGGTGGGCGCCAGGTACCTACCTTAGATACCTAGGTATCTAGGTACCCTAGCAACTTAGCTGCTTTACCTGGGTACCTACATGTAATATCTAGAGGTACTCGTCCACTCTCCTAGGTCCGCCCATCCACCGTCTTGCCCGATACGTACACGACCTCGGCGCGTAGGTACATAAGCTGTAGATAGGTATAGACCTGCCGAACTCGCTGGGATCAATGCCTACCTCCTACGCAAGGAGGTCATCCGCGCACCTAAAACATAATTAGGGGCCTGCCCGCATGGGGTTGAGGATTGAGCCAGAGCGAGGGGAAGTCCTAGGCAGGTGGTTAAATCCGGGTCGAACCCCGACTTGCCTGACTCTCTCTGGCCTGTCTCGGGGAGCTAGGGAGGATAGGTACCTAAGAAAATGGCCTTAGGGAGGGTTGCCCATGTACCTGGCCCAATGCGTGTCTATGTGTAGGTATTGTGTGCCTAATGTACCTAAGGTAGGCTAGTTGCAGGGGGGGGGGCGCCTTAGGTACCTACCTACCTACCTAATGCATCATACAGCCTACAGCCTTAAGAGGAGATAGGTACCTTAGGTACGTAGGGTAGGCGTAGCTGGCGGGAGCCTACCTCTTAGCTAACTTCAACCCGCCTGATAGGTACTTTCCCACACAAAGATTGCTGTTAGCAGAGGAGGTACTTGTACGCATACTCTGTAGGGAAACGATACCTTGCGCCTTAGATAGCTTCACGTATGCTGGGAGGTAAAAGTATGTGTACGTTGTATGTCATGTAAGTAGAAGGTAGGTATACAGCGACCGGCATCGACCCGGAGCAGGTCGGGACGTCGCTCCTTTAAGTACCTGCAAGCGCCCTCCTATCAACCCGGCAACGCCCTTCCTTCCTTCCGCTCCTCTCGCAGTAGCATCCCCGACTTTGTCTGTTGCGCCCCCCAATAGAAAGGGAAAGAAAAAAAAGAATCCCCCCCGCTACGCGTATACGTGAAAAGAGGAGAGAAAACAGAGAGAGGAGAACGGGGAAAAGAGAGAGAAAAAAAGGAAAAAAGAAAGAAAAAAGAACGAGAGCGAGAAAGAGAGAGACAGAAAGAAAGAAAGAAAGAAAGAGCGAGACACACACGCAGAGAGAGACCACAGAGAGACGAAGGGGAAGGGGCGAGACGACAACCACTCGATATCCTGCCTTCCTTCCCGATTGCCCACTGCGGGACATTTTTTCCCAGGCCCGTCCGTCGTCGTCGACTCGGTGCATCGTCCACATCCACATCCACAGCCCACGTCCGTGTTCGTCCCTCCACATCCACATCCGCTGCCTCGTCCGCCATCACCCATCACACTCTCGTCGAACTACGCCCACAGCTAAACGTGCCATAAATAATCTCTGATACAAATCCACTGCGTGCGTGCGTGCGTACATGCCTATAACCTACCTACCTGGCGATTTACCTGTCGATCTACCTTGACTATCCCGTCCCGTCGTCTGGCGAGTTCTTTTTTTACTCCCCTACATACGTCTCCATCCACACGCACATACAGACCAGGGCCCCCCCTCCCCCCCTTTCGCGCCAGTCTCCTGTCACCTTCGAATCAATCAATCAAGTTACCTGGTCCCAAGACCATCCGACTTTTCTGACACGACCAGTCTCGCCCGCAACGTCTGTTCGCGCGGGCCCCCACTTGGCCTGGGTCCATCGTCCATCCCGCCTATCGCTCGCCCGCTGCGTTCAGCCATTCATCCAATACATCCATACCTGCGTCCCCGTCCGTCCCCTACGTACAGCCCACTACATAGGACCTACATACGGCCTTTCCCTTTCCTGCTCTCCCAGAGGCACTCGCCCATATTATCCATACTGTAAGCACGCACAGTCAACTGCCACGCATTCGAAAACCCACTTTGTTGGGTAGCAGGACAGGCAGCCCAGCTCCGCCCGCTTCTGAGAGGCTCAAGCCTGCCTCTGGTCCATTTCCTAGCCTTGATCTAGTGACTGGATTCACTTATCAGGCCCTCTGCTCCCTCGGTATGGCGAAGAATTCCACTCCATCTGTTGCATACCTCGAGGAGGCCGACGACGACGGCCACGCTATCCCCGGCATCGCACCTAAATACGCCAGATCCACCGCAGCGAGCAGTCCTTCCAAGGAGCAACCCAACACGAGCAGATCGCGGAGAGACTCTCACCGGCTCGAGTCGAGATCGCCGAGCACCTCGGATTCGGAGTCCGACATCACCGAGCCCCCCGTACCGCCCTCCAAGCGAGAGCCCAAGATCAAGATGAAGGAGGAGAAGAAGCGGTCCTTCGTGGTCAAACCGCAGCGTCCGCCCCCCCGCACCCGCAAGACTGCTCCGCCACCCACCTCCCGTATCTCGGACGAGTCGTCCTACTACGGAGTCCACCCACAGCAGACTATGGCGCCCGCATCCTCGAGGCCTCGCGCCCATACCCGGCCCGAGCCCTCCTATAGCCAACGCCCGCCCCTATCGACGTCAGCCTACGCTCACCAGCCGCCGCACCCGCACCCGGCACAATTCCCTCCCCCTTCGTACCCCCCGCCTCAGTGGGCCGCCGGGGGGCCCATGGGCGGGGTGCCCATGGGGATGGGCCCTCCTCCCCTCCCTCCTCCGATGGGACACGCGCTGGTCCACCAGCCGATGCCCCCCCCTGGGTACGGGGAGATGAACCACGGCAGAGATCTGGCCTCCCGCTTCCGGCGTCCGCAGTCTGCCATGGGGTTCCACCAGCCCTCCAGGTCCCACGAGTACGAGCCGTCGAAGGAGAAAGCGCTGGCACGCCGGACCTCGGTATCGAGGAAGGCTGCCAAAGATCCCGACGACCGCATGCGGATGCCCCCCCCTCAACGACCGGCTTCTACTCGACCGGAGCGCTTGGTCCTGCGTCCGGGCCCGCCACCCCCGGCGAGGAGAAAGTCGGTCGGGTTTGAGGACGACGACTTGGAGGACGAAGCAGACCTTTACAAGGCCGTGGCCACCCGCCGTGAGGTGGAATACGGTTCTGGCGCTCTCCCCTCCCGATCAAGGGCGGAAACCTTCGACGTGGGCTCGGCTTACGATCTCGGCCACTACGAGCTGGAGCCCGCGTCGCGGAGTCGGCGAAACTCTTTTTATAACTTCGAGGACAAGGTGCGCGATGCTTCCCGGTACCAGGAAGACGTGAGCGGGCCCAACACGCTGCTGACGGCCGAATCCCTCCGGCGTGTGAAGAACGGAGGTAGCAGCCGCTCAACTCGCAGCAGCGAGAGTCGTGACGAGAGCGAGTACAAGCAATCGGCCACGACCCGCACCACCCGGTCTGGTAGCGGCGATGACGACATTACCATCAAGCTCCCTATGGGCGCCGTCATCGAGGTCGGAAACACCAAGATCCACTGCAGGGACGGCGGCGATATCAACATTGGCCGGAACGGAACTTCTCGTGGGGGGGGCAGCGACCGTGCCACTTCGTATGATGACGACCGGAAAAGCCGGGCGGACAAGTCGACAACGCGAACGCGGGCCAGCTCCCAAGCCGGATCATACTCCCGGACACGCCGCATGAGCTCGCGCGCGTATGCGCCACCCGCTTACGGGCCCTACGACGATCCCTACGATAGCTATTACGAAAGTCCTCGCCATGCTCCGTACTTGGGTTACCAATCCGAGGACCTCGATTACAGCGACGACGAGGAGGACGACTGACGGTGATCCAGCACCAATTTGAAAATGGCTATGGTGTCGAGAGAAGTTCAATTTGATTTTTGCCGGACCGAAGCGCTGCTATCTGATTTCCCATCATGTTATATTCGGGCTCTTTCTTATTTCGTATCTTCTCGCACCTATTATCTCGTTATATCTCAGCCTTGCACCTGCGGATGCCTCTGGTGGCTACTCATCGAAAAACCTACTCGAAAAATAAAGCGAAAAGATCAAACCCCCCCCCCCCACTCCAAAAATGGACTATAGAAGGGCACGTGGGATGGGGAACACCACAACTCGTTTCTCTTCTCTCTACCGGACTGTCCATGGTTGGTGGATTTTCCAACCGGTGTATACGACGATATGAGTGGACGAATGAATGATGGTCGGGTTAAGCTCTCCGGGGACAGCCAAGGGGGGGATATGTGTGGACCTGGTGGCTGTGTGCGATTCCGTCGAGCGCGCGTTGGCTTACGTTCTAATCTCATGAGAACATGTGTCGCCTCCCGTCCCGACGAGGGGATCCCGGGACGGAGACCATGTTCTATTTTAATCTTCTTCTCTACACAGGAACTGGCCGTGCCATACTGCTGTGCGATACCCTTTGTGCTTTGAAGCCGAGTCTCGCTCGCATTAGCATGGCGTAAGAGGTGGACCGATAGATCTAATCTGCCCCGCAATTGAAGTTCACACTTCTGTTGGCGGCGGGATACCATGCTTTGCATACAAAGGGGAGACGTTGTCCGCCTTCCTCCCTCGGCGCGGAGTTATTCCAATTGGACGATAGACACGAGTGAGGGAGAGAGGGAGAAGTTGGGGAATTTGTGTGTACCCTTAGCCAGCGGGTCTGGAGCCTGCCACGTATTACGTTGCGTGCGTGTAGGGTTGATGAGCCGAAGAAGGACGGTCGACCCGGGCGGGCAGGGCTCGGCTGGGTTGAGGGTATCGGTGGAGGAAGGCCAACGAGGCGGGGAGGGAGGAGTTGTCATTAATGGCTGTGGGCGCGATCTGGGATGGGTAATCTAGATGTGGTTTGTTCGGTTCGAAGTGCCGGTGGATGATGACAGTCGAGTCCTGATGTAACGAGCTACCTACGCGCGGACAAGGCATATACGCCACTTTACAGGATATCACCATCTACTCAATGGGGAAGCTTGTGTCGAATCGAACGGGCCAATACTGCTATTGTTATTGTGTTGCCGCTTCTTTTTCTTTCGCCTGTACTAGACCGTAGGCACACCATTACCACCACGGCCGGCGGCTTACTATGTGCGCGCGTGTAGATTGGCGTAGTATCTCCCTACCTAGTCACAGGTATTTGTATCGCCTGGTCATGTAGGAGTGGCGGCGGTCGAGGCGCGACGGGATACTACTGCGTAGCCAGTGAGCGAAGTCGCCGGATGGACAGTGGGAGTGGGTCTCGGAATATCAGGATATCAACCCATCACGAAGCCACGCGGGGAACGCGTGTTGGTAGGCGAGCAAGGAGGCGTCCACGGAGGTAAGGTATGTACGTTTGTATGCAAGTAAGTGAGAGGTGAACAAGTGACGACTGTGATACGGTCTGCCCTACTCCCTGCTGGCCCCCCTCCTCCTCGTCTCCCGTCTCCCGTCTCCCACTCCCCTGCCTCTCTGTGTCTTCTGTGTTCCCTTCCCCCTCCTTTCCCCCTTCCCTTCCCCCATGCTGATCGTGCCACGTCTGTGTGCGCGTACATGGCATATAGCCTTACATGTCCACCTACCTCCTAACCACTTACCTACCTACGTACTTCCCTAGGTAGGCAGGCAGGTATGTGCACATCCGAGTCCATTCGTGTGTATGCGTGTGGGGTATTCGCCTGTGCTGCTGGTACGAACGGAAAAAGAGGAGGAGGAGGAGGAGCGGGAGGAGGAAGGGAGCCAAGAGACGGATAGATAGGTTGGAATAAATCGCGCGCGTTGTTTTTCTCTCTCTTATCTTTCAACTGCAGTTCGATCTCGATGAGAGGTAGGTAGATAGGTATTGGATATACAGACACACGTACGCGGCTAGAGACACATAGGTAACAGAACCGACCTGGTGTCTCTTCTTGAGAATGAGATCTTGTATACCTAGATCGGACATATGCACGCGTACACGGCCACTCCCCCTCCTCTATCCGCCGGTATGTACACACATGCATACATGCCCACACACATATATAAATATAAATACCTAGATATATATTCATATACCCACACATGAATGTATGGATTGGAGGGATGTATAGGTTGATGTGCTCGGGCTGATCTGCTAGCAGGCTTACCCCCCCATACACACATACACACATGCAGACATGGCATACCTACCTAACCTGACCTACCCTAACCTACCTGCGTATATACATACACGAGGAGAAAAGGGGAGGAGCAAAGAGAGGGAGGACAGGACCAAGGGACAAGAAACATGTCGAGAGTCACGCGGGCCATGTTGAGCAGGACAAGGTAGTCAGACATACATGGGCGTGGACAGTCCGACGGGCCGATGCATGCCTGGGCATGTGTATGGACAAGATGGATATAACACCGTACGTTCATATAGGCAGGTATATATATATATATAGAGAGAGAGAGAGAGAGAGAGAGAGAGAGAGAGAGAGAGAGAAAAGTCCTAAAGTGTATGAGAATAGCACCTATCTCTATACCCCATCCATCTACCTGAGGTAATTTATCTCGGCTATTCTAGCTACCTAGGTACGTTAATTAGATATCTACCTGTCACCACAAGAAGGGAATAACCCGGCCGCAGGGATGTTTCCCTACCCAACTATTCATCTAGGTCCTCGTAGGGAACAGTGGACGGCGGCTGAGCCCTGCTGAGCCGGGGTGGGCTCGGCTAGGCTGGGCTGGGGTAGCTCGCTTTCTCCCTCCCACCGTTATATGACCGAGACACGCTCACTCCCTCGCCCATCAAAACCAAAAAAATACCGGTGCCAAGGATGGAGGGGTCGGCCGAGGGGTCGTGTGGGAGTGGGAATGGGCGGGTCGTCACTCCATCGTGCGTTGTTTCAGCGGCGGCCGCGCCCTCGTCGACCAAGCCTGCTGCCGACTTTTGGGGATGGGGAATTTTTGCCCATACTCGGAGATCTGCCGTGTGCGATGTGCGCGCATCTCTCTCTTTCTCCCTGTTTCACACTACGTTGCCTGCCGCTCGTTCGTGGTGACGAGCGACGAAGAGGTGGGATCTACTACACATAGACGACGTTCCCGATGGCTCGGCTTCTAAAAAAAACCCCCCAAGAAAAGACGTGCTAGTATCGCCTCGCTCCCGCTCCCGCACCAGCTACCCACACCCACACACGCTTACAACTAACTACCTACGTACTACCCCATGAGTCCATGTCTCCAAGCAGGGAGGCGTAAGCGTCCGCGTTTCCCGCCGTGTCATCTTAAGTGGTCGGGCCTAGAGTTACCGAGAGCGCCCTTTTCTCCTATTCCCGATGGCTTATTCGACTAGTCTCGTCAGACCGCTCCCGAGCCCCCGACGGAGTCAGTCCAGTCCAGTCCAGTGCTCCGGAATATGGCCGCAATCCTGGTAACTAGCGGTTTTTGGTACCCCGCCGAAGCGGTCCTTTCGCGTGATCTTGGTGAGGATGCCGTCGCCCGCCTCATCTATCGACTGGGGAACACGCACAGCCCTCGACCACATATACAAAGAGGGAAAAAAGAGGAGAACTTGCAGGCTGGCTCTCCCGTTGGCATTGGATTGCGGCATTGAGCGGCTATCGCTGCCTCTGCCGCTACTTTGGCGGCCGTGGCAGTGGGTTTCATCGCCCCGAGCAGAGAAACCCTCGGACGGCACTAGACGAGCAGCGGAAAAGACAAGTATGATAGCGGTAGCGAAAGTAGATTATGAGGCTGGCAAACAGAATTTTCGAAACGAGACTTTCTAGAAAAGGCCGGTGGGTGTAGTCTATCTTCTATTCCCGCATGCACTTCTGGGATTACCTATCTAGCTAGGTCCGTCCCATCCTAACCCCAGACGCCTTAGGAAGCGGATAGGTACTAATTCTACTACTAGTAGGATACCCCTTCTATTTTAGTACTTGGACAAAACAACCACTTGAACCCCTAAACCAAACCCTCATCACCCATCGCCTTTCTAGAGGCGTGGCGCCTGCGGTCTCTGGCGGCGATTGCCCACGGCCGAGTCCCAGTAATTGTGTAGGCAGTTCCCTACATGCTCCTACACGGCTAGGAAGATTACCTAAGTACTCATCGCTTCCCCCGCTAGCGGTTAATGCGACGGCGCCCATCCTATCACGCGTGCGAGAGCCTCTCGCAGTCTCGTGGTACCCTAGTGGGTAGTAGGCGGCAGAGCACCCGGCGCCGACATCCCACGGCAACCCATATCTACGTACGTTCGTACGCCTGCCTTGGGTGTTGACGAGAAATCCGGGAGGATATGATGGAGACGAGAGAGGCCAACACAGATATCCACTCGGCACAGAGAATCAAGTCATCATCCTCGGGTCCATATATAGGCATATGATCACGCCTAAAATAGGGAAAGAAAAAAAAGAAGAGCTAGCTGACGTGACTGCCCACGTTTCCGGGTCAATAGAGTCATGTTGAAATATGGGCGGTCCTCGATTTCACCCTGTTCGTCTACGGCCCGTTCAAGCGTGTTGCTCCTTTACCACTGCTGGTCTGAACATGGCCTGGAGTGTCACTCGCTAAAGTCACTGTTAGGCAGCCTGACCAGCGTCCAGCGTGCTTCGCGATCACCTGCTTCCACAGCAAGACTGGGTCCATCTGCTGATGATGTCTCTAACGCTGCCTACCTATATCGATCGCTCGACAGTGACCCCTTTTAGACATTCGCGGCCTCTGTGCTTTAAATAGGAAAGCCAGATATCTACCTGTCTATGGCCAGGCGTAAAGACCGCGGGGCTGCAAGGGCCGACTTGGCTTGATTTCCTCGGCACCAGGGCTAGCTGGCTGACCACCTCTGGGCAACCATTTCTGCATAGTCTCTTTCGACGAGACGCGGGATCGTGGCTTGCGGGGATGGCTGGGAAGCGATCACCAGGGACATTCTGCAGGAATGGGTGATAGGTATATGGGACATCTGACTGCTTGACTGCTCATGAACCGCGCCCAATATCGAAGGCGAATCCGTCTCCCTGCCCGTCTCCTTCGCCGACAACAGTGAGTAAGGGGGGGAGTTTGGTCCAAGGGAGGAGTAGAGACGCTTAGGGCGTCGCGATAATTCCCATAGAGTGGAAAACTCGGTGGAGGGGCGGCTTCCGATGTAGCTGTTATTATACGGGCCGGATTTGCGGCGACAGTCATGAATATGCGATCCGTTGATGATGCAGCAGGTGGTTGTTTTTCTGAATCTACAGGGGATATCCTAACGCCGTTGCCTTCCAATGGCATGACATAAGCACGCTTGTTCTCCGCCCTAGGAGATCATACTACATACCTGTTACGTGATATACCTAGACTGTTACATAAGGCGCCCGTATGCATAAATGCATTAAATAATTTATACGTGTATACCCCCCTTGGATAATGTTGTGAACAGTACTACAGGTACCTAGGTATCCGAGGTACGTCCACGGAGGTACATGTGGCTTGTCCTGAGCCTATCGATACCGCTTTTTAAATGGGCCATGGAGGAGTTGCCTGGCCAATGGAGGAAATGTTGACTCTTGACATCATCCCCAACCTCCCCCAGCCACAAATTTCCACAGCCCACGCCCCGGCCATAGAAACCACCAGACAACCAGCGGGTACGTGAGACAGTGACTTTTCTCTTTCTTTCCACCTCAACCAAATGAAACCCAATTCACATCCACACGCACCGCCCGGAAATTCCTGAGGTGCAGTGTAAGAAAAGCAACCCGACAGACAGCTCGTCTCGAGCCTCTTCAAGGAACGTGGGACTCCTGAGAGGACTGACTCGAATTCCTTCCGCAATCAACCTGGCTGGGGTTTTCCAGCAAAACACCAGCCGAGCCTACCCATCTCTGATCAACACACGCAAGCCCAGCTCCATTCCAACCGAAACCTTGCACGCCCGCCATCAAGATGGCTCCTCTACTCTCCAGCCTAGCCGCGCGCGCTCGCAGCCTTTTCGACTCGGCTCCAACCGCGGCTAGCGACGTCGCCGCCCGCTCGCCACCCGACGTCTCCGCCGAAGCCCTCTCGCAGCTCGGGCCGCTCGCCGCGCACTCCGTCCTGCTGGCCCGGCAGCAGGTCGAGGACGGCGCGGAGCAGATCGACCCGCACAAGGGCGTGGTGTCGCCGCAGGACATCAACAACACGTTCGTGTTCGTGCTGTTCGGCATCATCGGCGCGGCCTTCGTGTGCGCCGGCATCTGGTTCTTCTTCTGGGCGCGGAACGGCGGCTTCCACTTCCGCGAGAACGACTGGGACGACTACAAGTCGACGGTGCTGCGGCGCAAGGGCCCGAACGGCACCCTCCTGTCCAACGCCACGCCCACCACCGACCTCGGCGGCGGCAGCGTCTACAAGGACGTGCCCGACAACGCCACCGAGTACACCGGCGGCCTCACCCAGATGACGGGCGACACCGGCAGCACCCTGACCGGCATCACCGCCGGCGCCTCCGACCTGGCCGCCCGCGAGCGCCGCAAGCAGAAGCGCGAGCGCAAGGAGCGCGAGCGCGAGAAGAAGCGCGACCGCCGCCGCAGCGAGAAGGCCGCCGCCGGCCGCCGCGTCGGCGAGGACGGCGTGCTCGTCGACGAGGACGCAGAGGCCGAGGCCAAGGACCACCTGCGCGCCTACCGCAGCGAGAAGCCGGCGCGCGTCGGCGGGCTCAACAAGGAGAGCGAGGGCAGCACCTGGGACGGGTCGACGAACCCGGACCGGTCCACGGTCGCGAGCGAGCTGCTGAGCCACCGCGAGGGCACGCCGACCCGCGCCGAGGCCTACTCGGACGCGGCCGCCGGCCCCGCGCATCACGACGGCGGCGGCGACAACGACAACGACAACGACGAGACCGCCGCCCGCCGCCGCAGCACCGGCCACCGCCACGCCCACCGCTCCGCCAGCAAGGCCGAGGCCGACCGCAAGAGCCGCGCCGCCGGCGGCATCCGCAAGGTGTACAGCACGGCGGACCGCACGGCGGAGCGGGAGAGCGAGCGGCTGCGCGCCGAGGAGCGGCGCCTGCAGCGCGAGGAGGCGCGGTCCGGCGCCGGCGGCGTGCGGCGGGGCTTCAGCTTCCAGCGGGCGCCGGCCACCACCACCGCCCACAACGCGAGCGTGGTGTCGTCGTCGGTGCGCGCCAGCACCATCGAGGAGGAGGAGCCGGCCGCCGTCGCCGGCAACGACGACCGCGGCCGGTACCTCCCGGCGCCCGGCGGCTGGGTCGGCAGCGAGGCCGGCGCCGGCGCCCCCGCCGACAGCGACCTGGGCACCAAGTCGTACCACCACGTGATCCCGGGCCTGTCCTCGGTGGCGTCATCGTCCTCGGCGCCCGCGCCCGCGCACCCGCCCCCCGCCCGCGCCCCGAGCCACGCCGGCACCGCGAGCGACTACGCCGACGAGAAGCGCAAGAAGCGCGGCGCCGGCAAGCACCGCCGGGAGTAGGCACCGCGCCTAGAAGGAGCGTGTTCCCCGAGAGGGGGGGGGGGGGAGGGGACAGGGGGGCGCGCCGCTTACCTTTCTTCCCGTGTCCGCATGCGCGGGCCTGTCTTACCGAGGATGCCGAAGGGGGGGCAAGGGGAGTGAGTTTAATGTAGCGGCCCTACGCGGGCAGAGACGCTACGCTACACGAACAGTTACGGCGGCCCCTGTGTGTGTGTGTGTGTGTGTGTGTGCTGTTCTCGTTTCCTTCTGGCTGTGATGGCACGCCGTCACGTGGTCGCTCGTGCGCCAGCTACGGCACGCATAGGGCACGGGGGGAACACGGATGGACGGGTTTGGGTCGGTGGGTGGACGATGTGATGCGTGTAATGCTGTTATGTTATGTATGCCAGCACGAGGCCGGGCTGGTCCGGGATCGAGAGACGTGCCCACACGAGTATGTACGGAGTCGCTTGCTTTCGGGCGGGGGACGGATGGGCTGCCCGAGGTTGGGTCCCTCGGCAGCACACGCCGTTCGGTAGGAACGTCGGGGCGGGCCAGGTCAAAGAAACGAATAGAGAGGCAGGAATCAATGGTCCCCGGAGTCACAACGAAACGAAATAAAATAAATTCATCCATCGTATCGTCTTACCCCCTTTGGTGCCCCTATTTCTGGTATGATGCATTCGTTCTTGAAACCTGATGAGGCAACCTGGTGCCAGCAGTTGTGGAAGGGGGGCGGGTGATGGCAAGGAAACGGACCGTCGATACGGGGACTTGAGACGCCAGCTCGTTTCCGTCCCTCTCGACGAGGTAGAAACGACAAAACGTAGATCAAGAGGGTACTGCATTACTAGTGAAATGAGCCTGCTATCTTCATGTCCGTAACGGAGGGCGGAGAGGTGTGAGTGCAGACCAACATACGAAGAGGTGGACTCGCAGAATTTGTTTGGCCTGACTGGGGTAATTATATCATGAAAACGGACCGATCAGTCGGACACAACGTCCTTGATCCCTCCTTTCTCCTCTTCTATCCTATAATATAGGCTAAATGATAGACGTAGAAATAACCAAGGTGTTTAAACGCGGATAGCGGACGGATAGACAAGAGGAGACAACAACGCCCGGAATCCGTTTCCCCTGCTATTCAGACAAAATGCAGTCCTAATATCATAAATGATCACTCTGTCTGCGCGTCATTCTGCCCGTAATTTTTGTAGCTGTCGCATATTTTCTTTTCTCAAATTGCCTGTAGTGTCCGAATCCCTGAAGGCGGTCCGGCGTGTTAAGCACGGAGCCGCTTTGCCCTCACCCTTTCTGTTGTCGGTCCTCAAGTACCGGTGTAGTGTGCTGTTTTCCAGATCTCTTATAACTTGCAAATGTTGTTTGTGTGTGCGTTGTCGGAAGTAAAACGTGATGTGTTGAGATGTATGCCTTATACGTACCTACCAGCCCCCCTTGAGCCGGCGATGACAAAGAGTTGGGTAGTACAATCGTGGATGAGAATCTAAAAACGTATGTATAGCCTCGGCGCCTTTGGACACCATGGGTGGCGGCATCTGGCCGCAGAAGAACGTGTCGTTAGTGTTGTATGTCGAGAGGGAGGGCCGGGACGTTTCATCTCCTAGACTTCCTTGATGATCGGTGCATCTTCTTGTCCCAGCATTCGTTGACCGCACAGCGAACCTTTTCAAACTCGTCCCCGGTAATCGAACCGATGAAGAAGACTTTGACGTTGTGCTCGATAGTAACCAATTTGGAGTAATTAACTCGCGACTCCCTAGCAAGTTTCTCGCCCTCTGCGTAGACCTGAAGAGCCACTGGTTCGAATCCTAGCTGGGGCTCGTTCTTGAGCAGCCTCGGCTTCTGCCCTGCCATGTAAATGATACCATGTTTGCTGGGTCTCACGCCTTTCTTTAGACATCCCCTCCGGTCGTACGTCAAGATTGGGCTGTTCCTGCGAGTGAGTAGGGTTTTCAAGAAAGGGGGAAGAGGGGGAAGTTGAGCTCTATGCTTACACGCAAGTGCTGTGATGGCTTTCGTCTGTCGTGACGATAATAAACCTACGGAAGCCGATATAGAATCTGCCACCGCCCGCGATATTCATTTTAGTTACGTCGGAAATCGGGTCATCGCCACCGACTTGACCGCGAGGTTCAGACCACAGGATTTTGAATACCTAGGCGACCGGTTAAACGACTTGATGATCACTACTATAGATGTAGAGGTCTAGTTTACTTACTTCCCCTGGCTGGAACCGCGTAGAACGTTCTACTCGGTACCCTAAATGATCTTAACCCACGTCCGGAGCGGCTGAAAGAGGCGGGACGGGCTTACGACTATCTACCGTTTCCTCTTCCCCTGGAGTTCCTTGGATATAATTGGGATATAACGGGGCTATCGGAGAGCCGCTGCGGGGCGTCGGCGGCGAGCCCACGGCATCTGGCTGTGCCGAACCTGCTTAAACTCATCAATGGTTGATCCTTCTGGGTTGGACAAAGCACTGACCGAGCTCGTAAGCGTTTGGATCTACGGAGGGGGCCCAGGATGGCGGCGCGGCGGCGTCTTCTAAAGCTGTCGAATACGATGCTTCGCCCGTCTTCTTGGTTCCGTAATACTCGTTATGGCTCCTGCGGATGGCTTCCTCATACTCGGTTTCGTTGTAGGAGTGCTGGGCTCCCTCAGACCCGTACACATTTGCATGTGGATCTGCGATATTTGAAAAGGGGCTGGTCGTGGTGGTAGTAGTATTTCCGATACCCTGGTAGTTAGGCTCGATATCTGATATCGTCAGCTCCGTTTTCGTAGGGGCGTGAGCCACTGCGATCAACGGTGGCTGGCTTACATTGCGAGTGCGTTTCTGGGATGTATCCGTTGCTAGCCAATCCCAACCCGTCGGTGGCTTGTGGTAGGTTGCTGTCGAGGGAAGGGCGGCCGTATTCCTCGACCGACCCAACGGCGACCGACTTCCCCTTTCCTTTGTCGCTGTGCTGCTGCGCTTGCGGATTGTCCAAGTAGCTGGGCTCCTGGGTTTGGTGTGTGTCGAGCGTGTAGCTAGTATGCTCGACAGTAGGGTGGTGATGGCCTCCGTATTCGAAGGATTCGGCGTAGACGTTTTGGCCCACGCTCAAGTGTCCGACCCCCTCGGTCAAGTTGTCAATGGTTTGGTCGGACCGCGGAATGCTCTGGTCATGGGCGTCAGGGAGGGTCGGCCCGATCCAGTCATACTCTACGGTACCTAGCGGACGACCGCCCGTCAGTATGGGCCAGCACGGTCCTGGTAGATTACGAGAGACGTACCGTGCCGACCTACTCGCTCCGAATACCATTGCTGGTATTGGTCGTTCCACTTGGGTTCGCTCCAAGGGCGCGACGACTTTGACTTATGATTAGGTCTTTGCATTGTAACATTTTGCAATTTTGTTTCTCATTGGGAACCCCCGATAGACACGGAAGCGAGCGCGCGGAGTCTGGTGTGTGGACACCGGCAGTATTCACGGACGGACAGGGGGGGGGGGAGACGAGAGGATGCCGATGTGAGCTAAGCTTCCGGTCAGTTATGCGACTCTGTCATATATACGATTCTCCCTCTCTAATTATATTCCGGTCTATCACAAAGACAAAGACGGCGGCGGGCCCGCGGAGAGTGAGGAAGTTGTGAAACAGCTCTGCTGCACTCCGACCGAGCGCGTCAAATATCTCGTTGTAGACGAGTCGAAGCAATCTATTTTCTCTGGGAGCTCCAGGTGGCAGTTTATGCCTCGTGACGCAGCCGGCCGAGCGTCATTGGCCCCGAGAGTAGCTTCGCGGTAAAAAGAAACACAAGATGAAGAGGGCTCGGGGAATCAGATGGCGTGAGCGATGTGGGAATGGGGAAACGAACCGGTCAAGGGTTGCTGTAGGTAACCCAGAAGTGCAAGTGAAAAAAGCCCGGGTAGGCTAGCGAGGACCAAACCGGCAGCCAATCACCTGATTGAACGGCGATAGCTGCAGTCTGGCGCTTGTATACGGATGATCCCTCTCTCGGACTCTCTTTTTCTCGTTCTCAGGACTTTTTAGATAAGGGAGGGAAACCATGTGCGAGTGAGACCATGTCGGGACGCGGGACGGGACGAGGACGAGGGGAGGAGGGGAGGGGGGGGGGGGGGGGGGGCAGAGTCCGGGCGGCTAGATCAACGGTCAATGGCGGCTATAGACAGAAAACGGAGAGAGGGAGAGAGAGGGAACCAAAAAAAAGAGGGAGAGGGAGAGAAGAGGGCATGCTGTCGCGACAGAGAGCGACATGAACAAGCACGACCGCTACAAATGCATTCCGGTTTGGCCGTGTGCGTATTTCGGTGTCATAGTATGTGATGGTAGGGCATAGCGGAGATGGAGAAAGGGGGGGGGGGAGGGGTGGCGCGTTCTTATCATGGAATTTTTGGATACTCACTCCCTTGGTGGTCGACCCACCTCTATATGTATGTGTATAAGTATAGGCGTAGGTGCTTGTGTGTGTGTAAGAGTGCGTATGTGTGTGTGTGGTGTGTGGTGTGTGTTGTATAGTTGTATAGTTGTATATATGCGTGTGTAGAAATGTAGACATACCAGGTATATGTGTGTACGTGCCTCTCTCTCTCTCTCTCTCTCGCTCCTCTATGAGTATACTATCATTAGCACACACACACACACACACACATACACACACATACACACCACACATATGCGCTCTCCCTCCCTCTCCCTGTCCCTGTCCTTCTCTGTCCCCTTCTCTCTCTCCCTCTGTCGTCTGCCAACCCCCCCCCCCCCTTTTCCCACTTCCTCGAGGTATATATGCGCGCACGCAATTTCTCGTGGCCGGGGAGAGAGGGCGAGAGAGACAGAGCCCGGGTCTCATCCCCAGGGTCTCCCGTTGCTGTCTCGGAAGGTTGTTCGCTCCGGATATGCTGCGGCAAGGGGGGAGGGAAGCTCTAAACGGTCTGCAACCCGACGAAAGGGAACAATAGCAGATCAATCGTGGACCATCGAGCAGCAGCCACTTGGCGTGACTTGGGATGCCCCCAATCCGCCATGATCTGCGGCAGCATAGTACGTTGTTACAGCCGCAAATGGCCTAGCTAGCGATGCAGTGATGCAGCAGTGCAACGCAGCAGCGCATCCATTCTCCATGTTCCCAACGACACACCCCACCTACAGTTGCGGGCTGGTCGGGGCGTGTGCGCGAGCGAGCGAGCTGCCGGCCAGCGAGGATCGGAGGAGGGGAGGCCTGACGAGTCGTACAGACGCATGCGGGATGACAGGATGAGGCTCTGTGGTGAGTGAGGTCGCGGGTTTACCTCGTGCGCTGGATCGATTTGTATGCCGACTTGTAACTTGTCAAAGCTGTCAAAACTGCCAGAGGGGAGCATATCCGCGCGATTAATCCTCGACCGTGGCAGCGAGGCATGCCCGGAGGAGGAGGAGGCGGCCCTGTCAAGCAGAAGGGAAGTACCGAATGTAGGGGAGGCAGGCACGGGATGTACAATACGACGGATGGAAGGAATCGGTTGTGGAACTGCCTAGCGCTCGAAGCCACCACCATCGGACATCAGAGGCATGTAAGGTGCGGTGCAGGGAGAGGCTAGCTGCCTTGCCGTAGTCTCATCAGGTACCTCCCCCCTCCCCCTCTACCTCCGCCCTCCGCCGTGCTACGTAGCACATACTCATATTACCTCCTGCCCAGGTATCTCCGCCGGAGAGGGGTACCTGCTGCCTGGCGTTCGATCCGCGCATGCGCCCGCGTACACACCTACATGCCTCGAGAGGTACCCGGACTACGAGATTAAGGCCCGTTACATGGAGGTATTGATGAGAGGCCCATTACATGATATCGATGAGATGAGAACCTGGAGTTTGGATGGGTACCTCCGCATAATTGGTGGGAGTATTGCAAAGAGTGCCCCCCCCCCCCGGGCCAGGTGAGTACATCTGCTCCGCGGCTGGAAGTCTGGCAGAGAGGGCTTCCCTCCCCGACCGCGCTCTGGCTCTGTTATGCTATGCTACCACCTAAAGTAGCAGTATATATATGAGTAATAGGTAATGCACCATCCAAATAGCACCTACCTAATGGGGGCAGATGGGCTAGATAGGGATCGATGAGCAAGCCTAGGGAGATTTCGCGAGGGACCTACTCGGTACGGTATGCGCAGGTATATGCCTCTACCTTGGGCACCTAACCTCTGTATGTGTTCACATATTGGGTATGCTGTACAGCGTAGATTGCTGAAGGGGTGTATGAGTCTTCCGATATGGTAAGTGGAGGATTCCGAGCGGAACCTCGCTACGGCTACGGCCAAGTTCCTCCTCATGCACACATACCTCATGATAGCGTGATGGCAGAACACCCTTCCCAGGTAGGTACCTAACCTACCTGGGTGGGCTCGGCGCAGTTCGCACGCCACACACACACACACTCGCGCGCACACATCGTATATGTATGTACATACCTACATATATCTACCTGCATGTACCTTAGGTACCTACGTGCGCACCCCTCGACATAGGTACCTTTGTCGGTACGCATGAAAGTGACAGCAAGGTGAGAGGGTCCCCCCACCCCTCCTCCCCCTATGCGCGTGGATACCTACCTCGTCTACCTTGTACCTACCTACACGTACCTCTCTGACACTTGCAGAGGCCCCACGTACTGACCCGTCGACCAACGTTGGCGGGTTGTCAGGACGGCCGGGGGGCATTTAAGGACGACGGCAAGCACGGAACCACGAAGAGACCTCATCTCCGAGTGCCTACCCGACGACGTTGCGTAGAGGTAAGGTAGCTTCGAGGTTCCTGGCCGGCTTACGTGGACACGCCAGGCAGGCTCGATACCACCCAGGAGTACTGTCTGCCTACCTGTACTTACAACTCCTACCTCGGAGGCCCGTAGCCCGAGGTCTTCGGTAGGTACCCCTACCCCGTCAACCGCCTCTGGATGCATGGGCACACCTGCCTATATGTACCTCCCTGGTACATAATTACCATATAGCCGGTTTTGCTGGGGTGCGCAGGTAGGTTCCGACGACGACACGCCACGTGCTGAGCATCGCCCAACAGCCCGCACACCTTCTGGGCGACCTTAGCATTCCCGTATCCGTCCAGCCAAGGCGCCTACCGAGGTACCTACACTCCCGCCTTGTACTCACACGCGCCTCTGGCTTTGCTGTACCCCAGGCGGGTACTCGCCATGTCCATGTACAATACTGTCTGTCCTTTTAGGCTGCGTCAGTACCGGCGTGGGCCTCGTCGGTGTAACGGCCGTCGAGTCTCTCCCGTGCCTCTCGCCCTACGGCCAAAACATCCGCTCGCATCACCTCCACGTCACCTGCCCCCTACCCGCCGTGTTGACCAGAAGAAGACGAAGAACCCAAAAAAAAAGGACACCTACGGCCCGGTCCTTGGCACCTATCTACCCTCCAACATTTGCTCATACTTGCTAACCATGTCGCTGCAAAATCGCCAGGCGACTCTTTCTGAATGGCTCCGAACGTCGACCATCGCTATGTGATTCTGCCCAGAAATCCCCCGATCCTTTCCGACGTCTTCCCACCCCGACCCCTCGAGCGTAGCCGGCATCATGACTTGCACGACGGCGCGACCAAGCCCAGCAGTCAAGTCTCGATCATGTCCGCAGAGGACCTCCCCCTGGACCTCTCTCGCACTTTGACGACGGGGTCCGACGGCTGGAGCAATTCCGGAGACGACGACGAGTCGTCGGTCACGTCGGACACGTCGCATGCCCGCATCGCCCGTCGCCCGCATTTCCCGCCGGTCCTCCCCTCCGTAAATTCGTCTTCCAGCATTTCCAAGAGCCTGCCTCAAAAGTTGGCCGCCACCATTTCCGCAGTCGAGGGCTCCGCGATCTCGGCCCTCGGCCAGCGCCTTCCCAATCCGAGCAAGTCTCAGTCGCCATCCACCCGCTTTCGACGTCTGAAGCCGCCGCTGCCGCCCGCCGAGGCGCTGGGAGGGTCCCTCATATCTAGCGCCCTGCGTACCGGCTATCCACCGGATCCCGGGAGTCCGCCCGACCAGATCGATGTCCCGAAGAGTGAGCGAACACGGTCGCTGCCGCGTAGCGTCCATGAAGCGATACCGGCACCCGCGGGTTCCCTAGCTACCGCGGACTCCTCGTTCCAGTCACGCATCTGGAGCAGGCTGGAGGCGGGGGGTGGGGTAGGGGATGATGCCGACGACCAGAGTATGCCGGGCAGCTTTGAAGACGATGCCGACGACGATTACGACGAGGATGATTACCAAGTGCCCAGTCGCGCCTCGTACAGCCTCCGCCGATTGGCGGAACAGTACGCGAGGCTTAGAAACAAGAGGACTACCCTGTGGGAGATATTCGACGGCATCCGCGCAAGGCGAACACGGGTCCGAGATCTGCGTCATGCCAAACACGAAGCTAACCTCGCCTTTATGAGTGCTGTGCAGGCTATACTTCCAAGCAATCAAGAATTGGATCGGCTTTTCAAGGATATGCGAGATGCGCAGTTCGTGTGTCAGGAAGCCGAGCACAGCTTCGACGATATGCTGGACGAGCTTGAGCATGGCGAGGTCGAGCTGGAGCGCGAAGAGAGGCGATTCTACACTGCCGCCGCGGACATGGACAACACCGCTTCCGTCGAGTCTGACGACGATACCGCTTCCCAGACTTCCCAGAATTCGGTGTTGCGGGGGATCAGCGGTGATCGCCCAGAAGATATTCATCCACTTTTTGAAGAACTCCGAGAAGCCTTTCGAAATATCCAGCTAGCCAAGGAGCTGCTGGCAAACACCCGAATGAAGAGAAAAGCTATGGGCACGAGAAAATCCCATTTGTTGTCTATTGGTAGCATAGAGTTGTTAGAGCAGTACGGGGATGCAGGGAGGAGACGGGCGCTAGAACTGAGGCAGTCGGGGTTGATGTCGGAAGAGGATATCGAAATGTTGCAGGAATATGATGGCTTGGAAAAGAGGGCCCTCTTCGACATTGACCGGTATACGGAGGAGGCGAAAAGACTGGAGAAGGAGTGTCGCGAGAAGGGTGTCATGCCCAAGAACACCCCTTTTCAGCAGGAAGGGTTCGGATTCAACCCTGTCCACAGAGACGATATCCATTTGGGAGAGGGGCCATCCGGCAGACCAGCTCCGAGACAATATCGCAAGACGCTGGCGCACCCAATATTCCCGAAACTACTATACAACCCTACGCACGTTCTACAAAGCCCTCCGATGACAGCGCAACAACAACTTCGATTAGCCGTTTCGCTCCCCCCAGACACTCCCTCCCGGCAGAGGTACATCGACGATGCGGCTCGTGAGGTCAACATCCATTCGATTCTCCGAGAGACGGGCGACCAAGACAAGATTGGCTACATCAATCGCTGGCTGCTCCATAAGCTCCATCTGTCGCCTATGGAGGCCGAACTCCTGTGGTCCACTTTTCACGTCCGTCTCAAGATTCTCAACGTCGACAGATGGCAGCAGGACGTGCTCCACCTGTGGTGGAAAGACCAAGCCTCCAGCCTACCTTCGGCTGCATCCGAGTGCTTGTACGAAGACCGCAGCTCTGCGTCCGTAAGTCCAAGAGCAGACCTGCCCTCGAGGCGCCATTCCGATTCTAGCCAGCTGGATCGTCTGAACCCTTGTGATATCGAAGAAACGCCCAGTTGAAACAGGCGGCAATTTCGCTGGACCAGCTCTCTTTTTCTTCCCCCCCTCCTTTTTTTTTTTTTTTTTTGCGACAAGCAGGGGGGAAGGGCGCTTCCCCCAGCCACCATATCACATCTGCGGCCCCGGTTCCTCCTGTTTGATCTATACCGACTAGCTTGGCCTTGACATTGCAGGGCGCGATACAACGTGTAAACCGCGCTGGGAGAGAATGAATGACGGAACTGGCCCTATACCCCTTTGTATTGCGACTTTGCGTTATCTTGGTTATTTTCATCATGATTGCTTAGAAAGTGCCGAGACGGGATGTCCTATCTCGTCTACGTCTATGGTACTCTCACCTTGACACCAATGTGAGTTGCGCGGTGGCGTTTGGTTCGGTTCCATACAATATACCAATATACCCGGGGGCCGCCCCTAACTACTAGGAGGGGTTTTTTCCGTTTGATTTTGATCTCTTTTGATATAATCTCTTAAGGCGGATAGGCGAAACTGTGCGGGTGGACTTCTCAACATCCCCAATACACATACGCAGCGTCATATCTACCTCTCACGTAATGATTCACCCAGGCTCGTTAGTCCATAATAGTGAAGCTAATTCGGCGGCTCGTCCCACCCGAGGGCAAAGAGCCCGAAGCTCTTTACTATGCACATCCTTACTATGTAAGTCCTAGCTTGACTCAGGATTGGGGGTACAGACTACGTGTGTGTGTGGTTGTACGTACCCAGAAAGTTCTACTGGAGGTATTACTCGGTAGGATTCTCCTCCCTCGCTGTAGGCAACGAGTGCCCGTTTACAATACAACGATGTGGTTGAGGCTTGGGCGCGTGGGCGTCGAGGTGTCAACGGTTGGCTTGCTTGTAGGGAAAAGAGTCACGAAGGAAACTAACAAATCAAATGGCTGCGACACGGTGGGTGCGAGACCCGAAGCGGAGAGACGCATAGTGAGGAGAATTCGAAAGAGAAGGCGACGAAGAAATGAAGAGGGAGAAGAGGCAGAGGGGGAGCGAGACAAAGGCGGTAAGACCATACTCGTCCCCTCGCCGTATGTACTAATTTCGCCTCGCAGCGCAAGCTGTTCCTCCCTACCACTCGAATTTTTAGGGAAGATGACTGCATTCGAGGCCTGCTCTCGTAATGGCTCCGTATCAAACCGCACTACCCGAGCGGTGACGCCAAGCGCCGCAGGATTCGCTGCCGAGGGTCTTCTCCAACCCGGTCCACAGCAACTCCTAGACACGGGTCATCTGGTTCTATACTAGGAGCGGAGTCCCTTCGCTCGAAGGGGGGGGTCGCGGCAGCGCATAATACGTCCATTTCCGTCGTCGGGATCCGAAGCCTGCTTCCGCTGGTGGAGGGTACAAGTCGGGACTAGAATTCGAGAAGGATGTACGAGTTGTCGCGATATCCCTTCTTTAGATCATACCCGTGTCTCTCTCGCGCAAAAGTACAACCACACGCACCCCCGAGAGCGGGAGAACGACAAGACGCCCAGAGACACGCATGTGCGAGATGATAACACCACGCCCCCTCCCTCCCAGAAGTGCCTGCAACAGATGCGACAAATTACTATCGGCGGGTGACAAATCGGAAAATTGCATCCGGCCTCGTCCTTTTTTTTTCTGTTCTTTTATTATTGGTTCGCGAGGAATCCTGCTAGCGATGAGACTTTTCGGTACTCCAATCGCTGAACCATAGCTGCACACGGGTCAGGTGGTTAGGCCGCGATGCGCGCTTTCTCATGATGGCGACGTGGAGGATGAGTGCAGCGTTGAAAATACCCGAGCATAGAAAAATCTCCTAGGGCAGCCTGGTTAGGGACTGTCAACCTGCCGTTATGTGGACCGAACCCAGGCGATACATCCACCGGGGGTACCGTTAGCTACTCCAAACTTCGAAAAGATTCGAGGTGCCGAGATCCGTCCCACCACTCTACTTAGAGGGCAGGCAACCCGCCGATCTACGGCTGGTGATATTCCCGGTCAGGTTGAACGACAAACGATCAGTTTCGCGGATGTGGCCGCTTTTCAGTCGCCAGAGAGCCTCGGAGAGCCTTCGTCATGACCTGCCGGATCCCCCTACTCCGACCATCTGGCCCGCATCTCTGTTCCCCTGCGGCTCGAATACAAAATGCCGCCGATTGGGTTATCAAAGTAGTCCATGTCAACGCCGCGACAACACGCCATTCTTGCTTCTACCACGTCAACATTATCGTGTTGGCTCGGCTGCGCCTGCGATCCAGCAGCGACGTATGGAGAAAAACATGGGAATGTCGGGGGGTTTTTTTTAGGAGCTCACTCTAATATTTCCTCGATGTCTTCTTCTGGCAAGATCGCCCACCTATTCTTCGTCGTCTCCCTCTCTCTAACGCTCGGACTATGCGTCTTCGTATCCGTATGCTGTTTTCGGTTCTTTCGTAGTACCGACACCAAGAGGTTGCAGTCCCAGACGACGGGAATACGCTCGATAAAAGTATGCTGTGAGCTTTTGTGCCAGCGTTGGATTACTAGACTCACGTCTTAGAACGGCGTACTATGGCAATCGATATGCATAGGAGGCCGAGTATACCTTCGCTGCCCTCTCAGAAAGACAAAGCACTGCAACAGAACAGCCTCTCATGGACGAGATTCCAACGTCACTTGCTTGAAATCATCCAGAGGATCTGTATCAGGGAGCCAAAGGCAACGCGCAGATACCAGACAAGAGGTCAGCAGCTCGAGTTAAGCGCGGTATAAACAGTTGGAAACGGTATCTTTGGTGCCAAGGCAAGCCTTGGAACTGGGGGCCGGATTATTAGGATCTCTCAGATGTATGTCTGGCCCATCGATAAGTGTGTAACCATTCGGACTACTCCTTCGTATGTTCCAGGCACAGAGACACTACCGGAGTCCGGAGATTCAGGTCTACCATCAGGCGACAACTGCCTATATAACCAAACACGTCCACCGCACTACTTCTTTGCGTCAGACCATTTGAGACGCCAAAACTCGGTCAGGCGCCTGCGAGCGTGTAGCCGGGACCAAGATATGATACGGTGTGCATGAGGACAGTTATATTGTAAGTAGGCGTCAAGAGGTGTTATATAATATACAAAGAGTAGGGCTAATGCCGCGTGGGAAAACCACCGATGTAATAAAGCCTGCTGGTCCGAACGGGAAATCTAGGCGTCTTATGTTTCCACGTGACAGATGATAAGAGCGCCTGTAGTTCCGCATACTGAGGGTCTCATTTTAGTTGCTCGTAAGGAATTAGGGACTCTGATGATAATAAGTTTTGTGGAGCATTGAAATAATAATAGCGGCGCCATCTATAGATTGGTATTTGCAGGTGTTGATAGAATTGAACACCTAGTAATATCGTTGCTGTGGCTAGGAGTAGGCCGGCAGTCCGAGGAACAGTCTTCAGAAGTTCAAACAAGACGAGAGAGTTCATTGAGGTCATTAATAGATAGTATGGCCTAAGTGGTGTTTGGAACCGGTCTACACACTTTGGGAACCTCAAGAAAGGCATAGGTGGGTCTCCGTTCATCTAATATATAATTTCCAAGCTTGACGTTATTTTAACTATGCTTAAAACTGCATCTACCTCGCGAATGTACTTCATATATGAGCCCACCTTAAAGCACCTTCATTCCTTACTTAAACTTAAGAACATCATGGTAAAGTTTAAAGCAACACATAGGTACCTCCTATTATAGGTACCTCTCACTCAGGCAAGCATTTTCATTTAAGCTTAGAGAGAATGATACTTGAGATGATCTTGTGCAGTACCTATCCAAGTACCTAATGTATGTAAACAATTAAGTGTCTGTTTTCATACTTCCTTTATAGGCAATAAGCACCTGCTTACATGGTAGGCATCTGCCTAAGTACTCAAGCAATACTAGATCCTTTTAATATAAAGACAGGCAATATCAAAGTACCTACCGTGTACTACGTAGGTATACTCATACCTATACTTGCTAATAATATATCGCAAGAGGGCTGCAACACCAAGTGCAGGTACCCTCTTAAAGGAGGTAGGTACCTAAGGCGATACCTTAGGAGGCAGGTACCTCTTAGGCGCCCACATTCAAGCGACCTCTTAAAAGTAGACCACGATACATAAGAGGTAGGGGGAGGGCCACGTTATCTACCTTATCTCTCTTCTATAGGAGGTATGTACCTTACAAAAATGCGTTACCGTAAGTATAGGTAACGTAAGGCAGTTCCTTAAGTATCTAGGGTAGGTAGATAGGAGGTAGGTACAACATCCTGTAAGTATTTGCACTGTTACCTGGTTCGAGGCGAGGCTGTGAGGGAGGTAAATATTAACAATGTATGTACCCTTTCGCTAGACTCGGGGTCTCGTTCGGGGTACCCCAATGTGCGGGATTGAACTGTGGAAGGGTCTATCAGGTGTCAACTGTATCCGGGTAGGTTAGGTACCTACAGATAGTCGCCTAGGTACCTGTCTAGGGGTACGTAGATAGATGCTACAATCAGGTACCCTACCCTACCACCTCTGTGCCTACCAAGTACCGAGAGCTGTGTACACAACCTACCTCTAGGCAGGTACCCAGGGGTTTGTGGTACATGCTTCTGCGGGAAGATACCTATAATACATGGGTTGGGCTTATGTAGCCAAGCCTGAGGCTTAAAAAATCCGGGGTAAGTATTTCGTACCTGTGATTTGATTCCTAGGTTGAGATGGCAGGTGCCCCATTTTTATGCTGATCTACATGTAGAGCACTTGCCATAGCGGACTGATTCAATTAAGGTCTGCATCGAAGCAGGCCGGAAAGTGCTTCTTAACGAGCTCGACCTCTGCATACCTCATCAACACCCCTGTCCGCCTCCCTCTCTCCGAGTGGCCGCCGCAACCTATTCCACCTCCCCTCGACATCTTCTCTCCCATCGTCGCTCCATCTGCAAGGCCTCATCTCCTAGAAGCCTATATTCTATCCCATTGTCTCTCCTCACAACTCATATGTTACACAGCCTGCGATATTCCGTGTCTCACTACCGCCTAGCCGCTGCCTGCAGCCTGCTTACGGCATTGCAGTCTCGATTTCTGCCTCCTTGGTACCGCACGTCTTCTCCACCTCGGAGCAATTCACTTAGGCCAAATTGAATTGATTCAGTATCTGTCGGCGTCAAGTTAATTTATCAACTTAAAGCCTTACCTTTCCCCTAAGTATTCCCTTTGAAAGAGCAACAAACCTCACAAAATACAGACGACAGCATCGACAACATTGACAAGACCACCGTTGACACGCGATCCGTAAACATCACATTGCCAATACACACGTACCTGTTTTTTCTGTGTGCCTGTCGAGGTCCCTTCAGGAGAAGGCCACTTGAACGAGTTACATACACCATCTCCCTTTCTCATACTTTCCACATACCTATTTAGTTCCGCCGGAAAAGACATCTGATCTCGCATATCTGCCATCTCAAAGCATGGGTCCCTCCCCTGGTAAGAAAATCATCCATCTTCCCAAATCATGAAACCAGCTGTCCTCCTCCTCCTTCCCTCTCCCCTCTCTCCCTCTCCTCTCTCTCCTTCTCCCTCCCCACCCCCCGCTTTCCTTCTACGCAACCCCCCAGACTTTATTTGAGCCCTATTCGGGACTTCTATGGTTCCTGACTCATGCATCAGAACGCCGAGGGGGCTGGCCACCCAACACCATTCCCATCGAGCTGTTCGTCAAGATCGCCGGGTTGGTCGACAGCCGCCAAGACCTCAACGCATTGTGCCTTGTCAACAAGGAGTTCAACGCAAAGTTGGGATGTTGCCTTTTTCAGCGACTCGTGATCCACGTAGGACCTGGCCTCTGCGCAAAGGTGGATGCCGGCCTTCCTTATCGGACGGGTTTGAATTCGGTCGATGTTACCGACTACCTGTCAGATACCAACATTTTTCGTAACTTTGGCTCGGATATACGCCGGTTCGGGCTCGCACTCGAGCTTGACGAGCGCGATCTCGCAAGTCCCAGCACCGGCGACATGGAAGCAGTCGAGATTAGCCACTGGGGTGTTTACCGCTGGCCTGATCCGTCATGTGACTCTCGTGCCCGTTCACACCTAGCGTGTATCACCAAATCATTGGAGAGGTCGCAAGGTGTTTTTCGGCTTTTGTCCGGGGTAAGACAAATCCAAGAACTTGCTCTGTCTTGCGAAGGAGGGTTAGGATACCTCCAGGGACCCGACATCAACCGGCTGCTGCCCCCCACAAGATTCACTATTTTTGGAGACCCGAACCTGGCCCTCGCTACCGAAGATGATTCGTATCAAATCGAGTTTGACAAGTCTTATAGGCACGAGATGGTTGAACGCAAGCTAGCTGTTGCTGGTGTCGATCCCACGCTCATTCCTGGCCTGATAGACCAGCTTGTGGCCAATGAGAGAACCACTCTGGAGGGGTTTTCCCGCGAGAGACGCAGACGGCCTCTCCTCCCCGGAGGTGTCGATGGACGCAACTGCAGGGTTACGGCGCGTCCACAACGATATTACGAGATATATCGCCTGCAGCCAGATCTGCTTACCGACACGCAGAAAAGATTCCTTTACCAGCACGTCACTGCCCAGGCTGCGCTTGTTCAATCCTTTCTACTTGCCGCAATCGATAATAGCACACACTTCGAGAATCTGACGAAGATTAACATTGCCCGCCTTTCGAGCTTCCATATAGACTCGCTCTGTCGTGACGACTTCTGGTCTTGCCTCCGCGTCGAGGAGGTCTCTCTGGCTGTGGTGCCAGACTGGCGAGCTCTGACACAGATAAACGCATTTACCATCGGGGATAGAGAGGTTTTCCCGACGGATGCTATGCCGAAGGTTTTTCGACTATTGAACGACTACATCGGCAAGCAGCCGCACGTAAAAAAACTTCATTTCGAGTGGATTTGTGGCGGAGAGCTGGCGCCCGGACACTGCCAAAGAAACCAGAATATCCTGCCAGCGCCGTTCCTCAAGGAACACCGAAAGGTGGTAAACTCGTCTCTGGAAAACCTCCTTATCCTACCCTTCGTATCCCACCTGTCTCTGAAGAACTGCTGGTTCGCCCCGAACGTATTCTACCGCATCGTGCAGACCATGTCCCAAGAGCACCACCTTGTGTCATTGGAGCTCGAGACCGTCTCGCTCAGTGGTCCTTCGATTTTTCGAGCCAGGATGCTGGATGTGGACATCGGTAGTAACGACCAACATCTTGGTGACAACGATAATACACCTGCTCTGAACCCTCTTATGGCGCTATATGTTGCTGCCCGCATGGCTCCGGATCCGGAGCCAAACGAGCTTCGACGACCCCTAGACCTGTCTTGGTGTCACATAATCGATATGCTAACACCCGGTCCAACTATCGTGGAGCAGCTTCAGGGTGAAAATCGGGAAGATCACGTGAGCTTGCCCATAACGAAGCGTCTGAAGTTGCAGAAGCTGGTGTTCAAGTCGTGCGGTTATGTTATGGTTCCTGATGATCGCTTCATCTCGGACCGGCGATTTCGTCACATAACCTCGCCACGTCGACCCCCGGAAGTGATGCTGGAAGCCATTTTACAGGCACGAATGGCAATGAGGAATATGGCAGAGAAGGAGGCAATCTCCGGCATAATGCAGAAAAGCACGGACAGGCATCTTGCAAAAATCGTTACTCGCCTCGATCGTGACGAACTGTTTGCCATGCGAAGGGTCTTTGGCTTTCATATCGGATGGGACGGCATATATGATGCCAATTTTATCCGAGCTGCGTGGAGGGATGATGTTCCTAACCCTGGTGCCGGTCGGTTCAGCGGGACGATCCAATACCGTCCAGACTCCACCCGATATGCTTTTGGGGACGATGACACTGGGGGTGCTGTTTACGAATATAACAACTCGGTGTTTGATGAAAACTACGACGATAACGCTGACATTGACAATGTTATGAATCGCATGATGCATGATCTTGGGTATACAGAAGGATTAGGCAGGGGTCGCCCTCAGGCGGACCAGGAAGGCTCGTTATTATTCGAGTCCGACACCGAGGAGCCGTACCTCAACGGCGAGCGTTAGCGGCGCACGTTTGTGTTTTAGTTGGGGGGAGTTAGGCGTCTTACCAGGCGGCTCGCTAGGCGGCGGGCTAGGCGGCGAACTTGAACTCGCAGTATTTCGGCACTTCTTCCATGTCTAGAATACGGAGTCTTTCTTTTGGTTTCTTTCTCCCCACCTCGACGGTTTGGAGAATCGAAACCATATTCTGTGGTACGGCGGTGCTGTTTCTTCTGTTACCCGGGTTCGCATTGCACATCTTGCGCCCATGTTTGGTCCAGCTCGCATCGGCGCTCGTCCGGTCTTGGTTCCGTGTTGGCGTGTCTTGAGGGCGGAGGAACGAAGCTACGGGCTGGAGACGGCGAGGAAAACGACAAGACTTTTCAGGAACTTGCGTCGAAACTGGAAATGGGAACCGGAATTTACTTTTGATTCTCGACGCTCGCAGGCATCTTGATGTTCTTGATCCGGACCCGTCCACCCCTCGCTATCTCCGTCGTCTCCCCTCCCCTCCCCCCGGAAGCGGACGAGATAGGAGATTATCGTGAGAGGAAGAAGGAGAAGAAACAGAGGGAAGCACGGAGAGAAGAAGAGATCCTCCCCGCCTGCGATACTAGCCCTTAAGTGACGAAATGTAGTGGGGAGGGCGAAAGGGGAGGATAAAGGTGTACGAGTAATACATACCTCTGCTATTGTTGCTATTTGTCGGGTCGCCTGTTTTCCTAGATGATACCATAGATTTCTTGCACGCCCGCGCAAGCTAATTCATGCGAGACTTGCTGAAGACGGCCTCGTTGCTCCTCTCTGCCCGTGCGTTCCTCAACGTTCTCCCGTTAGCGCTGCCGCCGCCCTATAGACGGTAACACCCGCCCCTTGTTGTAAAGAGGCAACGTCCTCCCCTCTTACAAATATTCGAGGTTCCTAGCCTCGTTTTGAAATATTGAGCCTATGGGTGAGAGAGCAAGTGGGTGTGTACAGAAAGGGCTTAGATCGCGAAGCTCCTACTTCTTGACTGCCCGAGACGGTCTGTGCCGAGCGGGGAGATTCTATCGAGGTCGCTGATAGCAGCGCGCCGTCTCACCAGAATGGACCACTCCGGCATTGGAGGTCTATAGAACGTGGAGACGGGGAACTCGAGTTTTCGTTCATCAAATATTTCTTGTATTCTTTTTGTTAGGGGGGGGGTAATATCACGAAGAGTGTTTTATTCGCGAGTTGCATGCCATAAACCTAGACCCATGCTTTACGACCGCCTTTACACCTGGAGTGAAAGCAACTGAACCCCTGAACCATGTCGTCCATTGTTTTATCATCACATGCCTCTCTCTCGCCATCCCCGGCTCCTGCTTCTCCTACTTCCTCCCGCCGAACTGTCTACGAAGCGGTGATGGCCTGCCGGATGCGGGCACCTCGTTGCCTAGAGTTCAGGTGTGCCTCTTCGCGCCCGACGATCGCCTCCGACTTCTGGACCACCTCCTCGCCCTCGGTTAGGATGAGCTCGACGTGGCACGGGTTCGACATGTAAGGGTTGATCTGTAGAGAGGGGGGGAGGGGGGGGTTATGTTAGCAGAAGAAGGGATTGCTGGGAGAGCCGTCGTCCTCCGACTCGAAGACAAGTAGTAGTGAGAGGAGTGGGACATACACGACCGTGCGCTCGGTAGGTTCGCCTTCGTTGCTTGGGGGCTTGGTTGACCTGGATGTGCTTGACGATCAAGTTGCTGGTGTCAAGGCCCTTGGCATCGGCGTTGGACTCGGCGTTCTTCAGCAGGCCGAGGAGGAACTCGGCCGACTTGGTCGGCCACCGGGCGCGCGTCACACCGAACTGCTTGCCTGTACACATCCAGTGTCAGCTCGGTTCTTGTTCCTTCCCGATACGCGCGCAGCGCAGACGCATGCAAAAAAAAACATATCCCCCCCCTCCTCTCTCCGGTTCCATTCCATCGCCATAACTCGCACACATACACACGTGCTTGGGGCGGCTGCGTCTTCGTACCTTGGGCTGTTCGGCCTATGCTTCCGGCGTACCGCCGCATGGGGACGGCCTCGACCTTCTCCTTGACGTTCTCGAGGAACTTGACGGCGCGGACCAGCTTCCATCCGTTGATGGCCTGGGCCGTCTCTCGGGTGTTCTTGAAGGAAACGCGCAGGTAGGAGCCGCGGGCGCGGGCCGACTTTGCCGTGTCGATGTCCTGGGCAGCGTATCGAACCTACAGAGAAGAAAGCAGAGGCCTCCGTTAGCTACCGCCCAACTGCGTGGCCTGGATTCACGGGCCTAGTTTGCGGACGGCGACATCGCCGGCGAGGCGGAATTGTGCTATTTTCTCCTCTTCTTCCGGCCGTGGACAATTCGCGATTTGGGGATCGGCCTGCGACGAGCGATGCCGGGGGGGTGAGCTCGAGCAAAACGTACCATCTTTGCGGCGGTTGCTGCTGCTATGTATAGATTGGAGTTGAGATGGGTGTCGAGGTCTTGTCGTGGGTTGACTGAAGAATTTGGCGAAGGAGGCTCGGGACGGGTTAAAATTGTGGAAATTGATGAATTGTGCCCTCGCTTACTGCCCTGTGTGTGTGAGAGAGAGACAGGTACGTACCTCCTGCTTACCCACCTGCACGTTGCTATAGCTTACCTAAGGGGAATAATGGTTATCGGTTATCAGCACGTGATAGTAGGTATCTCCTAGTCCACTTTGTACCCATCTACCTCAGATACCTGGGTACCCACCTCGACATTAGCGTACCCGAGCTCCAGAAATTTTTCCTTCCCTTTTTTTTCTTCCCCGGAGCTCCATCGCAAACGACCAAACGTGCAACAAAAAATTTCACCAGCAGAAATCTCCCCCTCCCTAATTGAATCCGCAAACCTCCATAACGCGACGGAAATTTGCCGCCGTCGTCATAACCTGCTCGACGCAAAGTTCGCTTGGTAATAATAAACTATGGGCTTCCAGTCGAGAGGCGGCAGAGGAGGAGGAGGAGGAGGATTCGGTGCCCCCCGTGGCGGTGGCCGTGGTGGTGGTCGCGGCGGATTTAGCGATAGGGGTGGACGAGGAGGCGGCCGCGGAGGCGGCAGAGGTGAGTACGATTTGCTAGATCCGCGTCGTCGACTGTCCCGGACGTAGTGAGTTTACATAGCTTTCCCAGGCGGCGCACGAGGTGGATCTTTCCGCGGTGGCCGAGGCGGTCCGCCGAGGGGGGGGCGCGGTGGTCCGGCTCGTGGTGGTCGTGGAGGCAAGCCGGGCGGCGCGAGGGGTGGTGCCAAGGTCATTGTGGTAAGGAGCCTCTTCCTCTGCCGGTAGGACTGGTACATGGCATGATGCTGATCCTCTTCCCCCTACGCAGGAGCCTCACCGACACGAGGGCGTCTTCGTCTCGAGGGGTAAGGAGGACCACCTGCTCACCCGAAGCATCGCCCCCGGCCTCGAGGTCTACGGCGAGAAGAGAGTCTCGGCCGAATCTTCGACGAAAGACGAGGACGGCACGCCCATCACCACCAAGGTCGAATACCGAATCTGGAACCCCTTCCGAAGCAAGTTGGCCGCCGGTATCATTGGCGGCATCGACAATATCTATATGAAGCCCGGGTCCAAGGTCCTGTACTTGGGTGCTGCCTCCGGTACCTCTGTCTCCCACGTTTCAGATATCGTCGGACCCTCGGGAAATGTTTATGCCGTCGAGTTTTCGCATCGATCCGGCCGCGATCTCGTCAACATGGCCCAGAACCGAACCAACGTCATTCCGATCGTCGAAGACGCCCGCCATCCGATGAAGTACCGCATGCTTGTACCCATGGTAGACTGCATCTTTGCCGACGTCGCCCAGCCTGACCAAGCCCGCATCGTCGCCCTAAACGCGCACATGTTCCTGAAAGTGGGCGGAGGGGTTGTGATATCCATCAAGGCGAACTGCATCGACAGCACGGCCCCCCCAGAAGCCGTCTTCGCTCAAGAGGTGCAAAAACTCCGAGCCGAGCGTATCAAGCCCCAGGAGCAACTGACGCTAGGTATCATCTCCCCCAATTTCGTGTCCGCCCAGTTCTTGACACTGATGCTAATGCTTTTCGCCAGAACCCTACGAACGAGATCACTGTATCGTGATTGGACAATACCAAGAGGCGCAATAGGCACATCATAGGCTGAGAACAGAAACCTATCCTGTGTTGTATCAAAGTCTGGAATGTGACGACGGTAAAAAGTCCACGCGGTTCATAGTTCATGGGATGGAGTTATTCCCATCGGGACAAGGCGACTAGGCGTTTAGGGGTAATTTTGGCTCATGGTCTTTTCATCTGCGCATAGCTTCTGCAGGGACGACGAAGTCTTCAGGTTAATACCACGTTAGGCAGCTCCACCCGTCTGCTCATATATTCAGTGTGATGATAATTTGATGTGACGATAGTTCCTCGAGGTTTCGTGGCGGGGTCGAGCACGCAGCGACGCGCGTCTTGCGATCTAGACTTCCGACCCTCGGTGTTTCTCGATCCCTAATTAAACCTTGCCTACAGGCCTCGTTGTGCCTATGTGAATCTTAGCCCGGCCCGTCAAAGGCGCTCGGATAATCCACCAATAACACGTACCTACGTGCGTGATTCAAGGGCCTGGCCTGGTCCCCTGCGCGGCTTTAGCAGCCGGAGTCGTTCGTTCCGCTCTGGACACTCGCCCTGCTCAGCTACATAGGCACGGGCACGGGCAGCGGCGGGACACCGGCCGAGCCTGCGCCGGCGGCGGCCGCGAAGCCCGACGCGGGCGTGGGCGCGGAGGGAGTCGAGGCGTAGGGCGGCCAGGCCCAGGGCCCGGGGACCAGCGCGGCGACGCGCGGGCTCGGCGGCGACGGCGGGCGGGGCGCGGGGTCTTCTGCGGTGGCGCGCGCCCGCGGCGGCAGGAGCACGACGCGCACGACGGGCTCGGGCTGCCAGTCCATCTCGTCGGGGGCGGTGGCGCCGACGCCGGCGGCCTCGGCCCAGGCGCCGAGGCGCTCGCCGCAGCGCCGCAGCGCGCCCGCCGCCCAGTCCCGGAGCCGCAGGTTCGCGCGCCGCACAGAGCGGCACTCGGCGCAGGGGCCGCCGCCGCCGTCGTCGTCGTGCGCTCGCCCCCGCCCGCACGGGCTGTGGCTGCGGCACCTGCGCGCGTCCACGCCCCAAGCGCCCCCGTCCACGTCCCAGCCCTCACCGCCGCCGCGGCGCCGCCGGCTGCGGCTGTGCCGCCCCGCGGCGTGCGGCGCCTGGGGGGTTTCCGTTGCTGGCCGCGGCGCCAAGGCCCTCTTCTTCGCCCCCCTCCCGCCGTAGGACTGCCGCCGCTGGCCCTGGCCGTTGGGGGGGCCGTCGGCGTCCAGCATGGGGTGGTCTCCGTCGCTGTTTTCGTAGTCGTAGTCGTCGTTGTCGTCGAAGCGGACGGCCGGCTGTCTGTGTGCCGGGTTTGCCTTCTTCTTCGGTCGGTTGCTTGCGTGATTCCGCCTCTTTGCCATGTTGCGGATATCCGGACCGGGTTGACTGAGTATCGCCTTTCCTCGCGTGCCGGCCGGCTCGAATGGATAGTTCTTAGCCCAACCCGAGCCTTCTATAACTGCTATGCGAGGCCTCAAGACGCGCTCGTTCTCCTCGAAGCGTCATCACTGAGTGAGCGGAGTGGGGAAGGGGAGGCCTGGTGAAGATATATTGATACTCTGGGGCCCCAGATGGCTAGAAAGGACCCGGTAGATTCTAAAGGGGACTCTTTTCTCCATATCACACCTTCGTCGGCGCAGACACCTGAAAGGGTGTGATTCAGCCACTCGGCAGTATGGGTGAGGCGAGTAAACCTGCTGACTTGCCTAGTTTACAAAGGCATGATGAGTTGGCTAGTGAAGTGATGAGATTTCTCGAGAGCTACGAAGGCTATCTATCTAGGCTTGAGGTATGTAGAAACTCGCGAGATCTAGAATTGTAGCGTTCCTTTCTGATGCGAGGACCTGGCGCTTCTCTTATCGAAGTGGCTCTTCAAAGGGGATCTCACAAGCAAGGAAGGCTAACAGCGAGTCGGAATTCATGCAACCGTTCTCACGTATTTTCCGAAAAAACAATGGCCAATGTGCAGACGGGAAGACATTTCTTGAATGAACGAATAGTAGTTGACACAGGTGTCAGCCACCCAAGACTGTAGTCCTTTGTAATAGTTAGAAGAGTTATGGTGTGGGACCTAGCTTCATCCATGGTAGGGGAAACATATGTACAGGGGCGAAAGCAACAGTAGCTGGTTCTCAACTGTTGCTAAGTATCGCAAATAAATACCTGCATCGCAATGAGAATGCAACTCAGGGGAAATCGCTGGCTAGATACTTTTGTCAGATGCTTTTAGCGCGTGCCTATGTATGTATGAGAGGTAAGGTAGAGAGAAGAGGGGAGAGGGACAGTACGCGTGGGATCAACATTGACAATTGTAGGCAGGTTGCCTTCTGTTTTTCTGTGTCCTTGTCTTCCAAAGATGCAAAGACCTCTTTTCAAACGGCCTCACCCAAGACCTTAGGTAGCCGACCTTAGGTAGCCTGGAACGCCCCAGACGTCGTCACTTCTTGATTTCTTTCCTCAGTGGGATAGTCTCAGCCGTTGTCGGACATTCTCCGGGGTTCTTTCGGAGGGTCATAGAGCTGAAAAAAAATTGGGATAGGCGACAAGCTTGTTTGGTGGTGCCTAACTCCTCTTCTTAGGAGTTTTGAGCTTCACGACGCGCCAAGGCTTCGCCCAGCTTCGCGCGTCATCCCTAAAGGGAGAAGATATGAGGCGGCTATCCTAATCTGACATAGTTGGTCTCGAGGTCGTAACCCGTCCCTTGTCAAGGTCCCAGAGCAGCATGCCTGCTGCGCTCTCGCTACGCCTTAGGTGTTAAGACTTGCCAGGCACCGTAACATATGTAGGGTGCATACACGTGGACTCCGGATCCCAGATCTGCCGGACCCCACGAATGCATATATACGCGGGCGACGATGTGACAGAGTACGCTTTGACATTGGAGGATTTCTCCCAGCTTGGCAGCTCGGTGATGAGCATCTCCGGGGCGTGCTTCTTCTCCTCAGAGTCCCTGGGTCTAGGCCGACTACGAGATGCTGCTATTGAGGGACGAGCAGCGGGATGTAGCGAGAAGTAGTGCAATACCATACATATATGCTCGAGGAGGGATATCCCCTGCGGTAGTGGGCGACTTAGACGAGAGCTTTGTAAGGGGGAACGCATATAGCGTGTCGAATTCTGTCTCTCTAACGTCTAGCAACTCATCGCTGTTGGCATAGTAAGACGGGTTGAGGCGCCGAGTGCGATGATTGAGGCGAAATATCGCTTCAGGCTCACAGCTGGCTGGGGTTCGTTACCGCGCCGCACTAACAAGTGCGCTGGCTTAGGGCGGAACGCAGAGCGGAATGCAGCGAAGACGCGACGCTGTCTCCAAGGGACTAAGACCGATCGAGACGTTAGAACCGGAGAACAGGAGGAGCTAGAGGGTTGGTTGGTTATGCGACCCCGTCGACCCCCTCTCATTTAGCCACGAAGGCCGCCTAACGAAGAGCATTTCCGCTGTGGGATGATGATATGCTCTCTCTCTCCCTTCTTCCCCTTCTTCTTCTCTCTCCCCTCTCCCCCTCATACATACGCGCACGGGATGAGCATTGTCTGATCGCGATCTCGAGCTATTATGAACGCCGTCGCACCCGGGGTTCGTCATCTCCGGAGAGATTGATCCGCGACCGCGCTTGACCGCTCGGGGCGCCGTTCCCGAATAAAGTAGTGCGCCGTCGTTTTTTTTTTTGAGGGAGGGGGCGCCATAGTGCGTGCGTAAGCTCCGGGGAGTTGGCGGGAGGTAGAGCGGCCAGCGTGCCGGGTGCAGGCCGCGAGGCCGTCTCTGGCGCACCGCTAGGAGAGGGAGCACGATTCTCTCGTAGGCTCAGTTACTGCGGTCGTGTCTCGCGGGCGCTGCCAGTCAATAGATAGCAATGACCAGCCGCTGAGGGTGCGTTGCACGGCAGCACGTTGTCTCGCATTATAGAACGTGTCGGGCCGCGGGCGTTTGCTCGACATGCCACCAGTTGCTGTGCGAGTTTCCGTCCTCGACGAGATTGCAGGAGAGATGCATCATATTTATTTACCTGCTGACGCGAGGGGCGAATTTTTATACCTACTTGCCTGCCTAAGCAATTCCAGCGAGGGGGGAGAGCCGGAGAGATAGAGAGCGAGAGAGCCAGAGAGGAAGCAGAACGGGCGTGGTGAGTACGGGTGGAGGAGGTGTGGGTTGTAGGTGTGGGCGCGATGGCTACTATCATGGTTGTCGGATTTTCCGTCCCTCGCATGCGTCTCTTATGTAATCTCACTCCATACGTCAGGTACCTGGGTACCTTATGAGTAGGCACCTGTATACACAAATTGCAACGCGCCAGAAAAGAGGCGGAAAAGGTGGCAAGCTCAAGAAATAAACAGGTAACATGTCTGCCTGCCGCGGTGACCACATGTACAGGGTTTATCGCAAAACGCCCCGGTCCCCTCCCCCTTGACTCCATTGTTACCTGGTAACTCAGCTCGAGCGAAGAGGTACCTGGGGTGACTCAACTTATAGGAAGGAGGTTGGGGCAGGAAGCTTTCATAATTGGCCGCTATTGAGCTAGTAGGAAGTGCACCCTATTGATGAGTACCGACGGTGCCAATACAGGTACTACCTACAGGTTACCCAAGGCATTTCATGGCTTCAACAATGTGTAGGTACTTACCTACCTACTACCTCTACCTCCGAAGGCCCCTTGCCGTTATACGGAATGTTAGGTGGTAGGTGTAGTACCTATGTGTACCTGCAGTAGGAACCCCTTCCTATAGGTGCTTGGGGTGCCCCAGAGGTACCTGAAATCTTCTTATTTGTCCACCCCATCTCTCCTCTCCTCCTCCTCTCTCTCCACACACAGACATACACAGTACATACACACAGACACACACACACCATCGTCACCTTCGCCGTGAATGGTGCTGGATTTACTCCTCAACACTCGCTTGTTCGTCCTCGTCCTCATCCTCCTCTCCCTCTCCCTCTCTCTCTGTGTGTGTGTCTTGACAGCACCTTGTGGTTTGACCTTCAAACCGACCAAGGCTCGCTGGCCAGTCCCTAAAGCAGGATAGTCGTCGTGAACCCATTAGTGGCATGGTTTTCGGCCACCTTCACTGCGACCTCGCAGCATTGCCTGTTATTCTCCTCCTCTTCTTCTCCTCCTCCTCCTCCTCCTCCTCCTCCTCCGCTTCTCTTTTCACCCGCTAGCCCCCCCCCCCCCCCCCCCCCTCTTCCCCTTCTCCACAGTCGTTATCGATCCCCCGCGACGGGGATGGCACGGCTTAGTTCCGCCCCATGATAGCCAAATTGCGTAGGCATATGTGCGTATTCTGAGAGTGGATTCCCCCCCTAAACCTGTGCCACTTTCCATTAGAGGTTATATTTTCAAGGTTTTTTTTTCTTATTATCAGAGAAGAAGAAATTGCCGGCGGGAGATCTTCATCTTTCCCAGCTTCCCTCGCGGCCAGCTATGGCTCAGTCCCCAGGTACGGCCACCTCCCCGAACGCTGCTTGTAGTAATTTCGCGTATGGTAATGTTCGAGTCACCAAAGTATCCGATAGCCTGTAGGAGTATCTCCAGTGTCAGAAATGCGGCTGTCCCGGCGTATACTCCGACTGATATCATGTGTTTGCCCGCAACCTCTATCAAACCGCACCGCTCCACTGCTTGTCCCCCAAGCCTGTAGCCACTCACCTAGGCACGGGCCCATGGAGTCTGTCATTTGGCATGTCAACCATGTACTTGGCGAGAGGAATCCCAGCCTGCCAAGCTGGGGTAGGCTGTTCCAGGGAATTGGTGACGAGGTCTTTCTCCCTTGACAACCTAGAACCAGAAACCGGCGTCCACCTAGTCGACCAGGGCCAGCTGGTCGGATAGACACACGAAATCTCTACCTTCGTAGACCGAGCGCCGGCTACTTTCTCGCATGCTTCGAAGGAACATATATCCCTGCTACCCATTTCCGTGTTGATCGAGCGGCAGCCAGCGACCGACGCGATACCCTTTCCCTCTGGGGGAGCACCTAAGTCGTAAGGCGGTGGCTGAAGCGGCGAAATTCGACCAGATGGCAGATACGGAGCCTCTTTCCCCCTCCCCCCCCCCGGCCTCATCAGTCAGATTTTAACCCCAACATCAACATTTGCTCAGGGCACCCGTAGACTAGTACCGCGTAGCATCCCCGTCAGAGGCTTAGAGCTGCAGGGCTAGCGTCCCTATTCCGAGGGGGTGTCCCAAAAGCACGAGGACGGGGGCGCGAAGATGGAGAACTTGGGGAACCCTCCATGCCTCCAACGACTTCTCAAGGCCAGTTCGGACGGGCTAGCTTTTAGTTCTGTCTCCGCGAGAACACTGATGTCCAGCCGTTCATGCCGTACATGGATAGGTGGACCTCGGGGCTCGGCCGCCATCGATGGATCACCTTATAACAGATTAACCCACTGCTTCCTCTACGCATTCGGTGACGGATGCTAGCTGAAGGATAGATATTACCCATGTGAACGACGCCTAGGAAGGGGTTAGTCGAGTAGCGGTCGGATTCCCGACTCTGTGCGACTCTGCTTATATTCTGGCCAGTCGTGTGCTGTGTATGGGCGACTGTTGTCTGGATTGACATTTCATCCCGTCTGGCAAACAGATATATCGCCATTCACCCTCGTCTTACCAGTTCGACGGTGGGAGGTGCTGGCTAGAAAAGTCCAGCTTTCAGCTCCATTGACCGTTTCATACACAACTCCTACAACAACGCTGGGTCGATCATTCTCGTCCACGATGGCGGACGGGTTAACGCCAGGACAGCTTGAGGCAGTTGTCGTCATTGAGAGGGTCGGCTCCGTGTTCTCGATACTGGGATGCGTCTTCATCATCGTCACCTTCCTGCTCTTTAAGGCATTCCATAAACCGATCAACCGTCTAGTATTCTACGCTTCCTTCGGAAACTTGATGACAAACGTGGGGACGCTGATGGCGAGGGAATATGTGACCCAGGTGGATTCATTCGGATGCCAATTTCAAGCATTCCTCATCCAGATGTGAGTCCTCCCCCCCCCCCCCCCCCCCCTTTTTCTTTTCGTCTCTCAGCACCTATTTGCGTACTCGGCTAAAGTCTGTTTCCCAAGGTTCATGCCCGCCGACGCCCTCTGGATCTTAGCTATGGCCTTCAACGTCTACCTGACCTTCTACCACAAGTTCGACGCGAGACGGTTGCGGAGCATGGAAATTTGGTATCTGCTAATTTGCTACGGCATCCCCTTCGTACCCGCCCTCACGTTCATATTTGTCCAGAACGAGTCGGCCGGCAGGATGTACGGCGACGCTCTGCTGTGGTGCTGGGTGAGCTCGGAATGGGACATATTCCGTATCGCTACCTTCTACGGACCGGTCTGGTGAGAAGATATTGATGGTGCTTTCGGACTTGCATGTGCTGACGTAAACGTAGGGTCACGATCCTTCTCACGATGTCGATTTATATCCGGACAGGTGGAGAGATTTGGCGGAAGCGCAAACAGCTGCGGTACTTTGGCGCTAGTAGCAGCAGTGCCCATGACCCGGAGCCGTTCGGCGCGGGTGGTCCTTATACGATAAAGACCACCGAGGTCACGGTCACGACGGAAGCCGCCGAAGAGGGCCAGGACGGTATCGATCTCGCTCCGCTCGGCCGGCTCGCCGTGCCGAAGAAGAAGGCGGCATACTCGGTGACGATATCGTCGGCGGCGCCGCCTCCGACGCCTCAAGGGGACACGTCGTCGGTCAGCGCCAGCGCCCGGGATAGCATGCCGGCCGCAACGACGACGACGACGACGACGACGACGTCGACGGTTAGGGGACGGACGGCGGCGTCGGCAGCGAAGTCGCAGCGGCGGCGGGCGAACTTCGAGGCGAGCAACGCGGCGTGGTCGTACAGCAAGTGTGCAATCCTCTTCTTCACGGCGCTGCTGGTCACCTGGCTCCCCTCGTCGGCGAACCGCGCGTACGGGGTCGTTAACCACGACGGCGTGCAACCGGCCCTCGAGATCATGAGCGCCGTCGTCCTGCCGCTCCAGGGCTTCTGGAATACGCTGATCTACGTCGCGACGAGCTGGGAGGCGGTTAAGATGACCGCGGCAGACGTCATGGCCCGCGGCTGGGGTGGTGTCCAGGGCGAGCGGGCGGCGACGGCGACGGCGCACTTTGGCGGGGGCGGGAGCGGGGGCGGAGGAGGACAAAACGAGGGGGGCTTCCACGACAGGGACAGGGACCGGCGCGCGTTCGCCTTCCGCCTGTCGGGCCGCGGCGGGCGCAAGGACCCGGAGAGCGAGAGCATGACGGAGCTAGCCACGGAGGGCGACGACACGAGGAGTTCTAGCCGGGACGCCAAGGGGCAGACGTGACAGCGGGGCGCGGCAGGCGTCGTCGGTCCGGACTTGGGTACGGGATCGGTGTCAAGGGGGTGTTTTATTCTTTTCTTTTTTTACGGTCGACGATTGACTTGGTCACACATTCGCCATAGCAAATCCATGAATTCGCAGATATATCCCTCGAAGCCTAAGCTAACTATGGAATCTCCGGAACGAACAAACCTGATCGAACATGCGCGGAGATATACCTGGTCCCTATGTTATGCTTGATTCTCCCTAGCCATTTAGCCATTTTTTCTTTTCGGCCAATACCTACATACCTGCTCGCCTAGATGCCAGTCCGCCAACTGCCTACGATGGTTTTATATGAAGTAAACGTACCATGGCCTCTCTCTCTCAATCTCTGTTTATTTCCCCGGCGATTTCCCTTGGCGCACAACTCTTATATTCTGCCCATCCAAAATAAGCTTATTGATGCGACACCCCAGGCGGTTCCCTCGACCTGCTCTTGTTTTCCTGGGCGCTTTGCGTCCGGGGAACACGGTGGAACCGTTAGGCGCCCTCCGCCCTCCCTTCCCCCCTCGTCGTCGCACTGCATGCTAATTTTTACTTCATTTTGAATTGAGGGCGGGAATTCCGGGTCGAAGCGGGAGCGTGCATGTGTGCGTACGTGTATGTGTGGCGCATGTATGTGTGTATACATGCAGATGCACACATATCGTGCGAGGCGGACGGGATAGGGGTAGGTACCTAATGCAGATACCTTGGGTACCTACAGGGTACCTCCAACGTGCTAGGTCAGGGCTGTTGACCAATGGCGATTTTCAGTTTCTAGCTCGGGTTCCCGAACAGGCAAGGCACCCACCTAGGGCTTTGACCTCTTCTCTTCTCCTCTCCTCTTCTCGCCTCTCCTCTTCTCACCTCTCCTCTTCTCGCCTCTCCTCTTCTCACCTCTCCTCTCCCCTCCCCCCCTTCTCTCTCCCCGTCTCTCTATCTCTCTTCTGTGTAGTTGTCGTGGTTTTCTCGTAGTGCCTCGTCGGAAAAGCCTGCGACGTAAGGGCCTCAAAAGCACACCCACGTCGCTGGTAAGTGTCAGTGCTCGTCCTCTGGCCCTCCATCACGTATACCTACCCGTGCACGCACACGCCGTAGGTACATCAGGTACTATCTACAACCACGGCCCGTTCCCACACGGATCCCACAGCAAGGAGAGCCACAACAGGAAGGCGAAAAAAGGCAAGACCAAAGTTCGTCCACACGACTCGATATGGCCTTGGTTACCCGTCCCAGGCTCGGGGTCTGCCTCTCGGGGGTATCGTCGCTTTGGTAGAGGATCGACGGCGAGACCGGGGTAGGCCCGTGCGGTGGTAAATGCAGCGGCGCTGTATAATGACACCAACGCTCCACAACGTAGATTAATCTACCTACCTACGAGAGGGCCAAGAGAGAGAAAATTTTCGAGTGAGCGTGTTGTGCACGCGTAAGACGCAACATGTCGCAGACACCGCCTGGCTGCTGGGCCATGCCCGAAAGGCAGGGGCCTCGACAAGTTCCCTCGGCCGCTCCATCTCAATCCCCCTTCTCCTCTCCTTTCCTCGCTCCCCACCTCCTCTTGGGGATCAGCGACATCGCCCCTTAGTCTAGCGAGAGAAAGGTTCGGAGATATGAGGGCAAGCGGAAGACGGGCAGGCTTATGTACACGTATGTGTGTACGCGCCACCCGTCGGGTCATACGGCATATGTAGATACGCGCATGTTGAGACATCGCCGTCAACCGCGCGCCCCCGTAGCGGACAGAACATGCGTCGACGGGAGAGACGGAAGGGGCAGCGAGCTGAGCGAGACGACGCGTCATCGATGGCCGCCAGCACGATGCAGAGGGCTGGCTGGCTGCCTACGTGCAGCCTCTGCCTCGGCACGCGGGGCAGCCAGACGCAGCCTGCCGACGAACGACTCCCCGCGTACCTACTTAGAGGTCTAGACGTAGCCCCCCTTGGCTTTCTCCCTCCCGGTCGACCTGGTGACCTGTCCTGCCAGGCAGCCGCTGCGCATCATCCGAACCGGCGGGCGAGACTCAGAGCAAACATCGCGAAGCGAGGTGTGAGGGTGGCGGCTCGTCGACCTTACCCGACAAGCTGAAATGCCCTCGCCCCCCTCGGCCGAGAGAGAGTCGGACCCGAGGACCTAGCGCTCACGAGCCTCCTCCAGACGTGACGCGCAGACACGCAGGTGTATCCAAGTAGGTAAGGCAGGTTATATCTCAGCCATCGCACCCGGTGGAGCGGGCCGACGCAGGGCTTGCCCCGTCGACGGCATCCCACAGAAGGGCGGGAGCTGGGAGGGGAAAATAAGGACAAAAACAAAGAGCGGGCGGGAGAAGAAGAGAGAGAAAACTGCTGGTTCCCATCGCTACCGCACTCTACAGCAGTGCGACCCAAGCAAGCCCCCCTCTGCTCTGTCTCTCTCTCGCTTTCGGCTCGCCGCCGCGAGACACGACCCAGGCCTCGGGGCGCAGATCCCAGCCCCTTCGGCCGGCTGCGCGAGGGGAGCCCAGCCGTCGCCGCGGGTGGCCAGCCCCCTTACCTAGGTCCACACCCGCATCTCTCCCTCGGTGGCAGTGCGGCACGAGCCCAACGCGCACGGCACAGCATGTGTATGCATGCGGGAAGGTGTAGATGCGCGGATGTAGGGACGCTGTGTGCCGCGCGAGGCCCTTACCTTACCTGCCACCCCCCCCCCCCCCCTTTTTCCTCTCCTCCCCTTACCCTCGCATCCGCGCACACCCTCTCCCCAGCGACTGCGCCGTCGCCCCAAACCCCATACGTACGCGCCGCGGGAACCGCTCCCCGAGCCGCGTCTGCTTGCCTGCCCGACCTGCCCCCTCCCCCTCCCCGCGCGTCAGACCCCCGAGCACCCGCGTACCCGCTCTAGCTCTTCCGGGGCGTGCGCGTCGCGGCCGCGATCAGGCGGGGGGGTCGGCTAAGAGGGAAGGAAGCGGGCCGGGTCGATAGGGGGGCACGTATTAGGCGACATCTCGTGCGCCCGCGTGGCCCGCCCTAGGTAGGTAGGGGTCGGGCAAACCCGACTAGTCGCTCGCGCCTTTTTGTCCGGTCGCTCAGCCGCCCACCCGTGCTACGTACGGGCCGGCCGGCGGCCGGCGACAACGGCCCCCCCCCCTCTTCATTTCGTTTCGGCTTCCCGCTTCCCGGCCGGTATGCGTGTCTCCGAGCCTGCGCATGGCCGCGGCGGGTGCGCAGAGGCGGCCATGTGGTATACTACTTAGGTAGGTAGGTAGGTATGTAGCTACATCTATTACAGGCGCGTAGGCATACAGGTAGGCACAATATAGGTCTACTTTTGCTACGAGGTACGCACGTCAGCGATCCGTCAACGTCTCTACGAACCGCATTGGTACCTGCATCGCTGCTCTATCCCTCCGCGCATACGCGATGCATGCTCCCGTGCGGATACCTAGGCGATAGGGGCCTGTACGTCCAACCCAGCGGCGTGCGAAGATCAAAACACCCGGGCCTATCCGGCCTTTCTCGCCGTCTACCAGGACAAATACTAACCTAGGCGTCGCAGGCTGCCTGGAGCGAGCGCCTTTAGGTAGCTATGTATTAATTAATACCTACGGGCATTTTCCTACATCTGTGCCAAGCGAGAGAGGGCAAGATGTACGGGAGCAAATTTCCTTTAGGAAGGCTTCTGAGAAATTTGGGTACTAGTATTAAGGGGGAGAGAGGGGGTATCATGTGGGTATCATGTTATCCGTCCTAGAACGCCTATGCAATATTAAGCTGAATACACATTGTTCCCTTGACTGTCCTCATACACTACATCACGTCGTAGAAGCCTATTCTGCTTGCAATCTCTATCACTTAACCCCTTGCCAGAAGCCGGAAGGAGACCAGCAACGGTTACCTCCCGCTCTTCACGGCCACGACATGCGAGTATTGCCAGTAAGTTCCCCTCTCCACACATTCCTGAACGATCTCCTCTTCCTCCCACCACCATCGATTCGCATGTACATATTCGCCCCAGACTTCCTGCCAGAGCATTCTCGCCACCAGACAGCGGAGCTCGCCCTCCACCGGCCCGCGACCCTTTGCGTCCTCTCCCACCGTACCACCCTGATGTACAGCACGTACCGAAACTGTTGTGATTGTACTACCGAACCCGCGAAGTTTTGCGACAGCCAGCCAGGCTGGGAACGTGCCGCTCGGGTAGGTCGTGCGGCACCTCTTCTCGAGCTGTATCAGGAGCTTTTCAAACAGCCACTGCCGGAACTTCGGGCCCATCGACGACGAGACTGGCTGGGGGTCGATCAGCGTCAAGTGCAAAGCCCCATCTGGCGCCAAACAACGGTAAATATGACGAAGCATCAGGGGAATCTCGCTCGAAGGAAACAATGCCGGCATGGACAGGCACGTCGCAGTAAAGTAGAGCTGCGGGGTGAGGGACCGAGATCCAGCAGATGCGGATACTCCCGGTACCAGAATCGGGTTAACGTTGGAGAACGAATGGGACGATATGGGGTTGGGCGAAAGATGAGATATGGAGACCTGCGGGTACAGTGCCGCGAGAAAGGACGCGGATGCTAATCGCCGTATTAGCAAACTCGGACAGGAACAAACTAGCTGAACGGAGACATCGCACACCTTGAGTTTCGTAGAGCGCAAGAATTCTAGGTGGCAGCCTAGGTGGCCTGGATGGATCTAGATTCCCCAGGCAGTTGTCGTTGTGGTTAACCAGTGACATATAGCCCTCGTGCCGTAGGGCAGAAAACATCCACCGTTTCTTAGCCATCTCGAGCTCCTTGTATACCGTAGCATCTAGCCCATGTCCCATAGGACATTTGATGTTGGCGAGCATGAGCTCCGGGCCAGCCGCGGCCATCATTCGCACTTCGCGTTGCAGTGCCTTGAGGGTTGGAGACATGGATCGATCCAAATTGCCACCCGCTGTCGCGTTCGACAGCGCCTCTTGGTCTGGTGTAAGTACGTCGTCTTTGGGGAGAGTACCATCCCATTCATGCGGAGGTTTCCACGCATCTGGGTTTGCCAACCTGTCACTACCGCTCCAGTTCGCATTGTATCTGCCCAAGTTATGCTGGAGCTCGATAGGGGGTGGGGTTCGGGGCGATTCAAGCGGAGTAATGGAGCCAGGGTCATCGAATGCCACCGGATTCCTGCCATTTGTTAGAGCTGCTAACTCGGATCAATCTGACAGGCTTACGCTTCCTCGGGCAACTCTGATATGGACGGAGTCTTGACTTTTTCTCGGTCAGCAGAAATGTAGACTTGGGAAAACAACTGGCCAAGATCTGTCTCTGGATCACGAGTCGACGATATGACGTCCGTCCTCCTGGTGACGAAAGAAGACGGCCCTAGCGTTTGGACCAAATTTTCGGGCTTCGGAGTACCCGAGCTTTCGATGCCAGTGTTGTTAGTAGCGGTGGTTTGCTGCGTCCACTTTGACAGTGTCGAATCTAATACCCCGGGAAGTCAGTAGTCGTAGTAGGCGTCATGACAGCGCTGATGCTCCTACCTGGAGATGATAGGCTGGAGGAGCCATCGTTAATCTCGGGCAGCTGTAAGGAAGGATGGCTCGGCTGGGCAGGTTTCGTAGTGTCTCTCGAACTATCTCGATGATGCAGTACGGGCCTAGCATGATAACCCGATGTCCGGCTAACCTTAGCAGCATGATCGGCCAAAGATGCCGACGGCGAGGCTGGCGCGCCCTTGTCTTCAGCCTGAGGTGGTGTCTGGGCTTTCCTTCTGCTTCTCGATCCGAAGAATCTGAAGCTTCGATCACTTGACGTAGTGCTCTCTGTTGAAAACGATTGCCGATTGCGGTCTGACTTCTGCCTCTTCTCTCGCTCTTTGGCTTCTTGCTCTTTCCTGATAATCTTCTCGCCCATGAGTTCCCGGTTAGGGTCGGTCCACAGAACGTCAAACATTTTAAGGTACGCCGTCGAAGCGCGGTCTAAAGAGGTGATGTAGTTTCTTGTTGAGCAATTGCCCTAGCATCTGACGCGCAGGCGCGCTGTCACTCTAGTTGTGTCTGGATGATCGTAACCAGGTAGATTGGTGTAATATAGTTGTGGCAGCCTAATCTCTCTGCGAAGAACCTAACTCTTAAAGACGTTTCGGGCATGTCATGTCGAATTCGATCCGAGAAGCGCCGCCTCGTAGACCCCCAACGGAATACGACACAGTGCGATGAGCAACCGAGTATACGGTCGCTCTTGACAACGGGTAGAAGGCAGGTATGTGGCCCTCCACCACGAGCGAAGGGGGTCGATTGGTATCCCGGGATGACAAAACTTGCCTACACAGTTGGGACGAGGAATGGCTGCTCCTCTTCTTGTCGTAGTTAGTATGATGGCGAGGATACGAACACGCAACGGCCAGGGGGCGTGTGAGGTCGGATGCGGTCCAGAGATGAGGAGGGAGCAGTAGAAGATGAAGAAGCAGAGGAGAACCTGGCCGCAATGGAGGTCGGGAGGCTATAGGCTAGACCAGGGACACGGGAAGGTACGAGACAGAGAGACGTAGGAAACTGAACCGGAAAGAGGGGACGGGATGCATTCGGCTCCGCAGATTTTCGTAAGGAGAGAAGGTAGGTGCTACCTCGAGGGACCCATCACATTCAGAGATACCTGCTTTGGCAGGTACCTACCTACCTAGGTAGGTAGGTAGGTAGAGGTATGTATTTAACATATCTCTACCTCCTCCTAGTGGGTACTTACATTGGTAGGTAGAGTAGGTGTAGCTACCTCGTCTACCAGATATTCCACGATGCGTAACCTCCCGTGCTACCCCCTGTGGGACTTCTCGGAGGGGGTACCGAGGTATTTTTGCTGTATGTAGGTACGTACATGCCCGGCAGAAGATCAAGGCAGGTGGGGAACTCGGTGAGGTACTGAACACAATCAAGGATTGAAGAGAGAAAATTTAGATACTCTGATTTTAAGCAGTAGCTGTATAGTACCTCTTGAGTACCTGCTTACCTCCTAATCTATTGCTGATAGCTCTGGGTGAGGCGCACAAATGTACCTAAGGTACCTATCTAACATACATAAGTATATTTTACGTAGGTAGGTACCTATATAATACCTCCCGCAAGTAAGCTCCTATTACTCACCATTGGCGAACTGAGGTCCTACATCTGGGCTAAACCTCGGTACTTGAAGCTGTTGTTCCCATCGCCAATCTACCAGTTCTCCTTGCGTAGCAGCTACTTAGGTAGGTAGGTACCCAAGGTAGTTGTCCAATGTTGTGTACGTTGTGACATGTGGGTGGTATTGATGACTATTTGCTGCCGTTCATTTGTTTCATCCGGCCCAGACTTCGGCATTCTGCCCCTAAGTATTCTCCTGGTTTCCGGTTGAAGTTGCTACCCGGCCAGACTCCAGGCACTCCCCTCGCCATTGATAGCACCGTGCTCTCTCAGTCGGGGTTTTAGGTAACCAGATATGCTCATCAGGTATAGGACGCAAGGACTGGAGTGAAGTCTAGGTGTCTCCACATGCAAGCCACCGAGCGGGCTGATGCTAACTTGGGGTTTCCCCGCAACAAAGTCCAAGCAGGCATTGTTATTAACACCAAGTTTTGGAGGTTCCAGTCTGGCTTGACCTGGTCATGGCAGCCCTTGCAGAAGTCGGTAGCAAGCATTGGGCCGAAGAGATTATATTACTTTGAGACATCCCGGGCCTCCCCTCGCGGGGGGTACCCCATCGATTTAGCACCTTTCGCGGGTGAGCTCGAGCTTGCGATACCCGAGGAAGCTCGTGCTACAGAACTTGAAATGCAAGAGTTAAACAGGTTGGCGACGCGAGCACCCAATCCTTTTCGAGCTTGCTTTGCTCCCTGCAGCCTGCCTTGGTAACAAACTGCCGCCCAGCTTTTGCCTATAGAAAGACAAAGAGGTGCCGCGCTTAGACGCCCGTCGAGCGCGACACTACAGCCAAAGTCTCTATCCCCTGCGACGAGGTTGTCTAGATGTGACGAGACAGGAAAATAAGGTAGCTCTGCTGGTGCGTATGTTTCTATTTAGTGGCAACGCCCCCGCCCCCGTCCCCATCCGTGGTTTATTTGTCGGGTTGGTCAAGTAACACAAGTTAGATGGCAGGACACGATGTCGGGTAGCACCATTGCTACGGTGGAATGCCCCAGGATAAGTCCTCAGGTAGCCGTAAGTGTACCTACTCTCTGACACCTGGAGCCAATCGTATACCTAGGATTAGGCCATCACACACAAACCCTCTGAAGTTATCGAGTGTGGTGGCGTTACCTTCTCAGGCTAGCATGGAATGTTACAAATCTCACCAAACTAGGCGTAGTTGATATTGACATTACTAAGCTTCGCAGCAACGACAACTCCACATGGGTATAGGGCTGTAAGCAAAGCCGCCAATGCAGTCCACACCATTTTAATACCTCCCATCGGCTATCTAGGTATTACCTATACCTTACCTATATTAACATACATGGGCCTTTCTCGAAACAAACAGAAGCAGTAATATATGTATCTAGACTTAGACACGAAATATGGGATGGCGGGAGGACATATCATATTTCCACTCGTGTTCTTCCGTTGCAAGACGACTTGCTTGGTATTTCTAAGGGGTGCAAAGGGGTGCCGTAAAGGCAACCAGGGGTTATGGTACCAGGGGGTAGGATGGCAGATGCAATGCATGTACGTGACATTGGTATCTGCATGCATATCTGTTTACGAGTTGGTTGGTTTTTAGCTAGTGTTACACTTGTAGATCTTGCATACTGTATTATCCTATATCCTGATTTTTGACGCTGGACGGGCTTCTGTCAAGCCCCTCTCTTGACCAGGTGTTATTATCCGTTCAAGGCCAACCCACAAGACAGAGGCTTAAACAAGAGACAAAAACCGCGTCGGTTCGGGCAAGGCCAACACGCCTATATCGTTATTATGGATTGCATGAGATCGTCTGCAGGCGTATTACACCACCCTCCCTGCCCTACTGATGTGAGGAGAATCTACCATGGCACTGGTACAATACTTAACTTTGGGAAATGCACTCTCCACCATTAGAGGTCGGTAGGCAGGCGGTCTTTGCCAACCTGGGCCTGATTTTAATATGGAAATACTTGGGGCTCGCAGTTTGTACCTGCGGGTGCTTTAGGTACCTTAGGTAGGGAGGTAGGTACCTACCTACCTGACCTCTAAGGTACATTTCCCTTTAGGAGCGGTAGAATCGATCTGATCTGCACGTGTGTGCTCTTTTTAATCAAGCTGTAATATACCCAAGGCAGGTGAATATCATTGACACGACGTGCCGACTTCATATCGATTTCATATCGCTTCACCTATCACCACACCTCCTCCAGGTCAGGTCAAGAGGTACTTAACCCAGGTAATGTCTCCAAGCAGGAAGAATACAACGGCCCGGATCAGTACCTATACGACACTTGAATCAGCAGTTCCTAAAACGGACCATAAGACTTGTTGGCCTTAGGTACCTGTCTACCTACCCACCGAGGTATCACCACTACCATCTACCCATTTTTCACCAACGCATGCCTCCATCTTCCTCTTCTCCCCCCTCTGCTATCCAGCTCGGTATCCAGCCCAGACCTTCACTGCTGTCCCATACAGGTGCTTCCTCTCTAGGAGAAGACGCTGCCGACAAGGAACCCAGTTGATCTACCTATCCTCGACTGACTGACTGACGTAGGAATCTCCAAAACCCCTTCCCAACCCCACCATCTCGTCTTCCTCTCTACCCATAAATGCCGGTTGACCAGCCGTACTGCTTTCTCTCCCCCTTCTCTGCGAAACCCCGTTGCTCGAATCCCTCTTCCCTTCAAGCCCACGACCACTCTCTGATGCGCAGTCACGAACACTCCCTCCGCGACTAACGAGACGCACTCGGCATCTAGGACCGATCGACACATCCCCGTGCGACCCTCTGTCTGGTCTCAACATCTGCCTGCTCAGGGTGTCAATCTACCAGACGGACCACTGCCCGGTCAACTTCTCTCTCTTCACCCTCACTTCCTCGACGACACGCCACCAAATCTTTGGTTGGCGAACCCGATCCACTCTGGGGAAATCGTGTCCTTTACATAGCATTCACCCCCAACTATTTCGTCTTCCACTATCCATCGTTGGGTTTGGGTCCTGCTCTGGCCAAGGCAACCTCTGCTCGTCACCTACTTCGAGTTAGACTTTACGCCAGGCAGTCATGCCCGATCTAAAGAAGCTCTTCAATAACTGGACGAGCAAGATGGCCGTCTTCGAAGAGCGGATCAATGCCTCTACCTTCGGCCGCATTTTCCGCCTCGACGGCTCTGGTCATGTAAGTTGACTTGCTTGCTTTCGCTTCTACCTCACCACGAACCCTAGTATCACGGGCCTACCCGCCCTTGTGGGGCCTTCCTATGCAGCATTCCAGACTACGCGAGACGCCAGCTCGGCGCATAGTTGTCTTGGTTCAAGTCGTACTAACATTAGCTAGCCTGATGCTATCCGTGGCGCCAGCTTCACTCGAGAGATCCGTGCTGGATTCACAACCTTTGCCACTATGGCTTACATTGTTGCCGTCAATGTAAGTGCTATGCCATCCTCTTCCCGACGTCAACTTTGGTTACTCATCTGACCGCAACACAAGGCCGCCATCCTCGCTGATTCCGGAGGTACATGCGAATGCCCAGCTGGGTCACCGCGTGGCTGTCATAAAGATCCTGCCTACCAGAACTGCCTGGTTGGTATGTAAATATTCTCCTCCCGGATCTCGGCACAAGCTAACTGCTTACCACCCTCGTACAGGATTAAAACAGGATCTCGTCACCGCAACTGCAGCGCTGACGGGTCTCGCCAGTATCGCCTTTGGCTTCTTGACCAACCTGCCAGTCGCGCTCGGGTATGTGGGATCTTGATCGACATGATACGTACTTGCTATCTTCTAACCTTCTTCTAGACCCGGCATGGGAATGAATGCATATTTTACCTACCAGGTCGTTGGCTGGCATGGTACCGGCGAAGTCCCTTACCGAGTTGCCCTCACAGCTATATTCGTTGAAGGACTTATCTTTGTCTTCCTTGCTCTTACCGGAATGCGGCAGTGGCTAGTCCGAATGATCCCGGCTACCATAAAGACCGCTTGTGGTGTCGGCATCGGCTTGTACCTAACTGAGATTGGACTGTCCTATTCAACAGGCATTGGCGCCATTACCGGAGGATTTTCCACTCCGCTAGCTATCGGCGGATGCCCCCCAGAGTACCTCAACGACAGAGGAGAGTGTAGCAGCCACATCATGGCAAATCCGGCGGTAGGGGCTTCTTCTTCCCCTTAGCCGGATACCAGGCCGCCCCAGCTGACGTCACTGACAGATGTGGATCGGAATCTTCATCGGCGGCATATTGGTCGCTTTCTTGATGGCCTTCAAGGTCAAGAGTGCCATTATCATTGGCATCGCCCTCGTATCCATCATGTCTTGGCCGTAAGCGGAGTTTCCCAACCTCAGGGAATATTGGCTGACGAGCTGATGATTACTAGTCGCAATACTTCGTTTACGTACTTCCCCCACACCCCCGATGGCGACGAACGATTTGCATTTTTCAAGGAGGTCGTCGCATTCCACCCCATTAAGTCCGTCTTGGCCGTCCAGGAGTGGGATCTAGGGGGGACCAGCGGAACCCAGTTCGCCCTGGCACTGGTTACTTTCCTTTACGTCGATATTATCGACTGTACTGCAACCCTGTACTCCATGGCCAAATTTTGCGGTGTGGTCAAAGAAGACGGTAGCTTTCCTCGCTCGACCCTTGCGTATTGCACCGATGCGATCATGATCTCCATCAGCTCTCTACTCGGCTGTTCGCCCGTTACCGCTTTCATCGAGAGCGGCGCTGGGATTGCCGAGGGAGGTCGAACCGGACTGACTGCGATCTCGACTGGTTTCTGCTTTCTGATATGTTTGTTCTTTGCCCCGATTCTCGCGTCTGTTCCTCCCTGGGCCACAGGATCGACTTTGGTCTTGGTAAGTTCGCGGGGGAGGGGGGGTTTAGAAATCTCCCGTTTGAGAGACGACCGCTAATGTCGTTGCAAGGTTGGCTGCCTGATGATTCGTCAAGTCGTCAACATCAACTGGCGGTACATCGGCGACGCTGTTCCCTCTTTCGTAACCCTAGCCTTCATGCCGTTCAGTTACAGTGTCGCCTATGGCCTGATTGCGTATGTTTTTCACCTTTTGAATGTTCCCAGGTAGGAGGGACGTGAGCTAATCCCATTATACAGTGGTATGATGGTTTACCTTACCCTGAACGCGATGATCTGGGTCGTCGTACGGCTCTCCAGCGGCCGAGTTACGCCGTCGAATTGGCACCAGAAGGAGGTTTACAACTGGACATTGGGAATAAGGGATCTTCCTGGTTGGGTGCGGTCCTCGCTGCTGAAAATCATACCTATCCGCACTCAGGTGGACGACGACCGCAAAGATGGTGTCGAATTAATTGATAATGATAGCACCATGAACGCCACCACCAAGACGAGTTCTCGAGGCGGATCGGCCGTGGAGAGAGACGGAAACCCTCTTGCTAACCAACCCCGAATCCGGGATCCCGACGTCGACTCTCTCTACTAAAGACGTGAAAACATTGAGGCGGGGTGAGGGTGCCGATTACGACGTCATCCGCGAGTATTCACCAGCCTACCGTCGCGGCAACGTCTCGTGGAAGATATACCTACCGGCTAACACGTAGGATAGAGATATGCCACTAGTCAGGGAACAAAACCTGGATACGGGGGTAATATTGAGGAAGGCAAGGAGGGGGATACACGACATGTCGAAGAGGTTTCCGGAAAGTAAGAGCACCTATGTACCTAACTCAGTTTCCGTCTCCGGAGATGCTGCCATGTCAGAGTAGGGTCTGTATGAGGACCCATAAGCAGAGAGTAGAAGTGTGTGGGAAAGTGAAGGCCTTTGGCAATAGGGGGGGGAGGCAGGTTAGGTTGAGGTGATGTTAAGAGGTAGGTAGGTACCTACATAATAATCACTTGACCAGAGAAGGTACCTACTTACTTGCGGGGGATGACCAGGGCCAGCTTTATCTTATCTCAACCGAAAAACGTGTCGACCGCTTGAAGTCACCAAATTACTTAGGTATCTACCTAGATACCTAGGTACTTTAGGCCCAGGGGTAGGTTAAAAAATTACCTAGGTGGATAGAGGTACCTCCTAACATACCTGGGTACATGTGTACTTGCCAGAGTTTTATCAAGTTGGACTCGTTAGGTAAGCATAGGTAATTGACCAGGTAAGTACCTAACTCCCCTACACATACGTAACATCCCTGGCACACATGCCGACCACACCTTTCCCATCCTCGCCTGCGTGAAGGTGTTATGTTGAGTATTCTTCATAAACGGGCTTCCTACGACTAGAAATTCGACAACTTCCCAGAACTGTGTTGCTAGGTAGCGGAGCAGGAGGCGATATCTTGGCGCTTGCCCGCGTATTCCCTAGCGACGGAGTACTGGGCAGACAGCGATCTTGATATAGCCCGCACGGTCGGTCCTCGTGCCTCAGTTTCGACCTGGCCGTCGCTACCAGTGTTGTCGCTGAGCCCCTACCAACCCCTCAGCCTGTGTCTTGCCCACCTTGGCAAGCTCGGCTGGAAGATGAGCGGTGGCTGGAATACCAGTTGAGTCCATCTCCCCTGCTCCTCGATAGCTGCTGCTGCTCCTCAAGCACATGGGCGCCGGAATCTTAGGCTAATCACGTGGCTACAGTCGAGTCGGACGCTGTACGCTGAGTCCCGGCACCCGAAACATTCCTGACTGCCCAGTTCAAGGGCCTTTCTCCTTTCCCTCTCTTCCGCGCGAGCTAACTGCCGTCCCTATCTGACCACAGGGCGTGTTCACGTTCCTGGTGAACGACCTGGGCGCCGAGGACGTCCAGTTCGAGGAGCTGTTGTCGCTCGACCCGGATTCGCTGGCGGAGCTGTCGCCCGTGTACGGCGTCATCTTCCTGTTTAAGTACCCGACGGACACGCCCTACACGACGGCCGAGAAGCCGCTCGACGGGACCTTCGACCACGACGCGGCCGAGCGGCTCTGGTTCGCGGCGCAGACGATCCAGAACGCGTGCGGCACGCAGGCGCTGTTGTCGGTGCTGCTCAACCGCGGCGATGACGAGGTCGACGTCGGCGCCCCGCTGCGCGAGTTCCGCGAGTTCACCATGGCGCTGCCGCCCGAGTTCCGCGGCGAGGCCCTCAGCAACAGCGAGCTGATCCGCGGCGCCCACAACGCGCTCGCGCGCAGCAGCCCCTTCGTCGACGAGACGCAGCGCGCGGCCACGAACCCGGACGACGCCGAGGACGCGTTCCACTTCGTCGCGTACACGCCGGTGGCCGGCACGCTGTACGAGCTCGACGGGCTGCAGCCGGCGCCCATCAGCCACGGCGCGGTGGCGGCGGACCCGCTGTCGCCCGCGGGCTTCCCGGCGCGCGTCGCCGAGGTGCTGCAGCGCCGCATCGCGCGCTACAGCGCGTCCGAGATCCGGTTCAACCTGATGGCCATGGTGCGCGACGGGCGGCGGCGAGCGCGCGAGGCGGGCGACGCCGAGATGCTGGCGCGCGAGGAGCGCCGCCGCCGCGAGTGGCGCTTCGAGGACGCGCTGCGCCGCCACAATTTCGTCGGCTTCGCGGGCGCCGTCCTGCGCGCCGTCGTCGCCGCGAAGCTGCGCGAGGACCCGCCCGACGGCGGCGAGCGCGTCTACTCCCGCTGGGTCGAGGGCGCCCGGACGCGGATGCGGACGCGGCTCCAGAGCCGGAGAAAGGCCGCCGGCGGCGGAGGAGGAGGAGGAGGAGGCGGAGGGGGAGGGGAAGACGATGTGGAGATGGATGAGTGAGAATGGGCTGGCTGGCTCGAGAGGCGCCCGGTGCGCAGACGGGGGAGCGCTGGCTGTCTCGGTGCGTGACTAGGTTAATATATGCCACCGTCTGAGAGACGGGCACACGGGGGTATCTCTATCCTCTTCTATTTTATATTCTTTCGCCGACGCCGGCGGCAGACGACGGCGACGAAGCTAGTTTAATCGCAACGTCTCCGGGGGCTCGGAGGCGGGAAGGTAGGAAGACGGACGGAATTCTCGCGGCAACGGTGTGGACCAACCTGGCTGCTTCCCGGTACCTTACTTGCCTGTCTATCCCGTCGTGCTTCGTGCCTAGGTGAAATGCGTGTGCCCTCACCTGCGAGACGGCCCGCGAACGGTGGCCCAGTTCCCCCTCTTTTCCCAACCCACGCCGCCTCCGCTCGCAAGCAACGAATGCCCCTCCGGCAGACGGGCGCGCGCGGCGGCCCGCCGTGCCTCGTGGTCTCGCTCTCACCCCCCCTCACTCTCTCTCTCTCTCTCTCTCCTGCATGTCTCTGGCCACGGCATGCACAGCGCCACCACCGACCTATATATGCCTGGTAGGTACCTACCTAATGTATGTATGCGTATATATGTATATTGGGGGTACTACATCCGGGCCGAGCCGGGCATGCGCACGTACGCTTGTTTGCAGTAGAATAAATAGCATCGCACTGCACCCAGGCCTTTTCGCCTGGCGCACACGTGCGCGGGCAGGGCCCGACCCGAATGGTGGAGGCGCGCAATGCGTCCGGCGGTGCTCTTCCGGTGGTGGTGGCATACGACGGCCAAGGGAAGACGGGACAAGAGAGAGAGAAAAAAAAGGGCCCGGACGTCTAGGCGCTCGCTCGCTCGCCCCCTCCCCCAAGCCAGTGTGGGAGAGGAGGGCGAGTTCGTGGGTGAGAACAAGGAGGAGAATCACAGGTGCGAAGACGTGGGACGCGGGACGAAGAAGTGGATGGGTAATCAGGTCGATAATAAGAAGTAGATAGCGCCTATAATACCGAGATAGGAAGAAGAAGAGGAATGAGAAGAAGAAAAAGGGGGGAGGAAATAGAATAACAGGAAACAGAAATCGCTGCCGATCCCCAAAACAAATATACGGGATCGGCGGCGGGGGGTATAGACTCGTTTCCTCTACGGTCCTCGTCATCCTCATTGCTATCAATACCCGTGCCCGTGCCCATGCCCATGCCCCCCTCGTCGCCACGCCGCTCTCTGCGCCCAAGGCCCCGAATCTCGACATGCGACCGAGTCGCGCTCTATCATGCCCACGTCCTTATTACAAAGCACTCCCGTGCTTACCCTTTCCTCACATACCCGTTCTCTCTTTTTTTTTTTTAACATATAGTTTATTCTTTTATGGTAGAAGCAGGTGAACCTATTGGCTACGCCAGAACCAGTATCTATTTCTCGTGTTAGTAGATACGCCAAATCAAGCTATGGCTCGAGGGGGACGTACTGCGCGGCATATTGCCTCTCGAACGTGGCCGGCATGCCCTCGCACGTCGCGGGCGCACTGCCACCCACCGTCTCGAGGCGGTAGACCTCTTGAAGGTTGCCGGTGGCGCCCTCGCGGGTCTTGAGGCGGAGCCAGGGAACGGCCGGCTCGCCCAGCTGGCCCACGGGCGCGTCGGACGGCGCCGGGGTCTGGCTGTCCTTGGCACAGCCTGCCTCACCGATCTTGTACTGCTCCGTGTCGAGGTTGAAGAATGGCGTCGTGTTGTTGGTGAAGAAGTGGGTGCCCGAGACGATCAAGTTCGTTGGCCCCATCGGCGAGCCTTCCCGTGTGGTGAGGTTGAACTGCATCGCCAGCTTCGGCAGCATATTCAGCAGGTCGGGGTATGTCGAGGCAACGCAGCTGGCGTTGAAGAGCGTCGCTACGGCACCCGCTAGAACGGGGGCGGCTGTCGGGTTGGCGGTATCGCACGTGTAGTTCTGCGTACCGCGGCCAATGGCTACATGGGACAAAGTGAGGCCAGGGGAGGGAGGCGTCAGCGGCTCGGGAGCTGTGCTATTTGTTAGTCATTACTAGAAACAACAAGGGGGACGCTTTGCCAGATTTACGACAACGTACCCGCGGGCATCTTTGCCTTGGAGAGATCACAAACCGGCGCTATCGATAGGAGTTTTCCTACTGCGACCTTCTGCGCCAACATGTTGAAGTACTCGGAGACGGTATCGTAACCGTCAGTCTTAGCGGCGTCCCAGTTAACCTTTGGCCATATCGGAGCAGCGGTGACGGTGGAGGCACCCAGAAACGAAACTAATATCGTGGTGGCGTGCATCTTGTCGAGGTTGAGGGTCCGGGGAGGGAGATGATGAAGAAGAGCGAAGAAGGTCGGTCGGCTTATCGGGTTGTTCAGCGTCAAGGCGGGAAGGCTTCCAGAAATTTTGGGGGCAGTTCTCGTGTCGTTATATGGCGTTGACTAATAAGAAAAGAAACCCCAAAGAAAACCCGTCCGACAGAGATGGAGAGATAGAGGAGGAGGAAACTAAGGAAAGAGAAAAGGAAACAGCAAGGAGATAGGAAAATAGGAAAACGTAAAAGGAAACGATCTCTCGCAAGAGAGAAGATATAAGAAGGAGGCTTGAGGATGTGTGTACAACGGTTCAGCATCTTGCGGGAGCGGGACGAGGTGGCTTTATGCATGTTAGAGGCTGTAGCCCGCACCCGTCTTCTCACCTGCTGCCACGCCTTACCCCGGTCCAGCGGCACGACAGCGTGGGACCCGTGGACGGTCCTAAATTGGTACACGCGCGACCTGGTAGGGTACGATGGGAAAATCCGTGGCTGAGAAATGGCCATCTTTGCCTGTGAGTTTCGCGGAAAAGCAACGAGCTTAGGACTGGTAGACGCCGGGATGGTTGGATTGCATCTTGGCATATCCTTGCCGTCGACCCAACATGGGGATCTCTGTGGAGAGCTAAGCGATCCGCGGCCAGGATATGTCGACAGGGGAGGTGAGGAACTGCACCTCCACCGGGGCGGCGGACACGATATGACTGGCTGGTCAAGCTACCTTGCAAGCGCCAGGGCCGCCTCATTGCCGGCCACCCGCCCTACCCTCTCGGTGATCATTCCCTGGCGTATCCTCGAGAGAGATGAAGAGGGAGAGGGGGGAGGGGTGCCAGCGGCAAAAAGCTTGGTGTCCTGCCAGCATTGACTCCCGCTCGAGCTGGGTAAACATCGCCACGAACGATGAGGAAACTCGTGCATCCGAAGCGGCGGATGGGAGTGGGCGGGCCAAACCAAAAGTCACAGCAGACCTCGACTCGGACAGCCGCAAGTCCGGATTCTCGTAGCTTCCGGACGTAGAGGGAGGGAGCCAGCACTCGTCGACCCGCGACCGTGGCTTTGCCTTGCGTGAGATCCCAGACCTCAAGCATCGTGGGCGAGCTTGATCCCACGGGTTAGGTACGTGGCTAGCAAGGCAGGGAGATTGCGGGTTGTCACGCCAGCAGCGCACCCGTCCACCCATGGTACCCTATCCATCGCTTCACCTGAGGTAAGACAGGCGAAGCAAGGACGCCCAGCAGGGCAAACGGCCAGCGCCACTGAAGAAATGGTTGTCTCATTCGCCCGTGGGTCTGACGGGTCTGACGGGTCTGGGCGCTCGTAGATCCGGCTCGGGATGCAGCTCATCGCGATGCCACCACGGCCGGTCTAGAACCAGTCGTAGCCAGCAGCGCCGTCTCCCGTATCATTGGCGGGGGCGGCTAGAGGACTTGGGAGAAGAAGCGTTACCATGATCTCGGTTGCGTGCTGACTGCATCGACCAGGCGGACAGAGAGAGAGAGGGAGGAAGGGAGAGAAGGCCAAGTACCCACGTACCTCCTCTCGAAGTTGGGAGGGAAAGGCCGCGGGGTGTAGGGTTAATTAGCCCACAAAAACAAAGTCATCTGGGCTAATGGTGTGGCAGCCGGCGGCTAGTCAATTATCCACCCAAAAATAGCAACAAGCGCGCTCCCGGCTTTCCGTCCTAAAAATAATAGACTAATTAACCCGCATACACCGCATCACCGCATCAACGTCACATCCGACCCGGTCGTGGTAATATTGGTAATTTGCCCAGTCGTGCCAGCGTGCCCAGCTAATATACGCGCACGCCCATCGAGAAGCCGCCCGTGGCACGCCCAAGCCCGCGCGGCATAATGCGGGCAGATTGCACCGCGGGGCTTTACCAAGATCTGTACACTCGCCGTCGTCGCGAGTCACCGCGCTGCTTGTCACGTCAGCCTGCGTTAAGTACTTTGCTTGCGCACTCTCATGCCTACCCGCCGCCCCAGATTCCACGCGCACGCACCTATCGGCCCGCGGAGACGACCAGGCTAACAGAACAGGTGGACATACCCGCCTGCTTCCTGCCGGATCGGGAAATAGGCGCGGGCGTCTCGCTCGTCCGACGACGACGACGACGACGACTGTCACCACACCTGCTAGGCACGTCTACCTACCTCTCTACCCTACCTGTCTATATCAGTCCCATGTGTAGTGTAGTGAGTAGGCACGTAGGAGGTAGGTTCTTGTAGGCAGGCGAGCAGGCGGAATCCCGTCGTCCAGGCGGCCTCTCTCGCCTGCCGTGCTACGCTGGGCGCGCGTCGCATGCGCGGCGTCGGGGGAGAAGAAAAGAAGCAGGCTGGGTGGGAGGGATGCTGTCTGTCGGCCGGCGGGCAACGGACGAAAATTGCCTCGACGTAGGTACTTCTTCCCTCCTCCCCTCGGATCAGGGAGAAGGTGAGCAGACAGGACGGCCGGGGTGCTGGACCAGATCGATTGGCAACTCCCCCAACGCTACTCGCCAGGTAGTCGTCGGGTCCGAAAGGAGGGAGCTGTGGTTTGCGCGTGCCAAGAGACGGCGGGAGAGCAGGGACGGGGCCAATCAGCGCGTCCAAGTCCCCCCCCCCCTCCCCGGTCCCGCCAGCACTGTTCTTTTCTTCTTCAGGTGGACCGTCGCCTGCGGATTACGTGCAGGTGTCCAGCGTCCAAGCGCCCGGCTCGACCTGGCGGCGCATACCTAATCCTCCACGCGCGAGGACACTCAGTGGGGGGGATACACGGACAGAACCCCAGTCCTCCCGTGGCATCAAGCCTGAGAGTGAGTGGTTGACTGCTGCCTTCGGAAGGCTGATTGATTCCTCGATTTACAAATGGAGAAGCGGGCAAGTGAGCAACGCAAGCCGGGAATAACGTCGTGTTCTGTCCTCAACCCTACAACGCTCGACCGACCAACCCTTTTCCCCTCGTACAGTTCGTCTATAGTCGGACATGGTGTGATAGCTATGTACATTTGAGTTGATACCGGGAACACGCTGAGATATACCGGAGATGGAATATACAGTATTTGGGTCTAGTGTCCAAATACTCTCCGGATAAGATGCGAGGGCGCAGCCTTTGTCGCGAACTCTCCCATACTAGGCCTGCCGACTTGTGGGGATGGAGAGTGACATCAGTGGCACTCGTGAAATCGCAACTTGGTCTCCAAGATCGGTGTCTCGGCGCGGAATATATTACGACGACTTGCTGCTTGTGGGCGTATGCAATCATCATTGTCCGTGGAAGCCCTCCTCCTGCCAGTCACCGGGGTGGGCGACCTGCGCGCCTGGCCCAGAATTACCGCCGGCCGCCCCCTTCGCCGCGGCGGCGGCGGCGGCGGCGGCCACACCCTGACTCAGATTGCTCGAGTGCTGGCTAACGTCTGCCGTGCCGAGCCAATACAGCGAGAAGAAGACGAGGATGTGCAATGCTACGCAGTACGCTGCGAAGAGATTTCTGCTCGTCCGCGACGCCAGCACCATCCTCGTGATCGAGTACACCACCCTCTCGGGGAAACTCATGCGCTTGTAGGCCCTGGCGGACTCGCGTCCGCGGAAGGCTGCGAACGGCGATATGTTCGACTCGTACGCCTGCTTGTACCGATCTAGCGCGATTCCCGGGCTTCCTGTACCGCCCATGGCGACTATCGGCGGATTCGGGTTTGACGCGTACGCGGATGCCGACGAGGCCGACGGCCCGCTACGATTATATGTAGATACGTACCGTGTCTTCTCATACAGCTGCAGGTTGTCCTTCTGCAGCGCAGCGATTTCTTGCCGCAGCTGTGATATGGTGCGATGCGACTCCGAGAGCTCCCCTTCGAGTTGAGCATTACGCTTCTTGAAGCGATCACGCTGCGCCGTGATCATGGGCAAGATGCCGGAGCCGCCACCCATCGGCTCGCCGCCCATCGTGCGAGGATCGAAGCCAGATATGATGGACGAGGTTGGCGACGCTCTTCCACCCCTCCTCCCCGGCGCTATAGACGGCGCGTACCTCGTGTAGGTTCCAGCTACTGACGCACCCGACGGGAATGCGTTTTGACTCTGTGATTGGAGGCTGGCTAGATCATTTTCTAGCTGTGCATTGAGATTCTGCGACCTTTCCAGATCCGCATTCGTCTTCGACATCTCCTCTTGCAGATTCTCTAGCCGGCCCTGGAGATCTTGGTGAGAGACTCGCAATATGGTCAACTCGTCGCTCAACCTCTTATTCCTGGCTAACAACAACTGCTCGAGGGTGTCTCCTTTCCCCTTCGAAGCGGACCCGTTAGCTTCGGAAGCGGCCAGTACATCGTCGTCATCGCCCGTCGCAAACTCGATGCTCTTCAAAACCTCCAGCTCTTGCTTGATGTCTTCGTAGTCATTCCACTTTTGAACCTTGGCTCTCAGGCCGTCGCGCTCTTCCTTTAATAGGCCAACCTCTCGCTCCAGGCCCCGGAGCCTGGTATCGATGTCCCGCTTGAAAGCTTCCTTCTCCACCCTCGCCGAGTCGAGCTTGCGGATGAGAGATGAGTTTTCCGACCTCATGCGCATGTATGCGGGGTCGTCCTCCAAGACTGGCGCCGGCGCCGAGACCTGAGACTTGGATTGGGCAAGTTCTAGCCGCAACTGCTCATTTCTAGCTTCGATTTCGGCGAGTCTCGCGCTAGTCCGCTCCAGGTCCGAGTTGACCATCTCCAGCTCGGCACTAGCAACGTGGCCGTGATTTCCGTCGGCGTCAGCATTTTCGGAGCCCTTCAGACGTTGGTTCACCTCGTAGCTAGCCTTGATTTCGGTAAGTAGCCGATCCTGGCTCTCGATCTTGTCTTCGAGTGTCTTCTCTTTGGCTTCCCAGTTGTCCTTCTTCTCGTCTAAGACGGCGACCCAGGAGCTCTCCACCTCCCGAACCTTCGTTTCGAGGGTTGTCTCGAGCTGTTTTCGGTTCGCACTCTCTGTCTGCAGCCTCGACTCGGTCTCTTCTAGCTGTGATGTGAGCTTGACAACGTTGTCCTGGAGGTGCTGGTTCTCTTCGGTAAGCTTCGGGAGGGTATCCTCGGCCATAAGCATAGAGTCCACCGAAGCCTCGAGCAGGGGGTACGGGTCGGGAGCGTTCTCGAGGGCGGAGTAGATTTGTAAGAATGCGGAATTGGTGGACTTGGAGTGGTTGGTGAGGAGGTCGATGAAGGTCTGGTAGGCCTTTAAAAGGCTCTTGATCTCGACGAGTTTGGTCGCATCGTCTAGCTTTCGGAAGTCCTTGGTTTTCTGGGCCAGGTCCTTTCGCTGGACTGTGGAGTCTCGCTGGAAGGTGACGATGTCGGAAGCAGTATTATCAAGGGTCGATACTAACGAGGACAAATCGATGCCTGCCGAAGACGGTTAGAGAGGCAAATGCCACCACAGCAAATGCGGTAATGCCATCACCCGGCGGATGTGCGTACTTCTCCACGCTGAAATAGCATGCTGGAACCGGTTGGCCCCCTCAGGACCGGAGATATTGCCATGCTCGTCGCCAGCGGGATGGGACGGAGACGGCGGCGCGGGCTCTGCCACGTTGGCCATCCTCTCTCTCTCTCGGGGGGGTTGGCAGGTGTCGCTGCCGGGATGATTAGATCATCAGGTAGGCAGCAAGCGGACGGATGACCGACAGATCCGAGGGACGTATTAACACGTGGGGTATTATTATTATGATTAGGAACGAGTCGGTGATGTGGGAGGCGGATGGTTGGCAATAGTCAGGAGGCCATCAGCAGGCGGTTGGCAGGCATTTGCAAATGTTTAAAGAGGACGTGTTCGTTCTGTTCTCTCCCCCTTCTCACAGACTGTTACGGAGGTTGCACGGGTTGGAGGTTTAGTGCCTTGGTACCTATAACTGCATTAAGGTGCAGGTACCTTCTACGGAAATACATATCAATTATGGTTGCAGCCCAGGTACTCATGTATGTAGATGGGTACCTACCTATACAGATAGACTTGGCTGTCCCTCTCCCGGGCATTGACCTGCTAGGGTATATTCAGGTACCTAGGTATCTACCTACCTCATTGGTACTGTAGAAGGTACTTGGAATGTACCGCCTGTGTCATCGTGTTAGGTACATCAGGTACGTGATGTTACCTGTCCAGGTAGGTACTCGGAAAGGAAAAGGGGACAAGGGGCTAAAAGTAAATAGCCGCATCTAATGAACCTAGAATGTAACCTGTGGGAAACGCTTCATTTCGTTCCTACTAGTACTCATAGCCTCCATCTATTTCAAACCCTTACCTCACCATTCCCAGGCTGCCCTCATCTTTTGGCGATAGTCTCTTCATAGTCCGGCACAGGCCCAGAGAGCACCAACCGCCATGAGCCAATCGTCCTCGTTATGATGTTCGCGCTGCCACCATGGCATCCGATCCCCAGAGAGACGACCACCCGTCCACGGGCTCAGGTGCCGGTCCTTTCGTACTCCGCACCCTCTTTCCAGATGTGCCGCTCTCCGAAGATGGCACTAGAGATGACATAAAGATCACCTGTGTCGAATATCTAGGTACGCCTTACGCAAGGCCCCTCTACTTGTTATTAGTGGATGCCTTCTCGGTCTGGGCCGACTAGCTGACCTCTGCTCTTAGATCGGAACCTATACATAGGCACATCGGACTCGGAGCTGCTTCATTTCTTCCAGATCCCCGCAGACCCCGCCGACGAGTCTGGGGTCCCGACCTTTATCCTCGCCTCGAGACTGCGCCCTGTCTTCGCCGAGTCTGCCGGAACCTCCAATGCGACAAGACCCGGTGTCCAGCAGATACTGCTCTTGCCAACCGTGGGTAAGGCCTGCATCCTATGCAACTGGACCGTCACCTTCTACTCCCTCCCGGAACTGAGCCCAGTGTTTGGCTCAACTCAAGTCAAGAATTGCAATTGGATAGGTGGCATAGATCTCAACGCAGTGGGCGCCGATTCGGATCGACGAGAAGAAGGCGCGAGCGTCACTATACTCTTATCGTTGACCCGAAAGATCCAAGTCGTTGCGATAGACGATAGCGCTCGTCCCATCAAGAGGATCGATTTCGCCGGAAGCACTATATATGTCAGGAGGGACTCGATTGCCTGTGTGGCCGACTCGCGGGGCTATGCCCTCCTCGAAATCGAACGCCAGCTGAAAATTCCTCTAATGTCCGTATCTTCGCTAGATGAAGCCCAACCCGGTGACATCCTCGGTCAGGCCCAGCATATCTCTGTGAGTTCGGGTGGGCTACTACGTAGCAACTCATCCGCTCAAAGTCGCTCCCACGCGGCGGTTCCCGACCCTGTTGCGCATAGGCGAGGAACTAGTCTAGGCGATTTTATTACAGCCGCTACGCGAAGGCCAGACCATCACGGTGCGGAGGAAGACGGGTCTTCATCCCAGCAGACCACTTCTACTCCGCCAGGCGAGTTAACCGGTGCGGAAACCCCACCGCCACTGGATGCCGTGGCTGGCGGCCAAGCCAACCGAGCCGTCCCGCCTGCTAGGCCCCAGCCAGGTCTTCTCAAGCCGCTTATCGTGTCCCCAACGCCGGAAGAGTTCCTGTTGGTTACCGGCACCGGTCCGTTAGAGCCGGGCATTGGCATGTTTGTTAACCTAGATGGAGACCCAACGCGGCCGACAGTCGAGTTCGACCGGTACCCTAAGGAGATCGTCGTCGACGGGGGTCCGACGGACGTGTCATCATCACCAACATCCTCCAGTCCGGATGATGAGGGCTATATTCTGGCGTCGATGGGGAGGGATTTCCCGGATGGCGTCCACTACGGTCTAGAGATTCAACGTTGGGATCTCGATGTAGGCGAAGGTGAGCCGACGAAATACTGGCTTGAACCGCCAGACACTAGTGTGTCGGCGGTTATGCCGTCGCAAAGCCTAGGAATCAGATCCTTACGTGGGACCGAGAAGACGCACTTTCCAGAAATTGTAGATAGGCTCCGTCAGCGAAGATTCGTGCCGTTCTCCTCCGGCATCACAAAAGCCCCCTCAACTATGTCATTGAGGAGTTTCGACTCGAGGACGGCTCTCTCCGTCGAAAGAGTATCTAAGGAAAAAGAACTCTTTGAGAGAGATAACGATTCCCAGAGCGAGGAGTCTCTGCCCGATTCTTGGCAGGCGACTCGTAATGCCGAAGAAGAAGAATTCGCTCGTCGCCTTGCCGGCAGCACTACTCGTCTAGCTGTGTGGTCGGGGAAAAATATATGGTGGGCTATGCGAAATCCTTTGATTCTACAGTTGGATGCACGGTTAGAAGCGGCGGCTTCTATAAGTCAACCCTCTACTAAGAGACGAAAGTTGTTCACCATCTTGAATTCATTCCGTGGTCAAGACGCGAAGTCGGAATTGGAGTTTCTGACGTTCAACTACATACGGCAGCGAGTGGGTCTTCTCTTGTTAACGAGTTTCCTAAAGTCGGAAGAGGCCCCCTTTTCAGAACCAGAACTTCGGGCAACGGAAGAGATATTAGTGGATAGCCTCCTCGACCCTCGCGTCGTTCTCTCGCTCATCCCCGGAGTCCGTAACGAGGTAATCGAGACCAAGCGAGGAATATGGATTTTTGGGGGTGTCAAGTCGACCGCCGAGGAATATATCTCGGGTGGGGACTTTAGTGAGGATAGCTCCCTTATAGGGGCATTATCACAACCCGTATTGCATTTTCTAAGGCGTTTCTTGACCTCTTGGCGGGGGAAGAAGGGATTCGGTAGCATACCTGACGAAAACGAGGTTTTCAGGACAGTGGATGCGGCTTTACTTGCCGTTCTTCTTGAGCTTGACCAGCACTCCACTACCGGGCCAGCCAAAGCCAAATCCGTCCGCGCAGGCTTGTACGAGCTCGTAGATAACGGGGTCGACTGTTTCAATAGGGCGGAGACTCTGATCGAGTCTTACCACCGTCTTTATGTGCTCAGTCGGCTCTATCAGAGCCGCAAGATGGCGGCAGAGGTCTTGGCTACTTGGAGGCGCATCATCGAAGGTGAACGAGACGACGGCGGGGAATTGACCGACGGCGAACAACGCGTACGCGAATATCTCACGAAGGTCGGCAATCATGCTCTCGTCCAGGAATACGGCATTTGGCTCGCGAACCGAAACCCTAAGCTCGGCGTACAGATCTTTGCTGAGGACAGGAGCCGCGGCCCGAAATTCGATCCTAGCCAAGTTGTTCAGCTTCTTCGGGACGAGGCCCCCGAGGCAGTCAAGTATTATCTGGAATTCCTCGTCTTCGGGAAGGGCCACACCATCTACGTCAATGAGCTCATCACGTACTACCTAGACATCGTGACCTCTCACCTTCGAACGTCAGCTGAGGCCCACGAGGTAATGCTAGCTACTTACGCGGCCTATCGCGCTCTTCATCCTCCCAAGCCTACATACCGCCAGTTTCTGACGGAAAATGCCCCGGCCGATGATGAGGCGTGGCATAGTCGATTACGCCTCCTGCAGTTGCTCGGGGGAAGTTACGACTACGACTCTACGGCGATCAGAGAACGATTATCAGGTTTGGACAGCGCAGGCGAAGATCTGCTCGTGCCCGAAACGATAATCCTCGACGGTCGGGAGCGGAATCATGAGAACGCGCTGCGTTTGCTGGTCCACCGCCTAGGGGACTACGACACGGCGGTAGCCTACTGCCTTCGCGGCGGGGCGAGCATCTACACGATCTACCAGGCGCCGGCGCAGCAGCCGCCGCCGTCCGGGCCGGCGAGCCTCAAGGCGCCGCGGCGGCGGGACAGCACGCCGCCGACGCAGGACGAGCAGGCGCGCCTGTTCCGGGCGCTGCTCGGCGAGTTCCTCGAGCTCGAGGACGTGGGCGACCGCGTCGAGCAGACGGGCCTGCTGCTGGAGCGGTTCGGGGGCTGGTTCGACGTGACGGACGTGCTGGCGGCGATCCCGGACAGCTGGAGCGTCGACCTCGTCGCGGGCTTCCTGGCCAAGGCCCTGCGGCGCCTCGTCGCCGAGCGCAACGAGACGGCCATCGCGAGGGCGCTCAGCTCGGCGCAGAACCTCCGCGTCCAGCACGATCTCATCGTGCGGATCGACGAGAAGGGGCCTAGCATCGAGACGTAGTTGGATGTATGCTTGCGTGCACATGTACAGATACAGGACGACGATGCGACTGGAAGTGCGTCTAATATCGTTGCGGGCCCTACTATTGAGGGTAGCACTCTCTATACGAAGATCTACGAGCTGCGGATCGACCGAAGGGGGGAGGGCGATTGTTTTTTTCAGGAGATAGCATAGTTGGTCTATCGTTGTTTCCCGTCCCCTCTCCTTCCCCTTTGTGACGTGATGGCATTCCACGATCAAAGGACAGATCATATTGGAGAATAGCTTGCCTACTTCTCAACCCCCGAATTTCGGTAGAGAATTAACCTTCAGAACTAGAACTACCGCACAGTTCTTAAGAGAGCAAGACTAAAGATACGACGGGATAAGGGTTAACAGCTCAGACAACAATTCTTGGTTGGTGATCTTTTTTCGTCGGCTGTCTGGCCGAGTACCGTCAGATTCCGCTCCGAGCCCTCCAACCCTGCCTCGGTCGCTCGTCATCGCGGCCCTCAGGCTCTATTCTCGAATACGCAGCACGGCATTTATCAGTCGCTTAGAGAGGGCATAGAGACGTAGAAACGAAGTGGTATCATGGTATATTGCAGCAGCGGTGCGACATTGCCGGGATGAGATCTCGCTCGCCCCGCCCTGACAGGAGACCTCGTTGGCGGACGGGCACCGCGGGCGGAGGTAAACTAGACCCGGTTACGGGGTAGGGTCCGCAGACCGCCAGCACGGGTGCGGCGCCGTCGTAGTCGGGTGGCTCGCTGACCCGCGTTCTCGCTCTATGTACTCGCCCGTAGGCATATCGTTAGGCCCCAGTAATCATCGTCAATCAAGGCCGACCCATCCGCCCTCCGATTCGCTGCCGGACTGCATCTGGTCCTCGCGGCCGAGCGCTTCCTCCCCCAGCGTGAGCATCTTCATCGGGCCGCTGTCGCCGTTCCCGTTGGCGAGCAGCCCGTCTCGCCCGATCGCGCCCCATGCCGTCTCGGCGCTGGGCTGCTCGAGGAGGTAGTCCACCATGTAGACGTTCTCGTCCGCCAGCCGCTTGATCTCGTTCCGCATCCGCGTGATCGCCCTCGCGACGACCCGCAGCTCGACGTCGACCTTGCTCCGGTTCGTCGCGAGCCAGGGCCCGTGCTTGTCGACCACCGCCTTGATCCACAGCAGGCAGAATTCCATGTGTGGTGATTCTTCGGTTTGGGCCGCGACGAACCGCAGCAGTCTCGCGACGTATACCGAGGGGAGCTGCTCCACCAGCAGCGGGATGTCTACGTAGGGTACCGCTTGAAAGACCCTCTTTATCAGCCCTGGCTCATTGAGGCGGAACGCCATTACTAGCGCCTTTAGGTAATCCTTGTCGTTCTCGAGGACGGCGAGGGTTGACGCCGGAGTGATTTCCATGTTCAGGTCGAAAGGGTCGAATTGGAGGATGTTGTCTACGCTGTATATGAGAAGCCCTTCTGTCGACGCGGCACAGAACGAGGTGCCAGTAGGCGAGAAGGCCACGCTGGTCACTCTTACTTCTGGTATCTTTCTCCTCGCGGATAGATCACCCCCGCGTGTGGACCCAGGAAGGCGCTTGTCCCGTCGAGATTCACGGTCTGAATAATCCGTCTCGTCATCGATCAACTCCTCCGGCCCCGCTTCCGTGAGGTGTCGGCTGTTTAAGAACTCCTGCGTTCCCGACAACGATAGGTTGATGCTGACGGTGAACTTTCTCAGCAAGACCATCGTGCTCACCGAATAGAGACATATGTACTTGCTTCTCCCTGCCGCTAGGATACAGCTACCGTCGGCGCTATATTGTATAGTATTAAAGCTCTTGGTGTCGGCCACGTGGGCGGCAGTCTGGCGGTCGGTGATCCTCCGACCTCCCGACACATCCCTCCGACCGTCGAGGCCTGACACTTGCTCGGCTTCGGAGACGGACCAAAATGATATCTGGCCATCTAATGTAGAGATCGCAAGCTGTGCCGAATCCGGCCTAACGGCGATGTCTAGTACGTCCGCTTGTAACTGTAGAGGTTCGCTTGTTTGGGTCCGACTGAATATCGACCACATCCTGGCGGTCCGGTCCCAACTGCCGCTAAAGAGGAGGCTGCCATTTGGCGAGAATGCCAACGAGCAGACCGGGCCTTCGTGGCCGGACAGCTGGTCAAGCAGCTGACCAGTCTGTACGGACCAGATATGGATGTCGAACGAATCCAAAGACCCTGCGGCGACAACTTCGCCACTAGGATCAACTGCCATACAAGAGAAGGAAAGACGTGTCGGCGCTGTGAAGGTCCGGAAGTTTCTATATCTAACGAGATCCCAAGCTCGTACGGAACCGTCCAAGCTCGAGGTGAAGAGGACGTTGCCCTTCTTCGCAAACTCACACGCCGTCACGCCGCTCGTGTGCTCAGTAAAAGTAACGATACAGAAGCCCGAGTCGACATCCCAAACTTTGATCTTGCCATCGTCGGCAGCCGTCACGACACGTTTGCCATCGGGCGAATAGGTCAATGAGTTCATAGCGTCGAGATGGCCTTGCTGTTTTAGGATGTAGGATTCGGATTGCCATTCCCAGACGAGGAGCTGGCCCAGCTTAGAGGCGCCGAAGGCCAGCCATTCTCCGCTCTTGTTTATCGTGACGAAGTCGATATCGTTCTGCGATATGCTGAGGGTATGTATCGCATTGAAATCGGGCATCTCATACAAGCCGAATATGCCGTTGGAGAAGCCAGCCACCAGGAGGTTGGCCTCGGGGTGGTAAGAAGCGCACCGAACGCGCGCGTTGTTCTGCATGAAGTAATGGCGCTGGACGATCCTCCAGCCCATATCATCCGTGTCGGCGCCCTCCATGTCCTCGTCCTCGTCCTCGTCTCTCGGCGGCGCGTTGGGATGCCTAGCCCACCGCCAAGTAAAGACGGCGCCGTCCTTGCTGACCGTGTATATGGATTCTTGATCTTTTGAAAACCAGGCTCCGACGACAGCCTGCTTGTGGCCCGGCAAGACGGTGGGGGTGAAGCTTTTCACGCGGTTTATCGGCCATATCCGCGTCGTCATGTCCTTCGAGGCAGTCAGGAGGAAGCGCGAGTCGTGCGACCACTCGATATGGCGGACATCGTCGAAGTGGCCGGCGCACGTGCGGTGGCGCACAAAGGGCGAAAACTGCAGCTCGCCGTCCGGGTTGGACTCGGGGGTCGACGGGACGCGCCACACCTCGGTCTTCCTACCTAAGCCAATGGCAAAGTAGCGTCCCGACGGAGAGAAGGCGAGGGCGGTGACGGGATGTCGGAAGGAGAAATGGTATATGGGGATTTGCCGTAGAACATTGGTCAAGATGGCATTGCCGCCTTCGTCGACGGAGAGCAGGAGATTGCCCTGCGGGTTCAGGCCGATTCTCGATATGTTGGTCCGGTGGGTGAAGGGAAGGGTATGCGCCTTGTTGCTGCGAGGAACGAGCTATAGTCAGCGCCGGCCTGGCTTTGGAACTGGGGCGGGTAGAGTGACTCACTCTACCAGGTTGAAGACCGTGACCCGATTTCCCACGGGCGAGTACAGACAGGTTCCATCCGGGCTGAACAGCAGATTGCCCCGGCAGTAGACCGTCCCCAGCAGGTTGGAGAACTAGGAGGAGCGATCAACGGGCGAATCGTCGGAGGGAGGAGGGGCCAGAGCGGGCAGACACTCACCTTGAAATCTGTCTTCATTGTCACGACATAGCTGGGGGTATTTTTTCGCGGTCGGGTAGGTAGTTCTACAGGAAATTGTCGACGCCGAAGGAAAAAGCAGTCGTCGGCTGAAGTATTTCACCTTTCCAAGCCCATGTTCGATGTGATAGTAACCAGGCTGCTGTGCGATCTTAGCAGCAACTTGTGCTGTAGTTCTTTTTTTTTTCTTTCCCACCAGCTGCTCCTTATCGGCGATAAGATAGCAGCGACCCGCACCTCGACGAGAACGTGGCTTCCAGTCCCCCCAGCGCCTAATCCTCTTAGGGCTAGAGGCTGTTGGAATCGATGGCAGAATGCTAAGGTACGTACCTGTTGAGTGAGGCATGAGCCACCTGCCTGGGTGTCTAGTAGGGGTGTGGCAGGCGGTCAAGAGGCTCGGACCCCATTAATACAGGACATTAGGGACATTAGATATCATGTACTCAGTACTTGATGAAGTGCATCTTTTATGCGTACCTGTCCCGTTCCCCGCCCTGGCATCCGGTTGTACCCTGTACCTACCTACCTTGGTAGGTACCTGCTCTGGGCCTGGGTACCTGAGGTGTACCTGAGGTATGTGTTTTGTGCACACATCCCTGGATTGAATCGCTCGCCGTAGGAAATTTGCTGGACCAGCACCGCTCTTCTTTCCCCTGAAGCAGCCCAAAAACCTCTGTTCTCGTTCTCCAGTCCGTCAACATCTACGTCGATCCCGTCTCCCTCTCTTCCTCAACCACCCACCTGGTTGACCTGAGCTCTCTCTCTGTCTCCCCAACTACTTTATACCCGAGTTCGCCCTTCCTTGTTCCTTGGGTCCAATACCATCCTCTCTCGACTCGCCGTCGCTTCTTGTTCTGCACCTGTTTGCGTGATAGCTAAACCGCCTTGACCTGTCTCCCTAATACCATCGTCACCATGCCACCAGCCACCGCCGAAAGCGCGTCGCCCATTGGCATTGCCAATCTGCCGAACCAGCGCCACAAGATCGTTGCGAAGCGAGGTGCTGCCTTTACTATCATGGTATGCTGCTAGCTACACTAACTAGTCATGCTCCGAGACACCCATTGCCCGTATAGATCGTCCCTGTCTCTGCTGCTGACCACAAGTGCTATAGGTCGCTGGTGAATCGGGGTTGGGCAAGACCACCTTCATCAACACCCTCTTCTCCACCACCATCAAGAACTATGCCGACCACAAGCGACGGCACCAGAAGCAGGTCGACAAGACGGTCGAGATCGAAATCACCAAGGCTGAATTGGAGGAGAAGTTCTTCAAAGGTGCCCATCACCCTCCCCCTTCCCGCCCGGATCGAACAGTACCTAATTACTGACCCTTTTTTTCTTTCTTCCCGCAGTTCGCTTAACTGTCATCGATACCCCCGGCTTCGGCGATTATGTGAACAACCGAGATTCCTGGATGCCCATCATCGAGTTTCTAGATGACCAGCACGAGTCGTATATGCTTCAGGAGCAACAACCCCGCCGCCAGGACAAGATCGACCTCCGTGTCCATGCCTGCCTGTATTTCATTAGGCCCACCGGCCACACCTTGAAGCCTCTGGACATTGAAGTCATGAAGAGACTCTGCTCGCGAGTTAACCTGATCCCCGTCATCGCTAAGGCTGATACCCTGAGCCCTGTCGATCTCGCTAAATTCAAGGCCAAGGTGCGTCCTGCGTATTTTCGTTTGACGTGTAAGCTCTTATTAATAATTACGTCGTAGATCCGCGCCGTCATCGAGGCTCAGAGCATCAAGATCTACCAGCCCCCGATTGAGGAGGACGACGAAGCTGCTGCCCAACACGCACGAAGCCTCATGGCCGCGATGCCTTTTGCGGTCATCGGCTCTGAGAAGGACGTCAAGACGGGCGATGGCCGCATCGTCAAGGGCCGTCAGTACTCCTGGGGTGTTGCCGAGGTCGAGAATGAGGACCACTGCGACTTCAAGAAGTTGCGGTCGATCTTGATCCGCACCCACATGCTCGACCTAATCCATACTACTGAGGAGCTCCACTACGAGGCGTACCGCGCTCAGCAGATGGAAACCCGCAAATTCGGCGAGGCCCGCCCCCGCAAGCTGGACAACCCTAAGTACAAGGAGGAGGAAGAGGCCCTTCGCAAGCGCTTCACCGAGCAGGTTAAGATCGAGGAGCAGCGATTTAGATCGTGGGAACAGAAGCTCATCGCGGAACGGGACCGCCTTAACAAGGACCTCGAACAGACGCACGCCCAAATCAAGCAACTCGAGAACGAGCTCGAGCAAATGCAAGGCAGCGTCGCCCGCAGCGGCCGTCGTTAGGGGAAACAAACGCCCGCCTATATACCCCGTTCACCTAACGATACGCGCAGTTTCCTATAGCAGCAGGTAAACGGCCTTGCGACTACTTGTAAGGGAGTATGGAGTTATGAAATTGCCGAGGGCGTCTTCTCTTTTCGGCAGTCTCCTAATGCGGCAGAAATGGGTCGCCTCTGGCTGCGTGCGCGTATGTACGTAGACGGATCGACGGATCGACGAATGGATATGCTTACCAGCTTAATTGCGTGCGCTGCTCGCTTAGTGGATGGGGAATTGAGAGGATGAAGACGAAGAAGCGAATTGACAGAAAAGTGCCCACGGTGTCTGTGTATGTGTGTACTACATGCGATACGATATCGATACGCCACCGTGTGTCTCTGAGCAGAGGATGGCGATTGAAGGGTGATGTCTTTAATTTATCTAACACTCGGCGAGAGGAGGGAGAGGAAGAGAAAGAAAAGAATACGCAAAAGATATTTCACCTTTTTTTTTTTGCCCGGTTGAGGGAGCAAAAGGGGGGAGGGAGGTCTGGTTGTGTGGATGGCTTCCCCAACCCAACCTCTCTCTTCTCGTCTTCCTATCTCCGGTTTCTCTGCTACCGACGAGGCCGAAGACCTCGAGTTGGATTAAATTAGGTCTTTTTTATTATTATTTAGCTCTTAGCGACTGTTAATTCCAGTTTCTCACGATACCATTATTCACGCCACCGCCGACGCTGTCTCCTCTCTGCGGCTATTGGAGAGGAAGAGAAGAAGGGGGTGCGCTGCTATTCCTTCAAAAGAAGGAAGGGAAGTTGTCCAACTCATGTTCGCCAGCTACACAGCCCGTTACATGAGCGCTACCCTGTATCCCCCCCCCGGAATCGCTCGACAACGTCATAGACAGATGTCGTAATTAATGAGGTGAATCAAGGTATGCTTTCACCTCCCCCCGTCTCACACTACTGCCTGGGCACATAAAACATAAGTGAGCTCTTCCCTCTTCCTCCTTAGTTTCTTTATATGTAAGGAGGCCTGCGTATCCGATATACGGGTGTCCCCAAGCGGGATCGGTAAAATGGCTAGAGAGAAGTGGAAGAAGGAGACTCAAAGGAGAGGATAGGGTATGATTCCCTGCCCGCCTACCTACCCCTCGTCCATTTTCTCATCCCCGCCCTCTCTTTTCGTTCGATATTCTTTTCTTTGAAAGTGGTCTCCACTGGGTCAGACGGCGTCCATGGCGGCGCGGGTGGTCAGCTGCTCGTTCTTATTGCCGAGCTTGGAGATCTGCAGAAAAGCGTCGACGCCGTATCCCTCGAGGCTGTGCAGCTCGAGGCTGCCGGCCCAGTACTCCGCGTAGACGCGGCTGAGAGGCAGGCCCATACCGAGCCGAAGGTTTGGCGGGCGCGTGGACAGTGACGAGAGCGAACTCTCGTGACCGCTACCGCCGCCCGAATAGGGCAAGGTGGCGCTCTCGACCTTCGGGTCTGAGGGGTCCTTGCTGCTGCTGCTGCTACTAGCGTTCTCGCTATGATGACGGCCGTCGTCGGCCCGGAGCTCCTGCAGCGTGGCGGCCATAAGGGGCACCTGCTCAAGGTTGGCGAGATGCTGGTTCTTGAGGGGCCCTTTGCCGAACGACCAAAGGTACGGCAGAATATCGCGTGGGATACCGCCCCCTTGGTCCGAGATGCGGATGATGACGTGCTGTTGCGCCTCACACACCGTCACCTCGATGGGCGCCGGTAGTGCGGTGCCCTCTTGGTACTTCTCTATGACGGCCTGGACTGAATTTCGGAGGAGCTCACCGATGATGTACTCGAGGTGGCTCAGAATGTACGGGAAGGAGGCATCTAGATGCCCGTTGATCCTGATCTCGGGTACCTTCGTGTTCGGTCCGTTGGCGGATCGGGCAAGGCCCTGTACAGCTTTGGCGCAGTGTTCGATCACGTCCTTAGCCACACACCTAATGAAAACCTCGCCAATGAACTCGGATTCGGAGAGCTTGGCTCCAGGCGAGAACCAATGCGAGTTGAAGGTTTCGGTCAGAGCCAGATGCTGCTCTGCAATAACTCTACGAGATATTCGCTGCGGATTTAGAAGACATCGCCCCAAAAGTTAGTTAGCCACGCTACGCTAGGGCCTCCGAGTCTGATCGCTAACATCGCGGGGCATATTTACGTACGGATCGTAAGATGGTATTCATGAAGTGGTCAAGCTCAGCAGCGGGCATCAGGCCGCTACATTCGAGAATACCCATGGACAACTTAGGGATCACAGTCAGGTGCGCGCGCAGCATCCGGAAGATCTCCTTGCACAGACGTTCGTTGTCCTCGAGTGTCTTGACCTCCTTGATGCGCCGGAAGGTGTCGAAGGCGTTATAGTAGAGCTCGTACACGTCGCTGATGTGCGGGTTTGTAACGACAACGTAGGGCAGACGCTGCATGTCGCGGATCCGGTGAGCGATCCTGCACAGCTTCAGTGTGAGTCTAGTGATCTAATTGCTCTCCATTGCGCTCTCCTCCCCTCCTCCCACCCCCGATCCCCGTATCTCTCTTCATAGCGGCGGGTTTACCTGGTTGGCAGCTCGGTTCGAACGTAGTTTGCCGAGCTGATCAGTCGCGCCTCGGTCAGCGACCGGCCGAATACCATCAGCTGTCGCAGGCTGATCGGGCGGGCTTCCTTTGCCACCCATCTGGGTTCGCAGGCGACCCGGTGTCAGCCACGGCCGAGGGGATGCTACGGGGGCCAGAAGGCGAGGGAGAGGCACGACGTACTCGTCTAACACCCGTACCGGCCGCCATTTCGCAGAATGCGACAACCGTCTACGTGTTGGCGTTGTCCTCGGGTCGCCATAGCCATCTGTCGAGCTCGAGGCAACCGGGGAGAGGATGAGGCTCGGTAGGTTTGTCGAGAGTCTCGGGCAGAGGGTGGCTAACCGGAAGGCCTTGGTGACATCTCGCACCGCGCGTGGTAACATACCGATGGTTCCATGCCAGAATGGATATATGCCGCTGGGAGGTGGTAAGCGATTTGAGGTATCCGGGCGTAAATGCGTTTTCCCCCTCCCACCGTCTTTTCTTTTTCCTCTTGCCGTCCCTTCCTTTTGAGAGCGTGGCATTTGAGTTTGGACTTGCCCTGACTACCTCACATATAGGTAGGTCATTAGGTACCTACCTACACCAAGCGCCTGAGGTAGAGGTACAGGTGCCAGTAGGTATCAGTAGCAGGTACCTCCTAAGGTGTTCCTTGTACTCAATATGCAGATACCTAAGCTACCTGAGGTCCCTAGGGAGATTGGTGTAGGTGCCCGATCTAAAGGTACCTCCTGCAACCTCAGTAACTTGTAACTCTGACAATGACTCAGGGGTGACTGGCATTTGGTAGGTTGCAACTCTCACAATCCGCATGGCTCTCCCCTCCTCTTATCCTCGCAATAAGCTGACCGGCGGGCTGTTTAGGTACCTAGGTACTAGGTACGTACAAATTGTGCCCAGGCTCGGTCTCAGTAATGGGAGCTACAACATCTTCAAAGATGCTAAGAGGAGGAAGGTACCATATATAGGTATGATTTAAGTATGCAGATACTTAGTACCTAACTTAATCTTGTTTCTGCCCTCTTCTACATACCTAACTATACGTAAATACCTAGGTGCCTCTATGAGGTAGGTGCATTCATATTTATGTATTAGCAACTACCTGCTATAAATATTTATTATTATATAGTTCTTTTTCTTGCGAGCGGTCCTATTTTATGGCCTTTTACTTCCGAGTGGTATTGCTTATACGAAGTTATATAGATTGATTGTATATACTTATCTACCTTAAGTAGGTTATGAGGCCGCTCTCATCACTCTTACAGTTTACTGTCGCTGCCTTTCCCGAGCTAATTGGCTCAGCTATCTGTATCTGACCCTACCCGGGAACCTCCACACCACGATGTCCCGCGGCAGGTAGAAGGCTTTGATTAAGCCTAGACCCTTAGGGCGACTGGAGCCAGCCTTCCGGAGGGGGGTCCGTCATAGGAGACATATGCATATAGAGAGAGGCCTTTAGCGTTAGAGTCCTTATGAGTTCAAGAGAGCAGCTAGCTACGTCCATTTACTACTGCCTGAGCTCTTGACGTCTGTGCGATACCTATAGCGACACCCCTCCGTAATGCGGTTGTACTGAGTGTTTAGTAAGGCGTCCGCTCCTAAGCCGGTGCGTTGAGGTTTCTGCCCTACTAGTACTACCTTACGCTAAAACGAGAGCAGGGCGAGCAGCGTAGAGCATAGGGCAAAGCTTATCTACCATAAACTTACCAGCCTGTTGCCTAGCTCCCCCTATCTCTAGATAGAGGGGTGATGCTCAAGCAAGGGAATACCTAGGTAAGGGCAGATTCTATGAGTAGGTAAAACTAAGAAACAAGGTGGTAATATGAGAGGATATTAGAGGATGTCGGCAGGCCAAGAGATAGTACCCAACTACCCAAGGTGCCTCGGCATGTTCTTAGCTAGGCTTACTAGGTAGGTACCTACGGGCGTCAATATAGCAGCTGTACCGTACATCCTTGCTCCCTCTAGACATCTCCAACCTAAAACTTACATATAGTAGGGATATGGTATTAACAAGGGATATTACCTGCTCTGGGGGGACTTGAATGGCGTGGTGCTTCCTCTACACGTACGCATGTACCTACCTGAAAATGATGTCTTTTAAAAGCTGGGTGCTTAGCCCTCCTTATTCTACCCATAGGGGCTTGGCTGGGTTTTCACATCCAAACAGACTTGTTGTTTATAGGGTTGTAATTATGTGTACAGGGGGTAGTATTCACTGCAACCGCATCGTAAGGCTTTACAGAGGTAGGTACCTACCTCCTAGAGGAGGTACCTATGTATTATAGGCAACTCGAGGAGGTACCTACCTTAGGAGGTAGGCACCTACATATAACCTGAGGGAGATACCTAAGGTAGGTAGGTAATTATTACACATGTACCTGACCTTGATGCCATTATGCCTACCTAAGGCAGGCACCTAGGTAGGTACCTAGGTATTATACCTCTTATAGTAGGTACCTAGCCTAGGTTAACGTTAGGTTGCGAGTTTGATGTGGAAGATAGGTACGTCCGCCCGGCCTAGCATTCATTGAGATCAAACGCTTCGATGTGGGCACGTAGACAGGTACGAGCAATGTTGCATCACGATTCACAGTGCCGTGTACGCATTAGGCACATGTATAGCGGATCCAAACAGGCATCGATTTACACGTACGTACCCGCCGACCTTCTGCGGGGAGGTATATTAGGTACCTCGTACCTCCGTAGTACGTCGTAGCCTGGATTGCCCTGCCCATGGCTTCCGCACCTAGTATGGGGGAGAGAAGAGGGGGGGGGGCAACGTAGGGATCTCTCTCTGCGTCGACCTGGCTAGGTCGATGAAGCAATCCTAAAAACAGCTTCATCCTTACTTCCTACCTGATCAACTTACCCGATCAACTAACGTCCACTCCTCTTCGCTTCTCCCCATTCCCCAGCCTGCGCTCGGTCGCATCCATCCGCCCTACGTCCTCCATATACGTTACAGTTTCCGACTACCAGCCGTCTGCTACGGTTGCTGATAGCGAGCCAGACAGCCTATCCTCGTCTTCTCTCATTTAGTCGCTCCCACGCCACGCCACTCTGGAGAAACCCAGTCCGGCGGCGTTGTCGGCAACTCGACCACCTACGCAACCTGACGAGGCCGCGACCGGGGAGGATCATTTGACACTGAATGAAGCCAGAAGAACTTGGCCTCCGGCACAACCAGGTAGACTTACGCATCGTGGGCCATCCCACGCGCAAATATGGTGGGTTTGCCTCACCTACGCACTCCCAACCTTCTCTCTCGACGGCCTGGCTCCTGCCTGCCAAAGAAACATCATTTCACGCACAATTCACTCTTTTTTCCCGAGTCATATCGCCCCTCTCCTACTCCTCTACCCCCTCTACGAGCCGATTTTGCCCGCCCACTCGCCCGCCCGCCTGCTCCCCGAGCCTATGGAGAGGCACTGGTCCTGACAAGCCCTCCCAATTTCAAACACATGAAAATCTATCTGTGAAGGCTTCCCGCACCCCCCTCTCCTTCCCCCAAACCACCCCCGCCACCACGATGAGCCAAGCTAACTAGGCCCGTCTCCGACAGAGCTACGATTCCGAGATCCACTCGCTGAGTGACACGATGGTTGATAGCCAGGATGAGATGGTCGTCCAGCCGGCCTCGGGCGAGAGGGATCAGGTCGCTGAAATCAACCCAGACCACCTAGACAACGACACCGAACAATCCAAAAATGTCATCTTGGCCACCGACTGTATGTGCGAACCCGAATCACCGGCATTGTCCCCCTTCCCCCCCCAGAAGATCTATGTGCTGATGAGGCTGTTGTGTTCCAGTTGAGGCTATGAAGGCGATAGCGCTACCTCCTCTTCTTGACGAACCCCCGATTCTGGAAGATGCTGTCAACACCTGGACTGTGGAAAATTGGAGAGCTCTCTCGAAAAAAGAGCATGGCCCCATATTCGAGGCGGGCGGATTCCCATGGTAAGCACGCCCTAGTAGCACTACTCCCTTTCCCTTGGACGTCTTCTGATCGACCTGGTCCAACAGGCGAATACTCCTTTTCCCCTTCGGCAACAATGTCGACCAATCATCGATATATCTCGAGCATGGCTTCGAGGACACAAGCAGCATACCTGAGGACTGGAGTTGCTGCGTGCAGTTCGCGCTGGTCATGTGGAACATCAACCAGCCTTCCTTGCACTTCCACCACAACGCGCATCACCGCTTTACCAAAGAAGAGAGCGATTGGGGGTTCACTCGATTTCTGGAGCTTAGGAAGATGTTCCAACAGCCGTGGGACAACTCCAATCGACCTCTGGTGGAAAATGATGCCGTCAACATTACTGCATATGTTAGAGTGGTCAAGGATGAGACAGGTGTGCTGTGGCACAATTTCAACAACTACGATTCCAAGAAGGAGACGGGCTATGTTGGCTTAAAGAACCAGGGCGCCACATGTTACCTCAACTCACTCCTACAATCATTATTCTTCACCAACGCGTTCCGAAAGGTAAGACGGTACACTCGCTGCTCTGCGAGCCGGATGTTGAGCCCAAAGCGGGAACGCATGCTAACGTGCCATGGCATAGGCCGTATACGAAATCCCAACAGCCGAGGATGAGAGCATCACTAACAGTGCTTACACCCTCCAGAGGCTGTTTTACCAGCTCCAGATATCCAACTCGGCTGTGGGTACCACTGAACTGACCAAATCCTTCGGCTGGGATACTCGACATATCTTTGAGCAACAAGACGTGCAGGAGCTGTCCCGCAAGCTGATTGAGCGTATGGAAGAGAGGATGAAGGGCACTGCCGCCGAGGATGCCCTCCCACGTATGCTCAGCGGTAAAGTCAAAACGTATGTGTCCTGTATCGACGTCGAGTATGAATCCAGCCGAATTGAGGACTTTTGGGACATTCAACTCAACGTCAGAGGCATTCATAACCTCGAGGAAAGCTTCAAGGATTACATTCAGCAGGAGACGCTAGATGGCGACAATAAGTACTGGGCCGGCGATGAGTTCAAATACCAGGATGCTCGCAAGGGCGTCATCTTCAAGAGCTTCCCCGAAGTGCTACACCTGCACCTGAAGAGATTCGAGTACGATATCCAGCGTGATACTATGATGAAGATCAACGATCGCTTCGAGTACCCCGAAGTCTTAAACCTGGAGCCATTCCTCGACAACGACGCAGACAAATCTGAGCCGTGGATATATAAATTACATGGTGTTCTAGTGCACAGCGGAGACCTCAACGGCGGTCATTATTATGCCTACCTTAAGCCTAATAAGGACGGCTGGTTTCACAAGTTCGACGACGACAAGGTCACGAAAGCCACGATGAGGGAGACCCTCGAGGAGAATTTCGGAGGCGAGTACCCGGCATCGCTTGTGCAGGCTCGGACCGGCCTCCAAAAGAAGGCGCCAATAATGCGTCAGATGAGCGCGTACATGCTAGTATATATCCGAGAGTCTCGGCTAGATCAAGTTTTGACGCCGGTCAACAAAGAAGACTGCCCGGCACACCTCCGTAAGTTCCCCCGTCCCCACCACCCTCGGTTTGGACTCTCTGGTTTAAAGCAGAGCGATCGCGCTAACCATCCACCGGCAGAGAAACGTCTCGATGAGGAGGCGGCTGCCAGGGAAGCCAAGAAAAGGGAGCGAGAAGAGCAGCACCTATACCTCCCCGCCAAGGTCATCACCGAAGAGAGTTTCAGGCATCACGGAGGGACCGATCTCACAAATTTTGACGCAAACCCTGCCGAGGATCCCGCGGCGCCCAGGTTCTACCGCACAAAGAAGCAAACCAGCATGGAGGATCTAGTCGCGCAGATTGCCCACGACATAAACCAAAGTCCTAAGATGGTACGTCTGTGGATCATGGTTAATCGACAGAATAAGACCACTCGGCCCGACCAGCCGATAATGGACTTGAAGCCGACGATAGAAGAAACTTTCTCTCGAACCACCACGACAAGTAGAGACTATGCACTGAGGGTATGGGCTGAGGTAGCAGAGGAGGTCGACGCCAAAGGGGATGCCATTTGGCCTACCTACCAGAGCAACGCCAACGGCGTCGTCGTTAAAAATGACTTGATCCTCCTATTCCTGAAACACTTCGACGCCGAGAAACAGACACTCGAAGGGGTTGGCCATATCTACGTCAGCAAAGAGAAGAGGGTTGAAGAACTAGTGCCTATAATTGCGAAGAAGATGGGATGGGGCGAAAAGTTGCCCTCGGGGGAGCAGTTAGCTATGTGGGAGGAGATCAAGCCGGCTATGATCGAGAGCTTGAAGGCAAAACAATCCCTGAAGGCAGCCGAGTTGCAAGACGGCGATATAATATGCTTCCAGAGAGTGGTCGATCGTAAGTCTGGAGAGATACTTGGCAAGATACCACGCCTCGGGGACAGGAGCCCGGAGGAGACACCTAGGCGGTGGGACAGATACGACGATGCTAAAGCGTTCTACGACTTCCTGTGCAACAAGAGGGAGATTCGTTTCGACCCCCATCCGCGGTACGAAAAGGCAAACTATCAGAGTTTCATCCTGACTCTTAGCACCAAGATTTTCTACGACCAACTGGCCGAGAGGGTGGGCGAACAGTTGGGAGTAGAGCCGACTCACCTACGCTTCTTCACGGTCAACGCCTCGACGGGCACTCCTAAGGCGCCTATCAAAAGGGCGCAAGCCCAGAATCAAAACCTCGGCACCTTACTCAACAACGCTTATTCCACGCAAGGCACGCCAACTAAGCCCAACTCGCTCTTCTTCGAGGTTCTCGACATGAGCTTAGCGGAGCTTGACACCAAGAAGAATGTCAAAGTCACCTGGCTTAGTGAGGGGATAACGAAAGCCGTAAGTTTCCGGACACCCATAAACATGGTTGCTTTTTACTCTGCTCACCAAGGCCTCTTAGGACTCCTTCGACGTTCTGGTTCCCAAGCAAGGACATATCGAGGACCTCGTCCAGGCACTCACCAAGAAAGCCCAAATCCAAGATGAGCAGGAAGGCGGCCGCATAAGGGTCTACGAGATAAATCATCACAAGTTTTTCCGAGACCTCGCGCCCAACTATCCGGTGGTCAGTCTCAACGACTACGCAGATATTATCGCAGAACGCATCCCGGAAGAAGAGGCAGACGCGGACGATAGGGACTTCATTAGGGTCGTCCACTTCCAGAACGATTCGAGCCGAGTCCACGGCATCCCGTTCAAGTTCCTGCTCAAGGAGGTACGTAAATCTGGATCCCATCTAAGAGAATCGACAACGCTGATTGGATCTAGGGTGAGCCGTTCTCGGAAACGAAAAAGCGTCTAGAGAAGCGAACAGGTATCAAAGGGAAGGCATTCGAAAAGATTAAGTTCGCGATCTTACGACGCTATCAGAAGCCAGCTTATATTGGCGATGGTAAGAAAAGAATTCTAGTGACGCCTGCAAGACTGGGCTAACAGGTTGTAGACGATGTACTCTTTGACGAGGGTGGTTCGCTAGAGGATGATATCTTACTCGGATTGGATCACCCAGACCGGACTAGAGCAACGCGGAACGGCGGAGAAATGTTCCTCAGGTAGACATTGGCATCTATGTCTCATCCATTGCCGAGGTATTCAACTCTATCCTCTTGCATACTGCCCAGATGCGCTAGATTTCGGCGGCGTGACAAGGAGAGGCTGTCTGATGGTTCTAGCCGACGACGGCCTGCAAACCCGAGCATACCTGTTGTATTCAGTAGTCATTGGCTTTCTACGGCGTTATCGCCGATCCGTCCAGATGTGCTGGTGCTCCAAACAATCGCACGATGAATATAAGGCAAAGAGCAATCAGAATGGAGGCCGGGAGGGGTTCAATAAAAAATGGTATTGCGGTACCTTCTACAGGAATGAAGCGCCGCGGAAGTCCTAGGCACAGGACGATGTCCGCAGGGCCTGAGCAATAAGGTGGTTCTGTAGGCGACTTAGCCATATTAATGGCGTGGCCGTCGTGAAAGAAGAACTGGCTGGCTAGCTAGGTGCTTGGCTGCCCAGGGAGGAATTCACGGATCGGGACCTCGAGGGCTTTACGACCGGACAACAACACTGAGAGCCTCGTCGTTTTGCCGCGGACCCGTGGGAGGGCTCGGTACCTCGGAAGATAGGATACATATGATTATAGAAGCTTCGACGCGGGAAGTATTCTCTACTTTTATACCTACCTCCCGTAAGGGCTGGGCCGGACCGGACACCGTGACCCTGTCTAGAGAGTGTCTATGCTATGCCATAGCGCGCTAGGTAACTATTGCCTATCGGGCGGTGGGCGGGCTGTCGGGCGGGCGGAAGGTGGGCATGTAGGCTATCGCCGTCTGTGTATTTCCGTCGAGGTACAGCAGCGCGAAGCAGGGCTAGGTAAAGCTACACGGGAAGAGGCAGCCGTAACAGCGACGGCAAAGAAGCAAAGAGGTTATGACCCTCAGTTTGGTCTGGTTGGTTGATGTTGGTGGATCGATTTGACTAATTTCGATCGACTAGATCGATCAATCGGTCTGTTCCCTCCCCCCCTCCTCTTCTCCCCCTGGCCCTGAGTAACAAAATATAGTCCTCCGCGACGCCCTTCGCCGTCGAGATCCGGGAATATCGTCTCTTAGCCCAAGTAAAGCCGCCCGACATGTCTGTCGCCCCTTTGCGCGCGGCGAAGAGGAACTTTTCCCAACAGTTCCGACAAGGGGTTCTTATGTACATCCACGACCTCCGTCCACCCACGCAAGCATAATTCTGCCCCTTCTATATATCGCGGCGTGGGAGGTTGAGAAAATAAGGGCGACGAGGGAGAGCTGCGAGAGCGGTAGTGCTCTCCAGCTGGCTAAGGTATTAGCTTGCTTGCTTGCTTGGTCGGGGTATACGTGTGGGGGTGCGAGAACTGGACTAGGGGTAATGCGGTCGAGTGAACGAGTAGCCAGGTGAGAGGCGGCGTAGGGTATGTCTGACAGCTGGAGCGACCGGGGCTCATTTGCTGGCACGACGGCGAAGGCTCGGCGAGTCGTTGGCGGCCGCGTCTTCGCCCCCCTCGCTGTTCTCCCACGCACCAGGATGGTGGTTGCCGGGGCGTCCGCGCGAGCGGCCCGACGACGACGACGACGTTGTCACGACGAGCGTCGAGGACGAGGCGTAGGGGTGCGACGAGGCGCTGCGTGGGCCCGAGGGCGTCGATGGCGGCGGGAACCCGGACGAGGCGCCTGAGCTTGTCGAGGTCGCTGGGAACCTGGATGAGACGTCTGAGCTCGTCGCTGGCGTGCCTGGCGCTGAGGGGGGGGGCGCGGAGATTACGGCCACGACGGTCGCCGGCCTGACGCTGGGGAATCCGTACGGGTTGGTCTCGAGCGAGCCTGGGCCGTCAAAGAAGTGGCGGTAGAGGCGCTGCGCCCGCAGGTATGGGGGCACGTCGTCGCCCGTGTTGGGCTGGGCGCCATCAGCTTCGTGGCGCTCGCTGGCCTCGCCGTCGCTGTGTTCGGGGCTCTCAACGGCTAGGATCTCCACTTCCTGTGGCTCGTCTCCGTCTTCCGTATCCGTCTCATTCGCCTGGCTGCCCCGGCTCTTGCTCTCCGGGGACTCTGTTTCCTCGTCCTCGTCCTCGTCCGTTTCCTGCTTCTTGCCCTTCTTCTTGGAGCGCGCCGCCCTTTTCTGGTTGCGGGCGCGGGTGCGGGCGGCTGCTAGACGCTCACGCGCCGCCTCCCTCTCGAGCTTCACAAGCGGGCGCGCGAAGACGTTCTCAAAAATGTGCGGGGGGCGCCGCCACCTCCTGACACCGCGGCCCAGGCTCCTCTTCATCACCTTCTCAGCCGCCTTGGCCCTCTCGGCCTTGGAGTCGGACTGGGTGCCAGCGCCGCTCGTCCGACTCTTCTTCGAGGGCGGCGGCGGCGACGAGGGTGATGGTGGGGGGTGCTCGTCCTCGGCGGTCCCGCGCTGCTGCAGCCGGCACGCGCGGCAGAGGCCCTGCGGGTCGCGCTCGCGTGTCGGCACGGTGCGGTTCCGCAGGCCCTCAGAGCAGCACCCGAGGCGTCGTGCGGGCCGTGCCGCAACGCAGTATCGGTTACGCGTCCTCAACGTCAAGACCGCCGAGCAGTCGGGCGTGTGACAGAGCGTTTGGTGAAGGAGCTGCAGGCACATCCTGTCGGCGCCCCGGGAGAGATGACTTCGAGATCGAGTTAGTTGATTAGTATAGGGCACATAAGGTCTACTGCGCAAGAGAGAAGAAGGATGAAAAGAAAAGGGGGCTGGAGGATGAAACACAATAGGATTTACGGAGAAGGCACTGTGTGGACGTGTTGATGATGAGGAAGAGGTAGGTAAGTCGAGATGGGAGGAGTGGTGAATGAGCAGCCGACACGGCAAGGCTAGTATATAGATTTGATTGATGGCATGTTGGCTGTTTAATACGCCGTCGCCTGGTTGATAGATGGGTGTTGCTGGTTAACAGGTTGCTAGGTTAACACGTCTATAGGCGGACGGACATATAGCGGACGGAGGCAAGTAGAGCCAGTCGGTTGATTTTATGAGCAGGTGTTCGACGGTACTCGATATAAGACATGCATCTGGACTCTCCTTTCGCTGTCTTGGGATACGGGCTCGGTATGTATGTTGAGAGAAAAGCGTATAGGAGGTATCGTTCGCATCTACTCAACCTGGCTCCGTTCGGGTGTCCATCAAGGCGAAGGACGACTACGGGCTAGTAGGCGAAAAGGTGGGATGCTTAGGGCAACTACCAGACGAAACGCCCGAGCCTGCGGTTAGTCTGCCCTTTTGGCATCGCAATATTAGCATCGCAAAACATCGAACCGTGTCAAGTGTCACGAATGTTAATGTTATGGTTTTTGGCGCAGGCGCCTACGTGTGCGTCGGCGTTGGAAACTATATTGCGGGCGAACCGAGAGAAATCCCCGAACAGTAGTAAAGAGGGAGGAGGAGGGGGTTGAGAAGAAGGTGGTCTAGTGAAGTCACTTTTGCTACTCGCAAACTCGGGGGTTTGTGCTGGTTATTTTATGCGCCGCGAATAGGGGCCGGGCGGTTGTACTCGCACATTGTCACGAAAGACGAAGAAGAGAGAAACAAAGAAGAGACCGGTCTGGTCGAGCATCGAATATCGCGATCGCAATACGCCAGTAGAAGCGAAGTACCTCGCCGGGCATATAGCGTTCTACGCTCGTCGGAGCCGAACCTAGCGGATATCAAAGTCCCAAGGCAGGTTTTTTTTTTGGATTTGAGAGAGCTGTCACGTCCGTCTGGGAGCGACTATAGGAGCGAGCCATCGGAGGCTTGCCCTCGAGGACCGGGCCGGGCGCGTCGCAAGTTCTCAGCCCGCGAGAAGGCGGATGGTGTGTATACGGCCCGGGACGGAGGGCGGGAAAGATGTTGTTGACGTGCTAGCTTCGCTAGACTCCCGAGTAACACCAGCAACCACGACGAGAATTTCCCAGTTGAACCTGGAAACGAAAACAAATCGAAAGAATGCTAATTTGTTTATTTATTTGTCCGTGTGTTCGTCTCCAAAGGAGAGAGAGAGAGAGAGAGAGAGAAATGGAACCACGGTGAGGACGGAGGAACGGGGATGTGGCGAGTGCGGTGGATCTCGGGAGGCGCGACGCCGGCGAGATGGTTGATGCCGTGCCGACGATGATGCGGCGCCGGAAGGAGCGCGGGAGGTATGGGCCGTGGTCGGCTAGAGGCGGCTGCTGCCAGCTGCTGACTGTTCCTCGATCCGACCGTCGAGTCGTGTCGTCGGCTTTCCGAAGGCGGCGCGCATGACATGATCGACCACGCTAGGTAGGTACGTAGGTGCCACCACCACACCACGCATAAGTACCTAACATAGGCAGGTACCTACGCATTGTTGTCTAAGCAGGTTGCGTAATCAGGCGCGCCATTGGCTGGTCCGGCTCGCCGTGGCTTCCTAAGCAGCCGCTCTGGTTCGGACGATTACGTAGCAGACATGTAAGGTCATTGTCGCGGGCCGATCAGCTGATTTGTCGTGGTACCGACGTACATGGCGCCGGGGTCGACTTATAGTACAGAGGCAGAACCCAGCCAAGCTGTGAAGCCATGTGGAACGCTGCCCATACCAGCACCGCAACAGCCATCCTACCCCGATCCCAGCGAGACGACCCAATCGCCCATCACTGCGTGCCCTATGCCACCTGCTCGCTGCCTGCTTCGCGTGCCACCGATACACCTTTACGCTCCCCCCCGCCCAGATCTGATCCCATGCCCATTTGTAAGCCCAGAGTCCGCCTGTTGCTTCGGCCCCCGAGCTGGAGCGAAGCACGGATTTAGCTCGAATATGTGTCCCCCAGACCGTCGTAGACTACAAGTATGCCAGGAGCCCTGAGCCGTCGCTCGAACCAAGAGGGCTGCGAGAAGCCGCAAGGAGCTGCGAGAGTGCGCCTGGGAATGAGACTGTCTAGACAACCTCCGGTTCCGGTATAGCTCATCGCCATGGCCACTGCCTATACTATCCGTATCGCCCCCGACAATACTGGGCTCTGCAAAGTCCGACAGGATGAGTCCACCGCCAAGGCCGCCTCTGACTTGTTGCAGGACGACCTCGAGGTAAGCCTCGCCTTCGAGCGCGGCTGGTTGTGCTGATCGCCCCTGACCCGGGTGCTGAATGTCCAGAAACACCATGTCTTCTTCAACCCCCGGGGGTTCCATAACCAGTAAGCCAACCAACCCCCTTCCTCCCTCACGTCGTTGCCGAGCTCATACATACATACACCCACACCCACACGTACACAATATATACAGACATGCGTACAGGTAACCCACGTGCTAACTCGGGGTCGCAATCAAGTATAAGCCACCACATCCTGTCCTTGTACGGCACCGGCGCTTCCTCTGAGGACATGAAGAAGGGCTTCGATGGAAACAAGTCCTACCAGCGACCGGCATTCGAGGCCCACCGGGAGGTGATCGAGGGGCTGAAGGACTGGGAGGTGGCCAAGGGGCGTCTAGCAAACGAACTGTAAGTCAAGCCTCGTGCTCTCCAATCTCGACCGTGGCGGCTGACCTCGTGCCGGGGACCTGCGCAAGGCACTATCCCGACTTCCTCGCCTTCTTCCAAAAGGAAATCGAGAGGCTCGGGTGGCAGCAGGTGCTGAAAGAATATGTCTTCAACGGCGACACCAAGAGCGAGGACATGATGCTTAGGATGTTTTCCGGTGAGCTGGTCGGCCAGACGGCGATGCCGCGATACATGCTCCCCAAAGGGTGCCCGGACTGGAAGTTGACAGCTTCACCAGCTCTCCTCCACTCCCTGATCCAGCTGATGTACGGCGTGGAATGGGAGCAGCCCGCCATGGTCGCCATGGGCCTGGCGCAGGCCGCCGTCCACCGAGACAGCCTGAGAGCCTTCCTCCTCGGCGCGGAGGAGGCCGCCAAGTCGAACCCGGACCCGATGCCCAGTATCGTGAGCCTTCTCGAGGAGATCCGGTCGAACAAGACCGTTGCGGCGGCCGTCGAAAAGGCCGGCATCGACGAAATCCGCCAGGGAGTCCTCGAGGGAACCTGGGACGAGACCATCGCGATTGCGAGCCGTGTCAAGATCAAGCCCGAGGAGCTGGACGAGCGCACCGCCGAGATGTACGACTCCACCATCTACGCCAGCGCCGCCGCCGCGTTCCGGCCCGGCAAATACCCCAAGTTCGACTTCATCCTCATGTAAGCCCCAACTGCAGCCAGCCTTCCCACTCGTCGGGTCTTGCAGTGGGGATATCCGCTAACCGCTCGCGCGCGCCACCTCCCCAGGCACCACGTCAACGTCAATCCCATCTTCCTCGTCATAAACCGCCAGGACTGGATCCCGATCGAGAGCAAGGTGCGTCTCCTCGAGTGGAAGATACGCATCGATATTGCCCACTACGTCAACAGGGGCTGCCCCCCTCTCAGTCTCGAGAACGTCGCGTCGTATGTTCCGACGGATAAGAGTATTGGCCCGGCAGACGGTGAGTGTTATCTGCTTGATAACTCTGTCCCTTCCTCTCTCTCTCTCTCCCCTACGCGAGACGTGCCTATGTTGACAGCGAGAAACGCAAACCGGCAAACAGCCCAACTGCCCCGCGTCCACGCCCTGGACGACGACGGGCACGCCATCAAGCTCTTCCGGGCGCTTATCCTAGGCCGGGAGCTTAGCGAAAAGTACGGCGACAGGGACTGGGCCAACGTCAAGGGCGACTGCTTGTGGACGCGGCTCATCCACCTCATGGTCGACTCGGCGGAGTCGCCCGGACCGCGTTGGATCCGCAGTAAGATGCTAGGGGCGTCCTGGGCAGTGAGTATTTCTTTTTACGTCTCTACCCTCTGTGCTCGCGTACCCCCCCGCCTTTCCCTGTCGCTAGCAAGACCCAGTGGTTGATATAGCCTTGTAGTTTATCCCGGACCTACCGTAAGGTGGCGGAGGTGGTATGCCATTCGCCGGGTTGGTCGGGGAGGTCTGTTCTTGTAAGAACACGTGTAAAATTAGCACACACGCACACACGCACGCACACTCCCCTTTTAGTCATTGATTTTGGTGCGACGAGGGTACTGCTTGCTGTGTCGAAGAGAAGAAGGAAAAAAAATAAAAAGCCATCCTAGGCAGTTAAGGGGAGAGGCGGATGGTCTGGCGTCATCGTTCAGTATATGTAGCACCTAGGTACATATATAAACCCGAAATAACTCGGTGCAATACACGGCCAGTGTGAGCTTTACCTTGCCATTCTTTGCGGAGCGGTCAACGGCCCGGGGGGGGACAGTATCGGTCGACGTGCATGAGGCTCTCTCCTTCTCCTTCTCCCTCTCATCGGGGAAAACGCGGGGACCGGCGCGACGACGCCGCAACACCCTCGCCTCCAGCAACGCGCACAGCGGCAGCACCGCCCGTCTTCGCTGCGGCCGCGGCATATTTTCGCTTCTCTTCGTATCACGACGCACGACACGCGTGTAGGGTAGGATTCACGGCCATCATAGGAAGAAGAATAAGAAGAGAACCCTCAGGGATACGGTGAAACCAGGGAGAGAAAAAAAGTCGAGTTTTCTTTTCTTGGGAGAACAGAGAAGAAAAAGAGAAGAAAAAGAGAAGAAAAAAAGAAAAGGAAATGGGGTATGGGGTATGGGGTGGCAGGGGGAGGGGGAAGGAGAGGTATAAGGTACCCCATACACACACAAGAAGGGGGGGGGGGGCAAAGCCCCAGAAGTCTATGAAGATTGCATTATCGTTGACGAAGCAAGCCATTTCTCATTCCATTGCCCGGTGTTGTTGTTTTTTAGAAAACCCTCTCCCTTTCCTCCCTCCTCCTTTATACGCCCGCCACGCATAGGTCTGAGTCCTATTTTTTTGGTTGACTCCTCGGTCCCCTCCCCCACACACAGCACACAAACACCGGCAACGACAACAAGATCCATACACGGCATCGAGAGAAGAATCGGTCCTCCTCTGCTTCCTCGAGCCGTGCCGCCCACCCATCCATTCATACGTAGTAGCACCGCTTATCGTGCTCCGCCGCCACCAATGCGCGCGCCTCTCGATAAAGGGGGCCGCTCCCCTTCTGTCTCCAAGTGGTGTTGTGTGCTTTCCTCGCTCAGAACTGTCTCCCGGTCTAGTGTTTCCCCTCAATACCTCGTAGGCGGCGAAGAGTAACATAGTTTCCCCCAAGGGAATCTATGCGACAGATAAATTTCACCCGGGAAGGGGGCCCGTAGTTGGGTGTGTGGCAATAGAAATGGAGAACATCTGGAGCTGTCAAGCATGTACGCGGATGAAAGCACTGGAAATAACAAGTGCTCAACACCCGGGTATTGCCCAGGACAGGATCTCGGCTCCTAGTGGGGAAAAGAACCGCCAGACGACTCTCCATCAAGTCGAAATTGTGATCCGGACGTGGACGCTCTCGAGTCGGCCGATGCTTAGGATCCGAGGCCAGGCCGGAAGTTAGGAGGGAGGGGGGTTCCGTCGATTTACCGAAAAAAAAATCGTGGACGAGGGGAAAATGCATGGTTGTGCGCGGGTCAAAGTAGAATTTCTAGGAGGTTCGTGTAAACCGGGCCACCATGGCTTACAAAGTCTATCGAGAGGAAATCCGAGCACTAGAAACACGCTTCATGTCCAGACGAGGATAAAGACGCGGCGAGTAATCACCGCTGGCTCCTAGCGGAGCCTACCGAACTTTGCCGCTCATGAGCATTTGCCCGGCGATTGCTTCGGTCGGCATCCTGCAACTTAAGCGAATCCAACCTCTTTTGGTTGTCCTCCGTCACCGAATCCGCCTCCTCAACTCGTGGTAATATATTTAGCTTCGCCGTTGTGCTGCCGTTCCCGGGAACGCCATTTGACGGCCTCCTCTTGTTAGCTTGTTCTGTGATCGCGGCCCACTTCCTCTCTCGGAGAGCCTCCCTCGCAGCCGCATTGTTTTGCTGCTCTGTGTACTCGTGGGAGCAATCGTCGAAGAGCTGTGGGTTGATCTCCATAAAGAGCTTCATCGCGTTGTACACCATTCCGTGGATAGTACTGGGGTATCCGGTTAGCCTGAGAAACCATCACTCGTGCGCCGCAGCCTGCTTACCGGTTCCAATGTCCCTTAGAATTTTCGTAGAGCGGTGCAAACATGATGGGGAGGATAATCTCGACGTTATCGCTCACGAGGTTGCAAAAGTATTCGTTATTCCAGAAGTACAATGCCCGCTCCGCAACCTGGAAATGCGGGCTGGCTACCGATTTGGCGAGTTGGTGGAACAGGGGCTCCTGAACCTTGGCGAACTCTGCGGGATCCATCACCTCGAAAATGTCCTCGACTTCATTCAGATACATGACTTCCTTGGTGCTATTAACCTTGGGCCAGTATCGGAGTAGGCCGAGCACAACCTCTTCGGTGAGGGATGCGTCTTTTTCTAGGAATTGAACGATACAGTAGGCGAGCTGTGGGTGGTACATACTCAGACTCTTGACCTTGTGAAGAGGGAGTAGAACTCGCGTGAGAAATAGCTTGTGCTCCTCCTTGAGAGGCAGTGCGAATCCGTTAATGATAGACCCTAGAATTTCCAGAAGTTCGGCTACTCCGTTGAATCTCTCCGTTTCGTAGGTGAATTGGAAGAACACGTTATTGATCGAACGCCGGATGAAGGACCGGAGGTTGAGGAACTTCCCGTAGATTCGATGTAGGGTCGTCTTGAGAAAGTCCCTCTCGCGTGGATCTTCCGAGTCGAACAGCTCCAGGAGTTGAAGCACGAAGCTGTGGTCGATATAAGACTTAGCAATGTTGGTGTTGAAGTCCTGGCTCTCGATAAACCGCAGGAAGAACTCGTAGACGACCTGGATGTGCGGCCAAGCCACCTCGAGGACGGGTTCATCCTCTTCGGGATCGAACGCATCTCCCTGCGGATTCATCGGCGGGGGGATCGGGCGGAAGAGGTTCTTGGCAAACATCTCGACAACTCGAGGGTACATAGGTTCGGTGATTACTTGTCTATTATTGGCCACATAATCAAGCAACTCGTGCAGAGCCAGACGCTTGATCTCCTTGGACTTCATGTCGGCGCTGGCATCGTTGAAGTCGAATATGACATTGCACTGGTCAATCTTCTGCATGAACAACTCCTGTCGCCTGTTGGGCGGAACTTCGTGGAAGCCGGGCAGCTTCTCGAGCTCTCGGTGGGCAGAGATATCGAATCGAGACGAATGCTGTCTCTTGGGCGTCCTTAGGCCCTCGGGGACGTCTTTTGGTGTCTGGTGGAGGCGGTCGAACATGAGGGACTTCTGACCGGCTTTAGGCGGGGCAAGATCGTGCGGCATCGTCTCGGCAGCGCCAGGGGGTGGGATGTGCTACTCGGTAGTGCATTCATTAGCCCACATCTCGAAAGAGCAGTCAGGAAGGACATGGGACATCAGCATACTGGAGCGCTTGGGCTGATGACTACCGTCGGCGGGAGGGTACCGCCGTGACGAGAAGACGCGCCAGCACCATTAGGCGACGGCTGGGTACCGATATTGAACCGGTCGGGAAGAACCTGACTAGGAAGCTGACTCGGCTGGCCTTGCAGAGCAGGACCGCCGTGGTCGGGGCCGTGGATCCCGGCATTTCCAGGGGGCAGAGGCTTGTTTCTGATGTCATTCAAAGTCGACGTGGACGAAGACGGAGTCAGGACAGGCGATTGTGTCTCCCTCGAGCCGCTAGAGGATGGGGAAGCAGTGCCATCCTTCGAGTCCTTATTCTTCTTAGAGGACTTGCTGTCACCCTTGCCCCTCGAGAGCTGTTACACATCCATTGATTAGTGCGGATGATACACGGGAAGCGTCGAATGTAGCCAAGGAGAGCAAGCAATACATACAGCACGGCTGAAGCGCTTCATATTTATAGGTCACAGCCCGCGAGGTTACGGCGGGGTGGCGACGCCCGACTCGCTTGTCTTGTGAGGTATAAGTTGGCGAGGGGAGGAGGGGGGGGATAGTGTCGAAGGATGTCGGATTCGCGTTGGGAGACGCGTCGCCGAAGCGGAACTTTACCGGTTTCGAGACGTCGGCAGGGTCAGACAGGGTGCCCGGCAGTCGGGGTCGACGAGGGTGCGATCGACCGGAGAGGAATTGCGTGGTGTAGATGTGCGGCGGGAGGACCGAGTGAGAGAGACGAATGGATGGGCGGGATGGCTAAGCATTAACGATGCAGGATTGCGGGTTGCGAATTGGAGATTGCAGATTGCGGATAGGTGTGTGTTGAGGTTGAGGATCTAGCCAGGCCGTGGCCGTCGCAGTACACACACGCGGTGGCGAGGAGGTGAAGACAGGGCTGTCCGTGCAGTCGATGGGAATTGCAAGGGAAGCACGAAGGCTAAGATGGCTCAGATGGGGGCCTCGGGGAGGGGGGGAGGTGGAGGGACGGGGGAGTTATTGAGACTGGCAGGTCGAGAAATGAAAGAAGACGTCGGCGACGAGACACACTGGGACGGAACTCTTGGGTCTCCTGGGTAGGGACTGGTGGTTGAAGATAATGAGTTGTCGTGCTGTAAAGGTGGGTGGAGAGGAGACCTGGTGCTGGCAGAGAGTTATCCTCCTTACTGGTAACTCGGACAGCTGTTGCCAGGTCCGTTTGGCCAGGTTACCGGGTACCTACTCGCGCCAGAATACTTCCACTCTAGGTAACGGCATCGAAGGGCCAAAAAGCAGATTCGCAGGTTGTCACCTGCAGACAGCAGGTCGGGCTGGGAAGCACCTGAAAAGTTGCCTGTCGTATGTCTCTATAGGTACCTAGGTACCTCTCAACGTCCATGCTTGGGTTCCGCCCTGCCTATCGCCCAGGTACGTGCCGTACGGTAGGTACCTTACCTAACCTTAGGCAACGTGGTATGCTCCCCGGTCCGATGTGGGAGCATTTTCAGCTGTACCGGCACCTCCCTCCCCAACCTAGGAGGTAGGTAGCATGTCTTTTCCTAATTTCAACAAATGGCTACACCTGCCGCCAGCGGGACCGCGGTAGTAGTGACGAGACCATGTCGCTTAGCAGCGAGATTAGCTGCCTCCCATCCGCAGGTCCGGCCCTGTCCATACCTGGGCTGCTAGTTAGATTGAGGTATGAGGGAAAAGACCGTCACTGCCGTGATATTGTTTCTCAACGTGATATTAGGAAATTCCCTATATGAAATAAGATTAGTTGGGAGTCCTGGATATATCCAAACCCCTGTTATAGGTAAGCATCTTCTTTCTACTAACCCTGCCTACCTCCTTAGGTACTTACGTAGCATGTTTATATAGGTATATATGAGGTACCTAGGTACCTGCCTAGTAATAGGTACCTAGTACCTAAGGTACCCGCCTACCTCCTGCCTACACTTTTAGATACTGACTTTTTTCTACAAGTATAAAGATAGGATTTACCACCGATTCTGTATCCCTTCGGCGCTTATCGCAATAGTATAGCGTGTTGGATATTCTCTTCGCTAAGGTATGCAGGCACGTATGTCCCGGTATGCGGCAGCTTCGAATTCGGCGTATTTACGAAGACCGCCTGTGTGTGGGCAGGGAGGAGGAGAATGTGCATTTGTAAAGCCTGGGCACAGCCTGCGGTCCCTTAGGTCCCTAAATGCAGACACGCACTTCTCATAGTAGATACCTGGTACCTAGGTACCTAGGTAGATGTTAATATCGCCTACCACACAGGTACCTGCCCAAATGCCCGTAGGTACCTAATGTGTTGTTGTTGCAGTGGGTCGCTACCTAAGTAGGTACCTAGGTACCTTTCACCCAGCCAGGTACCTCGGGCAGGAGGTAGTATAGTATAGTAATGACGCAGAACAGCATCAATAAGGTACATAGCAAATCAGGGTTTGTTGGCAAGCGGGGGCGGATTGAGTTCAGACGAGAGGATGGAATACGTACATCTCCCGAGTGCTGCATGTACACACATAGGTACTTCGGACCGCCTACCACCCACCTAGGAACCTAGAGATACTTATCGCGACTAAAGTTATACTTTTATGCATACAACTGTGTAAAACGCCGAAGGCCGTCAAGTGAGTGCATGTACACGCACATAGGCATGTGCGCACGAAATGCATATACCTTGGGTGCCTCCATAAGGCTATGAGGTAGCTTTATGAGAGAGAGGTATGCTCCACTGAACACACTTATGAGTACCTATACTCGGCCCAACTGCACGTTGCTGATTGGCTCCCGGCCGTCTGCTCCGATTAGATACGCAAAGTAGATCCTACCGAATGTCGCACGCTGTGGCATTGGACCCTCCATTTCTCTCCCACCCACGTCTGCAAAAAGATATCGAGTCTACGGGTTCTTCCGTTCTGCGCAGCTTGACACTTACGAGTACAGTCCCGGGAGGAGATGCAGGGGTAGCCGAGGATTGCGCCGCATCCAGAGAGGAAAAAGACGCCGGCCAGTTTCCAGTTGGCCGCCGAATAGTTGTCACCGCCAGCGTGTCGGACCGGAATAGCTACCTACCAATACGGAATAGGTGCCACGACGCCGCCCAACGCTAAGTCGAACCTAAGCGTCCTGTAGCTTCAAGCTTCGACAGTGGGAATGAGACATCACGGAGCGACGTAAGGAAACCAACAACAGGAACCTGTCCGGGGTGTGTAAGTGCGAGAAGTACCGGCCATCCCACGAGGTGCGAAGAGAGCAACGCCCCTTATCGCGGCGTCGTTGATATCTACACATACTTCTAGATAGGTACACGCGATGGATGAGCGGTCCATAAGAGTCCGTTGGAGCTCCGTATTATGCGCGCCTCTACTATAGTCTGCAACAAAATACCTACTTCGTAATGATGGAAGGCGACGGTCCATATCCCCTCGACCATTCGAGTGAAACCGATGGTGGTGCGCCGGTCTTCGATGTGCCCGAGAGGAGGATAGTGGCTATAGAACACCCGTGTGTCTTGCGCAATCTCGATAGGGGGCTCGCTTCGTTTGGACAGGAGCCCGACTTTCACAAGGTTGGTACTCCTGCTGCTATCTGCTCGGACGAATATTAACCGCCACATCAATACAGCTTCTTATAGACACGCCAGAGCCGAGTTCGATTCCTCTATGGTTCCGGCCTGAAAACCCGACGTCAAAGCCTATCGTGTCGCATCATGCCGCGACCAACAACATCCTGCTCAAAATAACCGTCCCTAAGAGGACGGGCAGGAAGCGGAAGAGGGGAAGCAACGAGCCGTTTACCGGCGATGTCGACGGCGTCGATGCCAGTTCCTTCGGCTCCGAAGTCACTCAAGTCAGCTCCGTAGGCCGACGCGACACGCCAAGGTCTATCCTCCGCAAGATGCGGGACAATATCGACGATTACCAGACTGAAGTCGTCGGGGTGGTCCGAGATAGTCACAGATATCGGGGTCTCGCGGATTTCCAATTCGCCAACTCGAGCTCTTCTTTCTTAACGAAAACCGCGGAGCACTTGCTTCCCATGCAAGGTAGGCGAGAAACGCGGCCTAGCCGTCCGCGACGGGAGTCGGCTAACCTAGGTGCTAGTTCCCAAATTGAGGCAATTCCGGTTTTCCCCTGGCGTGGCGACGGGCCCGGGCCAGGAAATCATACCCCCGCCTCATTTCACCGACAAAGTCATCGGGTTCAATTACAACTACGAACAGAACCCGAACGTGAGGATCGGCGGCCTCGATGAGGTGGGGCAGCCAAAGCTCACGAATGTCCAGGGGAGGAAAAAACACTCGTACGGTTACTTCATCAACCACAACACGTTCCCCGTGCCCCAGAAACCTCGGCGCCAGCCAGATGCCACCTACCGGATACCGGACGACCTGCTAGGCCAACTTCGCGCTTTGATGGAAGAAAGGCCGGTGTGGACACGTCGCGCCATTCTCAATCGCGTAACAGGCAACTATACCGATTCGCTTCTTAGAATCGCGCTCCAGCTTGTCGGATACCAATTCAGGGGTGGACCGTGGCGCGACGCTTTCGTAAAGTACGGCGTCGACCCCCGAACGGATCCTAAGTTTCGAATCTACCAGACCCTAGCCTTCAAATTGGAGAAGAACATCGTAGGAACAAACAAAGTGCCGTGGGAAATTATCAGGAAGGACCAGTTCAAGAAGCGTTTGGCGGACAATCGCGATAGCCACATCTGGGACGGCGAACGCTTTTCTACGGACGGGAAGTTCTGGCAGGTCTGCGATATTACGGATTCGTTTGTGCGAAATATCATCGACCACGCGCCTCTTCGGGGCGAGTGCGACCTAGCGGACTCCGGGTGGTATTACCGCGGCATGTGGACCAAGGTCAAGATGGTCATGAAGGTGAAGATGGTAGCCATCAAGCGGGGAAGGATGGGCTCGGACGAGGACGACCCCCAGAAGCCGGGGTTCATCTACAACTCATTCCTCAATTCTAGAATCGGGCTATGGCCCGATACGACAGACAAGCCCATCGGCCTAACCATCGACCCGTTCCTCCGGCCGATAAAAGACCCGGACGGAAGACGACGCAGGCGCGCGCCCAATATCAAGCTGAAGCCGGACTCAGCCGAAGCGGATGCCCGCTCGAGCCCGGTCGGCGAAGATTTGGACAACTGGGACTCGGACGGGATGTTCAACGGAGAGGGCGGGCTAGGCGGTCAAGACGAGGGTGTCTTGGCGGAAGAGAGCGGTTGGTACGAGGCTATTTCCGACGACGATGCGGGCGAGGACACGGACGAGTATTACAGCCAGGGGAGCGACGGGAGAGACTACGGGGAAGAGGACGAAGACGAACGCGAGCAAGGCGATTACGATTCTGCGATGGAAGACAACCCGGCGCGATAGGCGGGCGAGTTAGCCGAGCCGGACTGCCAAGAAGAGAGAGAAAAAGGAGGGGAGGCAAGACGAAGCGAAGAGGCGTAGAGGTGTGTAGTCCCCACATACGACGCCCTCTCTCCGTTCTACGCGCCTGCTTGGCGCCCTCGTGATTGTTGGCGCACCGGTGAGCGACGAGTAGGTACCTAAGGCGTATACATTCCATTATCCATCCGTAAGCATGTTCTACCTACCTAAGGTACCTCCACGCACACGTAGGTACAAATGCGCATGGGATTTGGGTTATTGGGTACCTTAGGTAGAGGTGCCTCTAGTGCATCGGCCAGGTACCTGGCCTCGTTAGGAGGTACCTCCTGGTAGGGCCGTGTTGGGAGGTTTGTGGGGTTGAACCTGAACCTGATCGCTTGGCGGCCGTAAGCCTCGGCAAGTCCTCACAAAGGCCGGGGAACTTGATCCATCGCGCGCGCTACCTGGGGTACTTTGGCCGATGGCCGCGGGCGCCCACGGGGTCAAGTACTTATGGTGGCCATGTGCCCGCCACCGTGCGTTCTTGATAGATACCTACGTATATATTGACGCGGCAACGGACATCTCGCCCTCGTTCCAGGTTCATAATCCCTACAATCACTCCGACGAGTTGTCCAATTGCCCACTCGTCCAATGCTCAACCCTTCTGAAGCCGACGTCTCGTCCCTCTCCGCGGCGATTCGACTCGTATAGGGTTGTTTTGTTTGGGTACTTCTAGCCACGACCTTCACCTCGCAGCTCGTCCAAGTCTAGGCTACCTTTTAGCCCCGTATAGTCTCGAGTACTCTGCGGGACGCTTATACCACCATTACCGAGGTCGAGCCGGCATAGGTGTATATAGTATACATATCTAAGCACCTTACTTGTATGCCCATACCGGTCACCACTAACCTACACCGTCTCTCCCCGTCACCTTCGAAGCAACGGCCACTGATCATCACCCTCTAGCCACCCAGAACCATGGCCGACGAGACCGCCCTCCACGACTTCCCGTCGCTCTTCTCCCTCAAGGGCAAGATCGCCGTCGTTACTGGCGGCTCTAGGGGCTTGGGCCTCAACGCGGCATCGGCGTGAGTCCTACCCGTCCCAGGAAGCCAGGGAGGCAGACAACCAGCCCGTGGTCAACTCCGAGACTGACCATCCCTCTGCCCACAGCTTCCTCCAGGCCGGCTGCGCGACTGTGTTCATCAGCTCGCGCAAGGCCAAGGCCTGCGACGCCGCCGTCGCCCAGCTCAACGCGCTGCCGAGCCTAGCCCCGGGGGCCCGCGCCATCGCCGCCCCAGCCGACTGCTCGTCTCTGGCGGGCGTGCGCTCGCTCGTCGAGCAGGTCCGCCGCCACGCCGACCACGTCGACATCCTCTTCGCCAACGCCGGCGCCACCTGGGGCGAGGCCTTCGACACGCACCCCGACACGGCCTTCTCGAAGGTCATGGACCTCAACGTGCGCGGCGTGTTCCTGCTCGCGCAGCAGTTCGCGCCGCTGCTCGAGGCCCGCGCGACCCGCGACGACCCCTCGCGCATCATCATCACCGCCTCCGTCGCCGGGCTCAGCGTCGGCACGCTCGGGCCCCAGGCCACCTTCGGCTACTCGGCCAGCAAGGCCGCCGTCATCCACCTCGGCCGCAACCTCGCCGTCGAGCTCGCCCCCCGCCACGTCCTCGTCAACTCCATCTGCCCCGGCTTCTTCCCCACCAAGATGGCCAACGGCCTCCTCGCCCTCACCGGCGGCGTCGACCGCCACGCCCAGGCCAACCCCGCCGGCCGCCTCGGCCGCCCCGAGGACATCGCCGGCGCCGTCGTCTACCTTGCCTCCCGCGCCGGCTCCCACGTCAACGGCGCCGCCATCGAGATCGACGGCGGCTCCCTCTGGAGCCGCGGCGGCCTGTTCGAGGCCAACGCCCCCGAGCCCAAGCTGTGAGAGGTTGGTTGCGTCGTGCGTATATGTATGATAGTATTACTAGTCGAGAAAGGCCGAACAAGAGGGAAAAGATCTCACGAGGCTGACTACCGTGAACGATCTATGATATGGAAGGGACCTAGGAAATATGCAACTGTTATTATCTATGCAAGTTCTACGTCGCCATGTCGTATCACCGGCATATTCTCGCCTCCTACCATTATTGCGACCGTAGTATATATGTCTTATAGGTCACAGGTCTATAATATCCCTCCCTATGCATGTCATGACCTCGTTAACGTCTCCGCGCGCTGGCGGTAGAAGTAAGTGGTATCCGTGCGAAAGAGATTTTTTCGTCTCAAAACCCCAGATGCAAATGCTTGTTAGAAACTTCCGTTTCGCCCTCCCCTCTCCTCTCCTCCCGAGGCCTAGTCGGTACGCCCTTAGGGGCCAGTCCCGGGTTCGGCGGCGGCGACGGGTTTCCGCACAACCCAATGGCTGGCCTTGTACACCATCTGCAGCATGCTCTGGGCGTCCTGCACGTAGGGCGCGTGTAGGCCCTTCTCCCGCTTCTCGACGACGAAGCCCATGCGCTCGACCAGCGCGACGACCTCGTCGTCGGTGAGCTCGAAGCTCCCGGGCTCCGCGATGCCCGACACGCTGCTCTCGTCGTAGTCGCCGTCGCCGTCGTATCCGTGGTGCCCGGGCACGTGGTTCTCCCAGTGCCACAGCAGGGGGCCGACGTTGATGAGCACGCCGCCGGGCTTCAGGCAGCTCCGGATGACCTCGAGGTAGCGGATCAGGTTCGGGGCCGTGTCGAGGAAGAAGACCGCGGCCACGGCGTCGTACGAGTCCCTGTGGCCCTCGTCGCCGTACAGGCAGAGGAAGTCGGCTGCGCACATCTGCATCGACCCGATGCCTTGGGTCGACGCGAGCGTAGTTTGCGGGTGGATGTCGGGGATCTTGTAAGCTCTAAACTGGTTCTCTCGGGTCTGGTGGTTGGAGAAGCTGTGGATCCATGGGTATATCGTGTGCTGCCCCGCTTGCTCAGACCAATTAAGTATGTAGGACGACGCCAACAGCTGATGGTATGATATCTCGTTTCCTTCGCTCTCGTAGCCTAACCGGCAGAGATCGAAGACTAAGCGTCCCAGCCCGGCGCCGGGAACCAACACCTTCATCCGGACCCCGTCGTTACGCTTGGCCCTTTCTGCCTGCAGGACGTCGTAAACGGGACCGTAGCAAGCGTCGCGCTCGATGGCGCCCTCGGTCGACCAGTCACGGTAAAATTGCCGAATAATGCTCCGGGCCTTATCCAGGTCATTGTACTTAGCAATACCGGACCATTCCTCGGGCATGGTGGGTTCCTCTCCCGACGTCGTGCTAGCCACACCAAAGGATCGAAGGCCGGCCTTGACGATTATGCGAGCAAGCTCTGCGTTGCACTCTATGGCATCGTCTATCCGCGACAACATATCCAAATATGAGAAGGGAGGTTGGGCAAGCAACTGCCAGTGTGCTTGAGGCAGAGCGTAAAATGCTTGCCTGCGAAGATGGGTGCAATTTAGGTGGGCCGTCTTCGCGTATTGACTGTGTTATAGGTAGGTGTTCGTTAGTGTTCGCAACACAGATATAGGAACCGCGCGCCGGCGGAGGATCTATCCATATACTAAGAAGGACGGGGATGTATACTACGAGCGTGGAAAAACCTCTATCTTCCTCTCACTCATACAGAACAACCCCCCCCCCCCCCCTCCTCCCTCTCTCCCTCTCTCGGACACCCGCACACCCACACACATCTATATATATACATACATACCTAAGAGAGGGGGGCGTGGACGAGAGAAAAAAGCAGGAAGCACTGTAAAAGATACGATACGACGATAGGCCGATAATACTGACCTAAACGAATCAAGAGCGCAGAATATGACTCGGATCTCCTCTGGGTCCTCCGAGGTCTCCTCGACACCACTCCATTGTGAATTATCATCGCGAGCCCGGTTTACCGACTCCATCACGAGCGGTGAGAGACGCTACCCCAAGGAGGAGAAAGCAGGGAAAGAATCAGGAAGGGAATGGCCGGAGTTTGATGAAGACGGAATGGTCCTAACTGATAGCAACCAGAAGCTGACCGGCTTGCGGCGAGATGGCGGGGTAGCACGCGAGACGATGGAGCTGGGGAGGACCGGGTGGAGGGGCACACAGAGAGGATGACCCGATGACAGAGCGGCGGAACGGAGCGAGGTGGCTCTTCATCTACCAGTTGCTAGTATTTTGGCTGTATCGAAGCCAAGAAGAATACATCATTATCTGAATTTCATCATCAATTGCCCACGCAAGCATGGAATGTGTGACGGTGACGAGAGCCGGATTCCGGGGACTCCGGCGTCGTTTTCGAGGTGCTGACGCGGCGTAGCCTCGGATGGAGGGGGCTTGACGGGGAGAGTTAAGATAGTCGGTTCATGTGAAGGTGAGTTAACACAATCTCCGCGAGGGTGAGCCCGGAGCCACCAGATCGAGGTGTACGCCTAGGTAGGTATGTGAAATTGGGAGCTTGAGGTTGAGAAACTGCTCGAGGCGCCTCAGAATTTGCAGATCTCCCGATGTCGTTGCGTACAGAAGAGTACATAGGTACCTACCTGGTAGGTATCTTAGGTACCTAGAGGTACGTAGCCTTAGGGAACTTGGTGTGACCCGTTACATGTAACACTGCACTAGACGTCGCTATGCGTATTAGATAGGTAGGAAGTAGGTAGATAGCCTCGATGCTGTTACCAGGATATCTCTCTACGCAACAATGCTGCGAGAGTCCGGATTACCATATGTAGGTAGGTAGGTACCTACCTCCTACCTGACGTGGGTTGGGACGTAGGTACCTAAGGTACCAATAAACCCCAACACATTGCTGTAGGTAAACCGAATGTGTACCTAAGGTAGGTACCCGCAAATATCATGGAAGCTTATGAAAAGGAGTGCGTAATGTGCCTCCTTTCCTACCTACTATACTCCTACAAACCTAACTCGTACCATAATTCATACCAAGTCATCTGTGGTCAAGTCTGCCGTTGTAGAGGCTCCCCCTAAGTTGAATCCTCCAGTATTAAAATGGCTACGGCAGATACCGAGAACCCGATCCAACTCTCTCTCCCTTTACCACGCTCTTTAGATACGAGGATTCATATGCGCCTAGATATTACGTCCAAAGTTATCGTCATATTCCTCACCACCAAGTCTGTGGATGAGGAGCCTGGAGCAGCACCACTAGGATCGTTCGTCTACGCCTTACCTAACGTATGTAACCTAACCGCCACTCATGAATCTGCGTCTAATATTTTTCTGACATTGTCTGTGCTGCCCGTCTTTAGAAGTACAACCCCAGCCAGCCGCTGTCGACGGCAATCTACTCAGTAGAGGCTACGTTGGAGTTCACCACGCGGCTGGCCAAGATCTTGGCCAAGAAGACGCACATGCCCGTGTACGTGGCGAACTCCATCAGCCTCGCCAGCACGGGGCTCGGGGGGACGGTGGAGGAGGAGATGGAGGCGTTCAGGAGCGTCGTCGATGTCGCTCTCGGTAAGCTTCAGAGTGTCATCAAGCCACCTAACGCCTTGCCAAACGGGACTGGCAGTCCGTGAGGGCGCTACGGATCCCTATGCGGGAAGTGTGTTTTTGGGGAGTAGGTGGCATAGCGCCTTTGCACAATGCCAGCCTTATATAAGAGCCTCGATGGGTCGCGCGGAACCTCGCACGGTAGCCCCCGATAGGAGCTAGGCCGGCGGCTGTCGTCCGTATCTGTCGAGAGAAGCACGTGTGTATTCGGCAAGCTCTCGCTTGCCGTAGACCCAGAGGCACACAGAACGGGGTTCTCGTGAGACTAGACCACCTTGTTTAGTTCGGCGTGCTGCTTGGGGCGTCGATGTCGTATGAGCATATGCTCCCTAGGCCAGACCGGTCTGCGGAGTTAGGCAACCATATACGAGACCTATTAATCCTTCCATCCGTTTGCACGGTGGCTGTACGAAGAGGCACGGATTATAACGGCATGGCTGCCCGAGAGCCGTTACCTAGTTACGGAAATGGTCGTGCTCACTTCTGTCCAATACCCATAGCTCACTGCATATTCAATAGGAGTTGGTGTTGTGAAGGTTCGCCGGCCTACCCTAATGCATCGTCAACGGCCGTTCCCTAGAAACCCCCTCAAGCCGAGGCCATCCAACTTTACCTGTCTTAGGCTACGTATGAGTCTCAGGCTGCTAGAGAAAGCCCCTTCCCGAGTGGAAGAGGGGCTATATGAGTCAAGTACGAGCCGTCGACGGTATCCTATTTCCCTTGAATACGAACCTATATACCGGCTGCCTGGTCTCACTTTCGTGCTTATTATTAACGTTTGAATGGGGTTTATATTGTTGCCATTGGGTTATCCCGTCGCAGACACCTCTATCCTATCTCCCCCCCCTTCACTCGTATCACATCACCTACTTGATCGACGAGCAGTACATATGCCTTTTAAAACTCGGCCCATCGAACCATTCTTGTCTAACCAAACCCGCCATATAGACGTGGTTCGCCCGAGATACTTGCCATCTACAGCACTCGCGATCGAGACAACGCGTAGCACATATAGGAGGGAGACGCCTACGAGGGGACGTCGGTAGTAGTCTAGAATTCACTAGGCAGTGAGACAAGCATACGGCCTAGGGGGGCCTCTCCACTGCCGACATCGTCCTGCTCGGCCGCCCTGGCCAGGGCAGCGGGCTGATCTGCGTCAAAATCGGCAGCCCGGGCGCGGCTATCTGCATACGTCTTCTTGATCCGTGGTCTCTTCCCGACACATACGCGTGCGACGCAACCCCCGCCAGGATCGCCATCACCACCACAACCCGCCACCCACCGCTCGGGCGTACGTTACTTAGTAGTAGACGGCATAGAAAGGAGGGGGCAGGGAAGTCGTAGGATGTTTTCCTTTCCTTCCTTCAGAGGTAGGGTGCCGTCGATGTGCGGCAGCTGGCGGATTCAATAATGAATGCCCTGTGCAGATCCCCGGGTTCTACGGCATCTGGCCTGTCAAAAGTGGCTTGAAGGAAAAAAGTGATTACCTGAGGACAAACTTGAGGGGAAGGGAAAGCGGCCCAGGGAGTGGCCAGGAGATTGCTCACCAACCCGCTTGGGAGAAGCAGCATACCCGTACATGGGTGCGATATCGTATGTATCGAGATTACCTCTCGGGATGGGACAGCCAAACCGGATCCCGTGATATTAAAGAAACCCAGCATCGAAATGTTTGTGTTTCCCGTCGGCCTGAGGGTGCCGCTCACTGTCCCTTGGGGGCCCTTCCCCGAACCCTCAGCTGGACAAGCCCCACGGGAAGTGAATAATGATAGATATGAGAGATGACGGGGGAAACGGAGGGGTAGGCATGGGGATTGACGGGAGGTAGGGGTGATGTACAGGATTTCGTCATAGTGTCGTCCAGATCCCCAGCTGCTCGCCGCCACCGATTCACCTCGTATGTATGCAATGTGTTTATGTATGCCCAGTACCCGATTCTTGTCTCGATGTTCCCTCTGGCCCTTCGTCTTCTCGGTGTGAAGCCATCACCTGCCCGCCCCGGAAACAGGAGGGATGCCCCCAAAACAAAAGGGCAATTAAACCGTGGCAGCCTTTGGCTGACTTGCATCGGCCTGTACCCATCGCGCTGCTTCCACACTGTCTGCCTCCTGGGTAGATAACTTTGGTTTTCGTCCACGTTGATTTATTTTTAGACGAGGGGGCACTTCTTTAATAACAGCAGCCGTCTGGCCCGGCATCGTCTGGGTGGCGATCCGCGTCGCACCGGGGAGGAGGGCGTGCGGTGCCGCGGGTGGCAGTTCATTTCAGTTGCTGCTGTCACGGTGACCTCTCTCCTACACATTGCATGGCATATTTCGTATTCAGAGAGCCCGACCTGGCGGCCTCGTCGCACGGGCTACGACAGTATAGTACCGGCCGTAGTGGAAGGGACCACGAGGAGAGGCGAGTAGGTATAGGTGAGACCTGGCACCGGACGCTCTGTGCGCGGGCCGAATGTGCGTAGGCATACGTGTTCGGCGGGCGTGTCAACGCGTCGGTACGCTTGTTCTCACTCGCTAGCCTCACAGGCGGCCGGATTTATACGCGGAGAGGATAGGCGGGGAGAGGAATATAGAGACGGAGGCCGGAGAGCACGGCGTACACTAGATGGCCAGGGCAAGGTCAGCTGCCCCGTGGACCTGGGGTCTGCAGCGGGCGATGGAGTAGTGGAGACGTGGGTATCGGGAATGGGCTGGACGCTTCACCCGCGTTGAGGGATCTGCCTCTGAAAATCTTGTTTGATTCTTCTACCGCTTCGAGGGTGCCGAAGCTGTGTGCTACGCAAGCTTTGATTGAGCCGTGCGTAATTGTCAGGCCTTGTTTGAGGCCTGGGGGTTGTTTTGTTGCACGGAGCCGCGGCGAAGGTAGAAAACGAATCCGTAAACTGGCTGGCCTCTACATCCCTACGTATGCCTTGCCTACCTACCACCTCCTGCTAACCATTGCCAAGCCTGATGGGAAGATATTACTGAGTAATTCCTACAGAGAGGGAACGGTAGAGGTAGTTATTACGTAAGGATGGGTAAGAAGGAGACTTCAGGTAGCTACCTGGTACCTACCTCTTAAACTGCCTTCCGGGCCATGCATGGCAGGTACCTAACCTAATAGGGTTGCTTTTCCCCCTGGGAAACTGGTACGATTACAGAGTCTAAACAGGTACGTAACCCGATATTATGCACATATTTTATATTTTATTAATATGGGAGATCCCGCTCGCCCACCGTAAATTACTGTGCTACGTAGTATACCACTGCCTGCAGCGATGCGAGTATGAGGCCCTCTGCCATATGTCAACTTAGAGGTTAGGCGTATACGTATACGCAAGTAAATCACTTAATGTAGGTAGATACGCACCTAGGTACCTCCTCTATAAATACATACCTACCTAAGGAGAGGCAGCCTATCCACTTTCGGATACCAGAGAGGTGGGGAGACAGGTATCTGCCTATTAGTGGCATATGTACGTGTACAGCCTACCGTAGGTAGGTACCTTCTCCTAGGCTTACCCAGACCTGGCTAGAGCTTCATGCGTCATGTGCCCAGGGCGCTATCACCGCGCCGTTAGCTGGTGACTGTACCCAAGCCAGAGCCAGGCCAGCAAACTCCTCCCTACCCTACCAACGTTCACAGGTCGGCCCCCCGGCTGCTTGAATTTACGTACAACCTCCTACACATAGGTACCTAGGTATGTGTATTACACATCGACCTGGAGACAGGTCAAGAGGATATGGGACTGGCTCTATGTAGCCTACCCGGTGCCTACCCATGCAGAGGTAGGTAGGTATGTTATAGTGGTTGCATAGCCAACTTAGGTACCTACCTACCTAGGTACCCAGGTATGATAGAGTATGCACGCACATGTTGGGTACCTACCTAGATGTACGTAATGTACACACCATCTAAGCCGCTGTGGGGCCGTAGGAGATATACATTAATAGATAGGTACCTGGTCGACACACACTATGAGCACTACAGGTTAAGTACCCGGGTACCCACTTAGGTCAGTGTGGAGAGTGTGGGTGCAACCTGATGTTTTCCGTCGTCTTGCTTGACCAGCTGTTTATACTCTTACAGCCGAGTACCCCTCTCCATGTACCTGCCTTTGAAGAAGGTGGGCAGTCCTAACCGGTGGGGCGGAAGTGCATACATGCATACCTATATTAGGTACATGCATTATGTACAGATGGGGAGGATGGAAAGGGTTGAAGAAAAAAAAAAAAAAACTAAGAAGGGGGAGAAGAAAGAGGAAGGGGAAGTGGAGGGAGAGAAGGTTGCGGAAGGAGAAGAGGAGTCAACATAGCTAAAGTCACTAGTGGCGTGTGTAAAAAAAAAAAAAAAAAAAAGGTGCATGGCTCTCACCACCACCCCACCAATTAATTGTACCAGTTTTATCCATGAGCCCTGAGAGGCCCTCACCACATCCTCCCTCCCCCCCAAAATCCCACCCTTTGGTAACTCCCAAGGTCACGGCCCCCCCCTTTCCGGACCACAAGATCGATGAACTGTCTATCGATTCCTCCGGGTCACTTGTTACTTACCGTTGGATGTACCCCGATTCTCTTGTGACAATCCAACAGAGCCGTGACGACGACAACAGCCAGGCCGCTCGCCCTTCATTCATTCCACTTACCTCCCATCCCTACTTACACACTACCGCCCCTCGACAAGACAGATCAAGCACGACACAGATCGAGCGGACCCCAGGACAGCATCAAAGAGGGGCCCATCTTGCTGTTTTATCTCAATTATCCCCCGGCTCCCGTCCCTCTGATATTACCAGCATTTTGCCGTCTTTCCTCTCCCGACTCGGTTCAGTTGCTTTCAGCACACACCCCCACCATCACCAGAGAATCCCCATGATATTACTACCATCACCGCGGGGAGCCCATACCTGACCGCCTGTCTCTGCCTGCCTGCCTGCTTCCCACAGCTGTCGCAACACCTCGGGTATCCTCTCTAGACGCCTAGGAGAGTCGAGCACAGCCATTCGAACCTCTTATCTCGAATCCCGCTTCCCCCCCCCCCCCCTTCCCGCTGCCCACCATGGCATGGCAGCCCTCACCCGAGTCCCTGAGCACGCTGGCTGCTTGTCTCAAGGACTCCCTCAGCGGATTTGACGTCGCTGCCCAGAAACATGCCGAGAATGTGAGAGAAGACATCCCTTCCCTTGTCTGCGCTCCTGTCGTCGATAGGCCGTGGGCGTCTGTCGGATCCTCAGCACGCATTTTCGCCGGCGCAAGCTAACAGAGGCTCCCCTCCCTTCAGATGCTCACCCAAGCAAAGGCGTCTCCCGACATCAATAACTATCTCATCTATCTGTTCTCGAGCCAGGAGCCCCCCGCCGGCCTGCAGTGCTCCGTTCAGGACTATTTCCTCGTGCGGTCCGCTGCCGCGATCATGCTCAAGAACAACATCAAGACCGGTTCGAGGCAGATCGCTGCCAACAGCCTCGACCTGATCAAGATGGCGATCCCGCTCGGCCTGCAGGATAAGAACAGCCAGATGCGCAACTATGCTGGCAATATCGCGACCGAGATGATCCGTCGAGGCGGTATCATGAGTTGGCCCGAGCTGCTGCCGGAGCTTCTCAAGATGATCGGCAACGAGACCGGCCAGGTCTCGAATGAAGGCCAGGAGGGCGCCATGGCCGCCATGGCCAAGATCTGCGAAGACAACACCAAGATGCTGGAGCGCGAGCTGAACGGAGAGCGGCCTCTGAACTTCATCCTCCCCAAATTGATACAGGCGACTAAGAGTCCCCTGCCCAAGGTTCGCTCCCAGGCCTTGACAGCCATCAACGTCTTTGCTGCTCGAAAGTCCCAAGCCATGCTCAACTCCGTCGACGACTTGCTGCAACATCTATTCACTCTAGCTACGGACGAGAGCTCCGATGTCCGGATGCAAGTATGCAGAGCATTTATACAACTAGTCGAGTCTCGCCCGGATAAGATACAACCCCATCTCCCCGGTCTAGTCGACTACATCATCGCCCAGCAGCGGAGCGGCGATGAGGATCTAGCCTGCGATGCGGCCGAGTTCTGGCTGGCGGTCGGAGAGCACGAGCATCTGTGGCAATCCCTAAGTCCGTATATCGGCAAGATTATTCCGGTCCTGCTCGAATGCATGGTGTACAGCCCCGAGGACATCGCCCTGCTCGGCGGCGCGTCTGACGACGAAGACGAGGAAGATCGGCAGGAAGACATCAAACCTCAGTTTGCCAAGAAATCGTCGACGCGGCAAGCCAACGGCGAAGGCCCCGCGGATCCTTCGCAGAACGGAAACGCATTCGAGAAACTGGCTAGCATGGACGACCTCGAAGAAGGCGAAATCGATGACCTGGAAGACGGCGACGACGCAAATCCCGACGAGAGGTGGACTCTACGCAAGTGTTCGGCAGCTGCGCTAGACGTATTCGCCCACGACTTCGGGGATCCTGTCTTCGAGTCGATCCTGCCATACCTGACCAAAAATTTGAAGCACGCCGACTGGCCATATCGCGAGGTGGCGGTGCTTGCTTTGGGTGCTGTGTCCGAAGGCTGCATCAACGTAGTGACGCCTCATCTCCCTGAGCTTGTGTCGTACCTAATATCCCTCTTGAACGACCCCGAGCCCGTGGTTCGGCAGATCACCTGCTGGACGCTGGGCCGTTATTCCGCCTGGGCCGCGGATTTAGCCGATCCAACCCAGAAGCAGCTCTATTTCGAACCGATGATGGAGGGTATCCTCACCAAGATGCTAGACAGCAACAAGAGGGTCCAGGAGGCTGGGGCGTCTGCTTTTGCCAACCTCGAGGAGAAGGCGGGAAAGCGACTGGAGCCTTACAGCCTCCCAATAATCCAGCAATACGTTAAATGTTTTAAGAAGTACAAGGACCGGAATATGTACATCCTCTACGATTGCGTGCAGACGTTGGCGGAAAATATCGGGCCCGTCCTCGCTCGGCCTGATCTGGTCAACGAATTGATGCCGGCTCTCATCGAGAGGTGGACCAAAGTAACGGACCAGTCTCGAGAACTCTTCCCCCTGTTGGAGTGCCTGTCCTACGTTGCGATGGCACTGGGCGACGCCTTCACCCCATACGCGCAGCCGATATTCGCTCGCTGCGTCAACATCATCCACCGGAACCTCGAGGCGTCTCTTGCCTTGGCCAATGACCCGTCCATCGACGGCCCCGATAAGGACTTCTTGGTCACGAGTTTAGACCTCCTCAGCGCCATAATCCAGGCGCTCGATCGGTCCAAGTCTGCTAAGCTCGTCCAGGAGTCCCAACCGGCGTTCTTCGAACTCCTCACGTTCTGCATGGAAGACCCGACAGACGAAGTACGGCAGTCGGCGTATGCGCTTCTCGGAGACTGTGCGAAATATGTGTTTGCGCAACTGGAACCCTCGCTGCCGAACATCTTCTCCGTGCTTCTAAAGCAACTGGACCTGGATAGCATTCTAGACGAGGATATGGACAGCGGGTTTGGCGTGGTCAACAATGCGTGCTGGTCCGCGGGCGAGATTGCCATACAACACAAGTCGCGGATGGCGCCTTACGTGCCCGAGCTTTTCCAGCGCTTTGTCGAAATCGTTACCAATCAGGGTATCCCTAAGGGGGTGACGGAGAATGCTGCCATCGCGCTAGGACGCCTTGGACTCGGTAACGGCGAGCTCCTAGCACCGCATCTAGCCGGCTTTGCGGAAGATTTTCTCAAATCCATGGACGAAGTAGACCCATCCGATGAAAAGGCGACAGCCTTCCGAGGTTTCACTGCGATCGTGGAGAAGAATCCTATGGCCATGGAGAAGTCACTCTTACACTTTTTCACTGCCATTGCCCGATATAGAGACTTGAAGCTGCGCAGCGAGACCAAGAACGGACTGCACGAGGACTTCCAAAAGGTACGTGCGAGTTGGGTATCAAAATTGCCCGGATTGCGAGGTCTAACATCAAACTAGGCTATTGGTATTTACCGCCAGATTATCCCGCAGTTTGACCAATTCTTCGGCCAGCTGCAACCTCAGGACCAGGAGGCCCTAAGGACGACGTATGCCTTTTAAACTAACGACACGGAGAACGGTATGACTAGGGATTTAAACAGCACTTGAAGATATTGGGCAGACTTCCCTCGTGCCTCTCCTGTGGTTTTCGCCATTGGTGGTATCAACATTCCGGGACCTATAGCAACTCGCCACCCCTTCGGTATCTGAGGCGAACCACGGAGTATGGGCATGTGCGCCACGTCGATGGCATCCAGGGGCCGTCGCCCTAGGTCTGCGTCGAGGCGTATCAGTGTATGCGCGATCTTTGTTTATCGACATCTCTACGGCTGGATAGGAGAAAGGATGGTTTTGAGTTGTGGACGGAACCAACCGTCACGCACAACTTTAAGTAGTATGGAATGGATACGATTTGGCCGAAGGAGAGAAGCCATGAAAAAAAGCAACGAGCGGATAGCGCTCATACGTCGATGACGACGATGACGATGATGCCACCCACGGGTTGGTAGCAGGACTTGGACTTGGTGTGCCAACGAGAACGTGATAGCCTACCGGGCGTTTGCTACGTTCATCGTAAACACGCATTCATACCCACACGAACTCTACCACACGTACACATCTCACACATATTCACACACTTACACGAACACTTTTAGTAGATAGCACGTAGATAGACAATTTTGTTTCGCTCCGGGATCTCCCGCGAGAGAGAGAGGAAGAGAGAGAGGAGGGGAGGGGGGGCAGAAGCTCCTCTCATGTACCTCCTGTTTAAAAGAGGGAGGTGAATGAAAAACAAAGTAATGAGAGGAAAGATATACCTTGATACCAGATGACACGATTCCGATACGCCGAGGGGGGGTGAAGCAGCTGGGAAGAAGCAAAAATGAGAGAAGAATGGGTAGAAACGAATGAGATAGAAACGAAGCAATACGTAATATTTAGTCCGCGTGTTTTTTCCCCCTTCTTCTTCCCCCTTCTCCTCCTCCTCTTCTCCACCCCCTCCCACCCCTTCCGTTCTCCATCTCTCGCACGTAAGCACGTATCCGCGCAACGTATATATGTATATACGTGCCTAGGTAATACGGCACGTCGCTCACGTCAGAAGACGACGGGCTTCCGGGCCGGCGGCGACGGAGCTGCGTGGGCGCGTTCGCGGTAGGGGCTACGGGTGCGCGAGACGACGGGAGCGCGAGGCAGAGCCAGGCGAGCAGGACACGCGAATCGTCGAGCGAAGTTTAGCTAGCTAGCTGGCTACCTATCTAAGCAGACGGGGAGGTATCTAGAGGGAAAGCAGACAGGCAGACAGGCAGGCAGGCCCGCTGTGCGGATATATAGGCAGCGAGGGTGCGAGGGCGCGGCAAGGCTATACTCGTCGATATGCCCGGCAGCCTTCCCCCTCGCTGCGACTTCTCTGTAGAGTAGCACAAGGACGCCTTACGTTCCCGTTGTATACTTTCCCTCACCCCTTCGGCTTCACGTCGGAAGTGAAAAGGCCCTGTCTCTCCCCCTTCCCTGTATATAAAAAAAACAAAACAAAGTCGTAACGGACGAATCACCGGCCCCGACCTCGGTGCTGGTGATAATCCCAACCCCCGCGATGGCCGTGACCGTGATATTCTCCCCTCCCGCCCCGTCCGTACTGCTGCGGGGGCACCGGCGGCGGAGGCGGCGGGGCCGGCCACCCGCCCATCGCTGGCATACCCTGGAGCCACGTCGGTGGCATGCCGCCGATTGGTGGTGGTGGTGGCGGCGGAGGGTGCGGCAGCCACTGGCCTTGGAAGTTCGGAGGTAGAGGTGGAGGTACGATGAACTGGCTAAAGTCCGGCGGTAGCGGGAAAGAGTGCGGTTGCGGAAAAGGCGCGGGGTTCTGGTACTGGGGGTTTTGTGGTGGCGGCGGCGGCGGCGGTGGCGGCGACGTCCGGCCTGGAAAGCCGGTTTGCTTGCCGTTCGGGTTAGCGTAGTGATGGGGGGGATCGTAGGGTCGCGGGGGAGGCAGCGAGCTCCGTCCTTGGGACTGCGAGAGCGATCTGTCAGGCCGCCGGTCCCTCGAGGGCGAGGGCGACCTCGAGCTGCTGTACGATCGGTCCCGGCGCCGCCCCCTGCTGCTATAGCCCCGCCGGCGATCCCGACTCCCGCTTCTGCTCGAGTCCCGGGAGCCGGAAACTCTCTGCCGTTTGAAGGCCGGCCGCGACGGGCTCCGAGACGAACTTCGAGAGCGCGAGCGCGAAGTGCTCCGGCTACGACCACGGCCAGGGCTACGGCGTTTGCCCGCCCTAGCCTTCTCGCGTCGCTGTTTCATCTTCTCGCAGAAGGCGCGAGACCATCCGTAATAGGTTTCTCCGTCGATAACCTCCCCGGTGATTTCGTCAATCGTGATCCGCTGTCCGAGCTGATTGATGCTCTCGGCGGGCCGGTCGATTTCGCGCGCGTCCTTATTGTAGATGCGGTCCACGTCAGCTAGCAAGGCTCGCACGGCTCTGACGAGATCCTTATCCGCAGGTCCCACGGTAAGCTGTAGTGGCTTGATCATATCCGGGTTTATAGGCCTCGTGGAGTTGGGCTCGAGGGCAGAGAGCCAATTCGCCGCAGGCAAATCGTACCACGACGCGGTCGCGTCGCCGTGCATAGCCGGCATGATGAATGGAGCCTCTCTCGCGGATTTCGTGCCCGTAGCCGGAGCGCCGGCAGCCACGGCATCGGGTTTGGGTTCCGAATTGGGCGCCTCCTGGATGGTGGTCTGTAGCTTCTGGAAAAAGGCTTGCGTGAAATAACCGTTCTCGTTCCACAGGTCTACGAGTTCGTCGATCTTCTTGGCGTGCTTCGGGGAGTTCGGAAAAGCCGCGGCGGCCCGGACGAGGCCGAGTATGGCTGGTTCGAGCTTCTCGGCGAAGCTCGAGTCCCGGTCCCGGACGTGGACGTGGTAGAGCACATCGTTGAGAAGATAGAGCGTGTGAAGTCGTTTCCGTTTTGAGGAGGGCTCGCGGGCTTGTCTGCTGGCGGCAATATCCAGGGAGTAGGAGTTGGCCAAGGCTATGAGATACTTCCCCAGGGCGGCGATCCTAGCGGGGGACGGGACCAAATTCTTCAATATCCACTGCTTGCATTTCTACGCGACGACCGTTTAGCCGTGGCACAAGATACCAAGTTTCAAAAGATTGTGTTGCTCAAACCTGAACATTGGGCGGGGTGCATCGCGAGATGGTCGCGTCGAGCAGCTGGAGAAACTCGTCGATCTCGGGGCGCGAGCAGGGGGTCGGGTCCGGACGAAGGAGAACAGCAGAGAAGGAAACCCTCGCGATTGCGAGCTGCGGAGATGCCATGGTGATGAGATAGCGGCAGCGACAGGGCCGTGGGAGCGCATGCTCTTGAATTAGGAGGGTTGCGAACCACCAGGAGGTAGGAAAAGGGTAGGAAGTTAGGTATGTGAAATGAGGAAGACGAGCAGAGGCGCCCGGCTCGGCGCAGGTTTCCCTTCATTGCGTTAGGTTAGGTACCTACCTCCTCTCCGCTAGGGTGCTCTTAGGTACATAGAGGCTACTTAGGATCTGTGCCTGGTCCTGGAGGTACTTAGGGCACTGCTTTTTACGACAGAGTTGTGTTATGGAAAGAGGTACCTACCTAATGTAAGTACCCGTAATGTACCTAATGTAGGTACCTAACGTAGGTAGGAGATGAGCTAAACAACGAAGACTACCAAGTAGCGCTGTTAGGAATCGAACCTGTCCTTCGTAAAGTAACCTACTGATCTGTCGGTAAAACCGAGGACAAATCTGGGTCCTAAGTACCTGTAGGTACCTGGCGTGTGCTGGAGTTCTGCTCAAGTCCGGTGGGGCCAAATCGGGAAAGATGGCTGCCATTGTGAGCCGCCGATCAAGGGCATTGACGAGACCCCCTCCACAGCTTCATCCCTCTGCCAATCTTGGCCGTGTCGCAGACATTTTGAGGGCACATTATAGTCACCAGCTCCGATGTTGCTAGCCTGGTGAAAGTCCATGGTCTCCATGCCTGTGAGGTTTCAGCAGCTAGGCGTGCGCGGCATGCACCCATCTGTTATGTCATGGCACTTGGCATCAACCCGACAGCACAGAACCTATTATTACTCTAGTAGCGACAACTTACAACCACCTCCCCGGAGTAGAGTATGTATACTGATCAAAATGTTTTGGCGCAGAAACTTCTATACATGGAATTCTGATAATGGTCTCGTCATTGGGCCGAGATGGGCCCCGCCGTATCTACCATGACTAGGAGAAGCGATCGCCTTTTGGACTCTTAAACGGGGTACTGCTTTCGTACTTGCTCTTTTCTATTACTTGCTGTCCTTCTGTGGCGGGGGCATGCCTGGTCGGAGCGGGATCTCTGCTCGCCTCTTGACTTGGTGAGCCGGCGGTATCGGTTCGGGCTGGCGCTCCATTGCCATTGCCGTTCGCGGTCGCTGCGGATACGGGCTTGTCGGGAGGGTTGCTCGGATATTCGAGAGTGTCGATCACCTGCTTCCTTCGCCGGCTTTCCTCCAGGCGCGCAGCTCTGTCGGCATTGATGCTCTTCTTCGCAAAGTAGTACGCTCCGGCACCGGCTACACAGATTGCACTTGTTAGCGCCCAGCGGACGAGTTCGCGACGCGCAGACCAGAAAGCGGACGCATACCTAGACAGAGGGAGCCCCAGCCGAACCTTGGAAAGGGCAGCGGCAGTTAGCAACGCGATCGATTGGGTGGCGCGTCATTGGCGGTGAATCAGCACCTACCAGAACGATTTGGCCTGGGAAGGAGAGGGGCAAGTTAGTAGTATTCGACACTGGCGACACTCTGTGCGGTGGAACACATACCGTATTCATCTTGGGCACTGAGCCGTCGCTTGTAAGTTGGACAATGAGAGCGCGGACGGCGATGCGAGGGAGACGGTGTAGCTGCGTTGCAGTGGAAAAGCTTCAAAGAAAAATTAAGAAAAAAAAAATGATGAAGACGGGGAAAACGATCGAAAAATCGACGCAAGTTTAGGTACCTACAGGTTGCATATGCCCGGATTGGTCCCATTCTCGTCAGCGACTTCGCACTTTAGCATTACCTACGTCCTGTCCAGGAAGGTGAGGTACTCGGCTGCTAGTACATTAGGTTAGGTTGGAGGTGGATAGGTACAGGTAGATAGAGGTAGGTACCTAAAGCACCTAAGGTGGGGACTTACAGGCTCTATTTTTAGGCACGTTTGCCTCCGTAACCACTGACGAGTCTGATGTATAATGTGTACGAGGCCTACCAGGAGACGAGCTAAATAGGTAACGGAGACTACCAAGTAGCGCTGTTGGGAATCGAACCTATCCTCCATTAAGTAACCGATTGATCTCCAGGGAGAGATGTGTGTAGGGTACATGCTGCACATCACAGCCTTAGGTGAGATGTAATGTACTCTACCTACCTTTGATGTCTACTCGGGTACGAGACCGGGGGGGATTCAACTACATAGGCTGTACCCGGCGCCGGCCGGTAGGCGTTGTCGATGTTAGGATGGTTGTCACAGACAATCCCGGGAGTTGAGTTCTGGGTTCCCCGTCTTTCCGCCGCCTCTCTCGAGATTGCCAATTGCCATTCCGCGCCTGCGCCTGGCGATAACGTGCCTCAGCCAAGTACACGGTATTCCCGTACACATCCCGTACACATTACGTACCTCCACCTACCTGCTTTACCTGCCTTCCATCTACTTGTACGCAGGTACACCCACGTGTACCTAACAGATAAGGCACCTAACCCAGGGGGTGTGTGTACTGAAGCCCGGCGCAATCTCCACGCCGTGTCGCATCGAACCTTTTCGAACGACTAGTGAATCTCATACCGGCACGGTCCCCTACTTTCGATGGGTACCTACCTAGGTAGGTACCTATCTCGTACGTGCACGCCCAATGTGGGTGGGATGCCCACACGTACCTGTACCTCACGCCTCACGTACCGCCCGGAATGACGCGTGTGGTGTACATGCGAAGCCATACCCACGAGCACTCGGGCGTGTAGGCGATGATTCAAGTCCTCAGGTACACACACTTCAGGTAGCCCTTCCGCCGCTCATCGCTTCCGGCCGACACGCGGGCCAGCGCCAAGTCACGGCCCTGTATTCCTTTTGCTCTCTCCGTGTTACCGACTGGCCGTTTCGCATATTACCTTAACCCGTCGCCGGTCTCCAGGGCAGGTGGGAAATCCCCAACCCGAGACCAAATCAAATCAAAAACCGCCTGCAGACCCGTCTTTCATTTCCAAGACTCGGGAACCAAACCCAGACCAGCCGCCCCAATAGCAACTTACATACCAGCATAGTCGCGTTACGCCCGCTCATTTACGCCCTCTCTCCCTCTCCCTCTGTCTCTCCTTTTTCCTCCCTCTCCCTCCGAGTATGGTACACAAAGGGTCGGAACATGACTACGATCGACAGCCCCGGCCGACCATTGATAACGACAGCATCGAGTCTGACAGCATTGCCTAGGTCATATTACCGCAGCGGCGAAGCCCCAGCCCCAGCGCCCACGTGCCTCTACGTCTTATCCCGCCGTCACACTCGCTAGACTGGAACAAACGCGACCGAAACCTCCTCACCCACCACCTGTGCCGTCGAATTTGCCAACCCGAAGACCTGCTGGATTTGCTGTTGGATGATTTCGAGGGTCCCGACTCGAAGTTAGTAATGCCGTCGAAGCAGGAGGGTCGGCATATCGTAGGCTTATAGACGCAGCCTCTCCTCGCCATGGAGTCCCACGGCCAAGATGGGCCTGACGGCTCGTCCCTAGTAGGGTCCCCTCCCTTCGCGAGCGTGGGCTAAATTATATGCTGATGGGCCCTGCAGAAACCAGTCTCGTCCTTGAGATCCCATTTCGAGAATATGACCAAGTCCAAAGACGGCCTCAAGGATAGTCCGGCTCCTGCCCCTCCTACGCGCAATCAGTCGCCGTCTTCGATACCGCCCCCGGTCCCGGACACGAGACCCAGCCGGACTGTGAATGTGCCGCAGGAGAATGGGTGGGCAAAGCAGCCGAAGGACGTGGCGAATTCCTCGGCGCCCCGGTTACAAAACCCCGGCGACGCCGGTCCGGGGTATCGCTCCTCCGTACACATCATCGCCCCTCCGCCGCTGAGCCCCAGACCTATCAAGCCTCCGGCTGTCCTAGTCGAGCCGCCACAGTCGCCCCCGAAGCCGAGACCATTCTCTATGCTGCAGAGCGACACCACGGCTCGCCTGAATCCCGATATCTCGAAAACTCCCACTACGCCGACCGCACCTTCACCTCGATCCTTCAAGATGCCTACTCGGCCAAATACCCCGATAGTCGAACCCGGCCGAGCCCCCAGGCCCCCGGTTGTCTCCCAGCCACCCTCGCCGCCACCGCCGCGAAGATCTGCAGAGCTGCGGAGAGAACGCGAGGCCAGGGCTTCGCCTCCGATCCCGCCACCGATAAACCGCGCCGAGAAACCTGCCAATCGCCTGTCGAGACTGATGGGCAATGCCCCTAAGCTGGAGATGAGTCCTCAGGTTCCAGACCGACGTTCGCCGTTCAACAGCCCCCCTACTACTGCTAGCAGCCCCGAGATCGAAGAGCCTCCCCTAGTACCGAACCGACCCGCACGTCCACTTTCCCAAAAGGTGCCGCCAAGGGTTATACCGATAACCTTCGATCCTCCTCCCGTGCATCTTACTATTGCGAATATAAGGCGGGACCAGGAGGCCAATGGGATCGCCAGAACACCTATCGCAACTCAATTCTCCGACGACCGATCCGCACCCGCCCTCCCCGCTCGGCCACAGACGGTTCCAGACCCGGCGTCCGCGCGTGCCCCAGCGAACGCGCCCCTGAAGCCGCCGCCTCGGCCCCCGCGACCTACCGTGGCAACCGTTAGCCCAAGCGTAGACGCCCCCGTGTCTTCCCAGGCCGCGCGTGCTGTCTCGACTCCAACTACGCAATTTGCGCCGCCTCCGTCGCGGACTCACGGAAGATCCCTGACTGTGGACAAGGGCGCCGAAAAGATCCCGGCCGACGGCCATGAACCTTCGAGGAGGCCTGCCGCAAGTCATCCAAACGGCCACCCTTCCGATTCCCCAGTTTCGGGCACTACAAGCCACACAGAAATCATAACACAATTCCCCGATTCGGCGAAAATAAATCGCCGACCGCCTGTCATAAAGCAAGGCGCACACGAAATCAATACCAAATACGATACGAGGGTATTCGACGTTTGTGGACAGTACGTGTGCACCGCCGGCCAGTTCACTCGGGTCTGGAGTCTACTCGATGGCGAGCAGGTCGTGAGCTTTGCTCACGGCGAAGGGGTTCGGGCCACCGCGGTATCATTTAAGCCCACTCTCGACATCCAGGATGAGGGAATGCGCCTTTGGATCGGTAACAACGTCGGCGAGCTCGTAGAAGCCGACGTCGGGACCCAAAGCATAGTCGGTAACAAGACGAACGCCCACGGCCGAAATGAAATAATCAAGATCTACAGGTATTACAACGAGATGTGGTCCCTGGATGATGGGGGTACTCTGCATGTCTGGGGACCGGACGACGAAGGAATTCCCAACTTGGCCATCAACCCTCACCAGACCTACAGGCTGCCTAAGGGGCACACCTTTTCGATAATAGTCGACGGAGAGTTGTGGCATGCGACCGGGAAGGAGATCCGCATATTCGCGCCTACCGCCAACGGCCGAAATCAAGTACAAGTCCTCATGAGACCTCTCGTCGCGGAGGGAGCAGGCGAAGTAACGTCTGGCGCTCTCCTCAAATCGCAGCCTGGCAAGGTGTTCTTTGGTCACAACGACGGCAAAGTGAGCATCTACTCCCAAAAGGATTTCGCATGCCTCAGCGTGCTTAACGTCAGCACCTACAAGATCAACTCTCTAGTCGGCGTAGGGGGGCGTATGTGGGCCGCCTACAACACTGGCAAGATTTGCGTCTACGACGTTTCCGAGTCACCCTGGGTCGTCAAGAAGGACTGGCAAGCTCATAGCAACCCGGTTGTCAAGCTCGTTGCCGACCCGGCGAGCTTCTATAAGCTGGATCGATCTCAGGTAGTGTCTCTCGGAGCCGACAATACGGTCAGATCGTGGGATGGGCTATTGCAAGACGACTTCCTAGAAACCGAGATGAAAACCCTCGACAAGCAATATTGCCAATTCGAGGACATAAAACTGTTGGCGATGACGTGGAATGCCGGGGCATCGACCCCCAACAGTCTCAGATATTCCGACTCCGACGCCATGTTTATGCAAAATCTGCTGCAGTCGAGCGATTCTCCGGACATTCTCGTCTTCGGATTCCAGGAGTTGGTGGATCTGGAGGATAAAACCGCTACGGCGAAGCGCTTCTTCAAACCGAAGAAGAAAGATGCGACGGACCAAGAGCGGATGAGCCATCAGTACCGAGATTGGAGGGACTTCCTCGTTCGGTGCCTCGACGACTTCTTGCCCAGTTCCCTATATCACCTACTGCAAACCACGACGCTCGTTGGACTCTTCACCTGCATATTTGTGAAATCGACGCTCCGCGATCGTATACGAAATCTCGGCAGCGCCGAGATCAAACGTGGGATGGGGGGCTTGCACGGGAATAAAGGCGCCATCGTCGTGCGGTTCATGGTGGACGACACCTCGCTCTGCTTCATCAATTGCCATCTCGCGGCCGGCCAGTCGCAAGCCAATCACCGACATAACGATATCGCCGCCATCATGGAAAGCGCCCTCCTTCCCGGGGAACGCGACCCTAGCGTTCGTATCGACAGCTACGTCGGCGGCGGCGACGGGACCATGGTGCTCGATCACGAGCTCTGCCTGCTAAACGGCGATCTCAACTACCGTATCGACACCATGTCGCGGGATACGGTCGTGATCGCGGTGAAGCAGAACAATCTCGCCAAGCTCCTCGAGCGAGATCAGCTCCTCGTCGCCCGTCGGAGGAATCCGGCATTCAAACTTCGGGCTTTCGAGGAGATGCCGATCGAGTTCGCGCCGACGTACAAGTACGACGTAGGGACGGATACGTACGACAGCAGCGAGAAGAAGCGTTCTCCCGCCTGGTGCGACCGCCTCCTCCACCGGGGTTCTGGCAGGATCCGGCAACTTGACTACAGGCGACACGAGGTGCGGGTATCAGACCACCGACCCGTGACCGGCCAGTTCAAGTTTACGGTCAAGACCATCTCGCCTCAGAAACGAACGTTGGCTTGGGCGGACTGCCAGCAACGTTTCGAGGACCTCAGGGGGAAGGAGGCGAGCGAGGAGATGTGAGTGTGCCCTTCCTCTTCACGCGGATCTCTCTATACATGCCATAGACTATAAGTGCTGACTTGAGAAAAGGCTTAACTACCTCACCAAATTTATCGGATTTGATATGGAAACGAGTACGGAGCTGTTGCAAGAGAAAGCAGCCAGGAGGGACCACAGGAGTCCAAGCCGACTTAACGAATAGAGTAGAGAAGCGCCGAGGCCGACTCTACATCCTGCTGGGCAGACACGAGGAGAGGAGGGCCGGGTACATAGGCTCGGGAGATGCCAGTGAGGCAATCGAAGCGGAAGATAAGGTCAGCGCAACTGGTTACGAGGTTCGGGAACGACGAAGTTGAAAAGGAAAAAGAAAAAAATTAGATCCGCCAAGGAAGGCGAACGACTCCGACGTCGAGGTATTTGATGTCAAAATTTCACGAGGATCTCGTCGCGAAGCGAGCGACGAGGACGAAGGCACAGCCATAGAGAACCGGAATAAATAATGAAACCCTCTAGAATAGTAGACGCATATTGGTGGTCGGACGGTGTGGCGGCTCGGACGGATTGCTGTATTCGTTTCGGTGTTGACAGAATCATTTCAAGCTGAGGCGCCGCGGATTTTCGTCACCGGATGCCGTCTTGATTGGGCGGAGAACCGGCGAAGGAAGGGAATAAGGGGCCAGAGGTAAGAGGGGTGTAATGAAGTAGGTAGGTTAGGTAGGCATCCATAATTAGGAAAAAACCCCTCGCCCTCGTCCACGCCTCTCTCTGCTAACCGTTGGTAGGGGCTGGCTGCGTCTAACAATGACCGGTAATAGGCAGCAGATAAGAGACAACGGACAACAAACAGACAGACAGAGCCACCAGTATAGCACCAGTATAACCTACACATATATAGTTTTACATGGATATAATTACATACCGCACACACACACACCACACACACACACACACACACACACACCACACACACACACAGAGTACCTACGACATAGGCAACGAGAAGAAAGGATCCTCTTAACCAACCAGCCCCCTTTAGCCCTTTTTCCCCTTGTTTTTTTTTTTTCCTTCACATGCCCGGTCCCTATACAAGCTAGTTCACGGCGAAAGTGGAGTCTGGAGGCTTTTTCTCTAACGTAAGAGTTGGTGTAGGAACGCCCACGACCGGATGCCGGCCGGGCCTAGCCATTTTCGCCCGCATCCTCTCTTATATATTTGTACGTCCCACCGTACTCCCTCTCGTCGGCGAAAATCTCCGGTACAGCATAGAGAACAAACCCGAAAAAAAAAAGGCATTTCGGGTGCTTCTTCGTCTACTCGGGGAACAATTGACCAACGAAACGGAGCGTACGCGGATCTGTGCATGCGCTGCTGAAGGCTGTAGTGATCGGTGCGGGACTTACACCCACCTACAAACCTCACCACACCGCGCGACTTATACAGAGGAACCGTGATAGAGTGAAGCGGGAGACGAGGATGGGCTACAACTTCCCAAGACTTTAATACACGGGCAACCAATTCCTCATTCTTATATTCATTCTTCTCCTTGCTGCCTACCCGGCTGAGAGTGAAAAGAGAGAGACCTCACAACCGGCTGCTTACCTAACCTACTGTCCTACATATCCACCCACCTTACCTGAAGCCATCTTCCTCCTCCTTCCGTCCTCCCCATTCGTCTCCTCTACCTCTCTCTCAACAGGGACATAAAAATTTCTCGAATATCGCCGGCGAGACCATGGGGGCATTCGTGGCAGTCGACAGCGCCGGCGCCGAGCCGTCCACGTACCCTGAGTCGCGAGTACTCATCATCATTACCGGCGGTACTATCTGCATGCGCCCGTCGGCCGGCGGCCTCGTCCCCGTCAATGGTTTCCTCGAGAATGCGATGGCGCCGCGGCCGTCGTTCAACGATATGTCAGAGAGAGGTATGTGTCTGCGTTCACGTGTGCTTTAGTTCCTTGTTACGGCGTGTGTATCGGCTTCGGCGGGCGGAGCTACAAAGCTACGGCGTGTTCGAGACGCCCGCGTATGCTATTCCGTATCTACACGGTGAGAGCAAAATATGGGAAACAAACGGGGATATTGGGGATAGTTGGGAGAGGTTGAGGGGAGTGGGAAAGGGGCGCCATGCCAACTCTTCTACGAAAAGCCAATGTACCTCTTCCGGAGATGTCGCTTGGCATAAAAACAGGCCCCTAAATCAACCGAAAAGGATCAACCGAAAAGATTATACGGCTAACGAAACCGCACATATATGCAGTCCCGTTGACCATTGTTAAAGACGGCACCAAGATCACCGTCGACAGCCTGCGGACCCCGCCGAGCTCGTACTCGCGGCACATCCGGTACGGGGCGCTCGAGTTCGCGCCGCTGCTGGACTCGTCGAGCATCAGCAGCGTCGGGTGGACCCAGATCGCGCGGGCGATCGCCGAGAACTACCACCTGTTCGACGGGTTCGTCGTGCTGCACGGGACCGACTCGCTCGCCTACTCGGCGTCGGCGCTCTCGTTCATGCTCGAGGACCTCGGAAAGCCCGTCGTGCTGACGGGGTCGCAGGCCTCCATCTTCGCGCTGCAGTCCGACGCCGTCGACAACCTGCTCGGCTCGCTCATCGTCGCCGGCACCTTCGTCATCCCCGAGGTCTGCCTCTTCTTTCACCACGCCCTCTTCCGCGGCAACCGCACCACTAAGGTCTCCGCCTCCGCCTTCGACGCCTTCGCCAGCCCCAACTGTCCCCCGCTCGCCCGCGTCACGAGCCTCGGCCTCGACGTCAACTGGGCCCTCGTCCGCCGCCCCACTCGCATCGCCTGCTTCCGCGTCACCCCGTACCTCGACACCGCGCGCGTCGCCTGCCTTCGCATCTTCCCCGGCATCCGCCCCGAGATGGTCGACGCTGTCCTGCGGCTGCCCGGCCTGCGCGGGCTCGTGCTCGAGACCTTCGGCATGGGCAACGCGCCCGAGGTCGGCAGCGGCGACGGCGACGGCGGCGACGGCGAGGGCAGCCTCGCGCGCGCTATCCGCGACGCCGTGGCCCACCGCGGCGTCGTCGTCGTCAACGTGAGCCAATGCACCAGCGGCGTCGTCTCGCCGCTGTATGCGCCGGGATTCGCGCTGGGCCGGGCCGGCGTCGTCTTCGGGCACGACCTCACGTCGGAGGCGGCCCTGACCAAGCTCTCGTACCTGCTGGCGCTCGCGGCCGAGGGCGCGCTGCCCAAGGCCAGCGCGCCCCCCGAGACCGACGCCGAGACCATCGGGCGCCTCATGAGCACCTCGCTGCGCGGCGAGCTGACGGAGCTCGCCCGCCCCTCCTTCACTCACCCCGCGGCCAGCGCGGCCGGGCTGCGCGGCGACGACGACGACGGCCGGAACAATAACGACGGCGCCGGCGCCGCGCGCCTCGGCAAGACGGAGGCCGCGTTCGCCGCCCTCGGGTACGCAATCGCGGCGGGGGACCTGGCGGCGGTGCGGGAGATGCTGGACAGCGAGGCGGCAGCAGGGGCCGATAACGGAAGCACGGTTCGGGGGGATGCAGGGGAGGCGGCGGTCGTGGTGCTGCCGGGAGCGGGAGCGCCGTCGCCGGCGCGGGGCGAGGAACCGGCAGCGGCGCCGCCTCCGCCGGCGGGCCTGCTGCGGGGGGCGGACTACATCGGCAACACGGCGGTGCACCTGGCGGCGATGGGGCCGGAGGTGGCGGTGCTCGAGGAGCTGCTGCGGCGCGGGGCGAGCGTGCACGCGCGCAACCGCGCCGACAACACGCCGCTGTACCTGGCAGAGCGCACCGCCGGCGGCGGCGGCGAGTGCGCGCGCCTGCTGCGCGAGGCGGGCGCGCTGCTGTGGGGGGAGGAGGAGGTCGCGGGGCGGAGGTGATGCGCACACACGCGCATATGTTGTGCTCATAGATAAATAGATATACATATATCGCCTATTCTCTCTTGCGCGCCAGACGGAGGAGGGAATGCGAAGGCGATAGGAAGAGAGGGGGAGGGCCGAACCCGAGCTGGGCTGGATAGGGCGCCATGGCATTTCTACGTAGAAGTTGCTCGCATGGGTGCGGGCGGGGGTATTCTTGTTCTTGTTCTTGTTCTTGTTCTTTTGCTTTCTTGCTCTTTTTCGCGCTCCTCGCTTTCGAGATAGAGATGGGTATAGAGGTGGGGAGAAGCGGTTCTGCGGTTGTACACAGAAAGTTATCGTACAGTAGCCGGCCTACCCGGCTCGCCGTTCCTCTCCGCGTCTGCCCGTGCGCGCGCCAGGCGTCCGTTGCTGCGTCGCTACTATACAAAAACGACTTGCTTTGCGCTGTCCTTAACCCGTATCCCCTCTGCCCTTTTGCAGTATTTCCTCCATGTTTCTGTAGGCATCATTACTTTTCTTTTCGTCACGCGTGAGCGCAGGCCCGTCACTCCTCGACCGCGCCCAGCGCCTGGCCCATCTTGATCTGCTGGCCGCGCTCGACGGCCCAGACGAAGCCGCCGCGGGCGCCGGGGTGGTCGGGGACGGGGGCCTCGAAGACGAGGACGACGGTGCTGCCGAGCTTGAAGCCGCCCATCTCGTCGCCGCGGCGGAGGGCGTAGCCGCCGAGGACGGGGCTGGCGGCGCGGTAGGTGGCCTCGGCGAAGCCGTGGTAGGGCTCGCCGCGGGCGGCGGCGTGCTCGGCGGCGCGGGCGGCGGCGGTGTCGGTGAGCAGCGAGTTGGTGCGCAGCTCGCGGTCGAAGTTGACGGCGATGGAGCCGACGTTGGTCGCGCCGACGGGCACGAAGCTGAAGAAGCCCCAGCGCCAGCGCCCCAGCAGCACCACGCGCTCGTTGAGCGTGAACAGCCCCGGCAGCGTGCGCTGCAGGTACGGCGACACCGAGTACAGCTCCCCCGCGAAGTGCCGCCGCCGCTCCACCACCCAGTTCGCCGGCGAGTGGAACCGGTGGTAGTCCCCCGGCGCCAGGTACACCACCGCGTAGTAGAGCGCTGTCCGCTCGTCCGGCGACAGCAGCGCGTACCACGGCTTCTCGCCGAGCGCCAGGTCGGCGCGCACCTCCGAGACCGCACCCGGGCTAGACGGGGCGGCGGCTTGGTCCACGAGCTTCTTGCCGCTCTCGTGCGGGTCGTCGGATCCCGAGAAGAAATCGGGCAGCGTGTAGGAGATGCCGTTTACGCGCGCGAACTCTTGGTGCGCCTTGACGAGCTCCTCGTGGTCGTCGGTCTTGGGGGGCGGGTGGCCGTGCGCCCCGTGCGTGTCGGACACGCTATGGGCGGGCGTATGCTTGCCGAGGAGGGCGTCGATGGTGTAGGTCATGCCCTTGACCTGCTCGATGTCGTTGCCCTCGATCCGGCCAAACTGCAGCACGCGGCCGTCGGCGGGCGAGAGCAGCGCGTTCGGGTTCGGATCCAGGGGCCGCGCGCCGGGCTTCAAGGTCCGGTAGAAGAAGGCGGAGAGGTTCGGGTACGCGTGCAGGTCCGGCTCGGAGACCTCGTTCAGGTTGACGCCGAAGATGAAGGAGTACAGCTTGAAGCCGGGGACCCGCAGGTAGTACGGGATGGTCAGCTCGTTGAACCGGCCCCACAGCCGCGATATCGCCTTCAGAGGCAGAGTCGACATCACCTGAACCTGCCTGCGAAAGGGAGAGAAGGTAGGTCAGTCAGTCAGCGATCGTGGATGACGGGCGCGATGCCATACCATGGGCCGTCGGGTCGGACTCGCGGCCGCCTCTTGGGAGAGGGCGCCTCGGCATCGCCCGCTTCCCTGTCGAGCCTCTCCTTCTCGCGCGACTGGGTCTTGTAGAGCTGGACGAGGCCTAGGAAGCCAATGCCCAAGCCCACGGGTATGGGATACCACTGGACCTTGGTGTTCCTCAATGCCGTCCGCAGCCTCGACCCGAAAGGCTCCTGCTGCCGCCGTTTGCCCGACGACCGGCGGAAGGCTTGTCGGGACGTGGATGCGAAGTGCCTCGACTGCCGCGTCGCAGCCGCGCGGGGCTGGCGGAGGGCAGACGGCAGCGGCGGGCGGCACAGCCTGGGCGAGAGCCCTGGGGCCGATACGGAGCACCGAGCTATCATTGGCACTTGAGTCCTTCGCGGCGGTCGAGCGATGTTCACGGAGCCATCTAGGTCGCAAAGGAATAGCGACGAGAGGAGGGTAGGCTACCAATTGCAGCGTTTCGCAAGACCGATCTGGGGGGTCAGGGTGCGGACACCGGCGTGTGTGTCCCTTAGGGGAGGTCAACGGGGCGTGACCGTTGACAGCAATGGCATTCGTCTCGTAGGCAATGGGACAACGGGGTTGTGGCTGAGGATATTCCGGACTGGAGTTTACGGTGATTCTACCTAATACTCCGATCCAGAGAAGGAGGGGAGTTTTTAGTGGGCTGTACCAGTCGCCAAGGTGACGCTGAGCCAGCGACCCAAGGGTAACACGGGTACCTAAAGCTGGCGTATTTCCTACGTACCTCTAGGTGCGTCAATACCTTAGCAAGTACCTAGGTAATGTAAGAGGAACCTCATAAGATGCCTAATGTGCAGAGGCCATTTGGATTTTCCATGTATACACGTAGAATATCTCTAACAGATACCTCCTAGGTAGGTACCTCCACCCAGGTACCCACACGTACTGCTCTCGGTGTATACCAGGGCCATGTCCATAAGTACCTGTAGGTACCTTACCTCCTAGAAGGTCTTACCTAAGCACCTATAACCAACCTGGACATCGGGACAGCTTGCAATCATCGTCTTCTCATCCTCCCTCACTTACTCTCTCTCTCTCTCTCTCGCCCTCCCACCATCCCGCCGTTGATATAGTAATGTCACCAAGAGACTAACTACCTGTACTTTCCCCCCCCCTTTTCCTGTTCTCCCCAGACCGCCTTTCCTTCTTCCTCTCTTCATTCCTCTGTTTCTTGCCTGGCCCTCACAGAGAGACCCTCTCCTGTCCCAGACCCGTACCAGATCCACACGCCCAGACACCAACACACGACACCCGACTAGGCTGCCCAGCGCAACATAACGTGTCTCTCGCCGCATCTCTGTAAATGGTCTCTCTGCTCGCCGGCCTGCCTGACATGCTTCCTCTCTCTCGGGTCGAGACCTAACTAGGCGAATGTGTCCCTACTTGTAACCCCCGTCCGCTTACCTGCACCCTGTTCGCTGGCGAGAGGGCCTCTCTCACTACCCCGTCCCCAGCGCCTCCTCTGTGGTTGGTCACCATGGCCTCCGATCCCTCCGATCCGGCCATCTCCCAGGCCCAGTCCGACTCGACCACCTTCAAGTTGCAAATAATATCGCCCTCAGTCGGTGTCCCCCAGCCGCTAGTCCTACACGGGCTCCCTTTCCACCTCACTGTCGGACAACTGAAGGAGCGCATCCGAAATGCCATCGCCACTAAACCCGCAGACCAGGCCCAGCGCCTCATCCACCGGGGCCGCCTCCTATCTCGCGACAACGAGACGATGGCGGATGTCTTTAGCGAGGAATCTGTATGTGTCCCCTTATTCCTTCTATTTGCGTGTGTAAAGGCGCCACTCTGACTCGCCCTCGTGGCACAGCTTCGCTCCGTAGACCACCAAGCCGTACATCTGGTTCTGCGAGATCTATCCGACAGCCGACCAGCGTCCACCCCGACTCTTCAACATGCCGCGAGCAACGGCGCATCGCCTGCTCCGGGCCAACAACCCGCCGGGTCCAATACACCTAATGCTCCTCCGCAACCACAGCCCCAACCGCACCCGCACCCGCATCCGCACCTTCACCACCACCATCACCACCAGCATTACAACGCTCCCTTGCAGCCTCATGCCCAAGTACGGATCACAATCCCTAACTACCCCGGATTTGCATTTGGCCCTCCCCAGGGCCCCGTTCCCGGAATGCCCGCTACGGGCCAACCGGTCCCTCCGCAGGCGCAGTACAACCCTTGGGCAAGAGCTATGAATGCAGGTCCACATATGGGGGGTCTGAACCAGCAGAACCAGAACTTCAGCCAGAGAGATCGCGTTCCGATGGGCCCACAGGGAGCGCCAGATGCGTCCCACGCCGCCACGAGAGGGGCCCCGGGGACGAGCACACCGGGGAGCGGAGTGTCGCCATTCCAACCAGATTCTACTCGGACTATGATCCGCGAGGGAATTGGGCCAAATGGCGCGCAGTGGCGCATCACGGTGAACGAATCCTTCGTCAACCCGCACCAGCGGCCGGGAAGGACCGCGTCGCCGTTGTCGACGGCTGACGGCACCGCTCCGTGGATCCCCCAGGCGAGACCCGCCCCATCCAATGGGACCCAGCTGTCCAACAACGATGTGCAGAGCATCCTACGGGCTGCCGATGCTAGCTCGGCTACGAGAGTCATGGCCGACGCCATGCGCAGAAATGCTAGTAGCTCCTCGCTGGCGAACCTCGCGAGCAGCCAAGCTCAGCATCCCATCCCGCCTGGCGTTACTACCCCGTCGATCCCGTCTCGGGCGGGTAGTGCCGCCGGTACTCCCGATCCATTCAGAGCATCGGGTCAGCCCAGAAGCTCTTCGGCGCCCCATGTTCAGGCACAATTTTCGCAGGCGACGCCGGAGGTATACATCTTGACGTCCCCGAGCGGTCCGCGTGCTCTACTCCTTAATACCCCCTTAGAGACGTATTTCAGCCCCCCAGGCCGGGCCATCAATCTTCCTCCGGGCATGCCATTCCCCCACACGCTCGCCGTGCCGCCAGCGTTCAACCTTGGTCGGCAATACGTAGCCCCCACACCGACTACTCAACTACACAACGCTCAGGCAGGAGGGGGTCAGATACCCAATGCCCAAGCTCACCATCCACCCCAACATCCGCAGCCGCAGGTCCAGCTACAGCATGGCCTTCCCCAGCCCCCCCAAGCTCCCCCTCAGCTAGGACACATTATGGCACGCGCGGATAATCCGCATGTGCAGGCGGTCCGGATTGCCCAGCTGTGGCCCCACGTATGGATGATCATTCGTCTAGGCCTTTTCATATGGTGGTTCACGTCGCCGACTTCTAGCTGGTCCCGTTGGGTCACCGTCATTTCTATCGCCGTCACCTTGTTCCTCATCAATACGGGGCTTCTGAACCCTATCGCCGAGCAATTTTGGGTTCCCCTCCGCCGGCACCTCGAGAGCCTGATACCCCTGGCCGACGGCCACCACCGTAACGCCCGACCTGCAAGAGCCGAGAACGGCCGAGGCGCCGCCGGCGACCCCGGACCTCAGAGGGAGCTAGATCCCGCAGACACGGCAGCTATGCTGGTTAGGCAGCGGCGTAACGCCAACGCGAACTGGCTGATGAACCAGGCCAGGCGGCTCGAGCGCGCTGGCATCTTGTTCCTCGCCAGCATCGCGCCCGGGGTCGCCGAGAGGCACATCGCGCAGATGGAGGCGGAGGTGCGCGCCGAGCGGAGACGACGAGAGGCCGAGGCCGAAGCTGCTGCCATTATTGCCGCCGAGGCGACTGCTGCCCAGCAGGAAGCCGCGGAACGAAGCGCCGAGGATGGTGGCGGCGGCGGCGGGTCTACTGCTACCCCTGCGACCAGGGAATCAGAGAGGCAGGACCAGGTGGCAGGAGACGAGAGGGAAGACAACGGGCGACTGCGAGCCGCGGCCGAGCCAGTCAATGTGCTCTGAATTTGGGACCGTCCTCGTACAAAATACGGTACTGAATCACATGCCCGCCTATGGGGGCACGCCATCGGGCCGTGAATAAACGAAAAAGGAGGGGTAGTGGATAGGGAGGGTGAGGGAGAAAGGGGGGGGGGGGGGCGAGGCTAAAGACGATTAACGTATGTACGAGTTATCGACAGTGTAGTAAGTGTTGGCGGCAGAGGTCGGACGCGAGAGATGCCGCGTTGGGTAGAGCTGGGCAGGCCAGGCCAGAGTAGGGTAGAGTAAGGCGGGGCGATGTCGGGCGCCAGCCGGCCAACCAGCCAGCCAGCCAACCCGCCAGCTCGCTCCCGAACGGATATGTATGTACCTATGCTATTTTGCACCCGAGTCGCCGGGAGTGAAGCCGGGAGAGGCGGCAGACAGCAACGGAGGAGAGGGGGCTCTCCCTGAGCCTGGAAGGGGGGCCTACCTTACATAACCAGCTCCACTGAAGAAATGGACCTGCGCCCTGATGCGTTTGGCGTGGTTGTGAGCGGTGCTGCGTGCTGCGACCTGAGGATGAAAAAATCCAGAGCAAGTAAGAGAGCCGAGGGGGCTCGGCGTAGTGCAGCGGCATACTTACGGGTGCCCGTGCCTGCGTACAAACTTGACCACGGGGAGATGTGTGGGGGATAAGGAGAGAGTCAAGACACGACGGCGATAGCGACGGTGAGGGTAAATCATGTGTGGTGATATATAAATACGCGCGGGCAGCAGTAGCGTTGTTCTTCTCTCCGCCACAGCCACCACACACACACATTCTCTCTCTCTCTCTCTATCCCCTTTCCGGCGCTCCCTCTGTTCGTCTGCGACCTCTCGACTCGGATCCGGAGAAGAGACCGAGCGAGGGGCCACCCATCATCTTCTCTCCCAACTCGTCCCTCTCGACTTGCTCCCGTCCCCGGTCTAGGCTATGTACATGCGCACGCGCAGACGCACACACACCCACACACACCCACACACACACTCTCTCTCTCTCTGTTTTCTCTCCAAATAGGGGTAAGTTCGATCAGCGGGGACTCGAAAAAAAAATAACAAAACGCCCAAGACGTGCTATATAGATCCGATACTTCCTTCGTTGTTCTCATCCTCTACTCGTCCACGACCGAGGCAAATTTGTCCAGCATAGTTTGCAGGATGGCTTCGTACTGCACATATCGTAATAGGTTAGCCCGCCCGTCATGGCATTGGTAGTCCGTATTACTAGGGTGGGGAAAGGGGGGTTTATAGAAATGCACGCACCTTCTTGCTGATAGCCTCCTGGCCCTCGCTGGGCAGCTCGAACTTGAGGCCGCGCAGCTGCGCCTGCAGGTCGCCGGTAGCCTCGCGGACCTTGGCCCAGCTCTGGCCCTGGGCGATCGCCTTCTGGGCCTCGTCGTGGAAGCCGACCATGAGCTTCATCATCCACTCCGTCTTCCACAACGGGCAGAACTGGTCGTAGTCCGAGTACCCGTTCTGCTGCAGGAAGTCCTCCTTCAGCAGCGTCGCCATGTCGAGCGTGATCTTGTCTGGGTCTGACAACGCCGACTTGCCCACCAGCTGCACCACCTGGTCCAGCTCCTCCGAGTCGGACAGCAGCTGCTTGATGCGGTCGCGCAGCCGCGGGAACTCGGGAAAGTCCTTCTCGTACCACTTGTCGAGCGTGTTCGTGTACTTGCTGTACGATACCGACGTGTTGATCGACGGGAAATGCTTCCGCTGGGCCAGCCTCTTGTCGAGACCCCAGAAGACTTGCACGATGCTTAGCGTCGAGCTCGTGACGGGATCCGAGAAATCACCACCGGGAGGACTGACGGCGCCGACGATACTGACGCTACCCTCGCGCGCGGGCGAGCCGAGGCAGACCGTCTTGCCCGCACGCTCGTAGAAACTGGCCAATTTGGCGCTGAGATAAGCCGGGAAGCCCTGGTCGGCAGGCATTTCACCGAGACGACCGGAAATCTCACGCAGGGCCTCGGCCCATCGCGACGACGAGTCGGCCATCATAGCCACGTTCATACCCTGGTCGCGGAAGTACTCGGCGACGGTGATGCCGGTGTAGATGGAAGCTTCTCGGGCGGCGACGGGCATGTTGGAAGTGTTGGCGATCAGGGTAGTTCGCTTCATGATGGGCTCCTTGCGGCCGTCGACGTCGATGGACAGCTCGGGGAAATCCTTCAAGACTTCGGCCATCTCGTTGCCGCGCTCGCCGCATCCGACGTAGACGATGACATCGCTGTTCGAGAATTTGGACACGGACTGGGAAATGACGGTCTTGCCGCACCCGAAGGCGCCGGGGATGGCGACGGTACCGCCCTGGACGCTGGGGAAGAGCGCGTCGAGGACGCGTTGGCCGACGATGAAGGGGTTGCTGGCGGACAACTTCTCGGTGGTCGGTCGCGGTACACGGACGGGCCAGGTCTGCATCATGCCGAACTCGGTCTTGGTGCCGTTGAACTCGACTTCGAGGATCTTCTCGTCGACTGTGTATTCGCCCTTGGGGGCGATTCTCGTGATGGTGCCGCGGGCTCGCGGCGGCAGCGAGATCTTGTGCACCTTGATGAAAGAATTTTCGAATACTGTTCCCCAGACGTCGCCGCCGGAAATGTGGTCGCCGACCTTCAGACTCGGAGTAAACTCCCACTTCTTGGTTCGGTCGAGCGCGGGGGCGGAGATGCCACGGGGGATGTAGATGCTCTGAGATTGGCGGGAGATGGTCTCGAGGGGTCGTTGGATGCCGTCGTAGATGTTGTTTAATAGGCCGGGGCCGAGCTCGACGGAGAGGGGTTTGCCGGTGCGGTGGACGGGGTCACCGACAGTGATGCCAGCTATATAGGTACAGCAGTGTCAGCTCGGATTTCTGCTACTGGCGGGAGGGAGTGAAGATCGTTAAGACGCACCGGTCTCCTCGTAGACCTGGATCGTGGCCTGGTCACCGCTAATCCTGATGACTTCGCCAACCAAGTTATCGTGGCCTACTTTGACGAGCTCGTACATAGCCACACCGATCATATCCTCGGCGACCACGACAGGACTGTTTCGAACGATTAGCCAGCCAATAAGGCGGGAGGATTCGTGCGGACACGGAGAGGCAGCGCGGCGTGTACGAACCCGGATACGGAGTAGATCTTGCCTAGACGCACGCATTCGGTGGTTAGCTACCAGGGGGGGTGGCACGCAGGTGGTTGGTAGGTGGGCAATGGGAGGGGGAGGGGATGGGGATGGGTTTCATACCGCTATTGAGATGGTCGCGGTCGCCATTGGTGGCGTTCGCCGACTAGAGAAGGGCCGGACGAGTTAGAGAGGCCGAGGTGGCAAAGGCGGGAAAGCAAGACGGGCGACTCTTCCGGGCGGACTGCCGTCTTCTCGCAGGCAGAAGCAGAGAGGCGTGGGGGCTGATGATGGGTACGGCTTACCGGTGCCATCTTGGGAGGCTGTTGTCGAGGAATGGGCTGCTCGGCAGCTAGAGAGATGGAGGGAACGGCTAGAGAGATAGAGGGGACGGAGAGGCGAGGCGACGCCGAGGGCAGGAGGAGGGGCGAGGGGAGGGATGAGGGCGAGGTGGTGGTGGTGGTGGTGGTGGAAGCTGGAGTAGCAGCCGGGGTTGCAGCTATAGCTGTGATTATGGATGTTGTAGTTGGAAAGTGACCAGTAGCTGTAGCGCTGGCTAAACTGGTGGTAATGGTGGTGGTGGTGGTGGCGCTGGTGCCAGCTGTCGCCTCGGCGGAGGAGCTGGCAGCGGTGGTGGTAGTGCTGTCGGCAGCTGGCGACGGCAGCGGGCTGGGCGGCAGCGAGGGCGTGCTGGGTCGACTCGAATGGGGACTTGGACTTTGGCCGTTCCCCCGTCGAAGCAGGTCCACCAGCGACGCCCGGCCCCGGAGCGTCGGGCGCGCGTTGAGGCCCAGCATGCAGACGAGCGCGCGTTACGCATTCGTTCCCTGGCTCGAGATCCAGCTGCCTCCGAGACCCGCACAGCACGTCACCGCCCGCTGCGAGTCGTGCGCGTCTTAGGGAATGCCGTCGTCGCTGTAGATGCGACAATACTACCGTGCGACTGCTTACGCTTACGCTTACGCTGCCGTGGGCTGCATAGAGGGCAGTCGGAATTATGTAGGTAGCTCGGCCAGTCAACGTATCGAAGACGCTCGAGGTGAAGATGGGAGTAGAGTGGAGGTGGTAGGCTAGGGAGGTACGCGTCCGTCTGCCTCTGCCCCTACGCGATCCGGATACCGCAGGGAGACAGGGAGAATATCCGGGCAGCAAAGCGTAGGAATTTGGTCGCGGCTGTCGCTCCCACGCCAACCCGGTTTATTTCTAATCAGCCACGGTTACCAAGTCCTTAATTAATGACGGCACGCGCCTCCGAGGCACCGAACACAGGTAAGCATTATGTGCAAGATCACCGCCTCCCTCGAATGCCTGTAATCCCGTCTCGGGTAACTCTCTCTAGGCACTAATAGGCTCCGGCTCCAGGTTCACCCAACTCTCCAACCCCATTCCGAGCATAATAGAATAAACATACCTACAGATAGGAGAGTGTATGTATGTATATATATATATATATATCTCTCTCTCTCTTTATTCCTTACCTCTCAAGTTGCATCATATAACCCCGGCTTCTCCGTCGTTGATATTGCTGCTGCTAGATCCATTTCCAGCAAATCACCCTCATTTCCACGTCTATTAACTCACCCAACTCATCCACAAAGGGGCATTGCAATACGAACGACAAACGTAATGCGTAGCCCCGTTTACCTCCGCCGGCCTAATATAGGTACCTAGATTACGAATACCATCCTCGTTGAAACACAAGCCTTCTAGTCCGGATGAGGCCCTCACCATTCCTTTCCACAGTAATAATAGTAGGCGCTTACACGCCATGCGTAACAAGGCGACTTTATTAATACTGCCTAGAGGGCCGCTCACCCTTCCTTGATTATCTCCGCGGCGTCAGTCTAGCAAGCTACCAAACCATGTCCAGGGCTGGATGCGAAACATCTCCACGCCCCGAGTATTCTTCCAGCATGTCCAAAAGATTCGCACCGATGCAACGGTGCAAACAAAGGTGAAGGCAGACATTACCTGTTTCCCCTATGTTAGAGCAAACAGGCAGCACAACCCACCACCACAGACTCGCAGCATTCAATAGCTCAAAACGACAAATATCAGTTATCACAGATTGCCAGGTCGCTCTTCGTAGAGCACTGGGTTAATATAACTCAATCATTGCACACACCTAGCCAGGCAGAAGTCATGTATACCCACACATTTAGACCGATAATAGCTACAATTAAACACCCTCTACAAGCCTCCAAATATCCACGAATCCAACCACATTCACACAATATCTGCATACAAGAGACGAGTACACCACACGGTTGGGTTATCCGCGGACGCTCCTCCGGCGCTACTCTCTCAATATATGTATGTATGGTGTCGTCTGGAGGTGACACGGTGTCGGAGAATCCACGAAATAGCAACCGAGAAAGCCTACTTGCGGAGAAGTCGAGGCGAGAAGAGGGTAGGTAGGTGGGTGGTTAGATAGGTAGCCCGATAAATCCGACTGCCGATCAACCTGTTGTTCTAGAATCCAAATGTTCAAGAGTAGATACACCTATATAGAGACGGAAGGGCAAGTCAGAGAGCGAGTGTTAGGACGAATACCCGTAACATCTCGACAACTTGGATTCTAGGCGGCTAATAACCAGCGTAGTTTGATTTAGATAGTTATATCTCTATGTATGTTCTATCGTATGGCCTAACTACCTCGCGCGTTAACCTCACCACCCGCTACCTGTGTTCCTCCTACCTTTACGCTGACCTCCGCCCCGAACATTACGAAGTTGCACCCTCGGAAACTATCCTCTTCTCTAATCCTAGGCCTATATTATATAGTCCGCGTTTGCGGTCTTGGGGCCACAAACGTCTACGGGTAGAGGTGACAAACACGGTCAGAATCGCCTATCCACTTGTATCGATACGTAAACAAGGAAGGGAGGCAGGTAGAGGGAGAGAGGGGTGTACAGAAAGCTCGAAGTTAGGTACTAAAGCGAGCATCGGGGTAGATGATAGATGGGGCCTTCAAGGGGAAAACAAAAGGAGAGAAAACAAGAGCGACGATGACACCGGATCAGGTTGGATACGTAGAACGGGAAAGGGGGGAGGGGAAAAAAAAAGCAAAAAGCTCAGTCCCGCCGTTCGCCTGGTCCGGAATCGAACGGGAGACCTACGAAAAACCCGGCACTGCGCGCGGCAAGGGTGGGAGATTACCCAACTTCCCCTGCCTGGCGGAGGTGGGAGATTACCCAACTGCCTCCGCTGCGCAGGAGCCCGGTTTTTACTGACCGGTCCCCCTAACCACTAGGCCAAGAGCCAGGATCAGCCAGTGGGATAGGAGGTGTGGTCGAGGAGCGGTGCTCCTATCGCGGTACATACGGGCACGACCTGTTTGCCTCGCTGTCGTCTGGTTGCTGTGGCGGCGGCTAGATAAGGGGGGGCGGGAAGTACGCGGCGGCTGTACCTGTGCTTGCTTGCCTGCCTACCTCGCGCCCAAGCCTTGGGAAGGCGGCTCGCCGCGGAGGGGGGGGACGTGTCTTTGCGCGCTGTCCCGCTCTGCGCGTAAGCTATACCACCTACGCCGCCGCCGCGGTGCCCGCCCGAGGAGACGGCACGCGAACCGGGCCCCTTCGGCGACGCCGCGGCCTGCCGCCGTCCGGGTCCCGCTCCCGCCGGCGCCGCTTGCCTCGCCTCGGGCGCGTGGCGCGGCCCGCGGACGAGTTCCCGCTCCGGCCGAATCCAGGGGGGGGGGGGAGGGGGGAGCTTAGCGAGACGATGACGTGGGAAAAAAAGGGGGTGGGGGGCAGGTAGGGTGGCATGCATGGAAACGCCGGAAGACCGCCGTCGCGAGGCCCGCGCGGGCGTCCTCGCACGTCACATCGGGCTAGATATGCGGCGTGATGGGGTTGTTGGCGTCCTACAGATGGAGTTAGTCGATCGATATTTGGCCCTCAGGGTACGGGCGGGTTCTCGGGAAAGAGGCGGAACTAGCTGCCTTGGCTGACCACCTTCGCAGGCAGCGTACGATACCGGATCCCGCGCGCCTGCTACGGGAACAGCCGCTCGACCCTCGTCAGAACCAGGCGGGCTATCGCAAGCTGTTCCCGTTTCGTCGAGTTCCGAGGTCTCCTGGGCTCACCTACCCTCTCCCCCTCCTCGGGGGATATCAACTTAACTTATGACGTCCATTCTCCTACGCTCTCTGCCCCCCCGTTCGGAACGGTGGCGATGACAGCCACACCGAGGGGGTGTGTCTCGCGGACTCTCACGCCCGCGACGCCAGGCGTACGTGTAAATGGTCAGCTAGCCTGGGCTTCCGCGTGGGCAGGCACTTAGGCAGCCCACATGCGTCTCACCGCCCTCAGCTCCTCAGCAAAGGGTGAGATGGCGCTGCCCGAATCCGGGTCGGTGGATGGGGATGGCCCATTCGCTCGGTAGGCTCTGCTTTCTAGAGGGCGCTGAGAGAGCAGCCATACATGCAGCACTGAGGCGAGGATTGAATGATATCGCCGGTTGCAGTTAAGCCATGCACGCGATCCCATGCCCATACATGTATGCATGCATGAACTTCCCGTCACGGACCAATCGGAACCACGCCGGCGGGCATGTTGGGGATCTTGGGGTTCATTTGGGTGGCTGTGGATCTGAAGGGGACGGACGGACTCGTCTACGGTCACCAGACTGGTGGCATGTTTGCCATGCTGCCCTCCCGGTAAGGAGTTCTAGCTGGGATGGCGGGATGGATGACGCGAGCGGACGGCCGTGCGAGGTGGAGGTACGACATAACGGGGGCGTGGATAACACCTACGTAGGTATGCATTTCTCATAGCTTTGGAGTGCCACGCAGTATCGAGTGCCCATAGAGAGAGAACCGACCCCCCCCCCCTCCTTGACTGCTGGGTTAGGGAGTCTGTGCTATCACCCACTCCCACACCTCCGCACGAGATGAGAGGAGAGCCTCGTGTCGGACGTACACTTAGCGAGGCAACCTCTCTCCAGCCACTCCCTGCTTGGATAGGTATGTGTATGTAGGTGCTCGCCTCCCCCCCCCAACATCCTCGGGCTGGTGCCCCGATAAGGAGACCAAAATGCGCGTCTTCTCAGCCTTATGCGGACGGCCTACGAGTAAGCCCGTCCGCCAGTCGTTGACTTCATCCGGCCGACCCCCCGAAGTCGGGCTCTATTATCTAGACTATATTGACACTGCATGATAGGATGGAATGGACGCCTCCGAGAATGTAGGTAGGTATTATTGCCCTGCCCAGCGACTCGAGATGCATGCGTGACCGACCACACTTTTCATGCAAACCAATTAGGTATACCGCGATGCCGGGTCCTCTGCGTCCGGTGTTTTGAGGCAGTCGAGAGCGCAGCTCGTCTTGCCCCTTGTTTTTATAACCGCCTTCCGTAACCCCCCTCCGCGCGTACCCTGATGCACATGCTTGGCCCCCGCCCCCCTTTTCATGCTCCCTCCCGCCCAAGGCCGAGAAACGCCGCGAAAAGCAGTCATGACAAAATGATGCAAAAAAGAACGAATTCCGTTCTGGTGGCAGGCCGCAAACTGCCAGCCGGGTCCCTGGTGTGCATCCAGTGCCTGCCCGCTGTTCAGTCTCGTACGCCGTGTTTTCCGAGAAATTCCCAAAAATCCTTCTTGTCGTGATTCTTGCGCTCGTGAAAACCCCTCCCACGTCCCCTCCCCATCCCCGGGTCTACCTCGTATCGTACACGGTGGCATCTGCATTCCTACGCCTGTTCCTTTGAGAGGAGGGGCTTCAATATCTCCAGCGCCTTCATGGACTGTTGACTGGAGAGAATGACCGCGCCGGCGCGTGCGGTTGAGAGGTAAGAGAGCTCGCTGTTGATGCTCGTATCTTCGGTGCCCATCTCCGTAATGAGTCGGCCTGCAACCCCGGAAACGATGCCGGTGGCCTCCAGCGGGAGATTGGCGAGGTCCAGAAAAACCGGGACGAGGTCGCCCTCCGTGTCGCCGACGATGGAATCTCCGAAGACGCCGAGGTGTTCCTTATCTAATAGTAACGAAGGCGGGTCTTCCTGGGCGAGCGTGATGGAGAGGAACCTAGGCTGCTTCGCTAGAACGGAAATAAGGCTGGTGTATAGCTTTGTGTCGACATTATCGAGCCAGCTCCTCCGATGCCCGTTCCCCGAGGTCTGCCGGCTCAGGTTTGGCCGGTGGCCGTAATCGACTACCTGCGACGAGCGTCTGCCGGAACACTGCACCAGGGTCAGACACGGGCTGATGTACGGCGTGACGTTTCGCTTTCTCAAAAACTCGAACGTGCGCGCCTGCAGCTCGACCACGTTGGACGGCGGCGGTGTCGAGGGGGGATCGTGGTTGCGACTGGTGCCGCGGTGGCGAGGCATCACGCTGGGCGATACGTAGGCCGACTCGTCCTTGTCGAACTCGAAGTTCCGGGCGAGAAGCACCTGAACGACCGTCTGCCGGTCCTTGCTGGGCACCAGGATGAAATCCGAGTAGTACGTAGTGATGAAAAAGATGGGCACGCCGGCTAGCGCGAGGGGCGAGGTGAGGTCCATGACTCGGCCGCCCGCATCCATTCCAGCACTTATGACGGAGAGGATCAGGTAGCTGTCTCTCGAAATTGAGACCAGCTTCGAGACATGGGGCGGGAGGCGTTTTATGACTGGCTCGAAGACGTTCCGGGCCCAGCTGCTATGACACACCACCGAGCACTCGACGGGCGTGATGCTGATGTTGAGGAACCCGTGCTTGTTGTCGATGCTGAGACCCTCGGCCTCGATGGCAAGCGAATCGTCGTCGTCCTGGGGAAGAAGCACCTGCAGGATCGGCTGGAGGAAGGTCGAGTACAGGGTCAAGGGAATGTGTATAAGTCTGAAGGTCCCATCCTAGAATCGCGTTGGGTCAGTCAATGAACTCGGGTACCGTTCGCTCGGCGCATGCATCGCGGGCTGTACCAATATGCGCGCCGACAGTCTTTCCTCCATAGCCGCGAGGGGGAGGGGAGGGTTGTTGCGGGATGCAGATAACCAAGACTCGACCTCGGAGAGACTCTCTCGTGATCCTAGCTATGGTGACGGGCAGTTGTCGTCGTTGCGCCACCCACTTTGCAGTTGTATTGGTGCAACAAATTCGAGATAGGCGGATAAGGGAAGGCTTACGAGAAATGATATCTGAGCATTCATTATGACAATGTCGTATTTAGATAATGACGACGTAAGTAGATCACCGCTCGTGGGCCGTGGGCCGAAGCGTCCAACCCCGAAGATCGGGGGACAAAGGGACCCCTAGATCGCACAGGCCGAGAGTTGTGCCTCGCAACGAGAGAGCTGGACCGGGTTGTGATTGGCGAAAGCATCCCCTCGACCTTAGATCCGGGTTCGCTCGGCCGCCCAAGCTCTGAGATCCTTGTGATAGCTGGACGAAAGGAGCAAAGATTGAATAAAAAAAAGAAAAAAAAAAGATCAAGATAAAGGGGACCGTGCCAACCGAAAGGGGGAGGGGGGCGGGGCCGAAGAACCGGATGCTAAGTGGTCGTAGAGATAAGAGACTTAGGCCTCGCGCTGAGAAAGGAGCCGAGAGCGAACCGTCGTGGGCTGGGGGGGGAACAAAGGGAGGGGAGGCGAGGTGAGGGAGGGTTATAGCGTGGTGGGCTCCGAAACCCAGAGGCAGGAAGGCCTAGGTTTCCCTCCTTTTAATCAAGACGGACGGCGACCCTGGGGATGATGCCTCTTTCTAACTAAACACTCCGAGTCCGCCGGGTTTGTCTAGGTATGTAGATAACATGACATGGCACCACTCGATGGCCTCCCGCAGAGATCGGCGCGCGTCACGACCACTGGCACTAGGCCTCGTATACCGCGGCTGCTCGTCTATCTATGCGGATGCGAGTTGATGCAAGCAGCAGCAAACAACCTGGAATCAGGGCGGATCTCTATGGGGGACGAGACTCTCGACGAGCTAGGTCTGGAACATCGAGAGGGGTTGCCTACCGGCGGAACAGACCGACGCCGACCGACTGAGCGACGCTGGAGAGGGACGAGGGGGGAACATCGAAGGCTATTTATGTGCTTTTGGAAGTGCTGTAATCTCGCAAAGGCCGGGGTAACTTCGTGAGCCTGGCTGGTGTTCCTGGGCGCCGCCTTTTACCGCCTGCATACACACAGCGTCTGCGTGCTGGCGACCAACCTCCACGCGTACGCCCGCACGCCATTTGCTCCGAAAAAGGCAAGCCGCTACCTGAATAGGGTGCAGAAGGGGGCCTGCATAGAGGAGCGAAGAGGGCGAGAGAGAGGGCAAGGGGGAAAGGGGGGGGGGGGGCAGGAGAGGACCACCAAACTGTGTATGCTTGCTGCTACTCTCCCCCCAATCCTGTCTACAAGGTGCCTCGGGAAGGCATCAGCTCGAGAGCGCGCTCGGCCTTGGAGGGGGAGCTAGGTGAATTCGGGAGAATCTTGCAGGATTTGTTCTATATATTGGTACGACCTTGCAGCGCTGTCTTGCGTGGGGGGGGAGGACTAATGCCATAGCGCACCGGGAGATGGCTTCTTGCTGGGCAGTTCTGCAAGGAGTGTATATCCTCCTGCACGATGATGTCTGGTGTGTGCCGGGGGGGGTTGGCTGCGCTGCGAATCCGCATGGCTGTCTATACCTAGGTATGTAGCTCGGCCAGGGGAGGGGTGGAAGTAATATGAGTAGACTGCTGCAGACGAGCTGGACGAGGGCTCGTAGCACAGCAGATGTGATGGGCCGGATGGGTCGACAGGAAAGATGCCGTGCAGGTGAGTGCATTATCTGAAATGTGACCTCAAGACGGCGGAGAGATAGCGAGCCGTAGGATACAGCTACTACTACGTAGTATGCCAAAGGCTTGGCCGTAGGGACGCGACCTTGCACGAAGGGAGAATCTGTGAAGGGCGTCCGTAGCTGAGTTCCCGGGGCAAGACTCACCCTCGCCAACGCACAAGTGAGGATGTAGGCGGGCGCGGGCTTGGGAAGTGGGCGTTCTGTTGTCGTGTATGTACCTCTATGTAGGCACTGTTCGGACTTCTCGTCGAGATGCTGCGAATCAGGCCTCCTCTTCTGCCCTCGAACCCTGGACTTCGACCCTGGACTTCGACCCCTTGCTTGCCCCGCATTTTCCTATCTCGAGCCGTCCACTGAGTCCCGCTGATCCTGCCCGAACATTATGCGTAGGGGGAGCGAGAGCAGCGTGGTGGCATGGTAACGCCATTCGACGACGGTTGGCGTAACGCAGAACCTCGATATCGAATGCGCCAGGTCCCTGGGCGCTACGGTCACGATAGCTTGCGTGATATGATGCATGATGTCGAATATTCGCCCGTGGATGCCGCCTTTTCGACCGACGGACTGTCTTTGGCTAGATACGATCGGAGTATCCGGCGGGATGCATGGCTCGCGTTTTTCCTAAGCAAGAGTCGATTCGATCCGAGCCAGGTGTCACCCTTTCCTCTACCTACGTTCGATTCGTGATATCCGGTCCGCAGCCCCCCGCCAAGTACCCTTAATCCCACTATTGTTCCCTCTGGTTCGACGTTCCATACCGATTCACTCACTCGCGACGTGTCGTGCTTACCACGGCATCAGCTAGTCATAACAACAGGGGGGCCGTCTCGGGATTGGTCTATTTGCGCCGCGGCATTCCCGCTTCCTCGACAGATGAATGTGGGACCATTACCTATATGCAGAGAAGAGCTATTATACTTACTGATAGAGCTAGCATCCGCGGCTGTCGTCATGAGCGAGGAGAGCTAGACTGCTTCGAAAAGAAGTCGTCGGCTCATTTATCAGGTACGGCCAATCATCGCGCCTACGGGGCTCCGCTTCTAGCCTCCGCCTCCTTGGCGGAGGAGTTACATCACTAACGGATGACGAGCAACCTCGATGATGGGGCGCTCGGTACAATAGATTTGCGTTGAGGACGGTCTGCAGGCACGCGTGGGGTTGTGTGTTGGGTGGCATTGGGCCGTAATCGAGAACTAGGGTCTCCCTATAGTAAGCTCGCGTCCGGCTTGCTGTTTCGAATGCCTCGAAGCAACGATAGTCCGATATATGTTTTCTCTCGCTCGTTTGAGTTCGGTGAGAACCCGAGTGAGATTCGTCGGTACCGTGCATTCGTCTAAGTTGCCTTGTACGCTGACTGGCTTGACCGATCGACGCAATCTAGAGATAGGCAACTTTGCCGCGGTCCACAGATGCAGGTTCATGCATGGAATTGAGCCCTCATGTAGGGATACGTCCAATTACCGTCCCAGACTGTCCGGCTACCGCCAGAGAGGTGACCTCCCAATTATCAGGGGGGAGGGCAGGGAGGGGGCCTGGCAAGGATTGACAACGGCCAACTGGCTCGGTAGACGCGGGATCTGCGATCCTGGGATTCCCACGATGGTTTATTATGATTTGGTTATCGGCTCTACAACAGAGGAGTACCGTATCGTATGGGTAAGTACTGGAAAAGCTAGGGACTCTCCTGGCCGATCTAGGAGACCGGCTGTTTAATGCCGACGACCACTAGATTTCGAGGACTTTCGCGGTAGTCAAATACCGTCTCTACCCAACAGTCTTGTACTAGCTCGGGGTGTTGCCGAAGAAATAGCCATCTGTCCGTCACTATCAGGGACTCGGTGACAACGGAGCTAAACGCCATGAGACTCCAGATGGCGCTGAGTTCCCTCTTACGCGGGCCGTACGATTCCTCGTATCGGGCGATTTCCCCGTCTGTGATGTCAGCCATCTTCTCTTTGATTATGCCGCAGTACTCGTGATACTCGGAATTGGTGGTCAGCTTCGCGATCGCGCCTCTCACGTATGACCGGAATGTTTTGTAGCATGATTTGCGCAGAGAGCCGATAATGACGGGATTGGTGCTAAAGTTGAACGGGGTCTGGGATGGTTCGTTGCCGGCATGATTGCCACCACCGTCATGACGAACCTTGCCGATAACGCCTCTGTCGAGGAACATCTTTTGTAAGACCGCGCGGTAGAAGTGCCTAGTGAAGAAGGAGTCGCTCTCGGCTTCTGACCAGTTTTGCGGCGCTTGGCAAGCCATCATCCTCGCCGTGATATTAAGTCGGATGCCGTGATCGCGGTAGCTAGAGAGATAGTCACTCATCGGGAAGCCTTGCGGGTCTCGCCTTGCCGATTCTCTGACCACGCGACCATTAAGAGCCTGAAGACTTGGTCTCATGTACGGATGCTTGTACGTGGGGGGGCCTAGTTTCTCCGTCATGAGGTTATAGCAGCACCCGACGATAGCAATGGCTCGAACTCCTGGGTTCAGAACTAGGGACCGGATGCCGTGGTGCGAGAGGTTGCCGCAGGAATGGATGGAAATGGCTATGAGGGCTAGATCGTCTTGTCTTTTTACATCGGTCAAGGGGTCTTGCTCCAGTTGACCGATAACGTCGGACAGGTCTCCCGATTCCAGCCTCCCTTCAATATAACGTATAAATCCTTTGCCCTCCTCGGGGGTGTAGGTGGCCTCGAACTCACTCAAAGGTCTAAAGTCGGGCATGTACTCGTCCGAGATCTTCGGCGGATTAGCACCCCTCTTCAAGGCCTTCTCGTCCAATTGGTTCTCGGGGAGCATGCTATCGAGCTTTTGCAGCCAGAGCTTCTTGTTCCGCATGACTTTAGGCTTCTCTGAGATCCCAGCATGCATGTCGAACTCCTTAGCCCCGACGATGTTGTGCCCCCTACCCTCCACGGCGATGATCTGCCTGTTATAGGGAGAGCTAGCCAGCGCTCGTCCTAGATAGTTCTGTCCGCTGCCAAAATCTACGAAATGAGTGATCTGTGTACAGTACTGGGCAGAGATGTTGTTGGCGAGCATGTCCACGTAACTTGCAAAGTTGCTCACTTCATGCACTTTCTTTGGTTTCATCCCCACAGAGACCATCCGTGTTAGCTTCGGGAGCTTCTCCTTCTTGGGCGAAAACTCGCGTGCCAACGAGAACTTCCTAATATCCTTGATATACCTGACCAAGCTCTCAGGGGGTTGAGGATCTAGGGACGAGTCCAGAGTGTCTCTCATCAGGACGTCCAAGAACTTCATCGGCTCGCATTGTAAAACATAGGATTGCCACTCTATCGGTATCACGGATTGAAAAAGACCCGGCTCAGTGGTAAAGAAGTCCAGGATGTGTACGCCGCCACATAGTATCTGGAAGCTGTCTGATGTGGATGCGAAGTGTAAGAGCTGCTCAACGTAGGCTTCCGGGCCATCCCAGCAGTCTGGGTACGGTAGGGGCTTCTCTGGCCGCATAATTCTGGGGTACGGAGATGGCGAGGGGGAATTGACGCTGTGAGGCTCGTGGGTGAAGAGAGCGCACACAAAACGATTCAATCTTGGGAGTTTCGGAGGAAAAATGACAGACTTTGCCTACTTGGCTCATTCTTATTACCTATTTGCGTTGTGACATATTACTAAAAACATCATAAAAAAGAAACTCGTTATATGTATAATATATGCACATATGCAATAATCGATGCTTCGCAGCTGAGATCGAGAGGTTATGGCTGTCGGACGGCTGTCACCTAGGTATCTATATCCCACCAGTTGCAGACAGCTTCTCAAGTCCAATCCAAAGGAAACGAAAACACCACGTCATTCTCGTCACCTTTCCCCGTCTTATACTAAGCTAGCTTATCCAGCATTCGGCTTGCCGAGCACGATTCCAACGTGAATTTCACATACCGCATCGAAAATCTCGCTCCCCACCCCCGTGCCGAGCGCAGATGTAGCCGATACGTGTGCATCGGCGCATGTTGAAGCCCCCAGCAAGATGATGTCCTCAACTAATGAGGAGGACCCCTTCCTCCAAGTTCAGCAGTACGCCGAGATACCCGCCTCCCTACCCAAAAAGCTTATCCCCGCTAACATGGCCTCGCGTCGACTACCAACCACAGAGATGTCCTCTCGCAGATGCAGACCGTGCGGCCGCTCTTCGCCTCGTACCTGCGCATCCGCAGCCTCGCGGCGACCACCTCGACCACCTCTCCCACGACGACCACATCCCCCGAGCTCGCGTCCGCCCGCGCCGACCTGGAGCAGGCGCTGGGGGCGCTAGCCGAGGACCTCAGCGACCTGGTCGCCTCCGTGCAGGCGGCCGAGGTCGATCCGGCGCGGTACGGGCTGTCGAGCCACGAGGTGTTGCGGCGGCGGCGGCTCGTGCAGGAGGTGGGCGGCGAGGTGGAGGACATGCGGGAGGAGCTGGGGGGCGCGAAGGCGGCAGGGCGCGCGGCCCCTCCGGCGTCGGCGAACGCGCGGGCGGCGCGCGCCGCGGCCGACGGGGACCTGCCGTCGCCGAGCGCGTTCGCGCTCGAGGACGCGGGCCGCGACGACGACGACGGCGACGGCTACGCCGAGTTCGAGCACCGCCAGCAGCTGCAGATGATGCGCGACCAGGACGAGCAGCTCGACGGCGTCTTCACGACCGTCGGCAACCTGCGCCGCCAGGCCGACGACATGGGCCGCGAGCTCGAGGAGCAGGTCGAGATGCTCGGCGCCGTCGACACGCTCGCCGACCGCGTCGGCAGCCGCCTTCAGACCGGCCTCCAGAAGCTCGGCTACGTCGTCCGCCAGAACGAGGACCGCTACAGCGGCTGCTGCGTCGCCCTCCTCATCACCGTGCTCACCGTCCTGCTCGTTCTCCTGCTCATCCTATAGATACTTCCGGATTCTTACCTAACGGCGTCACCCAACCTGGCCCGGCTGAGGAGACTTTTTTCATGTCAGGGGAGGGGGTGGGCAACGGCAGGGTTTTGGATGATAGGCTCCCTGATAATGAGGCATGTCCGGGGTTTTTTTTTCTGTCAGCTCACTGTCTATTATATGTAGGCTTGATTGTACGCTTCGAACCAAGATAGGAAAACGAGGCGAGGGGGGGAACACGGCGCTTCTTAGTAATGACGGGCGAGCGTACCCTATATAGATTTAATACGGGAGACCTGTTCGTGGCTCTCTTCGTGCGAAGACGTATGCAGACACGCGGGTGGCGCGCACACACAAACTCGTATGGAGAAGAAAAAGCTGTCCTGCGAAAGCCAACTACCATAGCTGGGTATATTCAATGGTCTTGCTGAACCTCTCTAGACGCCTTCTTATGCCTAGTTTTTGCTATTATCGCTGAGGGTGCCCATTTACCAACGCCACCGGACAGACACATAACACATACACCCAGACAAAATCAAAAAAAAAATAATCAAAAAACAGGGAGGGTTGTTTTTTTAAAGGAGAGAGGAAACCCCTTCTCATGCTCCCACCCTCTTCCTCTTTCTATACCAGGTCCCAGATTCGTTTCGCACCGTGACCGAATAATCGTGACCGAGAATCTTCACTTATTATACAGATCGTCATCTATAATTCCAGTCCCAAATCCCGCTTCAATATCTGCGCCAGCACCTGCAGGCCGGAGACGCCCGGGGTCTTGATCTCGGCCTTGCTGGGGAACTCCACCAGCGCCTTCCTCAGCGCGGCTATAGCCGCGCTCCCGTAGAAGTGGATGAATCTCTCCTCGTAGATCTCGATCATGGCGCGGAGAACGATGCACTGCGTGTTCGAGATCTCGGCCGGGGGGGTGTTCACTATTCGCGCCAGGCAGGCCCAGTACTTCGACGGCGGCCACGGGTTCGTGTTGGGGGATTTCGAGAAATCCCTCAGCGTGATCGCGGCGTAGCCCACGCCTAGGCCCTTCATCCGGTCGGCGTGCTGCTGCTCGGGGGCCCATCCCGATGCGGTCCTTTTCCAGCCTAGGCGCAGACGGCCCTGTTCCGTCTTCTCGCTACCACGGTAACCGAAGAGGACGGGGCAGACGACGCGGAACTTGGCCATCAGTATGTCGATCAATGACTTACCGCGCCACAGATACGCTTTATTGGAGAATACCATAGCAGTCACGACTCCGATCGGGTCCGCTGTCTTGGGTTGCGCTCCACATTCGCTGATGAATTGGTTGATGACGGCTTTGGCGAAGTGATTTAGGAGGTAGATGAACAAGGACGGAAGCTGGGCTTCGTTATGCACAGCGCCATCGACAGGATCTCGCTTATCCGTGATGAAGAGCGAAGGGTCAACTGGTTCGCTTGGGACAGCCCCGCTCAGCGACTCGTTGAGCAACGTCTGGATGGTCACAACCTATCTCGAGTTAGTCAAGGACCTCGTGGCGTGTCGCCGGCGCACGAACCTGTTTCTTATTTCCACCCTTCTCGCCCACTAGCTGGCCCATGTTCTTCCGCAGTTCTCGTCTCATATCTCCCAAGCGTTGCTTCAAGAACGGTGACACTTTTGACTGCTGCACCAGCGAAGCCCGCAGATTCTTGAGGTTTTCGTGTATTTCGATGTATCGATCAACGTTAGTAATCGCTGGGCCTGTCCTAATGGACCCAACGAACACTCCATCCGACCGAGGGGTAGCCGTTTTTGGGGCTTGTGCGAAGGTGGATGGCGTTCTTGATGGTTGCCCCTCGGGCACGGGTTTGAAGGAGCTAAAGGGATTCGAGGAAGAGGGTTGCTGAGGTTTGACGCCGCCGCTAATGCCGTTGGCTTGTCCGGGCGCCCCCTTGAGGGAGGCTGGAGGTTGCTGAAGGAAGGGAGAAGGCTTTACGCTAGGTATCGTTTGCGAACGTCCAGTTGAGACGGGCTGAGGCTGCATGCGAGGAACAGCGGGACCGGCTGCTTCAGTGACGGGGGTAGGCGGTTCCGGCGGTAGCTTGGGGACGATCTTCGCTTTGAGAGCTCTCAGACGCTCCTGTTCTGCTCGCAGCCGTTCCTCGGACCGGATCCGCTCCTCCTCCTTCCTCTGCCGCTCTATCACTCTCTGATGCTCTGCTAGGATCCTTCTATGCTCCTCCTGTAACTCATGGTCGTGGTAGACCCTGATGGCGGCCGCGCGAACGCGCTCATGCTCGACTTGCGCTGCGGTGAGGGCATCTTGGTGGCTGAGCTCTGTATTTCGGTCCCCGGAGAACAGGCTCGACGAACGACTGCGGTCGGGGCTGGACCATTGATTCGATTTGCGGGTAGTGGGCGAAGAACCAGCCATTGCAGTCAGCGGGCAATTCTACGGCATTGCGGAGTGTACAGTTTCTGCCGTGGTGCGAGACGGTAGGCGATGTGTGAGACGGTAGGTAGCGACGGAGTTACACTGCCGTATGAATAGAAATTTGGGATAGGTCGAATCAACCACGAGGGGCGCCTCGAGGAACAGAAGAAATGATGTGTGCTTTATTCGGTCCAAAGCGACGGACAATGAATGGTGTAGGTCGGTACTCGGACTCTGCTTGACGCAGAACAAGGGTGGTCAAGGACAGGGATCGGTCATCCCAGTTGATAACGAAAGGTATGAAAGATATAGAGGAAGAGAGTAGACGGACAGGCGGGAGGGAGGCATGTAGATGTGAAGATAGGCGGACGCGGGCGGGTAGGTAGGTAGGTAGAGAGGTGGGTGGGTGGTAGGAGGGTAGGCCAGGTAAGGTAAAGCAAATGGATCAGAGAAGGTCGAGGTAGGTACTAAACAACGGAAAACGGAGCTTCAGACAGGTACCCCTGGCGACGGTGGCAGCTGGAAAAAGAGATTGACCGAGCGACGGTGTGGATTGTGCCGGCAGAATAACATCGATAAGACCTGGGCGGTAAGAGGCATTGGTAAGGCGCTGGACCTTGTACGGAGGTAGGTACCTCTTAGGTACGGAAGATGGACGGGGGCTGCGGACTCGAGAGCCGTGTAGATACGCGCGTATCGAGGTATCTAGGAGGGGTTTGGAAGTGAGTGCATAATAAGGTCGGTCTACCTGAGCTACCAATGTTCATACTCGGTAGGGGTGCCTACCTAAGGTTGGTGGATGTTACAATAAGAGGTTCACCCAAACGCATCGTCGATATTCTTGAGTCCAGTTGTCTCAGATACACATACCTGATATAGGTACCCAACATTAGGTACCTACACGGTTATATAGGAGGTACCTACCTACCTAGGTACCTACCTGTATTACGTGGTTAAAAGTGTATGTGGGATGCCAAGAAACAGGGGGGGTAAGTATGTATCCTCGACTTTCTAAGGCTTCTTATTTTCAAAGTCGCAAACCAACCTAGGTCCCCTATAACTTACCTTAAAACTGTGCTACCACCGCTACCACTACTGCTACTAGCACGCCAACTATCTGCACCACCACCACTCATTATATTGCCTCAAAATAACTCCCAAAGCAACATTTGATCGCGAAAAAAAAAATCAATTTAATACACTTTTGTACGGTAGCTAGAAGTGCAGTTAAAAGGAAAAATTTATACCTCTTGCAAAGAATAAGAATAAAGCTCCGTATAAAGCGGTACGGGAGTCGTAGAAGGTCGAGGATACGTACCCACCCCCCTGTTTCTTAGCATCCCACGTACACTACTTTTGCCTTTTACCACGTACATGTCCCCGCCTACCTCCGTACTGCTGTTCCGGCATCGTGGGAATTGATAATATCCCGCGTATATGCATGGTCGAAGGGCCGTGCTTTTTCTTTCCCGCCTTGGTCAAAACAGTTGTCCCGGTACACGTGCCTACACTCCAAACATATGATCAACTGTTGAGACGGGAGCTCCCCAAAGATGAGGGGAAATCTTGAGGTGATGGCCACTATACTCCGTATAGCGGTGCCTAGCCTGCCCAGGTTAGGAGGCAGGTGATGGATTCGTTAGAATTGCTGCACGAACATCTGGCGGCAGTACCGTCGTGGCATTTCTGCAAACTCGCCCAAGTCCCTAACGTCCTACCTCTCTGAGCCAGCCCCAAGGGCCGGGTTGTACATACGGGCATCAATTGTCCCACGTAGGTATACATGAATCTATACCTACCTCCTACGTGTAGAGAACATTGGGAAGTAAGTGCCTAAGGCAGGTGGCTAAGCTTAGGTACAAAATAGCCTACGCGGCGGTGCTGTCATGATTCAGAATCTCTCGTTTCCGCGAGCCCGTAAGAAAGGCATGTGGCACAGGCGGAGGGGATTTGGCTGCGCGATTCTACCAGTTAGGCCTCTAATACGCCCGCATGTACTTTACCTGCACACTCCCACCTCAACACGCCCCGTGTGCCTATCGGAGATATATAAGTACCCAGGTAGGTAGGTAGGTAGGTAGGTAGGTACCTATATATATCTAGCTCCTATATCTACGCATCGTATAGAGGTATCTACGTGCCTACGTGTACCTCCAGGATAGATCTCAGCACATATCATTAGCCTTACCTGGGCACATATGTAGGTAGGTATGTATAGATGTCTTAGGCAGCAGGTCTACTCATATATTAATGCCGTAGGAGGAGGCTATAGGCGGATAGGTAGAAGTACCCAAAGGTAGACCTGGTGGGTATGTGGGCTCGCGTGTGTGGATGAGAATCTGCCGCGTCCTCGCCCCGATCTCTCTCCTTCGTCCTCCTCCGTCCGTCTCCTCGCCGCAAAGTGATTCGAGCCAACTTACATGTGCGAACAATCGATCCTCGGCAGTAGGCAGCTAACGGCGCCGCTAAGTAGGCATCTCATAGGTCAACCTTGACTCTTCCGAGAGAGGCTCTAGCCAAGCGGCCATATCATCGCGTCGTCAGAGTCCCATGCCGATGAGACCTCGACGCCGACCTATTATATCAGACGGATGCCGTATCGAGTTAAAGCCATCGCCGTGGGTTGAGCTACCTTAGTGGATGGGTAGGTTGCGCAGCATTAGCAGCCGACCGTGTACATGGCCGTAATCTACACTGGACAACCTCACGTTGCTATCTCCACCCACCATACCCGAGCTCCTGTGTCTAAATCTAGGTAGGTATCACCTCTCCGTCTACCCGTAGGCATGCTATACCTAGGTATGCTCCTATACGTGATATCGGTGTGCACACATGAGTTAATATCTGGGTGGGTAGGTAGGTAGGTAAGGTAGGGAAGCAACATGCCGGAAACAATGCGATCCGTTAGATGCTAACCGTAACATGTCGGGTCCAATCGCATTGGCTTCACCGAAATCCGGGTCTCCGTTGTTGCGAGCGGTACCAAACATCGAATCTATATATCTATATATAAAAGGCAACCTCTATACGTACATTCACGTAGCCAATTGGAGGGAATACAGCTGTTATACATGATTGCGAGGTGACGCTTCTGATATCACACCTGCATCTGCCTTACCTACGCATCTACCGACCTTTTCCTACCCCATCGCCTACGCCACCTGTTACTGTCGGGCGCTGCCTATCTGTAACCTTGCAGGGCAGAGGCGACCTTTCGAATCGGCGAGCCCATTGAGATACCACTAAATTCGATAGGCCGGTGGCCGCCTCTGCGAAGTGAGTATGAGAGGCGCTCGATGTTCTCGACGCCCTCTCCCCCCTTCATCCGTCTTACCCGATGTGATCTGCAGGGCCTGGTCGTATCTACCCGCCTACGTACAGTAGGTACCTACCTTAGGTACCTTGGGTAGTCCCCAAGACAGGCAGACCCCTCCTTAGGTACCTATATAGAACCCATCGCAGACTGTAGGCACAGCCTAGGGGTCGAACACATCTGGGGTAGTAGAGGATCCTCCCCAGGTTGTAGGTCGAGACACGGTAGGTACTGAGGTTATAACCTGGCCACTGCACATAGACTGCGTCGCATACCGGAGACATTGCATGTACTATGTTATGCTGCACCTCTCTTATCACGAATTTCCTGTCTTAGGAGGTACCTAGGTAGGTAGGTAGGCTGTTGAATGAGTGGGTAGGTTCCATGTGAAAGGCTGGTGGGCGTTGGATGCGATTGGTTTCGGTAAATACCTAGCCGAATTGATAAAATATATCAGTATACGCAGCTGTGTACAAGACGTTAAGGTACCTAGGGGTTTACATCCCCCCCCTCCCCCCTTCCCGCGTGACCAGCGACGGCGCTAATCCCCGTTGTCCTCTGGCGGAGTCTTATCAAATATTACCGGGCATCCTTCTCGCTTACCGAGATAATAGAGAATTCTACGGCTGTCCGTCGAAAAAGCTAGCCTTAGCTTCTTTAACTTTTTGTTTTGTCTTTCTTCTCGACCTGAGTGCGCAGTCGAACGTTCGTTTTGTTTCAGGCTTGGGTACGGCTGGTGAGCCTCCATACAGGTACCTAACCTAAAGGATGTGTCCAATAGTAAGCATTACCTACCAAGGCACTTAGGTATAGATACGGGTACCTAGGTCGATACCTTAGGAAGAGGTAGATAGGTAGGTACGTAATTGCAAGGGAGGGATGGGATGTTGTCCCACAGATACCAAGGCAGTGGATGCGTTCAGTAATGTTTCAAACCATGTTCTACCACCTGCCTGCCTGCCTACCTACCCACCTATAGGTCCGCGGCGTCGACAGATAACGACGCAGAGGGAGCTCTCATGGATACATGTGATGATGTGCGTACCTACACGCGTGCGTACGCTGGCAGAGATGAGGCACATACATGGTAGGCAGGTTAGGTATTAGCAGAGTTGCTGCTGGGCCTTCTCAGGTGCCTAACCAGGGCAGGGGTCTTGCCTCTAAAACTACCGATGTTCGTATTAGCCACCTTAGCACTGAGCGCGATGGACTGATGGACCGGCGGAGGTACAACCTTCCTGGGTGTGCAATGCGTCAAATAACCTGGTCACCCCGTCCGCAGGCCACCCAACTCGTCGGTAGGTAGGTAGGTAAGTAGGTAGGTAGGCGCCTTTCCGTGGGCACAGCTCCTGGTATTAGGCATGTAGGTATGTCAGGATCTATGCGCGCATCCGCCGTGCCCCGGTCGAGCTTCTAAGACGTCTGGGCTGCTCGAGGCAAGGCATAGGTATACACTTGCCTAGTCCCGTTAAGCTCGTCTGGCCTGGGTTCGCTTGCCATGCACATGAATCAATCCGTGGCGGCGGCCCTCGGGGCCATCGACGCTAGCTGCTGGCTTACCAAATCATCGGCTCGACTGCGAAAGCACGGCATGGAAGAAGGGGTAGAACAAGGACGAGGACAGCATGTTTTTGTTCGATCCAATCCAGCCACCTGTTCGTTTTGGGACCGCCTGGACAATCTGGGCTTCCGCCATCCACCGGGGCCAGATCTATGACGAGCACGGGCCCCAATGCCAGAGGGGTGGCGGGCGCATACGCACGGCAATGCACACACACACATACACGGACAGACCTACATACATACACACGTACACACACGGTACATACATGCCCTCGACGCGCAAGGCAGCAGGGAGCTCTGGGCGGGCTGGCCGTCGCCTGTGCGTGTAAATGCGGCGGGCCTGCAGCTGGTAGCGAATGTACCTACGAATACTCGGTTCGTAGCTGGCTTCTTGTCCGTCGTACCCAAGACACACCACCGGGGCAGCCGCCCGTGCCCCCCCCGCTAAGCAATGCTCAGTGAGGTACCTAACCTGGATGGATGGGCACGTACCCGTCTCCATCCGGTACTGCGTGAAGGGAAGCCGTATGGATCTGGAGCCCAGAGGGCACAGCATTACGTGCTAACACTATGCTAAGTTGGGAGGCACCGAGCCTATAGTCAGTCCTCAGGTAGGTTGGAGGTACCTACCTGCCTGCCTACCTAGGTACCTGCCCACCCTAGGTAGGTACTTACCTAAGGTAGGGAGGTAGCTTAGGTTAAGGGTAGGTAGGCGGGCAGGCAGGTAAGGTTCGATACGGTGCCGCAGAGAGGAGGCGGCAGGAGGTAGAATACGTAGCGAGAAAAAGGCCTACGTACCCGTGTACCTCGTACCATTACCACATTGCGACGCTAGCAGCCAATCACATCACCCCCCCGGACCAGCCAGAAAGCCTGGCCCCACTCCAGTTGTTGCGTCCTGCCCGTGCTCGCTCTAACCCTGACCTCACTCAAGTCCCTCTCTTTTCCCCATACTCCCACCCAGCCTGGCCCATTGAGCGCTATCTTGGTTAAAACTCCAAAAGCTTCCCGGCCTCCATCGCCTCCCCCCCCCCCAATCCCTATCGCAACACCACACTCGTCTCTCTCCTCTTTCTCTCTCTCTCTCTCTATCTTTCCACCTCACCATCCACCCTCTCTCAGAACTTCTCACATTCCTTCTCTTGGAGTTCAAACATACCCAGCAGCTAGCATTGCAGCCTCTTTCCATCCTCTCATTTACCCTCCATTTTTTGTTAGTCGCAAAAAAACAAGTCCACGCAATCGCCCCCAGCAAAGAAGACACCGCAGCCACTCCTCCAACTTCTGTCCTCCGACATCCAGCTCCAGCTCCGACCAGCATCACAGCTCTACCACCGGCTTCACCACCAGCACTGGCTATCGCCTCCACTCCTCTATCCGCTCTAGCTGCTTCGGCTATTCCCACCAACCCAGCAGCCATTCCGGCTCCTCGCACTCGACTTGCTAGCTATTTAACTGCCGGGAGAGCCAGATCATGGACCAGCAGCAGCCTACTCCCCAGGCTGGGGGCGTCCCCAGACCGGGAGGCCGTCGCCTCCATATTGCTCACCGTAGGAGCCCGTCCGAGCTCACCCCGCTCATGAGCATGTTCGCGAACCCTGGAAGTAAGTCCCGTGTCTACATACATGTGTCTCTCGGCTGTCGGTGGTTGTAACCACCGTCGGCCTCGACGACTCGTTGCCGCTTCCCCCGCCCCCCTTTCCTCTCTCTCTCTCTCTCTCTGTCTCTTGCTTTGCTATTATTGGTGGAGTCCGGGAGCTGACCACGCTGGTTTCTTTGTGTCTAGTGGAGCAACTTGCTATTCAGCAACAGATCGAATTGTTGCAGCAGCAGCAGCAGCAGATACAAGCTACGCACCAGCAATACATGAATATGGGCATGATACCGCCGGGCCAGCTCGGGCCTGGCGGTTCCTTCAACCCCTTGCAGCCAAACATGGCCAACCTGTCGCCGCAGACTGCTTTCCAGTTTCCCAACCAGCTTCCGCAGCCGACTGTCCCCATGGGACCGAGTCAGCCCATGTCACATCGCCGTAACCAATCAGCTCTCCCTAACATGGGGATGGGACCACCCCCGGCTCCGTCCGCGGGGGCCGCGGGGACGGCCTTCGGGCAATTCGACAACTCGTCGGGTCAACAGAACCGAGAGAACGCACCTCGAGGAGGGCGAGGCGGCGGTCCCGGCCACCAGCGAAGACACTCGTTAGCTCTCGCCGACGCGAAAAAGGCGGCAGAGATTGCTCAGCAGAAGCGGACAACCTCCGGTTTTCAGTTCCCTGCCGCGGGTCCGCCCGAAGGCTCCGCCCCCGAAGAGCCGAAGCCGGTCGCCGCCGATACGCCTATTGCCCAGGGCTCGACCACCTCCGCCAGGGGCGGTCGCGGCGGCGGCCACGGACGGAGCCAAAGCATGGCCTCGACTAGCCGAGGCGGTGCCCGCGGCGGCGCTTCGTTGCACGTGAGCAATGAGGGGGCGGATTTCGGGCGTCGTGGCAGTGCCACGGGCGGCCACGCGCGATCTTCTTCGCGCAACTTCGAAGGGAACTGGCGTAATCAACAGGGCCAGAATCAGGGCCAGAGCCAGGGCCAGGAACAGGCTGGTCAAAGCCAGCCGGGCTTCCAGCCCGGCCATCGCTCTCGCGGCTCCGTGAACCAGTCCATCTCGAACATCGGGACGTTCCAGTATCCCGGTCAGCCCCAACTTATGCAGATTTCCGGCCAGGTACCGATGATGGCGGCGGCACAGATGTACCCTGGACAGCTCAACGCTATGCAGATAAACCAACTTCAGGCTCTCCAGGCTGCCCAGATGAACGGCCAGCACCTGGTTGGCCTCCAGGGCAGCCAGCATGCTCAGCAGCTTGGTGGCCAACAAGCGCAACAGCAGCAGAGGAAAACGCTGTTCACGCCGTATCTCCCGCAGGCTACTTTACCCGCCCTCCTCGGTGACGGGCAGCTCGTCTCCGGTATTCTCAGGGTCAACAGGAAGAACCGTAACGATGCGTACGTCTCTACCACCGACGGGCTCTTGGATGCGGACATCTTCATCTGCGGTAGCAAGGACCGTAACCGAGCTCTGGAAGGTGACCTCGTCGCGGTAGAACTTCTCGACGTCGACGAGGTATGGTCTCAGAAGCGAGAAAAGGAGGAAAAAAAGAAGAGAAAGGACATCACCGACACACGTTCGGGATCTACCAACGGCAATGCTCAGTCGGGCAACGCTAACGGCGAGGAGGCAGCTAACGGGGACGGAGGGATCCGTCGGCGCGGTAGTCTCCGGCAGAGGCCCACGCAGAAAAAGAATGACGACGTGGAAGTCGAAGGACAAAGTCTGCTTCTCGTCGAGGAGGAGGAAATCAGTGACGAGGCTAAGCCTCTGTACGCCGGCCATGTCGTCGCCGTCATCGAACGTGTGGCCGGCCAGATGTTTTCGGGTACGCTGGGCGTGTTGCGACCCAGCAGCCAAGCGACGAAGGAGAAGCAAGAAGCTGAGCGAGCCGCCCGCGATGGCGGTCGATCCCACGACAATCGCCAGCAGGACAAGCCCAAGATTGTTTGGTTCAAACCTACCGACAAGCGCGTTCCTCTCATCGCTATTCCCACCGAGCAGGCGCCGCGAGACTTCGTGGAGAAGCAGCAGGAATATGCGGGTCGCATCTTTGTCGCTTGCATCAAGCGTTGGCCCATCACATCTCTACACCCTTTTGGTACTCTTGTCGAGCAGCTTGGAAAGATGGGCGATTTGAAGGTGGAGACAGACGCCCTTCTACGCGATAACAACTTTTCGTCCGATGAGTTCTCCGAGGCCGTCCTACGAAGCGTCGGCCTTCAAGACTGGTCTATCGAGAAGGAGGATGAGGCTTCCATTGGTTCTCGCCGGGACTTCCGCGACGAGAAGACCTTCACCCTCGACCTTGCCGGCACCGGTGAGCTCGGAAACGCCGTGCATATCAAGACCGAGTCGGATGGGAAGATTGAAATCGGAATTCACGTGCCCGATGTCACCCACTTCGTCAAGCCTAACTCACTTGTGGATCGCGAAGCGAAGAAGCGCGGCACTGCTGTTCACCTCGTGAACCGAACCTGCGCTTTGCTTCCACCCAGGATTGCTTCTGAGCTTTGCACCCTGACCCCAGGGGACGACAGACTTACCGTCAGCGTCGTCTTCCGCGTCAATCCGCACAATCTTGTCGTCGGAGAGAGTGACATTTGGATTGGGAAGAGCATAATTAAGAGCGACGCGACACTGACTCTCGGCGAGCTCGACAGCGCCCTAGAAAACCAAAGCGGGTTCGCGCACGAAGGCGTCCAGGTCAACGACGTACAGATTCTCAATGTAAGACACACCGTTTCCTCTCTTATGCGGCCTGCTAACGCATCCCATCAAGGCTGTCGCGCAGAAATTCCGGGAGGCTCGACTAGGCTCTGAGGGTGAGCCGATGGCTCCTCTTAGACTGCTCCATCGGCTTGACGACGAGAATATCCCTATCCAGCACAACATCTTCTCTTCTACGCCGGGCACCGAGCTCGTCGAAGAGCTCTTGCATAAGGTAAACGCGTCTGTCGCTCAAAGGCTCGCTCAGGGTCTTCCCGAAAAAGCTCTGCTCCGTCGCCAATCGCCACCGAACGCGCGACGCTTGCAGACCTTTGTCGAACGCATGCGGGCACTTGGACACGATATCGATACCACGAGCAGCGGGACGCTCCAGAACAGCCTCTTCAGGGTTGACGACTCTGATATCCGCAAGGGTATGGAGACGCTGCTCCTGAAGAGTATGCAGCGTGCCAAGTACTTCATCGCCGGCAAGGCTAATAAGCAACTTTGGCCCCATTACGCCCTGAATGTCCCTCTGTATACCCATTTCACCGCGCCTACCAGGCGTTACGCCGACGTCATGGTCCACCGCCAACTGGAGGCTGTTCTTGCCGAAGACAAGATCGAGTATAACGACGAGATCGAGAATCTGGTCAAGACGATCGAATCCTGCAACACTAAGAAGGAATCCGCCCAGAACGCGCAGGAGCAGAGCATCCACATCGAATCGTGCCGAATCATGGACAAGAAGCGCCAGGAGGTGAACGGCGACCTGATCAGCGAAGGCGTCGTCATCTGCGTCTACGAATCCGCGTTCGACGTTCTCATTCCCGAATGGGGATTTGAGAAGCGCGTGCACTGCGATCAGCTACCGCTCAAAAAGGCCGAATTCAGAAAGGAGAAGAGGGTCTTGGAGCTCTACTGGGAGAAGGGCGTTCCAAGCTCAGCCTACGTACCGGAAGACGAGCGACCCAAGGCGGGCGCCTCCCAGCGCATCTCGAATGCGATGGCAGCTGTCAAGCAGGCCGAGGAAGCCGAGAGGGCAAAGAAGGAACGGGAAGAAGCGACACGCAAGCAGACACAGACGGAGACCGTGTCGGCGGGCGACGTAGAAGCCCTATTTGACGACGACGACGACAATGCCTCGGACATCACGGAGACCATGGCCGGCGCATCGTTAGCGGAGCGCCCTACCCAGAGCGTACCGGGTTCGCCGGCCCGGTCCTCGTCGAGTCCGGGGGTCCTTCACCGGACTCGATCGGACTCCAAGGTGCCTAAAGTGGAAGCTGTCGAAACTCGGCTGACTAATAAGGAGAAGTACCTCAAGCTGTTCGCGTTGAGGGAAGAGGACGGCGAGTACATCCAGGACGTGACGGAGATGACGAGGGTTCCCGTGATCCTCAAGACGGACCTGAGCAAGAGCCCACCGTAAGTCACCGTTCCCCTCCCCACCCAAAAGTTCAACTGCGCAGCAGGTAGACTAACAGTACGTAGTTGCTTAACGATCCGATCGCTCAACCCATACGCTCTATAGGAAAACCGTGACGGGAGCATTTGCCATGCTTGAAGTGTTTCAAGGATCAAGCGAAGCGACTGGGGACAGAGAAGGCTTTCTTTGGGGTGGTAATATGTATGCGGGGCGGAAGGCGAGGTAGATTGTAAGGTTGTGTGCCTCGTACGAAACCCCGTGAAGCCGTGTATCTCTTAACCTGTCGATAAAAGAGTATTTTGCTATTGGAGGAAGCGGATAGAACTAGGCAGCTGTCCCAACGAACAGAACTATCGTAGCAGAGATCAGAGACAATTCGAATCCGTCCCAGACAAATAAACTACATATTTTCAGCCGAGCAAGGACAGGAACAGAAATGGTAAAGGCGCAAGAGACGACGCGACGTGATGCGTGTCAACCCGAATGTCAACCGGACTAGCCAAGAAGTCAGAAGGTGGGCGATGCCGGCTCGGTCAGTCAGCTCTAGGAGTGTGCGTAATGCGACGGCGGACCTATACAGGTATAGCGATGCGCTAGCAGCCGATCCGACGAAACGGGAGGAATGGCAGAATGGTAGTGAATTGTAAGCGGTCGAGAGTACATTATTTATAGAATCGAAGTCCGGCAGGCGTCTCTACACATGTATATGTATATGCATGTATGTATAGGGTCGAGGACGGGTCAGGATGATGTGGCGCAGGACAGCCATGCGCATATACTCATCATGTAGGCAGAATAGATAGATGCTTGGATGCTTGGGCGATCTATACTACGTAGTATGGCTACCGGATATATAGATGGGTGGACAGGTGCGGTATAGGAAGGCCGGCATTTCGATGGGAGGCGATCGAGGAGGAGCCCAGGCGGATGCAGCGAGATCTGAGCCGAGGTTTGGGATGACGGGGTTATGTGGGAGTTTCCCTCACGCCGTGGCTGTTTGAGGATTCTCTTTCCGGATTACGGCAAAAAGGCGATCGCGATGCGAGTCAAGGGGTAAAGGAAAAGGAAGAGGGGAGGATTTTGATCCCGACCCCGCCCCCCTCCTCTCTTCCTTTACCTACCTACGTCGAAATCTAGTCTCTGGAGCTGGGTTGAGGGTCGATCCCGTCGACGAAGCTCGTCACGGGCCTCCACTCATCCCGTTCCCCTTTCCCACTTGTTCGCACCCCTTTCCCTCTCCGCCGGGAACGCAGAGAACCGAATTCGACAAGCGGGAGGGACCCGGGCCAGGGTGGCCCGTCGGGATCCGATCTCGCTGCCACTTTGGTTTTCTTTCCCGCTTCCTTTCTTCTTATTCTCTCTTGTTCTTCTCCCTCCCCTGCCTACATGTCTACGTAATAGCTAGCAAGTATGTATGAGTAGATGGGCGGACAACAACAGGTATGTGTGTACAAAGTCTATGTGTGCTGGTGAGAATGGAAGCCGGAATACGGACTGACAGAGCCTCCCTTCGCATGTACATACATACCTGACTTATATCTACACTTACATGCCTAATGAGCCCCATTCTCGACATAGGTAGTATTGTCTGTGTTGTATTCCATAGTCGTATCTGTTTCGCTCTCTCTTTATTTTATACTGTACCTCTTTTCCCATTCCGTCATTGTTTCCTACTGTCTCCAGCTCTCTCTCCACCTTTTTCTTGAATCATTTTTCAAATCAGGTCTCTCTTACATGGTAGGGACAGAATAGACTGTCGCCCGGACTCCGCACCGAGGAGAACAGTAAAGAGAGAGTAGCGGTGATGGTGGAAACGCGCGATACGACAATGTGGCCTTCCTGTCATTTCGATTTCCGCCTCGACCAATGACGACCCCGGTCACGACGGCGTACCCAGGGGGGCCCTCGCTGAGATCCCATCGCCATCTCGTCTCTTAAGCGAGGGAAAATAGAGTTAGTTGCTGAAATACCAAAATATGCTTAATCTCGGCGGAGGATGGCCATGAGGCTTTTCCTCTTTTTTCCCCCCCCCTCGTCTTTTTCCTTTCGCTTCCTGGGCGATCCATCTCGAAGGAGTTAACCTACATGTGCACGTATATATATATATATATATATATCTATCTATCTATAATCCGTGTGAGGCGACATGTTTGGCAGATGTAGACGTGCAGGCGAGGAGAGACTGGCGAGAGACCGATTCGGTAGGAATGGAGCGGGAGAGTGTGTATATGCAAATACACACGCCTGCAACTGATAACGCATACTATACAGATATGCATCTAAAGACACACGTACGGAGAGAGAAGAAGAGAGAGACCCGAAAAGAGAAACAGAGCGCGGATTTGACTTGGTATCGCCAAGCTGCGTCGCAGCATTTGCGCCGGTGCCTCATCGTCATCCAAGCTTAAAGATCCGTCCCGGCTGACCTGCATCCCTCGATTACTACTCCGACGCAGTGCCGCCAGCGCTCCTATTGACGACTGCTGACTATTAACAGCTAGTTCAGGAGCGGGAACATGGCTATCGACGAATCAACCGGCATCACTCAGTCTCCAGTTTCAGAGCTCGGCTGGCGGGCTGTCCGTTAGCTGAAACCGCATCTGAGGCAGACTTGGCTTCGACGAGCCGTCGAAACCCCGTGCGTCAAGCCCCCTTTTCCCTCAGCGCGTTCCCGCGACAAACTGACAGCTACGCAATGCTCAGTACCACGCCGCAAGTACTGCCTCTTCCGGTCCTCTCCCCCGGTCTTCGACCCCTAGTCCTCTCCTCGGCGGCTCTTGGCCCCAAATCCTCTCCTTAACCGAATGAGCGGCGATCCGAGCCCCCCGTCTCCCCCCTCCCCAAGGGCAGTAGAGAGCAGCTTTCATCCTAACCTTAACGGCCTTTTGACCTCTGGTGGATGATGAACCCGGCTCTCATTGGGCCGAGTCAAGCTCTTCCTCTTCTATCTTTGTTTCGTTTCCTCCTCTTCCTCCTCCTCCCTCATCTCATCCCTCCCTCCCCCCCCCTCCTCTTCCTTTCCTCTCCCCCACATCCCTAGGGCCTTGTCCCTAACAGATCCCGAGCGTGCTATGCAATCTAGATTGCCCGGGAGTGTGTTGGGTGACCCCCCCCTTGATTCTCGGAGTCGGAAGCTCGTGGGAAAAGATGGGTACCCTCCCTACGTAGTATGTAGCAAATGAGAACCGCCGGTCCTATTGACAAGGAGCCTCGAGGGGGTGCAGCCCGATGCAGAGGATCGCCCTGCCTACCGCCGGCCTGCCTTCTTTCCGTGACCCGCATGCCTATCACCTCATAATCTGCGGCCAGATGGCAACTTGGTTTTAATGAAGCGTTGTCTCCCGCCATCTCGGTTCTCTCTTTCCTTTCCCTTCCCATCCCGTTAACCAACTATTTCGTGTCCAACTCCGAACTTCAAGCGCTGGTCTGCTTCCCGCGGGATCAACGTCCTTTCACTCTCTTTTCCATTTTCGTTCTCCCGGCCTTTAATTCGTGTAGTAATAACCCCAGCGGGACATTTAGAAGAGAACAGCCAGACTGGTCTTGGTTTCGTTTTTTTATTTAATTCAACCGACGTTCCGTTCCCGGTCACGATATATATCCCCATCCGCTGTCTGTACCATCTGTCGATACCCGGACCCGGACGATACATATAGAAGAAGAACACGACGAGAAGATACCCAGACGAAGATCCACTCTCTCAGATCTAATCAGACCACCAAGATGCCTTCCATCACGAAGACCGTAGGAGTTGTTGTCGGACTGGCGGCCGTGGCCTCCGCCCTGCCGGCCCTACCGAAGCTGACGCCGAAACAAACCCACATCTACAACCTGGCCAAGCGCCAAAACGCGGCGGCCGCCGCTCTCGGTCTCGCGGATGTTGATATCCTGCAATTGTAAGTGCCTACCTGGGTGGACACCCTCAACGGAGACGCGCATATATAGGCGGGGGATCGCTAACCGAATATTCTCCCAGTGCGCTGACGCTCGAGTGGCTCGAGGCGACCTTCTACCAGCAGGGCTTCGCGCTGTTCGGCGACGACCAGTTCCGCGCGCTCGGGCTCAACGACGTGCAGCTGGCAGACCTGAAGGGCATCGGGTCGAGCGAGCTGACGCACGTGGGGCTGCTGCAGAGTGCGATCGCGCAGGCGGGCGTGCAGCCGGTGCAGCCGTGCGAGTACAACTTCGGGTTCACCGACGCGGCGGGCATGGTGGCGACGGCGGCGATCCTCGAGAGCGTCGGCGTGTCGGCGTACCTGGGCGCGGCGCCGCTGGTGTCGGACGGCGGGATCCTGGGCACGGCGGGGTCGATCCTGACGGTGGAGGCGCGGCACCAGTCGTTCATCCGCGTCGCGACGGGCGCGGCCGCGTCGCCGTCGCCGTTCGACACGCCGCTGGGGCCCAAGGCCATCTTCTCGCTCGCCGCGCCCTTCATCACGTCGTGCCCGGCCGGGTCGAACCTCGTGCTGACGGCGTTCCCGACGCTGGCGCTCGTCAGCCCCGCGCCCGCCGCCGGCGTGTCCGCGCTCGCCGCCGGCACCGTCCTCCAGTTCCAGAGCGACGCCGCCGCCGGCGCCACCCACTGCGGCTTCACCAACTCGGCCGCGACCGGCGGCACCGCCTTCGCACCTTTTGATGCTGCCGCCGGCACCTGCGCCCTCCCCCACAACCTCGCCGGCACCGTCTACGTCACCCTCACCAGCGCCGCGCCCATCACCGGCGTCCTGACCGACGACATCACCGTGGCCGGGCCCACGGTCCTGAACCTCAGCTAGATTACCCAAACGGAAACACAAAAAAAAGCCATGAGAAAAAAGATATATATACCTGTTACGTTCGGTAAAAAGCAAGGAGGGGCGTTCTTATCAGAGGGCGAGGCTTTATATTAAGCGGCGGGCATGGAGGGGAGCATGAGGGTGCCACGATGGCTACTGGCTACTGACTACTGGGAGGAGAGTAAAGGCGCAGAAAGAAAAGGGGGGGGGATAGGAGGGAGAGAAGAGGATACCTTTTTTTTTTTTTTTGAACGCTATTCTTTAACAGTCTAAATGACGCATACGTACATTATTCCCCCCCCGAAACCCCGTCGACGCACGGCGCGAAGCTTCTTCTTATCCTGTTATTATTATTACGATAGTAGGCTTTTAATCACGACTCGGGGCGCCTATTATTATTCTTACTATTCTTCCTTGCTTTTTTCCCTTCTCGATATTGTCGTGACTGTTCGTCCTTCTAGTTATGCCTCCTGGTGTTATTGCTGCTCGCGTATGTTGCTGTTCCCTCGTGTGTCGTTGTGTAAGACGGGACGGACGAAGAAAGGCCGAGAGAAGGGCGGGTGCGTGATACCCGATGCCGCATCTCGCTTCGACATAGATGGAGAGGGCCGGACGATTCTGATAAAAACGAAGAGTATAGGACTTGCCTTTTGCTTGACTGCAACTTATGCTAGCTCACTGCCTTTTTGGTGACTCTGGCCTTCGCTTCGCTATGTCTTTCGGTGATCCGCGGCTAAGTCCTAGGTTGTTGTGTATTTTCTAGTAGGTAGGATGGGTTGTTGTGTGATTCGATAAACGGGTACATGGTCATATTAGGCAGACTTCGCGAAGGTGGTGCCGGAAGAGCTCCTGTTGGGCTAGGAAAGCCAAGGGGAAGATCGGATACTTCATCTTCCGAAGTTGGTTCGATGCTTGTGTTATCTTCAGCAAGAGGTATTAGGATACGCACGCTGGCCGCCGTTCCTTCGTTCAGCATACGTTTATTAGCTGGCACAGGCGATGATATGTCGTAGTCTAAGTCTACAGAAGTACAAGACGAGTTGACTTGAAGGCCCTTCTACCTCCCTCCCTCTCATTTGTTTCATATGACAGACTAAGCTAAGAGTCAGGGATGGGGTAAGCACGTGTTTTCTAATACTGGAGCAAGCAAACGAACAGCTTGTACAATTTGGCCAGGTTTTTAGCAGAGACTGACTCGTCCCCGTAACCAGTTTAGAAGTCTGAAAAGAAAATCGTCGAAAGGTGTTGATACATAGAAGGGGTCCTATTTTGTTTAGCTTACTAAAATATAGCCTCAAACTCGACCAACCAAAAGGCATTTATCAACAACCTGGATCGTATGATATTTTCTGTAGGAGCCCTATGAAGCCACGTAACAAGTACCTGATTTCCCCGGCTCTGACGGTATTCTGTGTATTCTACGATCCGCGTGGCAGGGTAAGAGTCCAAAAAGGAAACTAATGTAATCACAGCTGAGACCAACACTTACTATAGACACTCCCCTTCGAAGACGGATATAAGTCATTGTTATTCAACCCATGTCTAGCCGCGGTTGTCACCTAGTTTCGGACTTAAGATAACATGTGCCTGTTTATACCCGATCTCCTTCTCGTCTCGTAGATTCCCATGAGAAGTCTAGAACCTGTAAGCATGAATATCCTATATAGCACCTTGTACGATTGATCAGGATGATCAGCTGAGGGGGACGGGAAGTTGATGATCGTGCCGTATTCATGGCACCTTAGACACCCTCGACGAAGACCTCACCGACTTCAGCATCAAAAGCCCGTAGATAGGGGCCCAGGAATGCGGAGATGGCTGGATAGGCAAACTTGAGATTGTCGCCAAAAGCCCATGCAAGAGGAGGCGCCCCTACACACCCGAACATCCAGGATAGATATCTGCCGTCCTTGGCACCACGTTTAATATAGATGTCGCCTCCTGGCATCTCCTGAAAACCCGACTGGGCGTGATAGATATTCGAGCAGGGACCTGGAATCTGCAGAGAAGGATAGGGTGCGGAGGTCGCACCCAGCCGCCGATCCAGGCACACGCGTCACCGGTTAAACTTGGAGATTAGGGGTTCATACCCTTTTCGATAGCGATAAGATGCCAAGAAGTGGTGTCAAAGCCCACGTCCCCAGAATATGGTCCGGTCCACTGGTACATCGCGGAGGAGGGCGAGTAAATATGCGACATCTGGGAAATGTAGGTGGATAAAAGGCAACGCGGGGGAGGGGAAAGTTGCATTCGATTCCCCGAAGCAGATGGAGGATAGTGCTCCGATAGGATAGCGTCTTCGTCTTCGTCACTGGTCTATAAAGTAGAAGAGTCCGCGAGTCGATGAGCGAGAGGACGAGGGAGTTTCTCGCATCGACATCAGCTAGGCAACACCCAGATAAAGAAAACCGGAACCCTCCCCCCAACACCCTCGTATCGAGCAGCAAGTACGCCTATCCATCATGGGCATCTCAACCGAAGTTCCCCAGACGGTGGAGTGGAACGGGAAGAAGGTCCCGGTCTACCCGATGGAGATCATCGACTTCTCGAAGCTGCTCTCCCAGGAGCCAGCCGAGATCGAGAAGCTCGTCCGCTCCTGCCAGGACGAGGGATACTTTTACCTGGACCTGCGAAATATCGACGGCCGCAGGCTGCTCGAAGACCAGCAGGAGACGTTGAAGCTCATGTACCGTTTCTTTGATGCACCTCTGGAGGCTAAGAACGAGTTTGGGCTTGTTGCTCCGCACCTAGGGTGAGTGGGACAGGGAGGAGACCAGTAGCGAGAAGACTTGTTGTTAACACAGGCGCGAAATAGCTACGAGCCCATCGGCTCCCGAACTGGAGTCCTCGAGAATACCAAGGACGGATACGAGATGATCAAGGTAAGATCTCGACGCATGGTACCGGAAGAACTGCGCTCACCGTTATCCCCCCCGCCGTGCAGGTTTCTCGAGACGAGATCCAGAAGGACAGCCCTCACCTACCGGCGGTCATCAAGAACAGCCCCGACATGAAGGTGCTGGAGAACGCCATAGCCGGTGCCAACATCGCCACAAAGACGATCCTGGCTGCGCTGTCGACGGGCCTGGGGCTCACGGGCGCCGCCCGGTTCGAGAACCTGCACCGCAACGACCGGCCGTCTACCAGCACGTTAGCGATGATGCACTACATCCCGTCGGAGCCGACGGCCAAGAACATCGGCCACCAGAAGCACACGGACATCAGCTCGCTAACGCTGCTCTTCGCCGAGCAGTGGGGCCTCCAGGTGCGGCCACCGGGCGCGAAGGAGTTTGGCTTCGTTGAGCCCAAGGACGGGTGCGCGGTCATCAACGTGGGCGACTCGCTGCGGTTCGCGAGCGGACACACGATGCAGTCCTGCATCCACCGCGTGGTGCCGCTGAACCCCGAGGAGCACCGCTACTCGATCGCGTACTTCCTGCGCGCCGAGAACGACACGTGGTTCACCGACAGCGAGGGCCGCTACATCACGGCCGGCCAGTGGCACGACGAGAAGTTCTTCGCCTTCACGAGCCCGCCCGAGATTCAGGCCCTCGCCCCGAGCTCCATGATCCTCGGCGGCATGACGGAGGAGGAGGAAGAGTCGGTCCAGCCCACCAAGGACGCGCCCAGCCCCGTCGTCGGCGTGACCGAGCTGAAGGAGGCCGTCCAAGCCTACTAGAGATGGGGCTCGTCCTTTCCTCCGCTGCCGCTGGGCCGGAATCAAGGGTAGAGATAGAGCTACAACGGGGGAGAGAATGAAGAAATGGAATACTGACGATCGTTAACTCCGCGTGAGGAGAAAGCCAAGCCCCCCCTCCTCGGGAAAGAAAAGCCCTTCCTCTTCCCACCGACGAATCGGCTGGTATACGGCAGGGATCGCTTCGATCGGTAGACGGGGGAAGGGCGCCGGCATATACCGTACCTTATTGTATTTAGTCCTCCGTATGATGAATTTCACTTGCGCTCACGAGATGACGGACTCCGTCGAGGAATGGATGTGATGCGCCCCTTGGAACGGTCGTAGAATCTCCTAGCAGCGTGTCGCGCCGAAAATGCCCTCAAATGTCCTCACGCGTAGTCAAGGGTTCAGTTGACCAAGAGCCATAAGGGGTCTGGTCTGCCCTGCAGTTGGGCAGGTAGGTAAAATCCGTTGGCAGAGAAGGGGGATGGAGAGGGATGAAGAGAAGACGGGAGGGACGGCCTGTGGATTTATTGAGGTATGCCGGAGTCGACGGATTATGGGTACGCAACCGACCCCGGACAAGTGCATGATATCGCCTTACACCGTGTCTATTACCGCGTCTGAACATATAGGTAGGTAATATGCAGTTATCCGCGCAGATAACTATTGCGCGATCAAATGGCCAACTTGGCACTGCTCTCTCTCCTCTCCTTCTTTCCCTTCTTCTTCTTCGTCCCAACAACCTCTCATCTCCCTCTTTCGCCTCTTCTTCTCGCCAGCTTCCGCTGGGAGAGGCACGCGCACTCCTCTGATGTCAACGCACCCGGCACTTGTGGAAGATCCCGGTAAACGTGAGACTGCTAGTAACGGTATGCGCTAGCTTTCGATCCCGGCGATACTATTAATACCCACAAGACACGCAGCGCGATGACGAATCTCTGCGTCGGGGATCTCTCGCCGAGGCGTTTCCAGATGCGACTCGGGGTAGCAGAGATCGTCGCCCAACGGTTCTCAACAGAGCAGGGTCAGCTGTGGTTGGCTTCCCTCATGCTGGGCGTGAGCATCGCGACAGGCAGATCTCCGGTTGAAAACGTCAACCGCATCACTTGCGCGAACCCTCGTCTTTCTTTATGACTACCAAGCCAACGGCAAACTCGGGGAAGGGGAGACATCCACCTCTCGTGTCTTCTTCTGCCATCGGCGGATGGGCCGTGTCTAGGTCCGTGGGGTTGCTGTCGCAGATCCGCGCCTCCCCTGTCTCATCTCATATTCAGTAACTAGGTTCGGTTGCCATAACACGATCTAGTCGCCGAGAATGCCGTGAGGCGGTCGATGCCCAGGACACATTCAAATATGTCGGGAACTATATCTTCCTCGTAGCTTCTCTGCTTGTAGTCATTTCGAATCATTTCACCTTCGTCCTAATATTTATCCTTCTCTTCGTCTGCTTCTTTTTCTCGCAATTGCTGGTCAATCTGCGCAGTGGTAGTTTTTAACTCCTTTTTTTCTTTCTTTCAAGATGCGGTGTGAATCTCTGGTCATATTAATAGGGGCGTCGGCGGTGCTGGCCGTTACGTCGCAAGGTTTTGAGCCTGCAGCCGTATCTAACCTGCTCGTCTCTTTCGGAAATGTTGTCGCAAATGGGGGAAACGTCCTAGCAAGAGAGGGTGAGCCATCGATGCGCGAGCTACCTTATACCTAGCTGGAACATCTTGTTGTTAACAGTCAGTGAAGTGACCCAGGCGACACCTAGAATCGGAACGCAGAGCCGGGTGCAGGGAACGTCGTTCGCCGTGCTGATGATTGACCTCGACATCCCGACGGACACTCCTCCCCAGACAGGAACGCTGCTCCACTGGTTACAGACTGGCCTTACGCAGAGCTCGACGTCGACAGCGATAAACACGACTACGGGGTCCACGACGGCTTTCCTATTCCAAACTCCGCAAGGACAGGCAGCGTTCGCGCCATACATTGGGCCGTCGCCCCCGGCCAGAATACCGCTATCCCATCGATACACGGAGATATTAGTAAATACGTCTGCCGCTACAGACGAGAACCTAGCTGTTCTCCAAAACGCCGCCTCGACTCGTAGAGGCTTCGATACGCTGGCTGTGCTGACGGAAGCTGGACTGGCGGATAAGGTGCTGGCTGGCAATTTTTTCAACGTGACGAACCCGGGCCCAGTATCGTCCAATTCTTCCACTGGCACCGGCAATGGCTCTGGGGGAACCGCTAATAACACCACGGGAAATGGCTCGGGCACAACACCGACTCAGACTCCGCTGATTCCCACAGCAGGCGCGGCGCAGACAGCAAGCGGAATGCTCCTGGCCATCGCTATGGTTGCCGCGGTATTCGTGACTTTGTAAATGGGATGGGGTTGGAAATGTGACGATAAAACATAACCCTACATCTGTATGTACGAGCGTGCGTGGGTGGAAGGAGAGGGGACGAGACAAGCGGCAGCCCGGGCAACGGGCAACGAGGACGAAATCAAGTAGACTGGCGGCACATGCTTGCCGGCACGAGGCTGTTTTGGAGGTCGACGCGAATCATCGCAAATTATGACCTACACGTATCTATATGTCGAACTCGGTGTTTCTCGGGAACGTGATCAGACGGAGTATCCATCGAAGGCGGGTGGGTTAGTGAGTGGCTACGTCGGAGGAATCCCAAAGCTCTAAGGCTACGCGCACATGAGCTCACCCAGAAACTCTGATGCAACAGTAAGCCGTTTCCTCATGCGGGCAAATAACTAACCCCGTGGATGAGAGGGCCGCTCTATACCGAGATTCCGCGACAGAGACAGGCAGACAGGGAGACGGATACCACTCTTCGCGTGCATCCACACCTTGCTGTCCACATCTACCACAGCACTTCCGGTTCCGTGTTGCGCTTGGGGTCTGGAGCAGGAAAAACTGCCGCGAAGTCTACAGGATTGATGCCGGGACGGCGCAGGCGTGGACCTCTACATATTGCCTTTCATTACCTAGTTGACATGGCCGGACCAATAGCCAGCACCGATGCTATTGTTCCTGGTTGCCGTCTCGCCTTTGTTATCTTGGCAGGCTGTCCGTGTGCCTCCATCTCCAACCGGTCGACGAGCTTTCCCCGCAGCACTTGGGAAACAAGGGGTTCTCGCAAGGCTCTCTCCATCGAACTAGTGGACACGTATACACATACGTTCTTGTCGTTGGCGTGGAGGCTTGCATGTAGTTGGTAGTCAGTCAGCACAGCGCCAGGGAGGCACTCGTATCAGAAGAGCGTTTTTCCAAGAATCTTCCTCCTCTCTGCCTTTTTTTTCGTCTCCTCGTCCTCCCCCTCCTCCCCCCGGTCGGTACTTATACAGCCAGACCCTCTCGGCTTGATCGTATGTGGATCATCAGATAACTCTCGGCTGACGATCGTCGACCTGTGTGGGCGGCGTCTTGGGCTAGTCTACTCCACCGGGGCGAGGGGTATCAAAGGCCTGGGACGCTTACCGAAACATCTCCGAGCGTGTCCGGCGGGCTTCCGAGTCCCCCTGAAGCCCAAGGTTCGGGAGATGGCACAGGCGGGTAAGACAAGCCCGTCCCATCTACGAGGCCCGGGGTGATACACGCTCGGGAAATGCGAGAGGGAGGGATGCTGGCTACTAATTATCGCTTCCGGCGTGGCTTAACCTGCGTCCAGATGCTACTCCCCCTCATCCCAGCCGACCGACATGGCCGGCCGCCTCTGTCTCTCCGCCCCTCCCTCCAACCGCGGATGGGGACGAAGCATCGCTTGGACGATGGCGTTAAACGCCCCCCCCTCCCCCTAGCCGTCGCCTCGCGCCGCTCATACAAGCAGCTACACCGAAGAGGCCGGCAAACACGACGGCGCACCGAAGATCATTGGTCAATGGGCGGACTCTCATCTGCCTCTGGTTAGCTCTGCGTGTCCGAGACTGCAGCTAAGACATTCCCCGACTGTGTCTACGACCCCTCCCGCTCCCCGAGCTGCTTGTGCGTGCGCTTTGTCGAACTACCACGGGCGAAAGATGCCGTTACGGTTCTGCCGTCTGACCTTTGTCCTGCGCGCGGGGGCTGGGCTCGATCCATAAATGGTCGAATATCCCCGCCATTGTAGCTCTTCTCCTCCGTCTGTGTTTCTCCCCGATCATCTTGCTCTCATACTCGCGTGGTAAAGTGCTCCCGGTCGTCTTCTAGTGAACCTAGAGTGATTCGTCGTCCCGGATTGCCATCATAGCCGACACCTAGTCCTTCCTCATCCTCGTCATCCCATACACACACGCGCCTGATTAGGCTGATTAGGCATTACCATCTAGCCAACTTCAAAATGGTATGACTCGCTCGCCGCATCCCCTTCCTGCTACCTGCCCTCTTCTCCCCCCGACGCAGACCAGACGGCCTTGTCTATCATTACGATAGTTCGCTCTGTTGGTAGTGAATGCGCGGCCTGGCTGGCCGCCACGCGCCGGTCTGACGTCATACGCAAGCCCGGGCGCTATCCGGGGGGGCGGTGGTGATCTGCGCTTCTGTTCGACTCGCCTTCGTACACCGCAAGTTCCCCCGCTTTGGCACGCCTGCTAACTGCTATATCGTCAACAGGTTAAGGTTCTGCTCGTCCTCTACGACGGTGGCCAGCACGCCAAAGACGTAAGTTACGAAGGGTTCTCGGGCTTCTCCCCGCGATTTCCAACTTGATTTGCTGCCTTCACTGCTGTCCTGTATCCTCTTCTTCTGCCTCTGGCTCTGCCGTCTCCCCCGCAGAGGCTGGGTTCTCGGTATATGCAGGTTAGCCATCCAATGCGAGCGGCCTGGGACGCAATTGGTTGAAGCGGGCATGCAATGGTCTGGATCTGGTAGCTGTACGTGTGCGGCAGATGTGAAGAGCGGAAAGAAAAGGAGAGGGGGGAAAGGGATTTTTGGGGGGGAAGCAGATCGTGTGGGGTATTGGGGGCACGTCGCGATTCACGCTCACACGACTATCCCTTTTTTTTCTTCCGGCATGGACTAACGGATCCTTCTCTTCTGCCCAATTATAGGTTCCCGAGCTGCTGGGAACGACGGAGAACGAGCTGGGCATCCGAAAGTGGCTCGAGGACCAAGGCCACACCCTCGTCACCACCTCCGACAAGGAGGGCGAGGACTCCACCTTCGACAAGGAACTCGTCGATGCTGAGATCATCATTACTACTCCGTATGTGTGGCCCCATTCTGCTACGCCTCACATCCCGTCCGGCCCTCCCTCTTCTTAGCAATGTAACCAAAAGATCCTATTAGGCTCAAGTGGGAGCGAGGAGGTGAGGGGGCGAGAGGAGAGAGGAGGAAACCAAGACTAAGGAGTACCACTATATCACCGCCGCTACCACCACTACCGCTGCTTCTACTCCAACTACCGCCTGCTGCTAGCCCCGGCTGGAGAGACTAACGTGACGATAGCTTCCACCCCGGCTACCTGACTGCTGAGCGGCTAGCCAAGGCTAAGAAGCTGAAGCTCGCCGTCACGGCCGGCATCGGCTCGGATCATGTCGACCTCAACGCGGCTAACAAGACCAACGGCGGTATCACTGTCGCCGAGGTGACCGGCTCAAACGTGGTGTCGGTAGCAGAGCACGTGGTCATGACGATCCTGGTGCTGGTGCGTAACTTCGTGCCGGCGCACGAGATGATCCAGGCGGGCGAGTGGGAGGTGGCCGCGGCGGCCAAGGACGAGTACGACCTCGAGGGCAAGGTCGTCGGCACCGTCGCCGTCGGCCGCATCGGCGAGCGCGTGCTACGTCGCCTCAAGCCCTTCGACTGCAAGGAGCTGCTCTACTACGACTACCAGCCCCTGCACCCGGACGCCGAGAAGGAGATCGGCTGCCGACGGGTCGACACGCTCGAGGAGCTGCTCGCCCAGTCGGACGTCGTCACCATCAACTGCCCGCTGCACGAGAAGACGCGCGGCCTGTTCAACAAGGAACTCATCGCAAAGATGAAGCCTGGTGAGTTGCCAGCTCTGACCTACCTGACCTTGCCTGCCTACCTCCTATGATACATGTGTGCATGTATACAACCCACCCATACATCGGCCCCCCCCCCCTCATCGATCACGTACATACATACACGTACATACGCATGCATGCGTGTGTGCACACATGAACACACACAGGCACACGCATACGTACACACACACATATATATATGTGTGTGTGTGTGGTATATGTATATATACGCGTGCATACCTACCCACATGCCCACACCGTCCATGACTCGTCACCCTAGCGCTTGTTTCTTTCTTGGGAGACTGAACTGACCGGCGCGCTTCTCGCCAACGACAGGCTCGTGGCTTGTGAACACGGCGCGTGGCGCGATCGTGGTGAAGGAGGACGTGGCGGAGGCGCTCAAGTCGGGCCACCTCCGGGGATACGGCGGTGACGTGTGGTTCCCGCAGCCGGCGCCGCAGGACCACCCGCTGCGGTACGCCAAGAACCCGTTCGGCGGCGGCAACGCGATGGTGCCGCACATGTCGGGCACGTCGATCGACGCGCAGAAGCGGTACGCCGCCGGCACCAAGGCCATCCTCGACAGCTACCTGTCGGGCCGCCACGACTACCGGCCCGAGGACCTCATCGTCAAGGACGGCGACTACGTCACCAGGTCCTACGGCCAGCGGAAGAAGGATTAGGGGGCGAGCGCGCCGAGGCTGGGCTGGTAGGAGGGGAGGAGAGGAGGAGGAGCACGTGAGGGCGACCCGGGACGTAGGTACGTGCGCGAGTAGGAGCAAGCTTGCGTAGGTATAGTGGTGGTCGGTCGGCCGCACTGCGCGGATTAGTGGATCATGTTACGATATGAAATACGACGATGGAATAATGAGCGGACCTTCGGATGGTAGCCGGGACTCTTTTGTTTATATGGGCGATCAGTATACCAAGTCCTTTTGCTTGGACCACGGCTCCCTCCCCCCCAAGGGCGCTGTGGCGTAACTGCCTCCATCTCCTATATGCATATAGCAACACGCCAAAATTGCAACCACGGCAGAGTGTGTTGCTGAAGAGACAAACGACGGTGACAGGGAGTTGTAATGGCAGTAACACCTAACCGCACATCTATTAGCCTAGGCGCCCACCTTTGAGAGAAGGGAGGGATGGATGTACATAAATCCCAACCGACCATGTGAGACTCGCCGTCTCGTGGACCGCGCCACAGCCTCTGGGAACAAAGGGATACCTCCCCGGGCCGATGTATGACGCTTACTGCCACGTCTGCAATGTGTGTGATGTCGACATGGCTCACCTACCTCTCCACCTGCAGCCCAGCGACGGCGCCGTACCCAAGATTTACGTCCCTCATACCGAAACAGGGCGTAATCCTGGGCTAGCTTCCAACCCGCCTCACTCCCGATCTCCGCGGAACTACAGCGAACATACCGGTGCCCGGTGACGTCTTTCTTACTCGATGGGTGTATGACGGATCTCGTCGTCAGAGACGCCGCCTCAATCTGGCGGCAGCTAGCGAGCCACTCGTCCGCCCGCCCTCCAGCTGGGCTGAGGAGAGCCATGCCCCCGCCCGCTGTCCCTCTCCGCTACGTCATTTGTCTGTGCCCGTGTCTGTGCCCGTCTGTGCCCGGCCCGTCTCCGCCTCTGACTCTGCACCCCCTCGGTGCTCCCCAGGTGGAAGTTGTCTAGCTCCCTCAAACGCACGCTGTCTTCTCCGGCCGAGGCGTAAGAGCAGCACGACCTGCTACGTAGGCAGGTAGTAGCAGCCAGGCACGGGGCGCACCCGGGCCGTTGTTGGATATATAAAGGGGCTTCTTCTCGCACCTTGATGGCCGACTCAGCTCCTCAGCAGCATTGTCCCCGATTCGACCAGCACCGGCCAATAGCAGTCAGCTCACCGGCGATTGCAACATACTCGCTCTCCATCGCAACCGTCGGGAACTAGTTACCCCCTCGGCCCGTTGTCTCGCAACACAATTACGCGATAATCAGCGCCTATATTCCTACCTACCTACCTATCTACCTACCTCCTTTGTTAACTCTTCCTCCGCCATGGCCTGCAACTGCAACTCCTCCGGCTCCTGCAGCTGTGCCTCCAGCGGCGCGTGCAACTGCCAGAACAACTGCGGCTGCGCCAACTGCCCCGTAAGCCGACCCCGATCCGCCGCCGTGTTGTTCTCTTCTTCTTCTTCTCCTCTTCCTCCCACTTTCTCATCCTCGCCGCCCTGCTAACCTCGTAACCCGCCCGCGAGCAGAAGAAATAAACCGGCCGACTCTCCGGAGCGCGCCCCCGTCCCGCCCGCTCCTACACGCCTCCTCCGTCCATCGCGAGGTCAGCCCCCGACACGCAGCCGCAGAATGCAGCAAACCCGCCTTGCGCTGGGGGGCGGGGACGGGGGGGCGCACGCACGCGGACCGGTAGGGCCGGCGGGACGTGGGGGTCCCCTGCTGCGACGGCCGTCGCTTTCTCTTCTCTCTTTTCACTCGTTCGCTGTACATAGTTCGCCCGCATCCCCCCCCGGGGGATAGGGGGGGGCCCGGCGAGGCAGATAGATAACATCCAACTTGCTAATCGGAGTCGCTCATTAAATTTTTGATCTGCGGACTGATGTCTGGGGAGACTATGCGCGCGTTTGTGTGACTGACCTGAAGGGGGGAGTAGCTAGGCTACAGAGAGCGTCGACGTGGTAACAGGAAACGATGGCCCCTTTGACTCTGCACCGGTAGAGGCTAGATCGCGAACCCAGAAAGTGCCGCCTACTCTACATATCTTGCGTGCTCGGCCAAGCATTAGCATAGGCTTCGCACGGGAGCACAAGGGAGATACATCACTCGTAATAGGAGCCAGCAGTCGTAAAACTAGGCATTATCTATAGGTATCTAGACATGCCCATAGACACGCACCACATGCCCGTCCCATCGACCGATCCGTCCACTCGCCCGCGCACAGCGCACGTACACGCAGCCCCCGTATCCGCCCAGCCCAGAGCAAGAGACACCCAACCAAAACGCCCGCGTGTACCTTCTCGCGTGCTCGCGTCCAGGCGAGAGAGAGAGCCGGAGAACCCAGGCCGAGACCTGCCTGCCGACTGTCCGGCTACTCCTCGTCGTCGCTGCTGTCGACCAGGAACCCGGCGGGGGCCCGGCGCCGCGGCGCCCGCGTCTGCGAGGCCGGCGCGTCCTGCATGTCGGCGTCCTCGGCTGCGCCGTCGTCGCCCGCGGGCTGCGGCTGGCGCTCCGTCGTAGCGGTGGCCGTAGTCGTAGTCGTAGTCGTAGTCGTAGTCGTAGTCGAGGCGGCAGACGGCTCCCGCGACAGGCGCCGCCTCTTGGCGCCGGCCGCCGAGCTCGCGTGCGGGCTCGACCGCGTGTCCGTGTCTTCTCCCCCTTCTTCTTGTTCTTCTCCCTCCTCGTCTCCCTCCGACCCGTCCGCGCGCACCCCAGCATCTCCGCCCCCCTCGTCGTCCGACTCCGGCGGCAGGATCAGGTCGTCGTCGTTGTCGCTCTCGTCGTCCGACGCCAGCGCCTGCGCCGCCTTGCGCTTCCTCCCGTTCTCCTCCTTCCCCTTCCCCTTTCCCTTGTCCTCCGCCTCGGCGACCGCTCCCGCCGCCGCCGCCGCTCGCTGCCGCGCCCGGATGCGCTCCTCGTTCGCGAAGAACTCGGCCCACCGCGTCCCGTCCTCGTCGTCCGACTCGTCGTCGCTCGCGTGCACGTACAGCTCGCTCTTGAACCGCCGCGCCTTCGCCCTCTCGCGCTCCCGCCGTAGTCTCGCCTTCTCCTTAAGTTGCTCCTCCGTCAGCGCTGGCTCCTCTCCGTCCTCGCTCTCGTCGTCGCGCCTTCGTCGTCGTGCCTTGGGCTTGTCCTGGGTCCCGTCCGCTACCTTGCGCGCCGTCGGCCCCCCCGCCGGGAACAGGATATCGTCGTCGTCTGCGTCGTCATCGTCGTCGTCGTCGTCGTCGAACACCGCCTTCTTCTTTCGCGGCGCCGCCTTCCGCCGCAGCTGGTCCTCCGCGAGCCGCCCGTCCTCGAACGACGGCGGCTCGAACTCGGCCCGCGCGATGAGGTCGAGCGACGCCTGCGCGTCGTCGGCCGTCACGTGCGGCGGCAGGATCCAGGCCGACTCCGGCGTCTCGTCGACGCCCGGCGCGAGCCGCTCCATGCCCACGAGCTTCATGAGCAGCCGGAGGTGCGAGTTCTTGAACATGGCTATCCGTCGCGCGTCGCTATCTGGACGTATTGCTATATAGGGAGGGAGGACTACTGGTTAGGTACGAACTCGAAACTAGATGGCGACTGGATGAGGGGCGGAAGGGGGGGCAAAACCTACAAATGGCCGGGGGATCTCTCCTGGGAGCATTCTCCTCCGGCTGCTGCTGCTCGCCTTCCTTCTCGGCTCCCTCTACGGAGGGTATGGCCTTCTCCGCTGCTTCCCACGCCCTCCGTTCGCTTTCGGCGGCGGACAGCTGGCCTTTCACCCAGTTAACGTGGTCCGCCAGGTTCTTGTCCAGCAAGACGCTAACGGCGATTGCGATCTGCTGGTCCCGCTCGAGGATATTCCGGAATTCCAGCTCGGCCGCCGGCTTAGATTGCGCCGTCGAGAGGGTCTGCTTATCGTATCCGTATTCGAGGTAATTTGCCGTCGTGTTGGTCTTCGAGAACAGCATCTCGATGATCAGCTGGGGCCGCTCCTCGATCTTGCGGATGCACTTCTTCAGTATCTGCTTCACCAGCTCTTCCCATTCCTTATACATCGGCGACCCCTTGTCGAGGGGCTCGTGGCCTTTTATCATGCCGTATAACAAGTGTATGATGTCGATCCGGAAGAGCATCACGCTCTTGTCCAGCTTAAAGGCTACGCGGTAAAAATAGCGATGGGCACGCTTCAGCTGAGAGTCATTCAGGTCCTGGTAATGCTTCGTGAAGTGCACGAATGTGTCTACGACGCCCTGGGGGACAAAGCGGCCCATGAAGCGATTGAAGTCAAACTTCCGCTCGCTGGAGGTTCGCTCCGCATTCGCCTGGTCATTCTCAGAATCGTCGACTTCTTCCTCTACTACAGGGTTCTCCTCGCCCTCCGCAACAGCTTTAGCAGCCTTCTTCTTCTTCCGGACCCGACGTCGTGACCGGACCTGCATGTCGACGTTCTGCTTCGAGTACGCTTCTAGAACGCGCAGGTATGTGTGCGTAAGCTCCGTGCAGGCGTCGAGATACTCAAAGCCTTGATCCTTGTAATCCCTAGCGATGCTCGCGACCCTATCGTGGGTCTCTTCCTCGTAGAAAATACGGCTGAGAATGTTCTCAGCAATCTCTTCGTCTTCCTCGTTCCCCGACTCAGACATCTCCTGGACCGTTAGGAGAATTTGCGTGAAACATCGCATGGCTGCGCATAATTCGTGCCAGCGCTTATTTTCTAGTGAGTCGGCAATGGCCCTGTTTAATGTGATGAACGTCTGCTGGTCGAGCACACCGGCGACGAGGTTGAAAGAGCTAACGTCTTGGGCATCGGTCGACTTGCGGCCCTTTGCAGCCTTCCTTCGAGCTCGTTCGGCTTCTAAAAACCACGCTACTAAATAGAAGAATTGTCGGGCATGGTATTCGAAGACGTAGTCTTTTTGGTCGTCGAGCTTCTTCCGGACATGTTGAAAGAGGGGGTTGAAGCCAGAGTCGAGGAAGTCTTCTACAAAGTTCTTCAGCTGCTTCCGCGCCCTAGAATTCAACGATACTGGGAGCCCAAGATCCAGTAGTTCCTTGCCGTCCTTTCTAGGTCTCCGCGGGGGTCTATACACCTTGCTGCTGTCCATCTTCCGCTGTCTCGTGGCAGAATCAAGTAAAGCATCCTGGCCGCTGACGGTGGAAACCTTGCCATCACCTCGATCGACCCAGATCATGGTTCCCCAGCGATTGTGGCGCGAGGGAGCTTTCCGATTGTAAGGGCGGTGCATCGCGGCTTCTTTGTTCATCATAGCCGCCAACTCGTCCGACTTCGCCTTGCCAAGCTCCTTGTCGTCCATAAACAGCTTCGATATGTCGACGCGCTTGACTAGGTGAAATATGATCTCCATCACAATGACGCCTTCTTGATTGAAGTCCTCCCCCATGTTGGAGGCCAGGGCCAGAAGGGCGAGGAGAATATCTTGGTAAGAAAAGGCATCAATTAAAGCCGAGCGCGATATCTGCGATTCGTCGCCATCGTACTGGACGCCCGGGGGTGGTGAGATCATGGCTATGTTTCGGAGGAACAGGAGGACAAGCTTGATTATACTCTCGTCGCGCGTTGATCGTTCGCTGCGAGACAGGGCTATGGAGGGCAAGGCAACCCGTACGGCAGTACGGAGGATCTCGGCCGCATCGAAGTTGATAATGGCACGCTTGTACCCGAATTGGGCGAGCTGCAGTACGGGGAGGTGTCGGTGGTGGTTGATGGTCATCTGGTCGGGGTCTCGTTCCAACGGCCAGGTTAACGGTACCATGATCTCGAAGCAGGCCAGGGCAGCCCTCGCCTTGAACCTATTGTCGGTGGCATTCTCGGGCCAGGAGGCGATGATGTGTAGCAGGTCCCCGTCGATGAGATTTGCTTCGGCTAAGCATCGCGCGACGTCCATCCGATTCGTTTTCTCGTCGTAGAAGCGGATCCATTTTTTGATATCTCGCAAGACCTCGAGGGCAGAGTCTCCGAGCACATATCGTCCGTCGTCGTCGGCGCTAAAACCACCAAGCTACAAGGTCGCGGTCAGCGCATAGCTCTCGAACGGAGGAGAAGGCCGGCAAGAAACTACTACTAACAGCTGAGACGAGACTGTTGATGTGCGCACGAACTTCGGGATGCACCACGTCAGTAGTGCCTTCTGACTGATCCATGATGGCGGCGAGGTATTGCCTCTCCCTGTCGAATTTCTGCCCGCGGTTCAGTCTAGGGAGATCATGAGTGCGAATAGTAGGGATTGGAGTGCCTCTAGAAATTGAAAACGCGTCACGCCCGCCCGGACGCGTGTCAATTAACTGATCCGCCGACTGGGGTGGGTACATTGGTACTTTTATACCTAGGTACCTGGGTACAGCTGTGTCGCAGACCTATGACGTAGATAGGTAGATGAATTACATAATCTTCTCCCCCCACCAACATCCTCCCCCACCTCTTACCTTAGCAGGATCTCCTGTCCTAGTCCTTCTTATCGATAACGCAGCTTTCCAAGCCCCTGCGGATATCTGTAACCCGAGGCTATCCGGTAATTGCCCGGCCTCCTTCGCAACGCTCAGCCCCGTAACACATGTAGGTGGACAGGCATACCTATTTTGTCTTACATCTCGTTAGTTTTCTCATCTCTCGAGTGGTCGTGTAGCCTTCGTAATACTTATACGTCCCCATGGCAAGTTCGATCTTGAGGAGCAGAGCGCTTCCGCTCACCCGCCAAATAAGACACTTCAACTCTAGTCCTGCTCACTATGCAGCAGAGGTAAAGAAGCTAGGTGTCCTGGGCGCCGGCCAAATGGTAAACAGCCTCTTTCACATGCCATCCGAGATAGCTGATTGCTCACATAACCAAATCGCCTCCTTCAGGGCTTGGGCATTGCCTTGGTGGCCGCCCGAAAAGCCGGTGTCTCCGTCACGCTGGTTGACTCGTCACAATCTTCCTTGGATAAGGGCATCTCCTTCGCGGGTCCGTTTCTCTTTCTAGTCTTTGGTCGACGTCACGGCATGCTCACCGGCACGCAGAGAAACTCCTATCCAAAGATGTCTCCAAGTCGCGGATCACGCAGGAGCAGGCCGACAAGGCGAGGTCTCTGCTCTCGCCTACGACCTCGGTGGAAGACCTGTCGGAGGTCGACTTCGTGATTGAGGCGGTGCCCGAAATTCCGCAGCTCAAGTTCGACATCTTCGCGCGGCTGGCCGAGGTCTGCCCGAAACACGCGATCCTCGCGACCAACACGTCGTCCATCTCGATCACCAAGATCGCCGCGGCGACGACTAAGGACCCGAAGGACACGTCGGCGAGTTCGCGTGTCGTGTCGACTCACTTCATGAACCCCGTGCCCGTGCAAAAGGGCGTGGAGATCATCAGCGGCCTGCAGACGAGCCCCGAGACGCTCGACACCGCTATCGCCTTCTGCAAGGCCATGCAAAAGATCCCCTCCGTATCCGGCGACTCTCCCGGTTTCCTAGCAAACCGTATCCTCATGCCGTATATCAACGAGGCCGTCATATGCCTCGAGACCGGCGTCGGCAAGCGCGACGACATCGACGCCATCATGAAGAACGGCACCAACGTGCCCATGGGCCCGCTGCAGCTCGCCGATTTCATCGGCCTCGACACGTGCCTAGCTATCATGAAGGTACTGCATCAAGAAACAGGCGACTCCAAGTACCGGCCGAGCGTGCTGCTCGCCAAGATGGTCGACGCCGGTTGGCTAGGGAAGAAGAGCGGCAAGGGGTTCTACGATTACTAGACGCGGTACATGTGTAAGTAGTTTCTATCGCCATTGGAATGTATCTATGAACCGACTGCCCATGGCATCTACCGTCATGGTAGGCTCATTTTAAAAGTGTGTGATCCACGGCTGTATCATATCAGTACCTACGGAGTAAGTCAAGAGGAATGAGGGCGGTCAATGAATAAAAAGGTGCGTCGGTACGACAAACCGGGACGTATGGGTTGCTTCTCAACTCAACACCAGCTTTGATAAATAGTTTATCTATCATCTGTACGCTCGCCTATATGTGTCACCGGCATCAACAGGGGGTCCGGCCACAATCGGTAGGAACAGGCTCAAGTCATCGATGATACCGGCAAGCTCAGAGCCACAAACCCTCGACTTGGACATCAAGGAAGCTAGTGTGTAGCTCGATCCACATAGGCTAACTGAACAGAATGCGGCCGGAGATTCTTCTTGTCTGACAGCATATTGGGGATTTAGGTATAAGTGCACCCATAGCTAATCGACACCCGGTGACCGGGTGCTGAGAGACAAAACCACCGGCGTCAGTGGCGGATATCCTAGCCTGAACTTCCAGGACTGTACGCCCCTTTTCCCACCAGAGTGGAATTTCCAAAGGCCCTGCACCCCGTGACCATCTCGGCCGATTCCAGAGCATGGGGACCATCGCTAAACGCGCGGGATAAGACGGCGGAGGCTCAGATATACCTATGCTCACCTGCCTAGACACCAGGCCACGAGGTCAAGATGGCACTCGCTCATTCCAGTGCTTAGGGGCATTGTCCTCTTCCCCAGACAGCGCTAACAAGGTTCAAGGAAGAATCGAAGACAACCAGCTGCCTATCGTCTTCGGATACGTTAGTCAAGATGGTTTTTCTTTTTGGATCTCTTAGACCCCAATTCCACCAACCCTGGACCATGCCGGAGGCGCATCTCACCTGGCGCGGGCGCCACCATACACGAGGCAACCCGTGCCCAGCTCCCGACTCGTTCGAAGGAGGACGTTAAGGGTAAGCCCGGTGGCGTATCCGCCTCGGCTTAGCCCTCACTAGCCATTACTTCGGTGTGAGGGTATACGTACCACGGGTTATAGGTAGGTGTCGCTGCTCGCGATGCGATCTAACAGGCAAGGCCTAGCGACTTGTCCTGGGTGGCCTCTTGGGGTCGGGACGAAGTATGAAAACGGACAAAAAAGCAACTAATATCAGCTCAGCCTGCATCCTGGGTGTATACATGTATACCTCTAGCAAGGTCGTCATCACCGCGTGTGAGCGGAACGTCGCGAAGCGGACAGTGAGCCGTGGTATAATGGTCCCAGCTTTGCGGACGGGCGCGTCGACGGGGTCGGGCTCGGGGGGACCAGCATCGGCAGCAGCCGTTGGCGGGAGAGTTCCTCTGGCCAGCGTAGCGGCGGCGATGCTCGCTTGCATCATCCTCGCCTTTCCTCGTCCCGGCAGCCGCTACCATAGCGCACTCAGCGGCTGGCGGCCCGATGAACTACGCGCCGCTAGGGAAGGCCTGCGCGCCGAACTACGCCGTAGGGGGAGAGACGGCGCCATCCGCGGCGCTTAACTGCCTACCGCAGGCCGCGCGCCGGGGAGGCTTCCGGAGGGCTCTCGTGGCGTCGGAATAGTAGGTATTGACTTCGAGGAGGGGGACGGACAATAGTGCGTGAGCATCTACTACGTAGGTGCACAATAAACATGGCCGCAGACTTAGGTACCTACATGGCTCTAATACGGACGAGAAACCCATGCGCGTCCACATAAGTATATCTACGTTGGGGCGGCGAAAGCGGCTCGGGGCGCGAGCGAGCGAGAAAACAGCCCGTAGAACCAAATTGTCGATTTACCGACAGCCTGGGACAACTTGTTCGACCCCGCGAGCATGACTACGCGCAATCTCTCACAGACGTCGGCCATGGGATCATGAGGCGACGCTGTGGGGGGTGGGTGGGGAGGGAGCGAGGTGGTGCGAGGCACGCCGGGAGACGCAGAGACCTGCTACCGGGGCAGTTCGCGTCACAGCGTGGGCCGTTAGGGATAGGGGAAGCGTAGCATTCGAACGCGGCGTCGAGCGCAGGCTCTCTCTCCCCGAGCCCTATCGCGACGGGCTGCTCGTCAAGCGAGATGCGCTGTCTAGGACCAGCGCAGCTCCAGCATGCGACACAGAGGCTTTACAGCCCACGTCGACTGTTCTAGATCAAATCCCTGGCCGCCTACGAACCTCATTCCCGCCCCCTGCCTCCTCCTACTCATACGCTGACAGCAAGCGGGCCACCCACGAGGGGAATATACTAGGCACGTAGTGCATATCTGCATACCGTAGGATGTGCTCACGCATGCGTGAACGGCGCATCGAAAAGGGGGCACGCAGGTACCTATGCTGGGGGCTCAAAAGGCTTTACGTCAGAATGTTGGTGGTAGTCATCTTCACCTAGGCGGCGCTGTCGACAATTCGTTGGTATTCCAACGAACGGCACTATGTGCAACGATGTTCTAACGTAGCAGTAATAGGTGGGAGAAACAGTGGGGGGTGGAGGGGGCTAACTACCTAGGTATAGTAGTGAAGAAAGCTATACCTACCTACCATAGAGGCACACATCCCCCACCAAGTTGAAGACACACTAGAGACGAATCCACGGCTTGGTGTGTGGCGGCAGATCGGACGTATCTGAGACATACATACACATCTGCATGCGTTAGATCCTTGGCTATGCCTCTCTCTGCCTCTCTCTCCCCCCCCCTCTCCAGCTGGTGTATGTAAGATCGCAGTGCGCACCGCGTTCCGTAGGCAAGGTAACCCGAACTGCATCCCTATCACCAACCCACACAACAGGGATATATACCTACATACATGCGTACACGAGCCATACATATGCCGCGAATCAGAAAGGGGGTGCCCCTTTCCGAGAGCCTGTTTTGTGCCCGTCGTATTGTCGTCAGCATTGGGGACCATCGATGGCTGCAATATTGCTACTTAATAAGTACGGCATAAGGAAAGAAAGAAGCCGGGCGAATTATCGACGCCAACCGCGCCAGAGGGGGGGGAGGACCGCGCGCTAATCCCGCATTTCCCCGTCGCTGACGGTACGCCGACGCCGCCACCAACTCGTGGTTTGGCTGGCCGTTTTGTGCTCCAGGGGCGAATAGAAACCGGCCCCTCAAAAGGTTGGGCGAGAGGGCTAAAACCTAGCGAGTGCCGTGCAAGTTGGGATGACCTTGTTCACCAGGTGGATACCCGCGGAGAAGTAGCGGCAGATATACCTCATGCTTCGTTGTTGGCTCGATTATCGTGAGAAGTGACCTGTGCCTTGAGAGAGAGGGGAGGGGAGGGGGGAGGGGGAGAGGAAAAGAACAGCCGCGGCGGCAGCAATTCGACCGAGCGAATGGAGAGCGGAAAACAAAAACGGAGAACCCGAGATAGGCTCGTAGAGAGAAGGTGAGAGGAGAGGAGAGAAAGGAGAAAGGAGAGGGAGAAAAAAGAGTCAGATTCCTTCCTGCTAGCCCTCGACACACCACCACCTTCTCGTCACGTTATCCGCGACGATACCAGAGTGCAAAGTCTTGGCTCCGAGCTGTCTCAGTTGCGCCGGCCAATGGTTCTGCAGAAGCACCCCGGTCCGTCCGAAGAGAAGGGGACCCTGGTTCGCGGCAGAGGAGAGAGGAGGGAGAGGCTCGTCCACGATTGGGATGGGCCGGGAACCTCGTGTGGTGCGTAAAGCCGCCAAGGAGGATCGTTCCGTAGCGTGCTGAAGATCCTCCTCGCCCTCACTTCTCTTTTTTTTGTTTTGATCTGTCGCGACTCCCCACGTACCCGTCCACAAGTCTTACCCCATGCGTGCGCACCCAGCACGTCCCAGGTTTTCTACGCAGACAGGCGGACGGAGGCCGCCAGGCGAACACTTCCGACCTCGAGTTCTCCTGGTTTCCGCTCTGCGGTTACGACGGGAATGCCACGTCGACGGGTCGCTAGATGGCACAGCCCACGTCGGAGCTGCGGTTAGGAGGGCGCCGCCCGCGAGGTCGCAAAGGCAGGGCTGGAGGACGAGTGTGTGGATGAGGTATGGGTCGCCTGGCATTGGGTGCTACGTAGGTACCTAGTATGTAGGTACAAGTCACAAGTCATGCGTATACGACCTGTGGCGGAGTGCATATCCTTGGTTGGCACTCGCCACAGGCCCGACGGCGGTGACGCACGAGCGGGCCCGAGCCGCTGGGCCAGCGAAAGACGAGGGGGGCTTCGGTGGCTAATGCATGCGTGTCTGTTACCTACGTAGGCAATATGTAGGTCATCCTCTGCGTCCGTACGTAGGGAATGGCAACGCGTTACCTACCATCGCCTCGCATCATGCCACTTTCAGCTCGTCTTGCTCTCACGTGCTGGGATGCGCGGTGCAGGGGACGGGTGGCCTTTGGGTCGGGGAGCCCAACCGGATAGTTGCTCGTAGCTCATGCTCATACCCCAAGCAACAAGCAACGGGTCTCTCTTCCTCTCGTCGACTCTGCATTGCTCATTCGGGGCGGACGAGGAGGTGGCCAAGTCGGCCGACCGCCCACCGCAGGCTAACTAGCGTTGGGACGTGGGGCGAGACGTCCTATCCTCGAGGCGTTCTAACCAGTCCACCTCAGTAAGCAGGGAGTCTGCCTGGCGAGCGACGAGATAGCCGGTAGCGGGTGGGAAGCGAATGAAGAGATGACGATGGCCGGAGCGGGAGGAGGGAAGAGAAGGGTAAAAACGGTCCTACAGCGCTAGCAGAATACACCAAAGAGCTCCAGTATCGCTCACATCGGGCGAATCAGATTACACGGAACGGTGTGTCCGATAAGATAAAGTCGCACACCCTTACCTAAGGGAGGTAGGTACCTAGCCAAAGGTAGTAGTACCGCGCAATCTATCGGTATAGTAACCCGCACATTAGGTACCTATAACCCTTTGATTAATGCATAATGCAATTTTATAGGTGTCCCAGGCAGGGTAGAGTATCACATACCTCAAGTTAGGTACCTCATCTGGGCCTAATTGCGGATACCGGGGACAGTCCAGGGTTGTCCGCAAAAAAGTATTGGACGCGTGGGAGCCGCCGGGGCTCTGCGAGGGGGCACGAGATGGATACAACGACTTGCCTATCAAAGACGTCGGGGAGACGTCGGCTGACTGAAGGAACGAACACGCCAGTTTCTCCCCCTCGTCCCTCGCCACGACTTCACCCACGCGCGATCGACATCGATACCAGCCCGTTGAGGGAGAGGAACGCGCTTCACCGAGCGCTCCGAAGGGAATAATCAATGCCGAGCAAACCTCCAACGGATCCTTACGGATAGGGAGAGACATGCAGACGGACCAACCCTCGCCTCACCACGACGGATTGGATGGAGAGAATCGTTGCGGCGTCCATTGGACCAAAAAGGGAGCGCCCAAAGACCAATCACAAAATTCAACGGCGTGGCTGTTTTTTTCTTCTTCAACTAGCGTATTCCCTCGACTTGCTAGTCATCCCTGCTGGCGACAAATGTAGACACAGAGATCTGAGATGGGGGCCTCTATCTCCAACCTGCTAGGTTTGCATAGATAGAGATCTTTCCCAGGGTGCTGGCGTTGCTAGTTGGATGCTTTACGTGATAGGCTGCCGGATAGGCAGCGAGCGTGCGAGGGTAGGTCTTGTCGAAAGGGGGTGGAGGGGGGGCGCGAAATACCTACTACTACAGGCTTACCTCCGTACCTACATGATGACATCCCATCGATGGCTTGCAGTGCGTCGCAGAGGAATGTAGGACGAGACATGTCGCCTAGTTATATGCGGCGAGATCGGCACTCACGGCCTCATCGTCTAAAGCAGTGTCGCCGATGACCAACACAAACGACACCTCGTAACCTGGACGGAACTTCCGGACCTAGCGCGCCGTTCCTATGCGATCGGAGTGCGATAGAGGCGGTTACAGATCGTGACAGGAAAAGCCAGGCTTCAGCGACACGCACGCCAGTCGGCCAATTCGAACACCAAACTTGCTAAATCCGAAGAAGGAATGGAATACGGCTGACAGCCTGCGAGTGAGAGGTAGTCACATGCACATAATAAGGTAGACTCGTCCAGGTGCCTTAGGTAGGTAGTGTGCCGACGACCAAACGACCTAACATAGGAATGCCCGTAGGACTTGGCGGCCTTGTATGGGCAGCTATCACGAGCGCCGCGCAACCGTTAGCTAGGGAAGTGGAGAGAGGTGCAGGGGTATTTCGCGGCCAGGTCGAGTTGGGGTTGAACCAAGATCGTCAAAGCCGGCGCAGCGATTCGGCCATGCAATGGGCTCCCTCGGAAGATGGAAGAGAGTGAGACATGCAGGAAAAAAAAGAGTGTGTGTGGGTGAGAGACGCAACGATGCAATGGAACGCTGATGGCAGCTTTCTGGAAAGGAGAGCGGGGGAGAGGAAGAGAGAGAGAGAGAGAGAGAAAACTGCGAAGCTAACCGTCTGAGACATAACACAACGAGGGCCAGAAACGGCTACTACCTCGGGTCGGTAATTACATGCCTAACCTAGCAAGATATGTACGTGTAGATTCTGCGGAATCACAGGCTTTTGGTGGACCAATATATGTAGGCATGGGTAAGCGCCGCACATATCTACCTATCACGTGGGCACGAATACCTACCTACCAGATGCGCAGTACCGGTGGGACGGCGAGGAACGAAGAACGGATTCTTCATCCCCTCTGTGGGTTTCGGTAGCTATGCGGGCGCTACGGAGGGGGAGGTTCTTCGTGACCCACCGTTGGGTGCTCAGCAGGCAGTCATAAGCGCTAATACCTAGCAGTAACATACCTACCTACCTACCTCCTAGGTAGGTAGGTAGGTAGGTAGGTAGGTAGGTAGGCAGATAACACGTACATCACGCCAGAGCCATGCCTCCTGGTCTGGGGATGTGAGCTTCGGGCTAGTGCCTACCGGCCATCATGCTATGTAATAACTTGCCCCCTAAGGTTCTTAGATTTAAGGGCGAGGAACGACGTCGCTGAAAAGTCAGGGATTCCCCTGTTGTTGGCAGTTGGTGACGACCTCGGACGGCCCGCTCCCTTCTCGAGATTCCGCTAGATGGGAGCAGTTGGGAGCTGTCAACTGTCATTGCTAGAAGCCCGACCTGCCCTCCCAGGACCAGGACCAGGACCAGGTTAGGCACCTAGCACCCTGAAAGGTACCTATCCCCAGAGGCGCTATACCTACCTACCTCTGTGGCAACGTTGGAAGTTAGGATAGGAGGAGGTAGGGCATATCATCATCTGTCTTACCGGGTCCCCTAGTCGAAAGGGCAATTTAGGTGATCACCTTAGCGTTGCCCATTGAAGCTGGACGCCCAAAAACGCGCGTGCTGGGCAGGCGAGTATCAGACTATTATCGGTCACCGCCACTGCCAGTTGTCATCTGCTCAGCAGCAAACGTCAATAGCTGTCTGGTATTAAGACGGAATACCCGTGTGTATTGCTCCCGAGGTTTCGTATAAGGGAACAAACACGCCTAGCCGGCTGCCTCCCTCCTCCGCTCCGGCGTCTCTCGACCTCTCTATGCGTCGCCGCCTGCACCCGATGCGACCAGCGAGCAACCAACCACTTGCCAGTGCAGGTTGAGGTGCACATGTGGGACGGGGCGAGGAGGGGGGAGGGAGGGGTGGGTTATAGGTACCTGTGGCCTGCAACGGGTCTGAAAGTACTCTGGTACATAGCTAAGTATCTTACCCGGATAAAGCAGTAGGAGGTAAGGTGGGTAGGATAAGGTCCCTCCTCATGCTGACAGCATTGATCAACGCAAGTAATACTGCCGTCATACAGTCCCACAGGTAAGTACCTAGGTAGGTATCCTTTTTGGGGGGGGTTTTTTTTGGCGGGCATTGCCAATTGCCATCAACCCGGTGAAGCACAATTTCTCAATATTGCTTCCCCTCTCCTTCACCCCACAATGCCACCAGGGACGACACGCACTTCAATTTCTCCTCTAACAAGACACAATTTGCTTGTAAATTGCATGCTAGCTACTTAGCGCCGCTATGCTCTGTCGCCGTCGTCGTCGCTGCTGACGTCCTTGCTATCCCTATCCGTCCGTATCCACATAGACGCTCCGGGTCGTCGTCCATTCGTGGCTCTCGTTCAGTTCCGACCCAGCGCCCAGAATGACCAGCGCCGAGCGAGGCAAGTAGGTAGTAGGATGACCGGCCTGCTTACAACGCCTCTTAGAGCGATCGGTAGCTGCGAGGAGCACCACCGTCGGATAGCGTCGTATGACCCCGTCACTACACGCTCCTCTCGCGCGCTCTTCCTTTCTTTTTTGTTTTTATTGAAATAATATGATCCTGCCTGCTACGTCCCTAGTAGGTGGGCTCGGCTCTGGGAGTGCTCGACTACCCTTTATTATACCTGGCTGGACCTAACCAGGGAAGAGGTCTCCAAAATGTCAAGGGTGTTTTGGACGAATAGCATCGTCGAGGGCTTGTCGCTGCCCTCCCATAGGACATCAGAATATGCACAATCTAAGACCGGCTTGCCAGTATGACCGGTGCGGTTCTTCTCGCTCCCGGCTTGAGCGTATCGTTAGCGGTAGCAGGTGGGAGCCGAAGAAGAGGCCATCGATGGAGAGATGCGCATCCGTAGGGTGCGCCGTTTGATGACGCAAACTCGCGAGAGAGCCTTCTCCAAGGGCGGCCAATATCCGACGTAGTTTGTTCGGTCCACGGCTTCGGCGCCTTCAGAGTCGCCTTTCGTCACCGGGTGTTGGTACCTACTGCTCGCAGCAGCAGGGTGCGTAAGAACCCTGGTTGGCAGGCATTCGGATCGGCTAAGGCGTACCTCTGTCGTGGGAATTGGCCCTGTGAAGGTCGATTCCGCAATGCTCGCCGCCAACCAAGCCGTCCACTCGGCGACTCCATCCTCGACAATCCCCAAATGGTCGCATCCTGCCCGTCCAGGCAGGGGTGTATGCGCCACACCAGCTCTAAAGGACTATTCGTCTGCATACTACGTACCGTCACCCATGTCTACACCCTTGGGTACTTTGCCCTCGCGCGGGTATACGAAGTGGAAGGACGATGCGAGCAGGAAAAATACAAGTATCTTGCTATATACGGCCATACGACTCTTCTCGCCTCCCGGATACCTCTCCTCCTGATATCGTCTCTCTTCTCCTGCCCTTATTGTGAGCTGCTAGCGAGTCTCTTTTCTTTCCGTTCTTATTATATTTTATGTTCTATATCTCTTTCCGTAAGATGACGTGACTGCTTCCGATCGGGGTTGTCGCCGCCGAGTACGTTTACGAGACGCGGAATTCTATGGTACCATCATCAACACCTAGGCCATCACTTCTGCCACGAGCCCTTCGCTGGAGCCAAAAAAAAAAAAAGAGAGAGAGAGAAGGAGAATACCAGCGCCATCGCTCGATTAAACGCCCTCGAGCTCACCCCTCACAACCTCTGTACCACCATACGGTTCTCTAACGAACTCGAGTCGACGTCCACACGGCAACATCCCTCCCCCCACCCATCCCTAGATCCTCCTCGAGCCTGAGTCTCCACGCCGTCGTTTAAGGACCTTCCCTGCTAGTCCATTCCTCCAGAGGATCTGTTTTGAGGATCATCTTGCCTAATTTTCATTGTTTTCGCTACATTAATATTCGAAGCTGCGGTTGAACGAGCCGGCTGTTATTGTTTTTCTTTTACACCATATAGTCGTCTTTGGCTATACCAGGATCCTGGGAGATTCATATCGTTAAATCAGCCGTCGTGGAACAGTATCGACCCTGCCTATCTATCAGCCGGTCTGGATCGCCTATTCCATTACGCCCGTCTTGCCGCCTCCGTGGAATGGTGTGGCCAGTCAGCACCTAATTGACGGACAGTCTTATTGTGTGAAGCCAATCGCGACAAACCTCTGCTATAGGTTGTTCCCGCAAGTATACCCGCCATCACGTCTCGCCGCTGACCACCCATCCCACATAAGCCAGCTGCCCCTACAACCCGGCCGTTAACATGGACACTTAACCGTACTCCGAGAAAGTAAAGACGGAGATGGTGTCTATTCGCCTACGCTCAGACTCTCGGACTCGGCCGAGTGATGAATCACGGCCCAAGAGGACAGGAGGCGTAATGGAGGCCCCGCAGCAGGACTTTCCGCCAACTACAAGTCGGATCGCCCGCACAGAGACTGACAGCACTCGGGTTGGGCCTTCTTCGGCACCACAGTCCAAGGCTCAGCAGAGTCGAATACCGCAAAATGTTTCTACCCGAAAACCCTCTAGTCAGAAGCCCTCTTCGAGGCCTCCTCTGACTCACGAGACGCAGTCTTGGTCGAGTCACCCTGGACGGCCAATGGCAAAGGCACCGACTTCTTCGGCAACTACCTCACGAGGTCAAAATGATTCAGGTCAGCCACCTCGGTCCGCCTTACCTCGAAAAGGTTCGGACAGGCCTCAGGAGCGACCAAGTTTGTATACCCAGCCGCGGTCACGCTCGGGGAGAAGTGATTCGTCGTCTTCGGTACCGAGGTCGCAAACGTCCGTAGATACGAGTGCTCCATACTCGGATCGCGGTATTACCGCCAGTCCCGTGGAGATGCGAACCTCGCAGGGGCTCGAGTTGCCTCGAACGTCAACACAACCTGCCAGGCTCTATCCTGAGCTAGACCGCTATCGAGATATCGATCTTCACCTACCAAGAAACGGGGCTGTTATAGATGTTCCGTTTAGGTTGGCCACCGAAGATCTCCCACCGCCGACCCCGATATTCTCCGGAGGGAGCAGCCACAGCCAGCTTAGCACTCTTAGTGCCAGCCCTTCCACTAGGTTTTCCGAGTCGCCAGGACCCGGACCATACAGCCGAGACACGACACCGACCTCAATGTCGTCGCAGTCCCCTGGGCTTGTCGCGCCGTTCCGCGTTCCTATCTCCAGAGTACGACAAGCGAGCCCAGCCGAAACGAGACCGCCGGTAACCCGGAGGAGGACCGGTAGCATACCGAACGAAAGCGAAGCGTTTAACGCAGATCCCCATGGCCTTGCCGCAGTCCGAGAAGCGCTAAATTCTTCTTCATCGGGTTCCACTGTGCGCGCGGGAGAGGGAAAAGAAAAAGAGAAGGGGGCACGCCGGGGTTTGTCGCCGGCGCCACTAAATCCTCCCCCAAGGAAATCATCCCAGAAGTTCAGGAAAGACCAGAGCCAAAACGAGCCGCTGTCAAAAGCACCCCCGCTTCCCTCCAGGACAATAATGAGGTCACCGTCTCCAACTAAACCGGAATACCCATCTCGAGATAGAGGACAGAAGACTACCCCACCTACCTTCACGCGACCAGCGCCGCCGTCGCGACCCAGCCGAGACGGGACACCCGACTTATATTACCAGTTAGGCGGCCCGATTCCTGTTATCCAGAGCAATCTTTCTTCGACGAGCCTTGCGGAAAGGCGTCACAGCAGCCAACTAGTATCTAGTTCTCTGTTAAAGACTACGTCTTCCGCCCAGGAGCGGTCGGTTTTAACGAAGGCCCCTGTTGCTCGAGAACCCACGCCAGCGCCCAGATCGGCGATTCCGAAGACCTCCCAGACAAACAGAGCAGAAGGAAGCAGCAAACCCGCCAGAACGCCAAGCCCCGTCGCCACTTCGCTCAAAACAAGATTTCCCCTGTTTGGGCGGCGGACTAAGACAACTCCTGATGTATCTCAGGTGGAAAAGAAGGATAAGCCGGCTCGAAAGGGACCGGCGGCGGGAACAGGCCACGAAGGATATGGTAGAATTGGCTTGGTCAAAAGGCGCAGTAGTAGCGCGACAAACCTACCGCGCGGGTTTTCGGGACCAGTTCCTTCTTCTGACAGCCTTGCAAGCATGCAGTCGACCGACCCCTTTCTTCTGGAGCGAATGAACCCGGTAATAATTGCTGGTGGAGAGGTGGTGGATAATCAAAATAAGAGCTTTGAGTTGGCCCGTACCGAGAGCAACCAAAGCGAATACTTTCCGAGTCGGTCGGGAATCTCGCGCAACAGCTCGTTCCTGTCGTCATCTTCGAGAGACGAGCCGAGACAAACGTTATTGCCTTCTAATATCCCTCGCACATCCACTCAGCTTCGTCCCTCAGATGGGAGTGACTCCGAAGGAATTTCGATGAAACCCACCATTGCGTTCCGAAGATCAGTCCAGCGCCTTCGATCCCCTAACCGTGCTCCTCTACAACTACCGAAGCCCATCATCACTGCGGGGATGCGTTTACCGTCTGTGGAGAGCGCGGGGGCGACGATTGTGACCGATGATTCTGTGCCAGATTCTAGACCGGAGCCCGTCCGTGAGAGGGTACAGCCGAAAGCCGCACCAAGGAAACTAACCAAGCAAGCCAGATCTCCCCGCAAATGGAACATATTTGGCAGGTCCCAAAGTCAACCCTCCACGGACCAAAAGAAGAAGGTCGAGGCGAGCGTATCTGCAGCCGTGAAACCCACCTCACGGAAGCCGGTTGCATTCTACACGATGATGGACTCCTCGGAACAAGACGAGGCCGAAGATCAAGATGTCTGCCAAGTTTTGAGAGAGGCAGAGGTTCTCGCACCGCTTACATCTGCAGACGGACGAGGGCAGCGGCCGTCTGTAGATGACCACCCACCAGAGGCGTCGCAAATTCGCCAAGCACCCCCCCAGAGGTCCTCGTTGGAATTACCGCGAAGTACCGAACACCCTCCCAGATCCAAGGATATCCCGGCGGCAACCCGACAAAATATAACCGCCAAACCCGCAGCTTTAGCGGTCCCTAAAGGCCGTCCAAGCAGGCTCCCCCAAGTTGGAAGGATACCCAGAGTAGTCAATACCCGCCCAGAACAGACCTCCCCGAAGAGCTTCTCTCGCCCCTTTAGTCGAATCAGTATGCAAATACAGCCCCTTGACCTGAGCCGGGTTGACCAAGACTCAGTTGCGAAAGGCCCCAGCCCACCTATGGTTACGTTACCAGAGCCCCCTCAGGAGGTGTTTTCAGCACCAATTGGTGATTCAATTTCCCCCGCCGAACACAATCTTCACACTGGAGATCTAGCTGTTGAGTCTAGGAAGGAATTCCTTGCGTTTTCGCCGCTCAAGGATTCGGAATGCACGACAAGCTCAAGCTCTTGCATTTCAGAACTAACGGACCTTCCTGCTGATGTGGCGCTGCTTGAGATGCCGACGGCTCCGCTTAGCGAGGATGAAATCTGGGACGAATATAACGATCTCCTGGGCGAGGTGCCGCCATCGACTACCTCCTCCCACGGCTTCCCTTTCCCTCTGGAAACCTACCAGTCAAAGCTTGTTGGAGGGCTAAGCGAGCCGCTTGAGTCGCCTACTATCAATACCTACCACTCCATTGACGTTCGTGATTCTATTAGGACTGGAAGGGCCGCCACCGAGTCGAGCCATTACAGCGCCGATATGACGGCTAGGATCAACGCTGCTTTTGGCTTCACTTCTGATCCTCCTGCGACGAGGTTTCCAGCATCGGAGTCTGCGTCTGGCCATAACGACCGTGACAAGGGCAGTGTCAATTTACAACAGGCTGCGCCCCTTGTTTCAACTCGGCGAGACAGCTCGTCCTCGAGCAAGAGCACCAAAACCAGGGGCTCGGATAGTAGCCACAGCAGCGAGCACACTCCGCTTTCCCAGGTTAATCTTCGGGTTGGTTCGATGACGGTGAGCAAGTGGCTTACATTTGGCCACGTGCTGTTTAGCCCAATCCGTGAGGACCTTGCGAGCGATGCCCACCCACTCAAGCGTAACTCGATACTTGTCATCGACGGACTCGGCAACGACGATTGGTCCTTCTACGCTGCGGAGACGTACCCTGATGCGACTTTTTTCAACTTGTCTCCGAGAGCGCCGCTACCGAAAGAGCAACAATCCGCGCCCTCGTTTCCCCTTTCGCCGCCAAATCATCATCAGATCCAATACGGCTCACAGCTGGACAAATTACCCTTTGGGCCGGACAGCTTCACATCGGTCGTATTCCGGTTCCCTTCTGCGGCTCCAGAATCCCACTACCGCAACATCATCTCAGAGGCCCGGCGTGTGCTTAAACCCGGCGGATACATAGAGCTGTCTATCCTCGACTCCGACTTAAACAACATGGGAAACCGCACTCGACGTGCTGTACGCCGTCTCAAGGAAAAGGTGAACGCGCGGCATCCCGATTTCAACCTCAGCAGCACTGCGGACCTCGTCCTACGCCTTCTCGGTAGGAAGGGCTTCGTCGACATGAAGTCTTGCCGCGTCGGTGTACCTGTAGCGAGTGCGGTTACCAAAGCATCCGGCGTCAAGGGCAAGAAAGACGAGCGAAGTCTGGCTGAGATGATGAATGATAAGACGGAGACTGGAGACGAAAACATCACGAAGATGGTCTCGAAAGTCGGCCGATGGTGGTATAATCGGTGCTACGAGGCTTCAACGGGCATAAATACTAGCATCTGGAACGACAAGTCCCTGTTGACCGAGTGCGAAGAGTGGGGGACGAGCCTCAAGTTGTTGGTATGCCACGCGAGAATACCTGACGCAGGAGGACGAGTGGCAAGCATTTGATGCTCGCCGTACGGATGACGGCCGAGACCATCCTGGATCTGCGACGACTTCATTGTCTACGCGACCACGAGCACCTGGATATTCCCTCGCTTCAAGACGCATGCCTCTCCCTAACTAGCCTGCCCGATCCCAATCAATATGTACAGCACCAACCCAACCCCGGATCCAAACCCCAATAGCATCATTTCATTTACTGTCAACATCATGGGCAAGGAAAATATGATAAAATGAGCATCGCAAGAAGAAGCCGTCCAAACAAGATTCCAGAAAGGGCGCGAGCCCATCACGAAAATCTATTTTTTTTTTTCCTCCCCTTCACTTATAAGAGACGGGCAGGGACCAGAGGACTCGAAGTCCCCACTTAGCAGGAGACCTGGGAAACAGCACGGCTCCGAACAACCTTTTCCCCCGCTGTACCCTTGATCGGGACCGCAACAACAAACGCTCTCACTTCTGGAAATCTACCTACCTTTACGGCAACACGTTTGTCTGTTATATTCGCCCTCGTCGAGTGGGCCGTACGAGTCTCTACAGGACGGAGAAACCTACTAATATTCTACATCGTTGCGGGATCGACCTCCAGGATGGCCCCTGCTACTCTCAATGGAGAGTATATCTAGGCGTTGAGCTGTTTTATTACGCATATTTGCCGGAGATGGAGGCACATTTCTCTTTATCTTTTGCTTGGTTGATTCGCGGCAGTAACTCGTTATTTCACTCTGTACGGTCACCTCGGTATTCGAGTGACCGTTCTCAAGGTGTGGGGAGACTCTGGGAGTGAGACTTGCATTGCACGGGAGAGCGAGCGAACCGCGTATTCTCTTCTTTTTATCTCCTTCATTGTTTTGTTTTGTTTCGAGGCCTTCTGGCAGATCATAACGAGTTATGACATGTAACGACGTGGGAGGGAGAGGAGAAAGCTTCAAACAGAAGCTTTGGAAATTTGGTACGAAGCCGGACAGAACAAGTAGCGTTGCGAATCTAGAGATACCCCGTTATTTTCTGATATAATTCACATTTAGCATTGCTCCGGCCCGTATTCGTTGATAGATGTCTGAACGAGTGGAGAGCGATGAGATTTGGTGCCTGTAAACTAAGCGGTGCTTGAGGCTTGCGAGGGGCTCAGTTGATATACCTACCTAGAGGACTTGCTAAACCTCACTTGGTAGATATGCGAACAATGGCGCGTTTCCACGTGCAGCCCCTGGGCAGTGTTACGGTGCGTGCTAACGTGGCCAATATGTAGGTAGGTATAGGAGCCTTACTGATACTAGTCCCAGTCCTGAATGAGGTGGATCGCACGCACACCTACATAGCACTGACAGAGCATGGACAAGATCGGCGCCGAACACGCCTTGCCTCCAGTTCCGTGCGCCTATCTCCAATGCCGTTGTGGGGGGGGCATCGATCATTCTCGCGGCCGACTTGCTTGTAACGTGGGCCAGAATACTCCCGAATAATGCCAAATTCGGGAATGTCCTCGAGAAAAGCCCCTCGTAAGACGATCGTCTCATAACGGATAACCTACCCGGCACAGCCGTGAGACAAGTAGGGTCGGGAACAATTTTATCCTATCATTCGGGGCTGAGATCAAGAATAGGTAGGTATTTACGACGTCGCGTGTGCCCGGTTGTTGGGACCAACAATAGCATTGCACATCTATAAGTACTCTTCTCTCTACTCAGATAAACAAGAATCTAAGAATCTTAGAAATGAAACCAGATCGATGGCGACGAAACAAGCATCGCCAAGATGGCTTGCTTCGTTGGTTCGGTTTCCTACGCCCGCGAACCAGGATATCGATATTTAAACAGGTAAAACCTCTCCGTGTAAGATGGATGGAGTGGTTTGGCGCGTGGCATGGGCGTTACCTCTCCGAGTATCCCTTACAGCTACGCCCGAAAAGCAGGCTTCAGGATGCCACGTCGACGTCTTTGGGGAAGTGTAGCGAAGGACGAGACAAGACTCGTAGAAGCTTGAGAGAAGGCCGGTCGAAGCCTAGGATCGGTACCAGCGCATGAACTCGCGCGGCTCGACTTGCCTTCGTGTTCATCTCGAGACTACTCCGTCGCTATTTAAAAAAAAAAAAAAATTACGACCCGAATCCGCTCGCCTGGCTCGTGATCTACTGACAGCTCAGACCGCACGGAAACGCAACCAGGGAGATTTCTGTTAGATATGCATGTAGATCATACTCGTTAAACTGGGCGGATACGCGTCTAGTCTAGTCGGGGGATCGACTCGTTGAGACGGCGCCAAGAACGGCACGGTCTACTTTACTGGCGATCCTGGGAGGGTCCGTAGGTACCCCTACGTAGAGGCTCCCTTCGCCGTACATGGTAACCACGGCGTCGGAATTAGCTGGCACATCGGAGCAAATCTGACATGTCCATCGCTAGTCATCATTTGCATCCGAGCAAGGATCGCGGCGAAGACGGAAAGATCATAGGCTGCCCGGGCGTCGACGACCGAGAGGAGGGAGACAGACGGAATACCCAGTCGCGCATCTTGCTGAAACGGGAAAGGTGAGGCGCTCCAAGCCGCGAACAAGAGCGGATGGAGGGCAACCCGGAGATGGCACCTCCCGGGGTTCCTTACCTTCGATCCAGTCACCCTCGTTTCAGCGTTCCTTGTTGGAAACCAGAAACAGCAACAAGGCAAACGCCCCCTGCGGTCTCATCAGCGCGCCGGCACGGGGGCCCTTCATCAGCTAAGCGACTTACACAAGACAGCAAGAAGGAAAAAAAGGACCAGCTAGTCGATGAAAACCGCCTTCGTCCGCGCTGCGTAGTACCGAGGAGGCAGGCCTGGAAGCGGCCAGGGTGGTGCCGGAAGGACGCGACGGAGCTGGAAGTGTTTCTCAGGCGCGCGATTCGGACCTCTCAGCTACGATAGTTATGTAAAGGCGCACAATTAGCCGGCGCCAGGTCCTCATCCGTGTAAGATGTCTCTGAATCCACATGGCTCTAGGGGCAGAGGACGCCTCTTTTCATAACCCCCTCCTCTCCGTCTTCTCTTCCCGCAATCACTCCCTACCTTTTTTTCTCGACATCCCCTCCATATTTCAACGTCTGAGCCGAGAGCGATAGTTGCCGCGTGGCTGCAATCCTCTCTATCAAACCCGACTTGCAACCGATTGCCCATAATACTGGATCGAATCGGTTGCGTATTCGTGCCCAGATAAGCCAATGACTTGAGCTATTTGGCTAGCCAAGACTATCCGTACGGATAGCGCTCTCTAACATTGACCCGACTGCTATCTTTGACCTCTGCGATAGGTCTCTCCTAAACAGATCCGATCACCAATGTTGTGTATCGGGAACTACACCCATGATAGGCGGTCATAGACATCCTCTTCCTTCTCCCTCCTTCTAAATCCCTCCCGACCTCCCTCGTCGACGCCTTGCTTTCTTGCGTCCCCTTCTTCCCTGGCCACGATGCCTTCCATGGTTGAGAATGCGGCCCCCCGCACGAACTTGACGGTAATAGCGGACGTGCTACCCGACCCGGGCCTGGGAGCCAGCCGCCTAAACTACTACCTCGCCATCGCCACGGTCCTGTTCTGCCTATGGCTGTTCCAGTCGGGGAAACAGAAGTGTGGCGTTGCCGCTCCGTTCTACAAGGCGTCTCGGTTAAAATGGATGTTCAGCGCCGACAAGCTGATAATGGATAGCTACTCCAAGGTCCGCACCGGTCCTCAGCGCCCTGCCGGGGGTCATCGCACAATGCTGACCTCTACTCTTCTAGTTCCGCGATACCGTATACCAGATCAAGACGACGGAGGGCATCCGGACCATCATCCCGGCGTCGTTGATTGGCGAGCTCAAGGGTCTCCCTGAGGATACCTTGAGCGCGAGGATAGCAGTGAGGGAGGTTCGTTTTTTTGCTAGCCAAGAGCTGATTCATTCTGCGGAGGAGATGTGCTAAAAAGGGGGGGCAAACCTCGAACAGGCTATGCTGAGCGAGTACACCGAGCTCTGCGCCGGCGATCACGCCGACACGCTGTCGCTGCTGCTGAAGTGCAAGATGACGGGGCAGCTAGCACGGATGGTACCGCAGCTCAAGGACGAGCTCGAGCACATCCTCGCGACGGAGTTCCCGGACTGCCAAGGTACATATCCACCCCGACAGGGCACATCTCCCGAAAGGAACCCACGAGAGGAGGGCAGTAGACGGGACGGACCTGGGGTAGAGGGGGAGAAGAGAGGGAGGGATAGATCGAACCTAGCTAATGCGGTGATTTCCCACAGACTGGACGCCGTTCAAGATCCAGCCGTTCATGGTGCGCACGGTGGCGCGGCTTAGCGGGCGCGTGTTCGTGGGGCCGGCGCTGAGCCGGGCGGAGGAGTGGCTGGACGTGAGCATCAACTTCGCGGTGACGGCGTTCATCGCGGTGACGAAGCTGCAGCTGTTCCCGCCGTGGATGCGGCCGGCGGCGCGGCGACTGGTGCCGGAGCTGGGGGCGATCCAGCGGGACCTGGAGCGGGCGCGGGCGATGCTGGCGCCGGTCATCGAGCGGCGGCTACACCTCGAGCGGCAGCAGCAGGATTTCGGAGATGACGACTACGACTACGAGAAGCCCGACGACTTCGTGCAGTGGCTGCTCGACGCGCTGCCCGCCGACCAGAAGACCGACTACCGCGCCCAGGCCAAGCTGCAGCTGCTGCTGAGCGCCGCCTCCATCCACACCACCAGCAACCTGACCACTGACTGCATCTACGACCTCGCCGTGCACCAGGACCTGCAGGAGGAGCTGCGCGCCGAGGCGCGCGAGGTGCTCGGCGACGGCGACGACCCCGCCGCCTGGGCCCGCGGCGACAGCCTGCACCGGCTCGCGAAGCTCGACAGCTTCATCAAGGAGTCGCAGCGGCTGTCCGGCAACGTCAGTAAGTCGCGGTCCCCGCCCTTTCCTCGTCCCTCTCTCCCTCCCTCCCCCAGAAACCCGACGTCCGAGACAGCGGACCTTGCTCGCTCGCTTGCCTGCTCACCCTGCTGACACCCACCCCCCCCCTTTCGCGCAGCCTCCTTCATCCGCAAGGTGACTCGGCCGATCGACCTGTCGGACGGGACGCACCTGCCGGCGGGCACGAACCTGCTGGCGCCGATGGCCGGGATCGCGCGGGACGCGCGGTACTACGCGGCGCCGGAGGCGTTCGACGGGCTGCGGTTCTGGAAGCTGCGGCAGCAGCAGACGCCGACGCAGCCGCCGTCCCCGTGCGGCAGCGGCAGCAGCGGCGGGGGCAAGTGGCAGTTCACGAGCACGGGGGACGCGAGCCTCAACTTCGGGCTGGGGCGGCACGCGTGCCCGGGGCGCTTCTTCGCGGGGGCCGAGATCAAGCTGGTGCTGGCGCACCTGCTGCTGCGCTACGACCTGCGGCTGCCCGCCGGCGCGCCGCGCCCCGCCCCCACCATGTTCATGATGACCCGGTGCCCCAGCACCACCGCCGAGGTGCTGTTCCGCCGGCGCGGCGGCGCGTGAGCGAGCTGCCCTCGTGCTTCCCCCTTCCTCGCCCGCCGGGGAGAAGAGCAGAGCGGGAGGACCTCCGACGATAGGTACCTACTACCTACCCAACTACACTTGATACCACACAGCGCGCAGAGACGCGACGACGGGGCATACACAGGACGGCGCGGAGGCGATTGATTTGGCGCGCCGCATGCGCGTGCCTATACTATACATATATATATATATACATATACCCAACGAGGCGCGTACGCCCCCGCGCCTGCTCGATCCCCGGGCGGATTGGCGGGCGGGCGTTACGGGGGCGAGCGGAACTCGCGCACGATAGAAAAGGAGGAGGGGGGCACTTGTACATACCATACCATGAGAACGGGACGGGGTGGGACGGGACGGGACGGGATGGGACGGGGCGCATCAGGACGGGAACGGTCGGGATCTGGGGAAAATATATTTGAACTAATACCTCTACGTATTACTGCGCGCGCGAGCGCAGAAGCAGGGAGTGTGTGTGTGTCTGTGTTTCGTCGTGATGCCCGACGCCAGCCACTGGGAGCTGGAATAGATGCCGAGCTGGCCCAATAGCGTGCGTGTGCCATCATACGTACGTGTCCCGCGCGACAATGCTGGATAGCAGTCGGTGCGTTCCGTAGGGCTTTGGGCTATCGAGAAAACCCACGGATATCCGCGCGGTGAAGAGGACCGCAAGATGTAGGTATACGTGGATTTGCATAGAGACTGTTGGAGTTTCTTGTATTACCATGCCCTCGAGAAGAGGGCTGAAAAAAAGGGGGACATGGAAGATTCATGTAGATGCGCCGTCAATTCGTGCGAACAGATCCAGTCCGATCCAGTCCAGCTCGGTCCGTCCGGTTCCCCCGTAGCTATGCGTACAACAGCCCGGCTCTCACGCGCGACGCCGCACGTAGGTAGCATATCGCCGCGGCCTTCTTCTTCTTCTAGCTCATCCCTTTCCCTACTTTTCCCGCCTTTCCCGTCCCTTACCACCTGTCTCCGGGTTGGAGCATTTTTTTCCTTCGCCAAAGCCTAGGGCCAGGCTGATATATACACACCCTCCTTCTCCTCCCCACCTTCTAAACCCGAATTCCTTTTTTTATCTTCACGGTCCCCCCTTACCCGACCAACCTCTCTATCAAGACCAGTAAAAATCCGTTTGAAACCCCTTCCTTTTAACTCCGAGGAGAGCATAAACAGAGGAGAAACCGACAAGAGAGAACAGAGAAGGGAGAAAATACACGGAGAGGACAATCGGAGACCCCGAAGGATACGAGCTACTGATAAAAAGAGGCGGTATTTCAGCCTCAACGCCAAATCAAGGTGTCATCCACCCTCATGTAGCAGCAGCAGCAGCAGCAGGGGCAATGGCTGTCGCTTTCGCGATCTTGCAGGAGGCTGCCTCCTCCGCGACGTTGGGCTCGATGAAATCGGCTATGGCAGCCGCGTCCGCGTCCTTCGCTCCCTCGGCATCTGCCATCGTGAACTCGCCCATGCCCACGATGTCGATCCACTGCCACGCGTCGACGGCGCCGTGCCCGCCGCGGTCTAGGATCGCCCTGTCGTCGTGGATCCCGTCGTCGGGGCCTCTGTCCTTCACCGCCATCGGCGAGGGCGACGGCGCTGCGTCCACCTGCGTGTTTCCGTCATTCTTACCACCGTCACTACCGTCCGCCTCGCCTTGGTCGGCCGGCACCGGCTCCTTGCCAAGTTTCTCACCGGTTTTCCCGACGTCCGCCCCGTCAACCAGGTCACCGGACCAGGTGCGCGCGACGGGCACGCCGTTGGCGCGCAGCACCTGGAGCATGGCGCGGCGGTTGAGGCGGAGCGCGCGCTCGGGCTCTTCCGAGCCGAAGACCTTATGCGTCAGCCAGGGGAATAAGACGCCGAAGTCGGACTGTGACAGGTGGGCCGAGCGCGAGACGAAGAAGAAGTGTGGTTCGGGCAGCTTGACACCCCGCGCGCCGAATGGCCGCTCCTCATAGAAGGCGGCAGCCGACACGGGGCCCGGTGCCGACGGGTCCGGCGATAGCGCGCGCGCCGTCGCGTGAAGGTGCTCTGTCCACTTGAAGAAGTCCTCTGACTCGATCGCCAGTAGTGCATTGCCGCCCGGCGCTGCCGGCGCGGGGGCGGACGAGGGAAGCGGGGGTCGCTCGGAGGGGGAGCAAGAGGGAGAGGAGGGAACGGGAGACGAGTCGACGTAGACGGGGAGGGGGAGGTCGAAGAGCTGTTTCGTCGTCTTGGCCAGCAGCGGGAAGCACCACATGTCCAGGAGGATAGTAACGTTTCGGGGTGTGATCTGACGGCAGAGGGCGGAGTCGCGGGAGGGTGTGTAGAGGGGATCTGCCATGGCCTCGAGCTCGGGGCGGCCGGCGTAGAAGACCGACTTGAGGAATTGGACGGCGGTGGCGGAGCCAAAGCTGTGGCCGATGAAGATAATGCTGCCGGGATCGTGGACGTGGAGCTGGTCGACGAACTGGGCGAGGGAAGGGGTGGTCTTGTTGAGATTCGTGCGGGAATGACCGCGGTCGATGGCGAGGACGGCGTCGTGGACGAGGCCGAGCTCCCAGAGGCGGATACGCAGCTGGTCGTTGCGCAGGGCGTGGACCTCGTCGGAGACCTCGTGGGGGATACGGCGGTATGGGACGACACGGCGCGTATTACGGACGAAGTACCGGTGCTGCTCGGAAGGAATGCGGATGAAAGAGGCGACGGCAGTGCCGTCACGATGTTCGGGGCAGATTACGACGACGCCGTGAGAGGCTAGGGAGCCGACGATCTGGGAGTAGGCATTGCGGCTGCCGCCGAGGCCGTGGGAGAAGATGGCGGTCGGCCAGCGTCCGTTCGGCGTGTTAGGCTCGAGTACTGGCGCATTTTTAACGACAGGAATTGACGTGTAGTGGAGGTGTCTCGGAAGAAAGCTGTATGCCAGAGGAGGTTTGTCGTTAGCTATGCCAATTCCTGTCAAATATCGCTATCGAGCAACAATGCAGTCTGCGCTGAGGAACGGACCGGAGTGCACGGTAGGGCTCTAACTTACGAGACAGCTTGCGCCACCATGGACCCAACACCCAGGAACTGTATGTATGCCGAGAGGTGCTCTCGCTGAGGAGCGGGCAGCCAGGTTATGCGCTTGCCCTGGGCGTCAGGGGGAGCCGGGTAGTAGATTCGGAATTGTACGGTCTCGATTTGGGAGGCGTTGTGCGGAGCTGGAGCGGGCGAGTCGAGCTCGGAGACAGGGATCTCGACGTCAACGGTACCAACCTTATAGGGCCCGGTGTACTCGGCGAAGCCCGGCACCGGGTTCAATCTCGAGAGCAGCGAGCTCCATTTGTCGGCGCTCGAGGCGTCTGCAGGGTGTGCCATGGCTGGTTTACTCGACGGCACCAAGATCTACGGTTTTCAACGGAAGATGAAGCAAGCAAGACAAGACAGGTGTCGGAGATATATGGGGAAGTGGATAGACGGAGGCCAATGACCAATAATGACGGAGTCGAACGACACGAATATGTGGTGAAAGGGATCGTCAGTTTCACCAGGTTGTAGCTCCGAGGATAGCTCTATGCTCTCTCTCTTCCGTATGAGAACAGTGCCGGAAATGCTAGTCGCTCCGGTAAGGAAGGTGACGTTGCGAGAGAGAGAAAAAAAAAGAAGGAATAGAAATAATAAAGTCGGTAGCAAGGGACACGAAGCGTTAAAAACAAGTAAGCGTTCGGCCACGATGAAATTTTACCGTGCTTGGGAGGGAAAGAGGGCGAAATGACAGAAAAGAGGTTAAATTGAGAAGTAGTGAAAGAAAAAAAATGAAGAGACGGGCTTGGACTGGCTATCAGGGTAACAGCCCCCTTTGCACACGAAGACGGACCAAGCTGTCGTAGTGAGGCAGAGCAGAGACCCGGGAACGCGGCAGTTGTTGTTCACTGCGGTATCCAAGCAGTGTTGTATCTAAACAGCGGCCGGAAGAGACGGTATGATATGCTTGGGGGCAGAAAAGATAAAATAAAATAACTAGACAACAACCAGAGGAGCAATAATAATAGGGGCAGTGATATGATATCTATTTATAACCTATGTTCCGCGAAACGAAAATGATAGGGCAGATTAAATAGGAGTATAGCATGTAGGTAGGTAGGTAAGAGGCAACCGGGGTATGGATGCGGAGGTAGCTGGTAGGGATGGAATTACGAACGCGTGGAGAGGGGGCCAGTCGGCTGCCGCAATTTAAAAAAAAAAAAAAAGGAAGAAAGGGGACAGCGGCTTGTAAAACAGGAAGAAGAGGCTGGTCGCGGAGAGCGGATGGGAGGCCAGCAAGAGAGGAAAATAGCCTGATGGTGTTCCATGTGTGCGTGGGTGGGAACGAGAGAGGGCTTCGAGAAAGAAGGGGAGAAGAGAGGACGACGATGAGGTTAGAGAAAGAAGTTGAACCAGCCGGCCGAGGAAGTATGTATTCAAGTACATGCCACATGCGCACATTATACGCTGCAGGAGCAGCATCCCTCGAGGGAAGTATGTAACTGGGTACATCCGTCATTCATGATTCAATTCACCGCCACATTTGCATGTGGCAGCCCACTCAAGGCTAGGGCACGTACCCACCAGCTAGGCGGGTTCCAGCCGGGGTCCGGGGGGATTAACCACGTCATCATCCAGGTCCATCGTTCAAGCCGGAGTTCAGCTACCACATGTACACCGCCAGCCAACGTTATACGACCGGATACCTCCAATCTCGGTACAGCATCCCGTCCTCCTACGCCCTCTTAGGGACAGGTGGTACCTACATGAGATAGCCCTCGGCCTCCCATCTGTTACCTGCCCTAGCTTCGTTCTACTCATAGGTAGGTAAGTCTGTCGATAGCAAGCCGATCTATCCGGGCAAGCCAGGCGCGACAGCGCGATCGGGCTATCTACGCCCACGCAGTCAGACATGGGTATCTATGCAGCCCGCCAATGCATGTAAGAGAAAGCAACGGTAATGTCCATAAATAGGTAGGTATATCTATAATGTATCACGTAGTGTATATAGACACGCATCGCCCTAGGTATGTGTAAGACCGTGGGGGGTGAGAAGTGATAGAAATGGTAAGGGCGGAGACGGAAACAAAATAAGAAGAGGGAGAGGAAGAGAGGAAAAGAAGAAGACTTCAGTTGGCTATGTTGGCATATAACCTTGAGTGGTCTCCTCCAAGGCCATACAGGAGACGACGGGTGGCGCTTCGCTACCTGTTTTGCCTTTTTGAAAAAGGTGCGGGCACCTTTTGCTAATAAAACGGAGAAGGCAATACACCGTATCGAGGAAATACCCTTTATTTCGCCCTGCTGTAACCCCCTTGTCTGTACACACCTTTAAACAAGACTTCGTCGTGGCCGCGCCACCTCTATATGCGTAGCGGGATCAGCGCCCAGCTTCTGAATAACCTACAGGCTACATGTACATGCTCTAATCCTCCCTCCTCTCGTGCCGGAGACCCAATCGACAGACGATACACGCGGAACCAATCCGCAACGAGCAAGAGGTCCCGTCCTGCTAACCGCTGTCGTCTCCCTCCCTCCCTCTGTATCAACACACCACATACGCTCCATACGCATACACACTCTTTCTCTCTCCCCGCCTCACTGCCACTCGCCGTCCACCTTCTCCCACCTGTCGAGGAACCCCTTGAAGAACTTGGCGCCGAGCCCGGGGTCGAGCGCGCCGCACGTCGCGCGGATCGAGTGCATGCTGAGCTGGGCCATGCCGGCGTCGGCCGCCTTGACGCCGAGCGCGCTGCTCAGCATCGGGCCGACGGTCCCGCCGCTGCGCGAGTCGTTGCGGATCTGGAACGCCTGGGCCGTGCAGCCGCTCAGCTCGCACACGCGCCGCAGCACCGCCGTCGACACCGAGTCCGTCGTCAGGTGGCCGTTGCTGTCCCCGCAGATGGTGATCCCCACGTTCAGCCGCGGCGCGTGCTCCTCCAGGTACCGCCCCGCGAAGTTGGGGTTCGCCGCGTGCGTCACGTCCGCCGACACCAGGAACGACCGCGCGTACGTCTGCCCCAGCACCCCCGGCCCGAACCCCTTCCCCGCCGCCCCGCTCAGCGCCTCCACCGCCCGCTCGATCGTCGACGGCAGGAAGTTGCCCCGAGCGCCCTGCCGGAGCAGCGAGCCGATCTCCTCGTCGTCGAAGAGCGCCACCAGCTTGATCACCCCGTCGTCCTCGTTCGTCTCCGACGCCAGGAGGCCCTGGAATGCGGCCCAACTGCACAGCTTGTCGTCGATTCTGCCGGCGAAGATGAACTCCCTGTCCATCCCTCCTACCGTCGCCAGCTGGACGTCGAAGAGCTCCAGTTCCCAGTCGACGATCTGCGAGTAGTCTTGGATCCGTAGCTCCTTAGATATCAACTGCACGAGCCTCGGCGGCTGGGTGGCGGCAAACGAGCCGACTGGGCCGAGGGTCTCGACCGGCTTAGGGTCTGAGGAGTATATGTCGGAATTATCCAGACCGATAATCGGCACCGCCTCGGTTTCCTTGTTATTCTGGCCCAGCATGCCGACGCCGAAATGCGGCGCGAGCGTCGGTATGCGCGCAACTGCAGTTCGTTAGTGTTAATATGCTCGGGCAGCTCGGCCGACGTGCATGGTAAGCTTACTGGGCCAGTCGAGCTTGACGAGCTTGCTCGACGTTTTGCCGGACTCGTCCCGTACGATGACTCGGCCTCCTATGCTCAGATCCCGGTCCCACCAAGTCTCGTTCAGAGCGCCGGCGTAGGGCGCGACGCCTAGCTGCACGTAGCCGGATTTGGTCGGCTTCTTGCTGATGGGCTTGAGCTTCGCGGTCAGGGCGTCGATATGGCCGGCAATTATGGCCACGCCGTTCCCGGGCCGGTACGCCTTTCCGACCGTAAAGCCGATGATAGAGCTGCCATTCCGAGTGACAAAGTACTTGCCGCCCGGCTCGAGCTTACCAGCCCAATCGTCGCGCGCAGGGAGCTGTGGCAAGTAGGTAAATCGTTGGCGCGCAACTCCGAGAAGACGAGATTAACAGGGCAAAAAAGCAGCACCTACCTCCTTGTAACCAAGTGCTATCATCTTGTCCTTGAAGTAGCTGACAGCGTGGAATACGGTGGGATTCTCCTGCAAAAACTTGCAGAAAGGCTCGGTGAAGGCCTCGGGCTTGGAGGCGAGGACATCGCAGCAGGAGCACGAGCCTCGATCGCTGGTGAGCTGGAAGGAGAGCGACTTCGTGCGACGATCCGCTATATCCCGGTAGCAAGAATCGCACAGGGTGAGGGATCGGTGACGAGCCAGCTCGCCCACGACGAAGGCCTTCTCGGCGTCGGACATGGCTGCCACGGTCTCGAACTCGGAAGGGTGGGCGAAGCTCGAGAGTTGAGACGTGTGTAGAGGGCTCGACGTTGCTGGGGCGGTGGCGGTTCGAAGAGACATGTTGGAAGGCCGCTGGCGCAAGGACTCGGAAGTGTGTCTGGTCATGGTTTTATCGCGAGCTTATGGTAGCCTTTGGTAGCCAGCTATCTGGGTTGGTTGGAGGAAAGGGGTTCTCGATAGAGAGAGGGTTGGGGATGATGAAATGTGTGTGGGTGGACATGTCAACAGACCCCTAAGCCAGCCACCTTTGAGACGCAGCCGGTTTGGCGGCATGGGGCACCTCCGGCCAAGGAACTGATAAGACTGCTTATCGGTTGCTAGGTCGCAGATGAGGTCATCTTACATACCTAACAGAGACCTCCAGTTGAGTCCTTATCCAATATCGCTACCGCTTCTATACACCGCAATATCGAGTCTTTATTAGGTATCTACAACGGAGGAGAGGAATACCGACAGGCACGTATCAAATCGGAAAAAAAAAGGCATCATGCACCTGTTAAGCATCAGTAAACTTCCTTAGAATTGTCCAATCAATGATCAAGGTATGAGTATCCTTCGTTAAGTAACCTACTGATCTGTCGGTGCCAGAGGTACATGCATTAGGTACCTGTAATTCCTCCGGGGGCAGCGTCCATAGGAATGAATGAGTAAGCAGTCCCGATAATCATGTGCCGGCATACTGGAAGGTAGGTACTAGAGACGCTGGAATGTAACGTCGTCGAGAACACACAAGAACACGCCGTGGACAACAACTAATTTCTAGACTGTGGCCGCGACTGAAACTCACAGTTTTCTCTTCTAACTACAGCCGAGAGCGTTCTCTACGCGTTCAGCGGCGCCGCAACCACGCCCGACTTATTGGGTCTTCACAGCGAAAGCACCCGCGTGTTGCGGTGTGCCGAGGGCTCACGAGCCCGAGCTCTAGCTGACGCCATCATTGAGGTTGGGCTCTGCTAGTGTGAGGAATTGGAATAAGATCACTCATTACGGGTAGCTCTATAAAAAGACTATGTGTCGTCGGCATCGGCATTCTCGACGCCGTCACTTCACGGGATGTGCCTGGGGACTATGGGGAGATTCCTATAGGGGGAGGATATATGGCTTCCGAGGCTGATGGCGAGCCCTCGCATTCATTTGCCACGGCACCGTAGGATCATCTCTCGAGATGACACCACGCGAGATGTTTGGTATTTCCGGGCCTGGCTTACTATGGCGCCTGACCCTGGCCGGGGTCTAGACAGACAAACATGACCGTTTCGTTTGGATCGGCGATAGCTTCTGAGCTCCTGTCTGATGGCATTCTACCCCCGGGGGCTGTTTCGATATATGTGCAATGCTTCTTCCTTTATAGTCTCCTGCCTTCGGGTCCGCCCTCAAACTAAATCTCTCCAACATCGTGATGGATATCCTCGCCTGCGCTAGCCTTTCGCTGTTGGAGCTGGCCGTGCTTCAACCCGCCGGGGAATTCAACGGCCTCGCAGCTTTCCGGCGGTTCCTCGTCGTCCTCGTCGCGCAGTATGCCGTGCTCAAATTCTACCGCGTCGTCCTGTATCCCAACTTCTTCTCGCCGCTTAGACACCTTCCGGGACCTAAGGTACAGTAGCCGCCCACGAACCTCTAATCGACCGCGTAGATATACATGCCCACGTGGGCCATCCCCTAAAACTAACCCCCGGTCCTTTTAGGACCACAACCTGCTCCTCGGCCAGGAACTGCGCAAGCTCAGGGCCGACGGCCCCGCCAGCATGCAGCTCGAGTGGATGCGGCGGTGGCCGGACGCGGCGTTCATCCGGTACGTTTCGTTCGCGGGGCGGGAGGTGCTGCTGGCCAACAGCCTGGACGCGCACCGGGCCGTCGTGCAGACGCACGCCTACGACTTCGTCAAGCCGCCCCTGTTCGCCCGCCTCGTCGGCGAGATCACCGGCACCGGCCTGCTGTTCGCCGAGGGCGCTACCCACCGCCGCGAGCGCCGCCTGCTCGCCGGCCCCCTCTCCGTCCCCGGCGTGCGCAAGCTCGCCCCCGTCTTCCGCGCCAAGGCCGCCGCCCTCTCCGACGTCTTCGCCCGTACCCTCGCCGGCAAGCCGCGCGCCACTATAGAAGGTGCGTACCGTCCCACAGCGCCCCCGGAGAAGGGGGAGAAGGGGGGAAAGGCGCGGGCCCGGCCGGCGGCTGAGTGTTGCGGTTCCAACCAACTAACGTCTTCTGTCCGTGTCATCCTCCTGCGCAGTCCTCGACACCTTCTCCCGATCGACCATGGACACGATCGGCGTGACCGTGCTCGGCGTCGAGCTCGACGAGCTGTCCGCAGCGCACCCGCTCGGCTTCCGGGAGCTGTACGGGCGGCTGCTGCACCAGGGGCGGACGGGGCAGCTGCTCTCGGTGGTGAACGCGTTCGTGCCCATCCGGCGCCTGGCCGCGCCGCTGGCCGCAAACCGCCGCTTCCTCCGCGCCACGCGGGACCTGCGCGCGATGCTGCGCGACGTCGTCGAGCGGCGCGCTGCCGAGCTCGCCGCGGGACGCTTCGGCGGCGGCAAGGCCGAATCCAGGGACCTCCTAACCTACATGCTGGAGGAGGCCCAGACCCGCCGCCGCGAGACGGGCGCCGACATATGGTCCGTGGATGACATCATCGGCCACGTAGGCTCCCCCCCCCCCTCCTCCTCCTTTTTTCCACTTCTGCTGCGTTCTCCCGCAATCCTGACGCTGACAGCCTCGCATATGCATAGCTCCTAAACTTCACCTCCGCCGGTAAGCCCCCCTCCCATGCTACAGCACCCGCCATCCCGACACCAAAATACAACCCTTCTCCGGCTATGCTAACCCCTGGCGCGCTAGGCCACGAGAGCACAGCTACCACGCTGTCCTGGTCGGTCTACGTGCTCGCGACGCACCCCGCCATGCAGGACCGCCTGCGGGTCGAGATCCGGGGCCTGCTCGCGGCGCACCCGGAGCCCGACCACGACGCGATCGCGGCGCTGCCGTTCCTGCACAACTTCGTGCGCGAGGTGCTGCGTGTCTACCCGCCGTGTAAGTCCCTTTTCTTCACTCCCCTCTCTTACCCCCTCTCCGTCTGACGCGCTAAACCCCCTCCCTCCGCAGCCTACATGGCCCAACGCGAAGCCGTCCGCGACCTGGTCCTGGACGGCGTGCACGTCCCGCGCGGCACGCAGGTCGACCTGTGCATCCCGCTGGCGCATCAGCACCCGGGGGTTTGGGGGTCAGGCGCCGCGGCCTTCGACCCGGACCGGTGGGACGCGCTCGCCGCCGCCGCCGCCAGCCCCTTCGCCTTCGAGGCCTTCCTCCAGGGGCCCCGTGCCTGCCCCGGCCGCGCCCTCGCCCTCGCCCTCGTCAAGGCGGTCCTCGTCACCCTCGTGCCGCGGTGGTGCTTCGTCGGCCTCCGCCGGCGACGGCGCCCGGGGCAGACAGAGGAAGAAGAGGAGGACGACGACGACAACGACGACGCTCCGGTCAAGCTCGCTAACCCGAGTCTGACGCTGGGACCCGCCGACGGGCTGCACGTGCGGTTCGAGAGGGTTTGACGAGGACGGGCGGATTTGGTGGGTTGGTTGGGGGAACGTGACGGAGGCCAGATAAGAGAGAAGCGCGATGGACAGGGCTCCCGTTGCTCCTGTTTTTTCGATACCCATCGCTTTCCTAGGGAGTCCCGGAAACGGACGTATTCTAATATATGCGACGGACAATTCGATCTCGCGTTTATTAGGCGTTCGCTCATTATCTCTTCTATCTCTACTAGGGTAGGACCTGGCCTTGACTAGATTTGATAGCCGCGCGTTTCGCGTACACGTATGCGTACGAGGGCGTGCAGGTATAGGGCCGCCCAAATCCGCTAGAATCCGTTATTAATACCATCCTTATTAGGTATTTACTCGTCCTATCGTCCCGGACTCCGCCGCACGTATGCACAGGTAGGTAAGTGAATCTCTGCGTCTCAGGTACGCCTCTCGCCCGTCTCCGGCGTCACCAGTCCCTCCTGTCGTACTTGCATGCGCTCGTCGGTTATGCTGCCCGTCTCCTCATCCTCATCCTCATCCTCGTCCTCTTCCTCATCTTCGCTCTGAATCGTGCTCACCAGCCCCCCGCCACCGCCACCGGACGTCCCGAGTTCTGACGGACGCCTCCGCTTCTCGAAGTCCTGCCTATGTGCCTCGGCCATGACGTCGCGGATCGACCGTGCGTGAACCATCTCGTGCTTCCTACGCCACCTGATTCCCCCGTTACTGCTGCTGGTCTGGGCGTCTTCCTGCTCCTGGGCATGGTCCTGGGCGTGCGCGCTCGCCGAGCCGCAATCGACGGCGCTTACGGTTGCTGTGCCGTCGGGGAAAAGAGAAGAAGCGCTTCCTGTCGTCCCCCGCCGTTGGTTTCCTTCTTCCTCTGTGCCCGCGCGCTCGATAAGCGGCTCATGGTCGAGGCGGTAGGGCAAGGGAATATCGCGGCTAGCCTTGTACTGGGCAACGTTGGTGCAGTGCTCGTTCTCGACGCGGAACAGCGCCCAGATACCGCGGCGGATCACCTCCGCGAGACAGATGAGGAAGGTCGCAGCGGTGCTATGCTGTTTGTCGTAGGCGAAAATGGTGTAGAATATCCAGCTAAACCGGAGTATCGGATCTAGAACCATGACGCAGTAGTACATCCTCCGCCGCTTAAGAGCTAGTATATCTCTCAAGAAGCGGTGGCGCGTGTCCGGTTGGAAGAAGGAGAAGTCCATGAAAAGGTCCCATATCGCTAGTAGGCACGCGTTAGAAGTTTCCCTAGATCATGAAGGGGGAGGGGGGGGGCGAAGGGAAAGCGTCGGAGAGAGGCAGCGTGAAAGTCTTACAAGTGTAGATGCTGTTGATGGCGGAAAAGGTGACGAAGAGCCCGAAGTTCGACTCGGTTCCCCACATGCGATAAAGTGACAAGGTCACAGCTGACATGATGGTCATGCCGTACTTGCCGCCGTTTACCAGATGGGGGAAGACGTTACCGGTGTCGTAGTATCGGCGGATACACTGTAACGCACGCCAGACCGGCGGGAGTGCGCTGAAGAAGCCGAGCAAGCGAGAGTTGCTGGAGCTGCACTGGTTAGGATTGGTCCAACCGTTCGCGTATAGGCAGAAGAACAGTTCGATATTCTACTCAGGGTTGGTTAGCCAGCCACCTGGGTTACGCGGTTGGGGGTTGCGTTGGTCGCGGGTGGGCTTTTGGCTTACAGAGGTAGCGTAGGTAAGCGAGCAATACATATCGCCGAGGAAGAAATCGCGGAACTCGACGGGGTACAAGCCGGCGAAGAATAACCGATACTACTGATGGTTAGGGCAGGCCGGTGGCATCTTGATCTCGACACTCACATGTGAATACGCGATCCACTGGCGGCTTCGATGCCATAGGATCGGCAACGGCAATAGGAGAATAACCAACGTGACCCCTATGAGGATCACGGGCCAGTAGATATATAATTCCTCGCCGCCGTACCGGAGAAAATTAAGCCAGAAGAAAAGCCCAAAGAGTAAGAAGAAGAAGCTCGGGAAGGCGGAGAGCTGTCTCCAATCCAAGTTATTCCTGGTATCAAACTCGAAGATGAAAGGGTAGTTGACCTTGTTGGCCGTCCACACGTAGCAATCGAGGCAAAACAGGAACATGAGAACCAGGATTAAGAAGTAGCCGCCGTATATCTGCATCAGGTATCTAGTCTGCTCTACTACGCTAGGGTCCTGGTCGGATAGGAGTTTAGCGCTGTAGACGAGGCCCTGGAGAGTAAATACAGCGCCGGTGCCGATGAAGAGTCCGCTCTCGAAGGCGACGTCGGATCTATCGCGGGGCCGTCGGTTGAGGCGACGGAGCTTCCCCGAGGCGATCTTTCGGTTTCCTTTCTCGAAGTATCGCGCGTAGAGGTCCTCGACCGCATGAATGTACCCGTCCACGGTGGTGCTGTTAACGAACCACGACGTGTTGACCTTCTCATTCATGTACCGATAAGGGGGTCTCGCCTTGACGGTTTTGTCATACTTCTTGTTGAGTTTCCGGAAGGCAACGCGGTTGAGCGATGCGTACGACTGTAGAAGTTCAAGACCCCGGTAGAATTCTTGCAGCGCCAACTTGAGCTTCCGTTTCGCTGTTCGGTACGACACGTCCTGGCTCGGCGGTCGCCTCGTGTAGTCTCTCCTTGCATGTGCCCCCACGGCATCCAATATGGGCGTGAATTGAGAGTTTAATAGAGCCTTCGAGTTGGCGCCAGGCTTGAATATCTTGGCCTTGATCGGAGCTACCCAGCCGTGAGAACCGTTGACGGCGGGCAACTTGCCCTTACCATCGTGGCCATTCCCGTTCTCGCCGCTCTCCCTCTGGCGCTTAAGCTCGGCGACCTCTTGCGTACGCCGGTTTCGCATCTCGTGCAGCTGTTCTCGCAGGGCCTGGAGCCGTTGACCGGCCTGCTCCTCCTTCTGGCGGTAGAATGTCTCTACCTTCTCCAGCTCGCGATCCAGAAAATCGGAGAAGTCTTTCTCTCGCTCCCTCACCGTCTCTATAGTCTGCAGGTCGTATTCGAGCTTGTTGTTTTCTGTGTTAGCCCGATACGGGCCTGTCGAGAAGATGCGCCTCAGCCTGCCGGGGACCGGGTTCTGTTGCTCCCTAGGGCTAGGGCGGGGCAAAATAGGTGGCCGAGGACCGGCTCCGACGGCCTCTCCGCTTAGCGACGCGCTGCGCCGGGGATTGACCGTATTCGAGGGTGCTTCGGTAGGGCGGGGTTGCAGTGCCGGCCCCGGTGCCCTCGAGTTTTCGGGCACGACAGGCATCAAAGCTGGAGCGGGCAGCTCGAAGGCGTTCCAAGCCTCCGCGGTGGCTGGCGGCGTGGGCACGAAGCTTCCATATTGCCTTTCGTGGCCCGGCGACGCAGTCAGCGATTGGCGTTCGGTCCAGATAGGAATTGGCGACGGTTGGGCCCTTGGTAGTTCGTGACCTCTCCCCGCTGCCTCGCTCTCCTCCGGTTCGGAGTCGCCACCCAGGCCTGGCCAACGAAAAGCTTGGCCTAGGAGATGGACAGTCTCTCGCCGTGAAGCGTCCCCTCTTCTTCCCAAGCTGCGAGGCGTCCCGCTCGCTCGGCTGATGGCTCTTGAGACGGCCTTGATGTATTTCTTGCCGGCCTTGTAGTTGAGGTACTTGACCCTCCATTCTAGTGGTCACGTCAACATCTGCGCCCGCGTTCCGGTCATCCATCGCTGACATGGACGAGGCCGCCATTGGCACGTTCTCGTCACTCACCTGGAACTAGGTCCTGCTCGAGTTCTTTGGCGAACTTCATGCCGTCGAGGTCTTGCGAGATTTTCAGCCTCGCCAACCCATGAGACGAACGGGTCTAGGCGGCCGCGCGGAAAGTGGGCTGAATTCAAAGAGGAGCCATCGAACGCGAGAACGGGCCTCGTATGGTCCAGGCGAGAGGGTGTGGCACGTCGGTGTAGGTTTTTTGTCGAGGATGGCTTCCCGGCAGTAGGACGCGAAGTAAATGAGGTGGCGAGAGAGAAAGAGAGAAAGAGATAGAAACAGAGAGCGAGAGCGAGAGGAAAGGAATAAATTTATTGATGTACCTAATGACGGAGTTGACACACGGACGGATGGGATTTTTGAGGCCGGCAAGCTTAGCCGATTGTTCAATAATGCCCGTTACAGGTACACCCGAACCTGCAGTAGGCACGTCGGTACCTACCGAACCTGTCTGAGGGTGACCCAGGTGGGCTCATGCACAACATGGTCGGGGTAGCCCTGGGACAGATGTGTGCGCTGCTACCACCAGCACTAGGGCCTCCCTATAGGGACTGCATAGGCACCTATTCTCAATAGGTTAGGTACCTATTTTTAGCGACGTCGGGACCGTTTTAGCGCACGCTCGGCGGACTCTAGCCCCCTCCTTTAGGTACCTATCGCACCGAAGCCTACGCGCCCGTGGGTGCTAATCCGGTTTCTGATGGCGGATACCGAGAGTTCAGGTATATTATTAGATTGGCCTTTGCCGTCACTTACGACCTTGAGTCCTACTCCTCGGCAAGATTGGTATCAGCAGTGCACTTACACAGACTTGGTTGTAGAACAAGACGTGGTCGAAGGCATGCGATTCCGACGTCGCACCTCCGGCCGTGTGGATCTCGGTATCACGAATGCAATCGCATAGCTCCATTCTTCGGGACTACCTAATAGCATACACTTCCCTGTGCTTTTACCACCCTGCAATCGAGCCCTTGAAATCATTATGCTGGGAAGACGTTGCCCACTTGTGATAGTCTTCTCTCGTATGCGCAGAAACCATCCCTACTAGGCCGTCCTCATCTCCTTCATCCCTCATCGGCTTCGACGCCTCTACAGAAACAACATGTCCAAAGCCAAGACGAAGCCAAGACGGTTGACAGTGACAGGTTTATCCATCGGACATCGGCCATATCTCAAGAGTAGGGTTGCGTTAAGCCTCTGTACATTCGCTGCAACGCAATCGGGCTCCTCCCGACTTCTTACTGACTTCTTACTGAAACCAGTGCTGGTCGGTCTTCGGCCACGGAAATGCCGCACAAAAGATATAAAATAGTTCGAGAGGCTGTGTTCAGTTAAAACGATAGCGACAACCTAGGCACCTATAGGTATTGCATTCCATATAGCCTGCCCATACCCGAGCCTGTCGTAGCTTAACCCCCGCCCCTTTTCAACTCTCGACGATTTCAGCTGCCAACGCCAGGAAGCCTATCGTCTATCGTCGTGCATCAACTGTGACGGACAGCCGGCCAGCCAGCCGGCGGCTGTCGGTTCAATCCTCGCCCGCCCATTTCCTTGCGACGAGCCGCTCAGCCATCGCCGTCAGCTTACCTTTATTGCTCATCGACACAGCATATTCACGAAGAGGTAACTAGTCTCCGCAGCCTTCGCTCGTCTGCTCGTCGTCTCGTACCTCCTCTGCCCTGGTTAAGTTTTATTTTATTTCTCTTCCCATTCTCTCCTTTCGTTCCTTTCTCCCCTCTTATTCTTCATTCATCCCTCATCCTTTTTTTTTTCTCTTTAGTATAATTCTCCCTCCTCCTCCCTGTACCCTAGACCACGCGATACGATGGCCTCAACTCTAGCGAGGCCGCGCTCAGAGTCGCGCCTCGTGGTCTATTACCAGACCACTCACGACCCGAGCGGCAATCTTATCTCCATCCTGCCCTTGATTACGAAGCCTGGCATCTCGGTCACCCACATCAACGTGGCCGCCATCCACCTCAACGAGGACCCCAATGCCATGACCCTCAACGACCATGCCCCCTCCGACCCCCGGTACACGACCATGTGGGCGGAGCTGCGCATCGCCCAAGCCAGCGGGATCAAGGTCCTCGGCATGCTAGGCGGCGCAGCCAAGGGCTCCTACACCCGCCTGGATCAGGACCAGAAGACTTTTGACGCCTACTACGGCCCGCTCTACGAGATGGTCCGGGAGAGGAGCCTCGACGGTCTCGACCTAGACGTCGAGGAGGACATGTCGCTCGCAGGCATCGTCCGCCTCATCGACAGGCTGAGGTCGGATTTCGGGCCTGCCTTCGTCATCACCCTCACACCCGTCGCCACCGCGCTCCTCGACCCAACACGGAATCTCAGCGGCTTCGACTACGAGGCTCTCGAGGTGATGCGCGGGTCGCAGATCGCCTGGTACAACGCCCAGTTCTACTGCGGCTGGGGGGACGCCAGCACCCCCCATATGTACCAACTATGCATCAGGAAAGGGTGGCAGCCCCAGAAGATCGTTCTTGGGCTCGTAACGACGCCGAAAAACGGCCCGGGCTGGGTACCCCCCGAAATGTTGGCCGCAACGCTCACCCTTCTGCGACACCAATTCCCCAACTTCGGCGGCGTGATGGGATGGGAGTACTTCAATAGCCTTCCCGGAGGCCAAGAACGGCCCTGGGAATGGGCACAGCAGATGACTAAAATACTTTCTGGTCCTCTAGCTCGCCCGAGCACGCAGGCGAAGGCTGTAGCGACAACCCAGAATACCCGAGTGGCAGAGAAGGAACTAGATGGAGAAGACGGAGCAACTATTCCCAAAAGTTTCGAGTACTACTCGGACGGCTCGAGTGAGGACGAGAGGTGAGCGAGATCTCTGGCACGGACCCCGTCATAAGGCCTTACTTAGATCGCATAGTCACACATGATTATGAATTCAGCATGGCCGAGATCGAGGAGAAGGGATAGAAGAGCTACGAAAAGAAAGAATCACCTGGAATTGTCAGCACAGTAACCATAAGGCCAGGCCAGGCCAGGCTTCGCATATTCCGTAACCGTTTGATCTCTGCCACCAAACAACCCTAGACGACGTTAGTCTAGTAGCTAGTCTCAGTATCATCCCATGATATAGGTAACATATCCTACCTCGAAAGCTACTTGCGTCAGTGTCATTTCCACCGTGGGGGTTAAACGGAAAAGGCGTTTGACTCAATCCCCCCTATAAATTCCTACTTCATGCTGCACTCTGTGAGTGGTTGAGGCTGGCATGCCTGCATCACTAACTGTCATCCGAACCTGGATTGTCAACGCATCGGCCAGCTGTGGTTCTTGCTGATTGTCCTCAAGGTACTCGCTCAGGCGCACCACTATCTCGACATGTCGACACATGTCGACACATGTCGAGACCATGAACATACCTCTCTTTATTCGTTCACAAGAATTTCAAGGACTCTTCGAGAGAAAACTCACACATCTCATATCCATCCGAACTCCCTGAATACCTAACAAGAAACCTCCATACGGTTTCAAACACCAAGAATCTCTGACCGGTAAGTCCAAACAACTGTATACTACTATCGGCCTTGGGGGGCTTGGCCTTGAAGATCAGCTACCACGCTCTGTTTTCCTTCCTCTCTGACGTCTTTTCTCCCTCCATCATATTGGTATTTGTCCCTGTCGCTCATTATCACGAGTAGCGAGGTTCAATAGACTGCTAACAGTTTCGTCCGTTACGTACGCTTACTGATTCTCAGTACTCTCGTCAAGATGGCCGATGCCAAGGATACCCAACCCGAGGGTATCGAGGAGCCGAAGCACAGCCCTCGGCGCGCCACCTCGGTCAAGATGCTCTGGGGACAAGCCAGGAAATCGCTCCCAGCTCTCCGCCGAGGTTCAAAGACGGTACGCCCACACCCTACCCGTTGCTCGACCAGCGCGCCGCGTCAGTTAACCATCGATCGCAGCTCGAGGGCGGGCCGTCCGGGGAGTTCGGCCCCAAGATGGCCCTAGAACACATAGAGAAGGACGGCGGCTCTAACAAGTCCTCCGAGGACAATCCCAAGCTCGCAGCCAAGTTCTACGCCGTTCCCGCTCAGGCCGCAGCCGACTCGCGACCCGCCACGCCAACAAGCGGCCGGATTAAGCCCGCCGACAAGTACAGCGCTATGGTGGGAAAGGGAATCGAGAAGGGCAAGGGCCTGGCCCGGCGCCTGACGCTGAGCCCCAAGCCGAAGCAGAAGGACCCCCTTCACCAGTGGATGGTGGACCACTCCGGCGGCACCATCCGGGACAAATAGGCCTAGGCGCCTGGCGACAACCCTGAAAGCGGCTGCCCTCCCTTTCCCCCTAAACTTAGCAACTGGAGGCGCGATGTTATAAAGTTCGGCTAGTCAAGGCCGGCGTGACTTTATGAGCCGGTGCGGCGATGACAAGCGCCGTTTTCGTATTGGCATATGTGCTGGTTCCATAGGAGAGGTATGTTGGTCTCGAGGTCGCGGATCTGCTTCTCGCTCCAATACTAACCTCCTCCAACATATAGGGAATACAGATTGCGCCAAACCTCGGGGTGCTGGGCCCGTCGAAAGTCACCATGCGAGATCATTAGCCTTGATAGAAAATAGAACACTCTGAGAGATGCGTTCCGTGGCATAGGATCCATTGGAACAGACTCGTATTAAGGACGTGGACGTGTGTAGGTTTGAAGACAGCCGAGCATAGATATATAAAAAGGAGATGTGGATCCACTCACGGCGATTACTATTGGGTGATTATGTGACCGAATCGGTGATCCAGGGTCGGAAATGCTTTCACTTTGGTTAACACAATAGGGGAAAGTCAACGTCTGTGAACTTGACATGGTCCGATGAAAGGGGTCGGCGGGAATGCGTGGCGTTATACCAGAAAGCTGGTTCGAGCGAGGTTCGGAGGGGACTTGGTTTACGAAGGGGGTTAGCTCCCGGGGTGTTTACGTATGTGGAAGAGCCACTCTATCGTAAGACATAACTGCCTACAGCTTATTCATTACGATGCTAGGGAGGGATGTTAAACGTTGAAAGCCTAAGCAAAATATAACGATACGAATCCGACGATGCTTCAGACAAATCGTACCAGGAACACTCGGATACTGCTCCCGCACGAGTTTCTATGCGCGCGCTAATAGATGAAAACACAAATGCCATAAAACGCAGACACAACCAAGAACTAACCACGACTGACAGGCCGCGATGAATGATCCCAGACGCCGAGAGCTCCGACACCAAGCCTCCCAATGCCATATTCAGATGAAGCCCAACCACAGCGCCGTAAGAAATCGATCACCGTCGTCATACTCGGTCCCCCACTTCCTTCCTCTCCACGCTCCCTTTCACTTGCCGCCGAAAGCTCGATCGAGCTCCTCGCCCTGGTCGACGGCCATCTCGCTGATAGCGGAGACGGGGCCGTCGAGGTCGGCGATGCTCATCTCGGCGAAGCGGCCGGCGACGGCGGCGGCGGCGGCGGCGGCCTTGCGCTCGGGCTGGAGGAGGCGGGCGTCGCTGTCGAGCCAGCCGGGGGCGACGCGGCGCTTCTCGGCGAGGTCGCGAGCGCGCAGGCGGGCGTCGAGCTCGCGCAGGAGGCGCTCCGACTCGTCCTGGACGCGCGCGATGTGGGCGCCCAGCGCGCGGCACGACGCCACGATGTCGTCCGGGTGCGCCGCGTGGCCCGACTGCGGCGCCACCACGTACCGCACCTTCTCGTCCGACGCGCCCGTCACGCCGCTCGCCGGCGCCGGCAGCGTCGACGGCATCGCCTTGTACGTGTACGGCAGCGTCGCGGCCGTCGGGAGCGAGACGAAGGGCGACACGGTCAGGGGCACCTGCGCCAGGAGCGGGTGCGTGCCTGAGAGGGGAGAGAGGCTGTTAGCGGGAGAAGAAGATGGTGTGGTTACGAGAGGGGAGTTATCTGGGAGGAGAGCTAGAAGTGAGAGGTTCGGAGGTGGTTGGGGGAGCGAGAAAGAAGAAGGCTAGGAGTGGAGGGACAGGCTGGCTGCCCTTGTTATATAGGAGAGGCGGAGACTTACGGTCATCGCGCATTGTCACCATGGTATACGGAATTAGGCGAGATGGTACTGCTCGGATTGAGAGGGGTTGAACGGTGAATGAAGGGGAGGAACAATAGGACCCGAATAGGGATTGTAGGAATATTGGAAGAGTCAAGTCGTACTACTATACCAGTCTTCCGACTATGCGGCGTGTGGGTAGGTGGGCATAAGTGACTGGAATTGACCCGGCTTAGTAGACGTGGCATGAGACGGAGAGGGACGAGAGGGACTTGGTGAGAGCCTCGGAGTTGGAGTTACGACGCAGGACAGCTGGCAGCGTATGTGTGTGCAGCTGGCAGCTGATAACGATAAGAACCCACCGGTTCTACTATTTCCCAAAGATGATGAATCAGCCACAATCGATAAGCCCGACTTGACCGGGCCAGAAACAGCTGACAACCAGCTGGCTGCCTGACCTCCGTACCTGAACTCCATCCATCAGTCGACTCCCGCCCAAAACCTGCAGCACCACATCTTCACTCACCGTTGCACTCGCCTAGCCTATTAGCAGCAACCATCTAATTTTCTGTTATTATCTCCCCATTGATACAGCTGCCCCCTCCCCTACACGTCTTTACCATTCTGGTCTTCCCCGAAGCATCTCTGATCTTGCCCAGATCATGCCACCAACAGTAATCAGGACCTGCCCGTCGGCAGACGACGACTTCCAGCCCCTGAGCGAGTACCAGGCCCAGACTCCCAACACCTTCTTCGATAGCAAGCCTATCCTCTACTACCACGATGAGAACGTAAAGGCGTGGGTCTCGGGCGAGCAGCACGAGCAGCTCTACTTCTTTTCCAAGGCCTCGGGAGACGACGATCTTGCTCTGTATCCCACTCCACCTGAGTCTCGTGCGCTCAAGGACGGAGATAAGCACTATCGAGAGGAGAAGGTTGAGGTTTTCGTTGCATCCCAGTAAGTCTACCGTTACCATCTCGGGATGGAAATGAATATTAGCTGAACTCTAATCTGCAGCAAATTGATCATCTTTTCTCACAAGAGCGGGACCGGTATCGAGATACCTTACCCGTCTATTACCCTCCACGCCATTAAGAATTTCCGGCTCGAGGAGGGAAATGATGACGCTTCATCCAAGTTCATCTCTGTTTATATGCAGCTCGAGTTATCTAGTTCGGGTGACGATGAGGACGAGGGCTCGGACCCGCTTGAGCTCTTCCTCATCCCGTACAAGGCGTCGCCGCGGGAGAATCCATCCGCCGAGGGGGCACCGGCCATCGACCCCCTGAGCGCCGAGAGAGCCACCGCGCTATTCAACCAGATCTCGGCGTGCTCGAATCTGCACCCAGACCCGGCAGACGAGGAAGAGGAGGACGGCGACGACGAGTTCGACCGCATCGTCTTCGAGGGAAACGTCGAGGGCAGCGAAATCGACGGCCTGCCCGGCGTCCTGAGAGGAGACAGCTCGGGCGGCCTGCCGCCGCCCATGCCGGGGAGCTCGGGTTGGATCACCGCCGACAATGTCGACCAGTATTTCGACGCCGACGGCAACTGGATCGGCCGAGAAGGCGTCAGCGGCGAGCTGGGGGACGGCGCGGGTCGCGTTCGAGGGCGCGACGAAGTGGAACAGGACGGCGTGAATGGGCTGCAGAACGGTGAAGACGTCGACCCGAAGCGTCCACGAACCGAATGAAAGCGTCACTGGTGGTATGGCGTGCCTCGCATTCTACGAGGCCACATGTCCCCGCCGAGGTGTCCATAAACCCAGAGGAGTTGCGGGATCCGCATCTGTTCTACAGGCACCCTAGTAGCTATACTGCCGTCATAGTATCGAATAGTACCCCTTGACCCCCAAGGCACGGGGGAGCGAGATAGAATTGCCTATCCTACCTAAGTAAGTTTAGTCCGTCGAGCTCCTCGTTAGAACAACGCGTTAACGTGCTAGTAGCTCGCGGCTCGTGCCAAATTAGAGTCCATGGGCACTGTCCACGACGTGGGAAGCCCGTGAGTTGAGGTCATCCGTATATTGATAATCGTCGCTAGACGTCTTGCCTGTATTGAACCGACTCTACACCCCAACTTCGCCTCAGGATATCGACACCACCAAGAAGTGAAATTAGGGGAGATTATGTTAGGCAGCCTTGAGTGAGGCTTTTGGTCATTGAAGATTGATATATCCGACAGGAGTGACAAAAGAAAAAAAGGTATTGGTAAGATGTATACAAGTCAGGAGGGGATAGATGCTCGTGCCGGGACCGCCCACCCACAGTTAACCCTTTAGAAACCCCTTTTCATCGTACAAGCTCTGCACGCTGCCCCTCTTGGCCGCCGCTTCTTCGCGCCTTATGTTGGAGGAGTGGGTCAGGATCTGGACAGTCTGTCTCGCGCCGACCGATCTGTGGCTATTTCCATAGCCCCGCATGACCTCGCGGGCCTCGTCGAGCTCTCTCTTCCTCGCCTCGAACTCCTGCACCATGGCCGTGCCGCGGCGTGGCCTCGCGGCGCCGCCCCTGCGCAGGGGGCTGAGGGCCTTGCCGCGCGCCGCGACGTCACCGACGGAGCCGGCGCTCGAGCGGGCGCTGCGCCCCGGGCTGCTGGTCCCGAGCGCGAGGTAGTTCCTGCCGCCGCTGCGGCGCACGCCGGGGCTGAAGCCGCCGCCGCGCATCTCGGGCAGCGTGGGGCTGCCGACCTCGGCCGCGTTCGCGACGCTGTGCTCGCTCACCGTGCTCACCTGGCTGTTCATGCGGCGCAGCTCCGCCACCGTGCTCGTCATCCGCACGCTCCCACCGCCGCTGCCGCCGCCGCTCCGCCGGGCCAGCGAGGCCGCCTTCGGCGTCGGCAGCGGCGCCACCCTGTCCCCCCCGTCCAGCGCCGGGTCCTGGTCCTGCGAGTAGAACGACTCGTCCGACGGCGCGCTGCGCCGCGCCTGCATCTGCGGCGTCGCGCCCACCACGCGGATGATGGGCTGCTCGCGCTCGCCCTTCCCCGGCACGTCGTCGCTGAACCTGACGGTGCTGCTGCGCCGGCTGTTGCTCCGGTACCTCGCCGGCAGCTGGGCCCCGGCTCGCGATTCCTGGCGCGGCGTCGGCGTGTCTTCTGCAGGCCTGGCCGGCGAGGTCTGGAGCGGGGTCTCGGGGAGAACGCGCGTGGTCATGGTGTCGTCGGTCGACTCGTCCATCGATGTGTCGTTGTAGCAGTAGCAGTCGTAGACGGATGAGAGCCCGGCTTCCGACATTTCTGGGCTCGATGCCCGGTCTGTCTCGCTGGGGATGGGCGACACGACACCTGCCCGGAGAGTGAGAGGCGGAGGCACGACTCTCTTCCGTGTGCTTCTCGTGGGCGATGGTGTTGGTGTCGCCGTGCTCTCAATATCTTGCGCCTCATTTGGGCCCGCATCGTCTTTAGACGGGTCTGCTGGCAATGGAGAGAAAACCTTCGATAAACGAGCGGGGCCCTCTGGTGTTTCTGATGTCGCCACGGTGAATGGGTCTTGATTATCTGCAGCACTGGTCGCAAAGGACAGTCTGCTCTTAGGCAGAATTGCAGGTTTTGTTGCTTGCGAGAAAGGCCGGGGGATGGTGGACGCGACCTCTGATAGCGACGGGTTCCCCAGGGTTCCCCTTCGGATCCGCAGTGGCTGGGGGCGCTCTCCGTCGTCGAATGCGAATTTGGGGCTGCCCCGCTCTTCTAGAGCGTCTAGAGCCGCATTCTCGTTAAACATATCAAAGGCTGAGAGAGTGTTCCCTCGACCCCGTCCCCCTCCATCTGGGGGAGCACCGTCGTCTGATTTCGGCTCAGTGGTCGGCGGGCTGCGGACCGAGGACTCCTCCATGCTGTATAACGTCGACAAGGCAGAGGACATGGAGCTGGCGTACGAAAACGGGCGTGGCTGTTGCTGGCCCGCTGCTTGAGGTCTGGGGGTAGTCCCGTCCGGCGCCGCATCTGACGTCTTCACCACGCGACTGGGACTGGACAGCGCCGTTGGCAATTCTACCTGCGAATCCCGTTTAGAAGGGATGAGACTATCCGAATCCGAAAACGTCGATGCCTGCGATGCTTGCGATAGGCGGGACAGCTGTCGTGAATGCCTCGGGGTCTGAATCGGCGGCAGGGTCAATTGCGCCTGTCGGCGATCCCTTTCGAAGTCCGGAGCCATCAGAGCCGCCGGGGCGCTCTTGTGGCTTTTGGTCGGACTGACGTCCCCGCCGTCGGAGGACCAGTTGCGGTGCATGTAGCTCCTGTTGTGATCAACCCGGCTGCTCTCGTACATCGGCTTCCGAGGGGAGTACGGGAGCATCAGAGTCTGTCGCCTCTCGCTGCGGCTCCCGTCCTCGAGCCGCTCAGCAGTCATGCGGAGAATCTCCGTAAGCTCGGTGTCCGTGGCGCTTTGCCTGAACCTCGGCGGCTTCGGGACCTGCGTGTGTGGGATAGTGATGGGTCCGGGTAGACGCGCCCCGCCCGCCAGTTGCTGTGCAGCGTTGAGCGCGACGCTGTTTCTGCGCCGTGGACTTTGCACGCCGTTTGAATTAGACCTCACGAGGCTTGCAGAAGCATTCCCAGGGCTAGGTAGGATGATGGGAGCGTATTGCTTTCGAGGACTGATATATACGGGTTGCTTCTGCGGCTGATTCAAGTGTACGACAGGGTATTTGTTTGCCTGAGTGCTTGATACTGGCGTCGTCAACTGCTTATTAGGGCTTCCGGTCGGCGTGACGTTCTGTTGCCCGGATCCGGTCTCGGTATAGGGCAAGGTCGGGCTTCCCATGCGCTCCGTCGTGTTACTCATCATGGAGAGACGGCTCAGGGAGCGGCTCAGGCCACCGTCGAGCCAGCCTGGCTTCTGCGCTGTTTTAGGCTTCACATTCTTCGCGGAGACGACCGTCGGGCCGTGCAGGGCGTCCTCGTCGATCCACGAGGACGTACGTCTGTGCTCGTATACGCCATATCCCTTCTGCTTCTCCGGAGACCTTTGCTTGCGTCTCTGCGTGGCAGCATCCGCGCTGCCACTGCGACAGCCCGGCCCGGCGCTGGACCTAGCGGTCGTGCCCGTTGTCGCCGTCACCGTCGAGCCCCCGATCGACACGCTCCCCGACCGCGAATATGCCTTCGCTGGTGACGTGGTGTGCTGGCTCGAGCGGCGGCTCTCGCTCTCCTCGCGCCCGACGTTGTCGTCGCTGTGATTGTTGACCGCGACGGTGGTGACGGCGGCCACCTGGTCTCCGGTGACGCTCTTCTTGCGCAACCGCCGCGGCGTCGGGGCCGCCGCCTCGGTACCGCACTCGACAGACACGTCCGGACAGGCAAAATCGGCTCGCCGCCGGTCGTGCCGCCGCGCTAGGTGGACGAGCAGGAGCGAGAGGCCCGCGAACAGCACCACCGCGCCGCCGACGGCGATGCCGGCTATAGCGCTTGTCGAGAGGCCCGTCGTCGGTGGGGGCACTATGGATGAGGAGGGAGGGGGAGACAATAAAGATACGGGGGCGTCTTGTCTCCGCGTGAAGGTAGGCATTTTAGGTATCTCGATGCTGTGTAGAGAATACTGTAACGAGGGCGGTTAACGGTGATTTCTCGTTATTCGTCGCCCGGGTGAACCGTCTTGCTTCGCTGCTGCTCCTGGACTGGTCGAATCGCAGCGGTAGGGTAACTCCGAACCGGTTTATACGAGCAACATGCTCTGCTATAGCGACGGGGGCTCTTAGAAATCTGCGATCCTTAGCCTACACCTGGCAGACACGATCCTTTGAGCTGGGTTAGGAGAGAGAAAGATGAGGTGAAGGCGATGAAATCGGAGTCCTCGAGAGGCAAAGGCAGGCGGGATGGGGGGACACAGCATCATAACGCGACAGATCCCGGACGACGAGGCATCATGAGACGTAAACATGAGCAGCATAGCATAGCATCGGTCTCTGCCCGGCAACTCCTTCCCGCCCTCTCACCGTGCGTGTATAAGTACGTGTTTGTCTCTCGCAGAAAGCGACCAAAGGGCCGCGGAATGCGAGGTAACGAGCGCGCGCGCCTCGGCTCGCCCGCCCGCACCGCCGCGGCTGGAATGCGTTGCCATGCTAGCCGGCGCCCATGACTCGGCAGCCCAGCTCACCTGAACAGTACGTGTGCGCGCGCGCCGCACTCTGCCTCTACTATGTCACCGCCCGCTCCGCCCGCCGCCAGAGACGTGGCATTCCAGCCGCCCGTCGTCATCGCCCGCGCCCGCCGAGGTCACGGTCCCGCGCCTCTGAGACATCGAGGCGGCCTGTGCAGGCCGCCTCCCTCCTCCTGGATGGTGGGGGCAGAGCGCTGTGCACAAGGCGACTGACTGGACGAGAGGCGAGATGGAGGCGTCGGCTGCTGGTTCGCGCAATCTAGATATCTTCTTCGGAAAGGGGGCACAAGTGCAGAGAGAAATAGACGCGAATACCATTCATCCATCTCCGTCGCAGCGCGTTTAAACGTCTTCCCTCCCCTCGTACTCGAACCTCGTACTCGAGCCGGAGAGAAAATGCACATTATTTCACAATGATTAGCACCGACTTCAATACACCCCGGCACCCCGGCCTGCACCACACCCGGTTGGCGCGTCCTCTCCGCCGCCACCAAGCCAGTTTCCAGTCCTCGGTCTCAGCGAGAGAGAGAGAGAGAGAGAGAGATAAGCTCAGAATAGAGTTCCGACGAGGCGAATAAAATCGTCTCGCTGACCCGGTAATACCATACCTTGAGCACCTTCTACAACGCAGCACCGTCACGGTTTCGCTAGTAGACGCGAACCACCCGAGACGACCCATCACATATTTAGTGTGCTCACAACATTCATAATTGCTCTGGGATCTGTCTTGTCGGAGAAAATAGCCGAATAAAAACTAAGAACACACGGATAGCCTAGACAACGCCGTCGGGTCTCTTCTGCCCGAAGAGATATACCCGTTATGCAATGCCGACGACTACGCCGCGTACTGGTATATGCCCGTAATAAACCTCCCTCGATTTAACGCCTTAAAGACTATGCCTCACGCAGTGTCACCTCCGGCCAACGCCGACTCTGAAAATAGCATCACGGGGCCTGCTCACAGCTTGTTTTTTTTTTCTGCCTGCTTAAACTCCTTCTAATTCATCACAGGCACTGCTTAGTTTCCCGGAATGCAGTGAAATAGCACTCGGACGGTGTAGGAACTCAGGCAGCACCCTGGAAAATGACGCAAAACATATCGTCCCTCACTACTGACGGGAGAATATCTCCATCGAAGAGAACATGAAGACGACCGGTCATCGACCTTGACGTCAGTGATGGCCGTGGTGTCGATGCTGCAAAGCGTGTCTTCCTTGAATCTTCCTAGCAGACCTCACCGCAGGAGGATTGACAGTGACTGTGGTGACAGAGTCTTCAGTCACATAAACGACAGGCTCCATCCAAACTATCTCCTCGATCAGGGGACCGTGCGTAATAGTCTGGGTGCTAACAACACGGTACTCCACACCAGGCTCGGACGTGAATACTGGGGCCGAGGTGGTGGTAGGTGGTGCGGGTTCCGAGCTCGAGGATTCGCTCGATGGTGTCGGTTCGGGTGGTGTCGGCTGGAGCGGTGAGGTGAGAGCGTTAAAATCTTGAGAAGACACCGCCGGGGTTGGCGAAGACTCGATGAAGGCTCCGCCTGGCGCCGAACTAGTCGCAATCGCGCTAGAAGAAGTGACAAGCGACGACGAAGTAGTAGAGAGCGCCGTTGTCGTTGTGCCACCGGCTCCGAGAACATCGCTTATGACACTGTTGACAACTGAGGCGATGGGAGTGGCATCAGCGGAACCACGAGTAGCCGACTGCGGGCCAGACTGGATCGCGAGGTTACCGGGTAGGCTCTTCAGATTCGGCACGGCACCGTCCTCGCCAGCCAACGCCTCGGGAAGGGCAAACTCGCAAGCATGTTGCTCCTCGTCGGTCTGGAGAGGGCCGTTTTCCACAAACACTGGGCAGTCCCGGATATCCCCCGAGTCATTGGTGCAGACATCGATGGCCTTTTGCAAAAACGCGGGATCCCAACCATTCATGAAATCGCCGTGATACCCAAATCCTAGTACCAGTTAGCATGATCATGTGGCATTTCGACACCATACACCTACCAGTTGGGTCTCCGTTTGAAATAACAAACTGCCCCTTGCGGCCTTGGAATTGGTTCGCATGCGTATCCCAGATGATCTCGTAGAAAAGAGTTGGCAACCGGGAGGTATGGGTGTCGGGACAGACGCCATTTCCAACTAGATCGGGATAGGCCACATGGCTCTTGTGGTCCTGCGCAGCGACTTCGCCGTTCCAGCACGAAGGGAACATGACTTCGAGGCGAAGGCCATCGATACAGTTGGCGTCGAGGAAGTCTTTGTCCGGCAAATAATGGCGGTCAAGGGAGCCCTCCGGAGTCTTCTGATAGTTCATGCAGTTAAATCCGAGCGCACGCTGTTCAAGATCTTCCTGGCTAGTCTGCTTGAGAGCGACCCAGCTGGACTGAGGGGGATCAGGAGCCTTGGGATCTCCGACGGTGTAATCTCGGCGATAATTGCTTCCAGCTACCATGTGGAAGTTGGGAGGAAACGCAGTGACATTGGGACCACGCAGCAAATAGTATCTATTTCCAGTAATTAGTACTGAAAAATCCCCCAGTCATTGGCCGCCACAAAATCGGTGAGACAGCATTCATAAACCTATGACAAGCTGTAGCACAAAAGAGTTAAGCAGACACCACTTACGCGAGCATGCCTCCAACCTGTGGCACGACTTCGAATTCTTGCGTTTCGGCATCTTGGAAGTAGAGGGCTGGAGTCCAATATGCCGACTTGTCCTGCTTGACAGCGCATGAGGTGCAGCTACCAGCAACAAGGTCGTTATAAGTGGCATCAAGGGCGAATCCTGTACACATCGTTAGCGAACACAATACGCACTATGTTACATGTCCCCAAGTTCATAAGAGACTACATTTGAGGGTATCGGTCGCGAGCGAGCTTACCTGAAGAACCGTGGACGGCATGGATGTGAGGAGAGACCACGCCCGGATCCATAATCGGGTCCATTCTGGCTAGACCTGTACGGCCGCGACACTCCATACGCCAGAAGGCCGCCACATCTTGGATGGCACCTAGGAGGAGGAAGGCTGTTGTTACAGCCTTAGTCGCCATGGTTAAATCGTAATAACCGACCCAATATGGAGACCAATAGGGGTAATACTGGACAGCGTATGCTGTCGAGTTAGAAGCGGCCTTGGAGGATCGATGGTGATGATGCAAGAGTATGCCTATTTCGATGCTCACAGAGTTGAGGTTTGGAGTTCCTTATTGAGAAGGCCGTAGCCTAGTGAACATAGAGGATGGCGTATTGTTTGTTTGTTGAGAATGGGAGAGGCTGAATCGTTCTCCTCTTTATGTAACAATTTCTTAGCCTGCCAACGCAGGGTGCGAATGATGAGTGTAACTCTTAGTTGTACCGTGACGACCAGCCTTTCTATGGTGTGGTCACAATGTGCGCTGGCCCCTGGGTTGATGCTGAGCAAACGGCGGACTGTAGTCAGGGCGTGCCGTCCTTCACGTCCTGACGAACGGTTGTCTTCTCAGTCACACACTTCAGATCGTAGGAGTTAATTTCTGGCCAATCTCCACTAGTCGATATCTCAATGGTTCTCACTGTTGTTGATATCTTTCCTGGTGCCGTCCGCAACAACCGGGAATGATTTCGCCGTCCGTGGATGGAGACAATTGCCTGGACGTGCCCGCGTGAGGATAGGATCGGACCCAACCCTAGGAGAATTTGGTCCGTCTCTTTGGTTCGGCGGCCAACGTACAGATGCGATGCCCAGCGCTGCCACTCCCGCACTCTTGGGTGTCGTGTACCTCAGTTTCTTGCCTACGGCCAGCCTCGGAGAGGGGACACCAAGTAGAGGAGGATGTTTGCTTCTCAGAGAATGGGAATGTGATCAACACAGGAAAAAGGAGCGTGATGGGGCCGATAGCCTGGATGAGGGGATCCGGGTTACCAGTCGAAAGGAGGTAAAAGGAGCGTGGTTGACAACTGTGGTCGAAGGAGAGTAATGAGCGGAAGGGTTCGGCGGAATGCGGTGAGGGGAGGGAGGATAAAGAGAAGGGCAACCAGAGGGACGGCGATTGAATGATCAAGAGAGAGGCGCGGAGGGAAGGGCTAATATCACGGGAGGGAAGGTGGGACCGGCGCATGAGGAGGTTGAACTATCGTGAGACAAAGGCAGGAGTAGCCACGATGTATCGGGTACATGGGGTACGTATCGGCGGATAAAGACCCCATTTCGTCATACCCCCATAGCATCAAACAAGTGGTTGCAGTGGGAGGTAATTGTTGTGATTGGAACCTACCTCTACCCTGCTAAGGAGATACCTTAGGTACCTCGGCACGTACACAGGTATCGGTACTTACAGCGAGGCGCGTTAAGAGGTACCTGCCTGCTTTGAGAGTAGGTAGGTAGATACCTAAGGGCAGGGAGGTCTCCCCAGCGAACGCTGATGTACCCGAGGCAGTTACTTAGCATACTACCTTAGGTACCTCTAGGGGCTGAGTGTGTGTACCTACCTCTACATGGGTACCTTCAGATAAGTACCTAGGTACCTACATCTTCAGATACCTGTGTATCTCCGGATAGGAATCTGGTTGCGATGACGGAAAGCCGTGACTTGGAGTGACGCCTTTTGCTCAGGAGATATATACCTATCTACCTCCTAGGTATCTTAGGTACCTACTTGCCTCTATTACAACAGCCACCCAAGGTACCTAATTCACCTATATAGCCCCTTTTAACCCACGTACCTTACCCACATACATACCTATACTGAGCATGAGTATACTCATAGGTACGTATATACAAGTTGGACGTTGGGAGGAGGAGACGGGCGGTAGATCTTGGCGACGCGACAGCCAATTCCCCTTTCCCCTTGGGAACCCCTGCAGGATCGCCATTCCTACCGAGAAAAGATCTGGTCCCTGCCTGCCTAACCGCATTGGGGCGCGTTGCCAAGCCTTCTAGCCTTACACGTCCTAGGGGTCCCCCTGCCGGACCTTCTCATTGGCTGGACACGCCACTTCGTAGTAAGATTCAGGGACAGACAAAGAGAAATAGGGACGAGAACCCCACGGGCACCCGGGGCCTGTCGAGACGGTAGAATTGTTCGGTGGCTAGAGAGAAAGAGAGAGACATACGAAGAATGACGAGGGTACTTGTTCTGTACAGCAGAGCAGAGGCCATCAATTCAGTACTCATAGCCAGGGTTGAAAAAAAAAGTTTAAGTTTTTAAGTTAAGTTAAGTTTTTTTAAGTTAAGTTAAGTTAAGTTTCCATTTTTAAAAACTTAAGTTAAGTTAAGTTAAGTTAAGTTTTTGAAAAAAATTTTTAAGTTAAGTTAAGTTTTTAATTATTTAAGTTAAGTTAAGTTTAAGTTAAGTTTTAAGTTTTTTTAAGTTTTTTTAAGTTTTTCTAAGTTTTTTTCTTTTGAAAATTCTATACTTTTAACGTATATTTATAAAACTTTATCGTAAAATATATAAAAAAAAATATTTTTTATAATTATATTAAATTTAAAATTAAATTACGTAATTAAATATTTAATAAATATTATAAAAAACATTTTTTTTAACCTATTAGTACGTAATTTAGAAACTTGAAAAAAAATTTCAAGTTTTTTTAAGTTTTTTTAAGTTAAGTTAAGTTAAGTTAAGTTTTAAAAAAATTTTCTTAAGTTAAGTTAAGTTTCTATTTTCAAAAACTTTTTTAAGTTAAGTTAAGTTTTCATTTTTAAAAACTTAAGTTAAGTTAAGTTAAGTTTCGTTAAAACTTAACTTAAAAACTTTTTTTTACAACCCTGCTCATAGCCCAAGAATTCTATGAGTGCCCGTCGATCGCAGCACAGCAGGCTATGTGCAGGGTACCTACCCCAGGCGCGGAGTTGCGAGTCGACGGACCGAGACGAGCCAATCTCGAGCGCCCCTGGTCCTGGGCGTTTCTATACCCTCTCGTCCTGCGAGGCGAGAAATGGGATTGGCCGCTTACTACTCTATCAGCTCAACCTACGCAACGGAAGTGTGCCCACGCTATGCTGGACGCAGATAGGCATGAGATAAGCTCCAAACAGCCTTCTCCACCGCAGGCATCGCATGGCGTAGCTGTTTACGTAGCCGCATTCGGTGGGTAGGCGGGCGACTAGCTACCTACCTGTCTCGAGAGGTGCCGTGTTAGCGAGCAGACGTAGGTATAGAAGATAGGTAGATGAAAAGGGGCATATGCGTAGACCATAGGCGTGTACATGCACCTCTAGAATCCACCCTCACCCACGATATTGTTCTATGGCTCCACCAGCCAAAAGAAAAAAAAAAACACCCTCCCGAAAAAGGAGGAGGGGAAGTAGAGGAGCTGCACCCACAACACGTAGGTAACACCGTGTGATATGTCACGCAGTGACAGTTGACTAGGCACCAGCCTGATACCGCCGTACTCACCTGCAGTTTTCGTGGGAAACGCAAGGCGACATGCCCGTCAGTTCATCAGTTCTGGCGGCAAACAAGCAGTTGGAGAGGGACGGAGAGCAGCCTGGCTTTAGCGACGGTGCGTTGGAGTGTTTGGGTGGGTAGAGGCACAATACCTGGCAAGCTATAGTCGACTTGGCGGGTTTGATGTTGATTGGCCCTTAGTATACCCTACCCCCACCTATCGCAACCCGCGAGAGTCGAAGATAATAGTTTGGGCCCTCTGCAATCCGACGATTGACTTACACGTGCCTAGATAGCAACTGGGTACCTATCATCTACCACCGCTACGAGAGAGACCCTGTCCAGGAACCCAATGCCGATGCGCAACGCCTCGGGAGTATCTTCGTTATGTAGCTATTCGCGTCTAAAGTAGCTCGCAACCACCCCTTCTCTACCTCGTCCGTCTCCGGGTGCATCACCGTACCACATCTCGGTCTGTGGGGAAGGACGAATAGGCGACATGATGCGGTGGCGCCGCTGTAGCTTCCTGACGAGATGCTGCCACGTACGCATCGCATCTCGGTTCTGGGTCACATAGCCGTCCGTGCTAGCTGGCGACCATACAGCTGCGAACATTTTGCTGTGGCGCCCACGCTGGCGCTCTTTTCATGATGACGGTAACTGCTTGGGTACCTAGGCAGGTTCAACGGGGTATAGTACGTAAAGCGCCATGCATCCATGAGGGTAAAAATATACCTCTCAGTAGGCGAGCGAAGAGAGGCGAGAGGGGTTGGTGCCTCCTGGACACCTCCTACGATCGATTTAGGTAGCTCTGCCGCCTCCGGTAGGGCCAAGCACCAACCGAATCGAAGCATGTACCCCGTATGTACCTGAACATCCCCAGGGGGAGACCCGTGCCAGGTTCCCGAAACCTGTCTCATTGCCCTGCCCTGGCGCGAAGTCGTTGGCCAATCAGGGCCGGATATTGCCATCCAGGATTGTTCTTCGGAATCCGTTGAGGACTGGTCTGTGCGCGGCAGGAAAATCCTTGGTGCCGACGCTGCAACCACTGGCAGCCGAGAACCCGTCTGCCCCGAAAAGGCAACCTGGGGGGAGCTCGCTTCGATGGACGACGGCGAAGCGCAGGATGCCCCTCTCCTCGAGGTGCAGTCTATCGGCCTACTGAGGCGACGGTCCGCGCCACGCGAGTCCCGTCGCGTCGCGGGCCACAGAACAGACGACACCAGCACTTCCTCGGCATCATAGAGGCCACAGAGGACGGAGCAGTAGGGAGAACACGCATCTCGAGGCAACATCGCCATCGGCAAGGTAGGTACCTAGGTAAGTATTGAACGTCGGCGGTGTCCTTTGCGTGCAGATAATAATGCGCAACAGATGTACATACGCAGGCACATATGCAGGTACATATGTATGTATGTAGTATTATCCATCCTATCGGTGCCCAATGACGTCCCGGCAGAAACGACCTTTAGTGCTCGCCTCTTCGATCAATGGGCGTAGCTGAAAATCTACCTGCCCTGCCAATCAGACGCCCTCGGTAGTTCTCCACGTCCTTAGCATCTACACGGTTCATTTCCACAGTCTGTTTTGGACCCACGCGAATTTCGTGCGTGGGACAAAATGGGATCTATACATATCTAGGCACCTATCTACCCTCTGCTATGACCGGACTGTGGTAAGCCCCCAGTCCCTCTCGGCCTTGGCCCGGATGATCGTAGGCCTCATTGGCGTACCTGTGCAATCTCCCTGGGAAGCCTGGCAGGAAAGCAGGTCGCAGACCCGCCCGAGCCGCTCCTGTGCTGTCGCTCGTAATGACGATGCGCCGGCTATCACATGGGAGCTGCCAAGTTTGAGAGGGTCACACAAGGTCCCCGACGAGGATGTCTATATTGCTCTTTGTGCACACCACAACTTCTGCGGTGATCAGCGCAATCGGCGTACGCGACAGTTTGGCGGGAATGCCGATGTGTGTGCATAGGTCAGGGGTTGTCGGAGAGCTATATAGCCTAATATTGAGCTAGGGGAAGACGCGAAAGGAGATGGGATCGTATTGCGAAATTCATGCCTGCACGACGCTCGTCAGATTGGCGGAAGAAAAGAGACGAGACCATTACGACATCCCTTTCCCCCCCCTCCTCCTCACCTAAACTCGGCCTCCGAAACATGTCGAGATCTGAAGTACGGGAACGCTTCCATCCCGGCCAACGTCGCAATCGGCTACGTATTAGGTAAGCATATCCGGGTAATTATCTCTAGCAATTACGGAAGCTTAGGGGATGTGGGCCGAGCAAGAGTTTCATTATGTAATCAAACGCCACACCCGTTCGTCAGTGTCCGGCGTCGGGGCGCATCTCTGAATCTTGTGGAGTGTCACTAGCCACAAAGTTAGTGGACCTCGTAGATTGGCGCCGCTAAAGGGGCATTTGGACCCTTCGCCTATTGCCAACTCCAACCAGATGCGGCAACGACAAACGACATCCACGCACCGCGCAACGCGTAGTCGATGGGGAACTCTGCCCGCGGGAATCTGACTATGTGGATTTCCTGATATGACGACACCCATATCACACGCTTTCCTACCGCGATGGACGATCTCTCTGGCCTCGACTGGTCTTCGACCAGCTCCGGCAAAGACACCAAGCCTTCTCCCGCTCTCGTGAACCCCGCGAGCTCAGCCTCTTTCTACCCGAGCCTACGACCGAACCCGTCTCCTCAGCTCTCCGGCCGGTCGACGCCGCTCTCGGCCCGAGCCTCCAGCCCTGCTGCCCCGAAACCCAATTCTGGTAAACTGGCCGCGGATAGCTTTAGTGGTCTCGTGAGCTTCGGTGGCGCCAAGAGCAACGCGAATCTCAGCCTTCGTGAGCGGCAGGAGCAGCTGGAAACACAGAAGCGCCAGAAGGAAGAGCAGGAGAGGCGGAAGTTGCAGGCGCAATATGGGGGTGGGCAGTTTTGGGACAACATTGGTCAGGGTTCTACGCCCGTGTCCAGAACCATCTCCCCAGCTGGTGTCAGCGGATCGGGATCTCAGGCCGGGCAGAAGCAAGATGATGACGACCTTTTCGCCGCGTTCAACAGAGACACCAAGGTCGACAATGCTAGTCACTTTCCTCCCCCTGCGCAACACCATTCGAACGCACCCCAACTCGACCTAACCAGCTCGAGTGCGTGGGGTAAACCCGCAGCTCCGAAAGGGAGCGGTTTCGGCGATGACGATGACCCATTCGGCTTGAGCCAGATGAGGTCTCGGCCGCAGCGGCAGCCTACGCTCGATGCAGATCAGGACGATGATTTGCTAGGAGATCTTGGCAAACCAGTCGAGGAGGTCCGGCGGAAGCAGCAAGCTTCTCAGCCAACCTCTCAGCCCAAACCGCAACCCGGCAGGCCCATCGAAAGTTCTGACTCTGACTCCGAGCCGGAAATCCCCTCGATAGGAGATAGCTCGGACCCGTTTGACAAAGCGGTCGCCGAATTGGTCGACATGGGATTTACAGCTGAGAACGCAAGGCGGGGTCTGACAGAAAGCGGCGTGGGCCTAAACATCCAAGCCGCAGTTGGCTGGCTGCTAGATGATGCACACAGGCAAGCTCGGGATGGTCAGGGTCCGAGGGAAGCTCCCAGAGAACGGGGAAGGAGAGACGATAGCCGCCCCGGAAATAGCGCCAGTCCCGCGTGGATGAGAGGCGACCAGGCTGAAGGCATTCCTTCTCGAAGAGATAGCCAGTCGCCCGCGTCCGGAGATGACTTCTCAAAAAGAGCCGCGGCGGTGGGCTCTAGCCTGTTTAAAACTGCCAATTCTCTCTGGAAGAGCGGACAAAAACAAGTCCAGAAAGCGGTTGCCGACTTCCAGCAAGAGAGCGGTGATTCCAACCAGCCGAAATGGATGCGGTCCGCCCAGGTGGACAGAGGGCACTCGGGAACACATGGCTCTCGGTCGACTACTGATGAGGCTTTGATGCTCGAGTCCGGCATGCGGCCCGAGCGACAATCGTCTAGATCGGCGCAAAGCCAGCATCACAATTCCCGAGATCGCTCTCCGGTCTTGCCCACCCGACCCTCTGCTAGCTCCTCGGGTGTGCCCAGATGGCAACAGGCAGCACAGCCAGGGTCACAGGATTCTCGAGGCCGCTTGAGCAAGCAGTCCATCGAAGAGCAGAGCGCGCAAGCGTACATCAGCCCAGCACGAAGGAAAAAGGTTACACCTCAACCCGAGCCGCAGCGTGAGCGTGAAGCCAACCTTCTATTTGACCAGCCTACTCTTCCACAGTCCTCACAGTCTAGGCCTCCCCTTCCCGCTCAGCGCTCGGCTTCCTCTTCGGTTCCCTCCGTTAGGCAGCCGACGCCTTCCTCCTCAGCATCCATCACACCTCGTCCACCTCCGCCCTCTCGTAAGATCCCCATGGTTGCTCAGAAAATCTTGGAAGCCTCTACGCGGAACCGTCTTGAAGGGACGGCGCACTTTAGGCGCGGAGATTACGACGCCGCACACACGAGCTACACGAATTCACTAGCCGGCATACCACAGTCACACCCCATCTGCATTGTCCTTCTTACCAACCGTGCCCTCACGGCTCTGAAGACCGGTAGTCCTAAGCAAGCAGTCAGCGACGCGGATGCCGCGATCGGCATCATAGGGCCCTCTCACGGCGAAGGCGAGAAGGTGGCGCTACCCGGTGGCGAATCGCGGGAGATGAAGGATCTCTACGGCAAAGCGCTCAGCCGCAAGGCCGAAGCGCTCGAGCAGATGGAGAAGTGGGCAGAGGCCGGAAACGTCTGGCAGCAGTGCGTAGAGGCAAGTGTCGGCGGCGCTAACGCCATCGCCGGACGGCAACGCTGCCAGAAGGCGCTCGCACCCAAACCTAAGCCCAACCCGAGGCCAGTCCAAGCAGCCAAACCCCGGCCGAAGGCATCGCCTACGTCGATACATAACGCTCAGCAGGGTTCCGAGGCCGTGCAACGCCTGCGGGAGGCCAACAAGGCAGCCGAGGCAGCCGACGACGAGAAATTCGCCCTCGGCGAGAAGATCGACGCGAGAATTGCCGCGTGGAGGGACGGCAAGAGGGAAAACCTACGCGCGCTGTTGGGCAGCCTCGACCAGGTGCTCTGGGAGGGTAGCGGGTGGAAGAAGATCGGCCTACACGAGCTGGTGGTCGCGAACAAGGTCAAAATACACTACATGAAAGCGATTGCTAAGTGTCATCCCGACAAGGTGAGCTTTTTCCCCTTCTCTCTCTCTCTCTCTCTCTCTCTCTCTCTCTCTCTCTCTCTCTCTCTCTGTCTCTCTCTCTCTCTCCTCTGTCTCCGTCGCACGCTGTTCCCCTCCCCAGCCCCCCTTCCCCTCCTTCCCCCTCTCCGTCCTGTCTAGGTGGGGAGTCTGTTGCGTTCGTATTTTCCCTCATAGTGGAGAAGGTTACTCCGAAGACAGATATGCGATCTCGATTGCTAACGACGGCGACGTTGCAGCTGCCGCAAGATGCCAGCACGGAGGTGAGGCTCATTGCCGGGACAGTGTTCGCGACGCTCAACGAGAGTTGGGACAAGTTCAAAGCTGAGAACGGGTTGTAGGGGGGGGGGAGGGAGGGGTGGGTGGGTGGATGCCGGCCGGTTTCTGCCCAACTTGCCAACCCGAGAAAGCGAGAAGACGAGGGGGAGAGCGAAATATTCCGGGACGTCGGGCACGGAAGAGACGAGACGATACCAGATAGAGCAATGAGATCATGAAACTACGTACATGCGTTACGATGCGCAGCCCAGAACGGCGATTGCGACGCGGTGTGATGATGTGCGATGGTGTGCGCTCCCAAGCCTACCGAATTCCAGAGCCGTGAGAAGCGCGCGACATGCCACCCCCCCGATTTGGCGGCGCGGTGGGATCGAGTCAGAGAGAATACCCACCGACGGATCGCGCTAGGCAGGTGTACGGTAGGATACGATAGATAACGCGGGCGAGGCGACGACACCTACGATAACCCCGGACAGGATGACATTTCTCAGTCGATACACACACCCGTCCATCCGCCGGTGCCCTCCCATGCTACGTAGGAGCCCGAATTACAGGTAGGGCGGGCCTAGGGAGACCGACGTGAGGTTGCTAGCCGCATTACACGTAGTCCCCTCGCCAGGGAGCGTGCAGGGCAGCCCCCTGCGCTGGGCGGCGCGATTTTTCTGCTCTCTCTCTCTCTCTCTCTCGGGGATAGGTGTGGTGTCACTCCTGTGTAGGAGCGGGAGCGGGAGCGTGAATGTGAATGTGAGCGTGAGTATGGGTGTGAGAGAGTTATCGAGTAGGAGTGGGAGCGTTGTTGTGCTTGGATGCTAGACGGCATCTAGAAGCCAGTCGGTATGAGGGAAACACGACGCACGAGGGGAGGGGCGCAAGAATGTGTGAGATGAGATAGGTCTTGTCGCACCCTCCGCCAGACCCAGGACGGCGGCAGCAGGTTACATAGATGTACACTAGCCCGACAAATGAACACACATCGTATTAGATGTATGCGACATCTGCAATCTATCGAGTGCCTCACGCGTCGGTCGTGGATAGCGGCAGCCACCCCTAATATAAAAAAAATGCCTTACGTATCTGCGATAATAACCTACCTATCAAGCTCGGTCATAGGGAATTCGCTCTTAGGTGTATATATGCATACCTTCCGAGGCAGATATGCAGCGCATCTATATACCTACCAGTACGTACGTATATGCACACATCATAGATTAAGCAGGCATCTATTCGTGTTTTTATTTATATATCGCAGACACATTACACACCCATGCCGACCCGCATACCACACGGCAGCACGGCGGCTATCGCTCTCCGTAGGGCAGACTAGAGCGGCCGGCATGTCCATTCCGGCTGGCTACGTCAGGCTCCCCAGCGAGGAGACAACAGGACGTAATGGAACGTGACAAGGCGTGTTCGTGCGCAAGACGTACCTACCAGCGGTATGCGAAATTAAGGCTCGAAGGCAGCACACAAGGCCTAGCTCAGGTGCCATATCACGATGCCCCCATAGTGAGGAGGTGCCTTTCTCTGACACGTTGACAGAAGACGTTACGTGCCTAGATACGTCGAGACCATCGCACATGACGCCTAGTACGCCAGGTACGGATAAGCGCATAAGTGCATAGATGACGAGTGCGCACCAAGCATAACCTAAAAAGAGCCCCGCGCGCGGCGTCGGTACGTAAGTATTGGCTTTCGGTAGTAGGCTAGCATGGGTGGGGAGGGGGAGGGGGAGGGGGAGGGGGGAGCCGAGCCGGCGCGACCTTTTCCCAGTACGACTACGACCCAACCGCTGCGACCTCTCTCGTCCGGCCGGTATGCGACCAGGAGGGCTGTGTGGCCGCCCGTACGTGCCTAGGTAGGTAGTAGCGCGCGATGAGATGTAAGATCCGCGGACGCTGTGGGGAGGCGCCGATATAAGACCGCCCGCCGGAAGCGAGCGAGCGGCCGCCGACCCACCCCCAGACCACGCGCCAGCGCCTCAACCCAGGACACTACGTCATAGCCCCCCCCCCCCCCTTCACTCGGACAAACGACCCAAGACCGAGGCGGGTTTGGGTAGGAGGGCTCGGCGAGAAGAAGGGGGAAAGAAAGAGAAAGAAAAAAAAAAGGAGAGAGAGAGAAAGAAGAGAAAAGGAAAGAGGCGGCTAGGCTAGGCAAGGCGAGACAGGGCGGACAGGGGTTGGTCGTTTCCGTCGCCTTTTCCCCTCCCCTTTTTGCGTCTCCTCGAAGTTAAAAGTCCTCCGCTTTGGGGGGGCGCTCTGCCGTCATGATAATACGAGGCAGGACAGGAGCGCGGGACCAGGGAGAAGGAGAGAGAAGAAAAAAGAAGCGGGAGAACGCCGGAGAACGAGAGGAAGAGAGAAGGGAGAAGGGAGAAAGAACAGTAGACCCGGGCACCCAGCTGCGCAATATAGAGGTACCTAGGTACCTACGATACGTGCCCGGCTCAGGTCCTGTTGGTTTTGATTGCTCGCCCCCCGGTGGTTCCCTGCGGAGAGATACCCACCCGGTACCTACCTGCGATACAGGGGGCGGCGGCGTACCGCGAGTAGGTACCTACATCTGGGTGGCCATCTAGATGTACACGCACACGCACATACGCACACACAATACCTACATCACACACACACACAACATGCCAGACACGCAGCCTGGGACGGCCGGGGTGGCCTAGGCTATATTAGGTGTTATTTCTCGGACATGCGCCGGCAGCAACCCACGACGCCGACTCAGTACACTCGTGCCCTGCCTTGGCTGCTGGCTGGCTGGCTGGCTGGCTGCCTTGCCTGTATACAATCCCAGCCCCGTTTCTCATCTCACAATTGTTCTCACCTCGTAACTACGGCTCTGCTCTTCTCCTCTCCCTAAGCCATCGTTCCCCCAATTTCTTGGAAGTGAGAGTGATCAAAACGAAACCCGGGGTTTCCGAATCCAGTAACCCGACGGCGAAGTTCCTCCCTTTTTTTCTTCCCTCGAGTTTCTCTTTTCTTTTTCCTTTTTTTTTTCTGTTTTCTTCGCCGCTCCTGTCCTGTCCTGTCGTTCGTGTGTGTCTTCACGGCTTGTCTTGGTTCTTTTTTTCCTTTCTCACCTGCTAGTTTAGAGTTTCACGGGTCTCGCTCGGGCGGCTCGCCTTGTCTCGTGCGGCGCGTCTCGCCCCCAAGTTCGCCTTCCGCCGAGGTTGGGCCTTTTCTCGGGGCCGTCTTTTCTTCTCTCTCCTTCTCCTCGCTTCCTGTTCTTTTGCTTCAGCTCCGTCGGCTCTCGGGGAGCGTCGCTTGGTCACGGGAGCCGGGGAGGGAGAGAGGCGAGAGAAGCAGGGCATCGCGGCGCGGGTTGCATAGGCGTCGCAGGGTTCCATGTTCGGGCGGGCGGGGCGTGGCCAAGTAAGGCGAGACGGCCTAGCCGCGCAGTTGTGGGCACAATACCATAGATAACATATCTCATACATATATCGGCTATCATCGATTTTATGGGGAGGGCCATCGAGGCCCGGAGAAACACCTCTCCCCCCTCCCCAGGCAAAGGCAAGGTTCCAAGCCGTCGTAGAGGTTGGTTGCCCGGTTGTGGTCATTCCCCATGTTTTGCGGGGGAGGAGATTTGAGAACCTGCCAGCTGGAAAATGGGGTCTTCCTCCATCTTTCTCCGCGTCCGCCGGACGGTTGGTGGTGAGGGGCCTATGGGGAAGATTCCGCCGCGGGAGAAGAGCACAGCAATCCTGCGTACGCGTGCGTACTTCAGCTGGGAGATACCTCTACCTCAGGTCTAGGTAGGTAGGTATGTAGGTACCCTTACCTGAGGACACATGGCTGAGGAGGTCATCCACATGGCATATCCGCATGGGGTAGGTAGCTATGTATGTGTTTGCAAGCTGGTACTTTAGGAATTGGCCGGTGCGCGCACGCATCTCGAAATCGAAAGAACACCGTCGGACCCATGGAATCAGGCATTTGTTCGATTGTTCGATTTGTAGCTACACCTTGTGCGCTGCCCGCGTACCCTATGACGCACGATGAGCGAACCGAGACATGGATGGCATGTTTACATCTCTGGCCGGGTGGATCGGGCGGGCGTTTCGCTTCTCTTCCTCTCGGTGTCGGGCCCTCCTGTTTACTCTAGTCTTGTCATCGGTTTTCTTCCCTACTACGGGCATGTGCCCACCTCGGCGGTGCGGGCTTATTCCTGTCGTGGTAATACTAGCAATGAATGCTTGCTATCCCCCCGTCCCCCCCTCCCCCCTCCGGAGCAACGAGTCGGTCAAGGTTTAGTAGGTATTGGTAGGCCAGGTTCGCGGACGCCGCCGCCTCTCCCCCTGGTGAAAGTTTGTCATCGCATATGACCTCCGGGAAGATGAATGACGAGAGAGATCTCACCTGCATGGATATGCTGGCCTCTGCTCTCTCGGGTTGCTTCGATGTCTCCCTCCATCCCCTCGCTCCGCGTACCGCCATTCCCACCCCCCTCCGCCTGCCCCCCAAATTACACCCCCCCCCTCTGTCGGAGGCAGGCCTGTACCAATCCAACATGTAACCTTTCACAAAAAGAGACCTGTCTATTTTGGGTTCCATTGCTCTGCTATGACTCCATACTGCTCTCCGCGCTACGTAGGTATGGGTGGTGGTATGGCAGGGTGTGCTAGACATGCAAGGCATGTGTACCAGCATGCCAACACCCGTCGCATCCAAGATAGGTAGGATACCACGTAGCACTGCTACAATGCGTGCGCATTCTCCGCGCCTTCGTAGGTACCCACCCAGGACACACCCCCGCCCATTCTCGATTCGGTCGCCTCCCCATGTTTCGTCCCCCGCTGGACCCTAAATGTTTTCCCTCAGCGTGTCCGTCTTCGTCCTCCCATTCCGGCGTCTGAGACCAACGACTTGCATGCTTCTGGCGTGCCGGCGGAGAGGGGAGGGCGTCGAGGTAGTTTAGTACCCCCGTACCTGCGTACCCGCCAGGGAAAACGCGGGTGGGCCAGATCGGCAACCGGTCAATCCATCAGAGCAGCGCGCGGCGCCCCCCAATTCGCCTATCAGCGCCCTCGCGCAGGCCCTTGTCGGTCGCGGGATGGGGCGCGGCATCCCAGCCGACTGCTGTGGTGCCCGACTGGGGACATCCCGGCTAGCCGGTGGCAGTCCTCGGCGCCTTGGCTGCCAGCCTGCTAAGCATCGATGACGGCTTCGACGCCTACACTTAGTGCCTACCTATAGGTATTCCGTGGGCGAGAGGAGGTAGGCTGGTAGGTAGGTAGGTAGGTACCTAGGTATGTAGTAAGGTACCTAAGGTAAGGTAAGGTATCTACGCACGCACGCGTGACCGACGGGGGCATGAGCGTGGGGATGACTGGAAGGCCGGTGCAATAGAAGATAATACTACGGTAACTTTACCTCCTCAAGAGGTACCTACCTTAGGTACCTCTGTGTAGGCACATGAGGTGCATACCCGAGGTAGGTACAAACATAGCAGGTGTACACGCAGAGTATTCGCATATCTAGCTCAGGTACCGACCGATTCACAGCGACCTGGACTAGCCCGAGCGGGCATAACACGTACCTAGGTAGGTGGGTAAGAGGTACCTCCAAACCTACACCTTTCCCTCTGCCTGCTAATCTGCTAGGTACGGGCTGGACGGTCCTCGGGCCTCGCTCAATCACCCCCTCCCCTACGTATCTACGTTCGTATATAACACAAAGTATAACTTAGGCGTATGGTTTGGCACCAGCTTGTAGGTATCCAATTCGATCCCTGCCTTTTGTAAGCCGTAGCTTGGAGGTACCAGCTCCGGTACTTAGGTGAGGACTGGCTAGGTGGACAGAGCCAGGTACCTGTCTCATGTGCGCACCTACGAGTATACGCCTCGCGCCTGCCGTCCACGTCCATCCCCAGATCCGACTGCCATTGCTCTTTCCGTAGACGGCCGCCTTCCATGCCTGCCGCCTCCAGCTCTTGTCTCTGCTGGTCCCGGACCTGTTCTGTTGCTCGAAACGTCCCAATGCGACTCTGTCACCAGTCTTGTCCTCCCGCTTCTCTTCTGCCTCCTCCTCTACCACGTCCACCAACCTCTGTCTTTGCAACCCTGCTTCGGCGGCTATCCCTCTGGTCCTATACTTCGGATCCTCTGTTTCTACTTCGGCTCCACATCCTCCACGCGCAGATCTACTTACATCCAGGTTGTACGCAATCCGCTTCACACACACACGCGCACGCACCACTCCCCAGACCCATGTTCCATAGATCCCGCATCATCGCACGTTTGTTCCCCCCCCCCCTCCGCCCCTCCTTCTCCTCCCCACTTACAGCATCCCCAAAGTCCCATGTTTCCTCTCTGGCTTGTTTTTGGGGAACCCTAGCTCTCGTGGCTCAAAGGATCGGCCTTGAGTTGCCGCGCTGTAGACTCTATATCTTACCTCTTTGACCTCCCGGCTTAAGTCACCCTTGCGTGGCGGACTCCATTGTTCATTTACTGTTTAAAGTCCTCTTGCTACGCCTTCGTCACACCCTACACCTACTCCTCTTCCCCCCCCCTCTCGTTTCGCTTATCGGTTTTTCGGTTTGCCTCGCCCTCTCTCGAGACATCCCCGGCCGAGACTTGACAGCCTATATAACACCTGCCGTTGTCCGCCTCCGCTTCCCCTTTCCCACCTCCTACTCACCTCTCCCATTAGCTCGAGCCTCTCCCGCTCTTACCTACCTACCACTCCCGTCACGACATATCTACTCCTTCTGTTGCCTTACTTGGGTCGACGTACAAGAGAGACCACCCCACTGACACGGCCTCGTTGACGTGTTGATCCTCCAGGATCGGGACCGAGAACGAGTAAGAGTCTTTTTACCTGCCTGCCCGTCCGCCTGCAAAGTCGTCGCCCCTGAAGCGAGACAGACTGCCCTACCAGCGAGACAGCCAGCCACTGCGTGCCATCTTGGCTCGACCCAGACTAACACCCCAGCCTCGCAGAAGCTCGCTAAGCCAGCACACCCTCTCTCGGCCTGCCCACCATGGTGAACTACTTCGGGAAGTACTTCGGCCTTCGTGGCCATTGGCTGAACTATGCCATCGGTATCATTGCGGGATGTGATTTCCTGCTGTTTGGATACGGTAGGTTGTCCCCTGGCGCCGGTAACCGGCCAGCCGCAAAACGAAACTTACACGAGCCGTGATAGATCAGGGTGTCATGGGTGGCATCCTCACCATGCATCAGTTCCTCGAGCAATTCCCGGAAATTAACCCAGACGAAGCCAATATCCTGCCGGAGGTCCAACGGAGTCGGTCTACGACGCAAGGAATATCCGTCGCCGCGTACAATCTCGGCTGCTTTGTCGGCGCCGTCACCACCATCTTCATCTCGAACCCGCTCGGCCGAAAACGGATGATCATGCTCGGCACAGCCATCATGATTGTCGGAGCTATACTGCAGGCTACCGCTTTCTCCCTCCCGCACTTTATCATCGGGCGTATCATCACCGGTCTCGGCAACGGCGGTAACACGTCGACTGTGCCGACTTGGCAGTCCGAGACATCGCACGCCCACAAGAGAGGCAAACTGGTCATGATTGAAGGCGCCTTGATCACTGGCGGTATTATGATCAGTTACTGGATCGACCTTGGCATCAGCTTCGTCGACACCAGTGTCGCTTGGAGATTTCCCCTCGCTTTCCAGATAGTCTTCTGTGTCTTCATCCTGGCCTTCATTTGGAACCTTCCCGAGAGCCCCAGGTGGTTGATCCTCAAGAATCGCGAGGACGAGGCCCGCGAGGTCCTTGCCGCCCTGTCAGACGTTAGCGTCGACGATAGGATCGTCGAGAACGAGTTCATGGCTATCAAGGAAACCGTCCTGGAAATGTCCAAGGGGTCTTTCAAAGACCTCTTCACCATGGATAAGGAGCGGTACGTATCAGCACCACTGCGTAGTATTGCCAGCCGTGCGCGGGCGGGAGCTTATTGTTTCACAGGAACTTCCACCGGACAATGCTGGCGGTCGTCAACCAGATGTTCCAGCAGATTTCCGGTATCAATCTGATCACGTACTACGCCCCGGTCATTTACCACCGCCTGAACATGAGCGACTTCATGGCCCGACTCCTTGCCTCCATCAATGGCACCGAGTATTTTCTTGCCTCGTGGCCCGCGGTCTTCCTTGTGGAGCGCGTTGGTCGACGAAAGCTCATGCTCTTCGGTGCCGTCGGTCAGGCCGTCTCCATGGCCGTCCTAGCGGGTACAAATTATGCCAGCGAAGCTTACGGTAGCAGCGGGGCTCAGATCGCCGCTGTCGTTTTCCTGTTCGTGTTCAACTCCTTTTTCGCAGTTGGCTGGCTAGGAATGAGTAAGTATTTTAGTAAATCCGCTGCTGTTCTCTTCCTCCAAACCCCCTGCACTAGAATACGTTACTGGAGACCTCGTGTCCCCAAAACGGAAAGAAAACCAGGAACCCGGCACACACCACAATATTTCCCCAATGTGAGATATTTATTAACGTCGAACTTCTCACAGCTTGGCTATACCCTGCGGAAATCACGAGTTTGCGAATCCGGGCACCCGCCAATGCACTGTCTACGTCCTCAAACTGGATCTTCAACTTTCTCGTCGTGATGATCACGCCGGTTGCGTTTGCCAATATTCGCTACCAGACGTACATCATCTTTGCCGCCATCAACGCCTTCATGGTGCCGGCAGTGTATCTGCTCTTCCCCGAGACAGCGTATCGGTCGCTCGAGGAGATGGATTCCATCTTCCACAAAGTGCGCGGGGCCCGGGGCTGGTTCGACGTTGTCGGTGCGGCCAAACGCGAGCCCCGCCGCTACGGTAAGAATGGCGAGCTGCTCATCGCCTACGACGAGACCGACGAGCACAAGGCCCACCTACCACAGCCTGCGGAACACCGAGAGCACGGTGGCGGGTCCGGATCCGGCTCACCCTCTCTCACGGACGCAGAAAAGGGAGGCCAGGGCACCTCCCTCTTCATCGAAAACCAGAACCGCGAGTAGTCGCACTGCGACACGCCCCCCTGCTAGGACGACTTTGCTGGCCATAGTATTTTCTTCTTCCTCCTTTGCCTTCGCTCTGGCAAATGGGTTCGAGTGTGCTGGAAGTGGTGGCGCTCTGTGAAGAATTTTGTACCTGATATCCCATCACTGTTGTCGAGAGTGGCCTCACGCTCATTTCTTTTCTACGTATTCCATTTTTACCGGGTATAGACATTTCGCGTGTCTGAAGGTGATTATGTGTTACCGGCCGCCATCTACGGCTCGGCACTTAGGTTCGGGATGATTCCTCCCTCGGAGAGCTCGAGAAGTACTCTCCCGGGGTACGATGTATCGGGGAGGGGGTGTGTTCTCACGGACAGAGTTGGGTGGATCGTGGATCTACGATATGGAGCATGATTAGATTCCCACGTCGAAAAATATGAGACGATGTAATAGTTCCTCTCCGACCGTATACCTGCGACGTGACCGAGCGCAACAACGCAGAGCATCGCGGAGCCGAGAGCATCGCGTTAGTCTGCGTGTCCTCTGGATGACAGTTGCGGTACCGAGAGGCGTCGATTTGTTCAGTGGGGAACTGAGGTTTCATCAACTACGACGGCGTCTGCACTGCAGCCCTAAGCACATGAGCATCAGGGGTGAAATAGATTAAAATGGCAGTCATAGGTGGCAGTGGAGAAATTCCCGCGCAACCATGCTAAATATCGCATATTGAACTGAGCAAAGGCGTGCCAGCAGAAGCCGGTAAGCTTGACCACGACCATGACGACAGCCCGAGCGATTCCCGTGCTTCTTCGTAGGCGGGGTTGCAACCCTTTGCCACCTTTCTCCCATCTCCGGCTCTTCCCCCATCCACACCGCGGGGACAGGATGCAACGGTATGTCTGACGTACAAACTCGTTGGGCTCTACGGGGGCGAGGCGATGTACCTACCTGTAAATACAGGTTTTACTACCTACCGTGCTGGCTCTCCATGTAAGATGGGGGCATACCTATATCGATAATATCGACAGGGAAGGGGAAAATAAGAGAGGTAAATTAAAAAAAAAAAGTAGGTAGGTAGTTTTTCCACTTAGCGAGAGGTGTCCAGGTATGAACGGGCGATCTTTATATTGTTTAGGTGTTGTGGAACTGGGATCGTAGCACGTTGGCGTCCGTTTAGGAGTAATATCTATGCGCGTAGATTTTCAGGCCCCTACGCGCTACCAACTAGACGGGCTGACGCTAATATGGCGGTCAAGTTGTCTCTCTCTCTCTCTCTTCTCTCCTCTCCCTGTCTCTTCTTTCTCCTTGTCTCTCTCTCTCCGCTCACTTTATGGTACCTTTCCATCCACCCATGCACCCAACAATCTGCCAATGTTACCGGGTGACGACAGCCAGCCAGCGAGCCAATGCCATCAATGCCAATCATCAAAAGCCGGTGTCAACGAACGATGGGACGGCGAAATTAAACAACCACATACCTAGCTGCAGGCTAGAAAATCGCATAAGTCGAATCCAAGACTTTTTTTTTGTCTTTTCCCTGCCCTTCACACACACACACACACACACATATTGCGTACGTAGCCCTATCCGTATCCCTTCCAGTCTCTCATCCGAGGGCGGGTAATAGGTGGGACAAAGAGTGACACGCGCCCCCGAGCACGCTTATAAATCAGCCCAGCCGGCCGAGCTCCGCCAACGGGACCGGAAATGCATGTATATTACGAGAGAGGCGTACACTATGTGTGAATAGGAGATAGTACATGGTAGGTAGGCATACGAGGCGGGATATGTAGATCGCCGTGCGAATCATTGCTGTCTTTGTCTGGGCGGCGTCCTCGGCTCTGCGAAAATAAAGAAAGGAGAACGAGAGAGAGAGAGAACACACTGCCCCATCCATATACGCACTGTCTTACCTATATATAGGATGGTCTGTATACACATATGCCTACATAGGTATGTTAGGCTATACGTACTTGTACACAAGTATGCTTGACGGTAATTGCAGGGTACGAAGGAAAAGGGGATGAGATGGGGGCAGAACGAGATGAGAGAGATGTATTCATTTTGAGGTGAAATAAAAAAGCAACAAATAAGCAGTAGATGGGAGAAGAAGAAGGAGATTAATTTCTACGAGGTCTGGCTCCGAGGTCTGGCTCCGAGCCTCATCCACGTACGGGAAGGAGACGATAATCGAGTCTCTGTCCGTCTTGGATTTGCCTGCACAGCTACGTTCATCTCCACATGACACACAGTTCGAGCCTTATCGCGATCGATTTATCTCCGACCCCGTCGGCTACGGCGTATTAATTAATAATGTCTGAGCTCGCGAGGACGACGTCGGCAATTCCTCTTGTTTTACGTTTTCTTCTTTGCGCCATCGGCCAGGCATCTCGCCGCTTTTCATTTATAATAAACGTGTACATATATTGTTGTTATACCTCTCTATTATATAGCTTTTGTCACCATGGAGCGGCCCTCGTACCACCCACCCTTTTTCCTGCACGTCAGTATGCAACGCGCGACTTCGTCTGGCCGAGCATCTGATATACGTACGTACATACCTACATACCTACATATTACATGCCATACACTCATTCATCCCACACGATGTGGGATAGGCGACCGCGAGGCGGCCAGCGACGCGGAGATACGGAGCCAGTCGGATCGCGAGCACAGCACCTACTCGCCCGACGCGTGCCGTGGCAGAGTAGAATGCACCTAGCTAGAGGGCGGGGCAGGCGACGAGGAGAGCCAGACACGACTCGGACGCTCGCTCGCGGAGGGTCGAGCTCGAAGCGGCGATCACCGAGGGGCTCGTGTTGCGATCTGAGACCTTGACCGCCCGCGCACTCCTCGCGCCTCGCCGCCGCCTCGTCGCCCGCTGGCGCGACGCCTGCGTCTTGGGTCGCGCACTATCAGCCGGTACGCGTGGGCACATACAAGCGTATTACTTACCTAACGCACGCGGCCGGCGCCAGGGGCGCGCATGGTTCGTGAACGGCACCCCCGCCCGCCGCCGGACGCTGCATATCTGCGGCAAAAGAAAGCGAGCAGGAGAGAGCGTGTCTCAGAGGGCGCGGCGCGCTGCCCGGGATCCGGTTCTCTCGCCGTCTCCCCCTGCCTCCCCCCCTGAGAATCATTGCCGTTTGGTGGTCCAACCAGACATGCGTACGCATACATACCGCCGCTGACTGGCTCTGCCCTCGGCTTGTGGGTGTGGCGTGCGCGTACATATGCGCGGGGTGGAGGATGAGAAATGAGAGCGGCGATGGCTGCGATCGGGCAGGGTGTTGTTATAGCTGCCTCTCGTCGGTGTCACGGTGCGGACACGGCTGCACAGTGGTGAGATTAGAAGTAAGACGGTGCATGGAGAGGCATGTAGGTAGGCCCAGCCATCCAGAGCCAGCCAGACAGCCCGTGGTGTCCGGGGCTGCTGACACGCAGGCTGCCGTGCACACCGAGCCCCCCGGCCGCCGTTTGGCGTCGCCGTCGCATCTCGTCTGTTCGTCTGCCCTCGTCCACGCTAGACAGATAGGCAGACAGGCAGACAGACAGACACGCCTGCGCGCGCACATACCTACATACTGTGCATAACATGCGCATACACGGCCTTCGTCTTCACACTCGCCGTCGGGTACGTGCATACGTGCTACCTCCCCACTGCATGTACATATGCGAGTGTCTACGGCACGGGCATGTATACATAACGTGCCTGTCTATCGAACCGGAACAGGGGAGCAGAAGGAGAGCGAGGGAGATTGTTGGCCCATGGAGCACGGCCACCTCGCCCCTTTTTTTTTCTTTACACACTATGTGCTGTTCGGCAATAGAATAATAAGGGGGGCCGGCGACGAAAGAAGACATGAGCGGCAACCGGTTCTTGGCGCGCGGATACATATTACACACACGTATGAGTATCTACGCGGGATCTCTTCGAGATATGTCCGTATGATACAGAGACGTCGATTTAAGGGTAGCTAACGAAGCGCCGTCGTCGTTCGCCGGTGTTGGCAGCGGTGGAGCGCCCAGCGCGCGCGATGTCACGCAAAGCCGGCGAGCTTCCAGGTTCCCGCCTGGGCCAGCGGGGGGTGATGGATCATGGATGTCCGGAATCAGGATGGGAGGCGTGAGCATTAACGGAAACGGGCAATCCAGCCAAGGCCGACGAGCCTAGAAAATGCCCCGGGACCCCTACTAGCCCTCCTCCCCTCGCGCTCCGCCGCCTCTCGATTATCTCCCCCCCAGCCCCTGTCCGCGCGATACCTGCCAAGTGCGATGGATGGCGTGTAGGTACGTAAACGCCGTATGTACCCAGGTGTAGACGTGTGTGTGTGAGTGAGTGAGCAAGGCCAGGTCCGCTGCGCCAATCCAGTCCCGCACCATCTTACCCCGACGAAAAAAAAAAAACCAAAAAGGGCTCCCGCGGTATGGCATGTCAGGGTATGGCGTGGTACGTCGATGGGATGTACGGTGTGGGCATAGCGCGAGCGCCTTCGGTTTCCCGTACTAGGTAGGTAAGATGAAGAAGAGGATGGAGGCTCTTATGTCATGCCGTGCCGACATTCCCACGGCCGCCTCTGCCCGCCTCCCCCCCCGCAGCACTTTTCTCTCCCTCCATCCCTCCCCCTCTCTCACGCACACCTGGGCAGATGACTAAGACGGCCGGGATGCCTGCCGGGTTCGTGGACGCGGCCGTGGCCGTTGTGTTCGTCGCGGCCGCAGTTAATAGTAGCCCCGACGTTCTCCTCCCTTGCCGTGGGAATTTGGTGAGGGGAACCGGGACGAGGAAGGGGGCGCCGCCAAGATAGCCCCGTGTCTATATGTAATGCCGCAGGAGCACCCACGCAGAGGCCGAGCTGGCCAAGAAGGCCAAGAATAGCCCATCGGCTCCCGTGCCGAACGCGTCTCGCTAGTGCGGCGTGCTTCGAGTAGGGGGCAACGATGGGTATACTCGCCGTATAGCTGTAGACGCGCGATGAGCTCGGTAGGGTATCATAGGAACCCACAGACTCTTAGTGCGTAGGAGTTGCGGTCTGCATTCTGCCCCGCCAATGTGCTCTTTGGGGACGTTGAGATACTAGCAGAGTAAAAATATTAGGAGTTAGTTAGGCTGCCCGTTGCTAGTCTGATACTGACAGGTTACATGCGTATTTGGCTTGTGCGCGAGTGTTGGACCAACTAGGCAGAGATAATAATAGACCCAGAGTCTTCTTGTGCGCCGTTGCGGAGTATAATACCATTGATCCAGCACAGAATTGTTGACCACCGCTTGTGTTACTTGAGAACTGAAGGCAATAAGAGGCTATTGTTAATGGGGACACGGAGACTAGCAGTGATTGAAGACTTGGTGAACTATTAGATATATAACTACAGTTATAATTTAGCCCAGAAGCATTCGCCTATTATACCTTATCCTAGATAACCAAGTCAACCTATTCTTAACCGCGGGATAAACACAACCATGTGAAGCATGGCCCGAGTTGCTGCTAGACACATTTGGTAAATAAGAGTGCTTCACCTCGAAAAGGACGAAGACCCTTCCCCCGGAGTTTGGAAACCCTCCCAAGACTTATCACACCTCCACGCCCACAGCCTGGCTACTCAGCTTAGCCCTTCTGTGATATAGATTTATAGATTATCACGAAACTAAGCTTATATCATCGGTTCTGCTTCACACTGTGCATCTATTAAGGAGTGACTGATTTGCACTCCCACTCTCTGAGTATTGAAACTACCCAGTACACCTACTTATCAAGATCACCAAGTGTTACACGAGCAAATTGCTCGAGATCTACATCTGTTGTATTTTCGACAGGGACAATTGTGATCTTAGGAAATACTGCTCGAAAAGTAGAGGCTATACCCGTTTAGGGGAATGTATATGAAGAATCACTGCTGTACCCGCTGTAGGTCTGTCAAAACAGCGGAGCCATGAAAGAAAGAGGTAGAAAAGTATATCCAGCGACGGCGACGTTTGTGATGATCTGTGAGAATCAGCAAGCTGAGAAGTCCATACAAAGCCTGAGCTCCCATGCCCTTGACTTGGTCTGGAAACCTTTCCCTCTTCTCTTCACACGCACACAGACACACACCACATCTGCAACACTCAAGCCAACTTCTCATCAGCATCCAGACAAGGCAAGACAACCACAAGTGTCATCCCAGACCATCAGCTCTCTCTGAGAAGCATCCATCCTCGGTAAGTAGAAGGCTGTGATACCCTCATCTCGCTTCCCCGGGAGCCCATCTCCAGTGTCCCGCTGGCTCTCCCGGCCCACACGCACGGATCGAACATGGGGAGGGGGGGGGGGCAGCCGCAGGAAAACTAACATCTCGGGTAGAAACGAGCAGAACCGCAAGTCTTCCTCCTCTAGCAGACGACTGCACTCGAGAAACGAAAAATGATGTACGCCGGCATGATGGCGGCCGCCGGCCTCCTGGTCTGCGCCTTGGTGATAGTGCTTGCGGGCCTAATCATCCGCCGCACCGCGGCTCCCAACGTGGAGCGCGGTGTCTGCCTCGCCCGCCTGCGACGCATGAAAACCTAGGCGCCCAGGCCGGCACGTGCGGCCGTCCCGGACGGACTGCCACGAGAGGCGTACGGTCAGCCCCGGACGGTACGAAGGGGCGTTGGTTGAGGCAGTGGTAGCACATACAATGCGGAGTTGGGCAGGAGAACGGACTCTATTTTTCTCATTATTCTCTGACTTTTGGCTTCGTCGGACGGCCAGACTATGTCATGGCGGGAAAACTAAGCTGGACGAATCTTCACACGCTCAACTCGTGTCATCAGTACTCTCTCTCCGACTAGTCTAGCACACATCGCCCGGGACTTGCTCCTCTGACCGTTGGGCGTTGGTATTCAACACCGAGACGAGGAGGCTGAGTTTCCTCGACGACAATACCGAAAAAATCGAGCTCCTGATCGCACCACAACTTGATTCCGCGCGTAGAAAGCCCTCGCGGCTTGTCGAAGCTGCTCAGCTTCTAGACACCTCTAGTAGACCCTGCTCGTGTGACTACAATTACCTGTGTCCTGTCGTGCTCACGGTAACGGGCTCTCTGTGACATGGTTGAAAATGCCGGACGGTGTTAATATTATGCGTTAAGCGAGGACCCCCGGCGAGGACCTCCCCCAAATCGGTGTGTATTTATGCACTGTCCCGCCGTATTTACCCCATCGAGAGAACACAGCCTAAGCTGCGTCGAAATATTATTACCTGTCTCTTTGGCTATGTTGCGAAATACATGCTGCCGGACGGGGAAGAAACAGAACACCAAACCCGTTGGTTCACCGGCTGCGGGACCAAAAAGGGGGGGGAGGGAGGCGAGCGTTGGGTGGTTGTTTATTTTATTTTATTTATTTTTTTCCTCCATGCGACGGAACCGCGGCCGGGACGCCGTGTCGTCGAGGGCAGCATGCCTACCGTTGCACCGGCAGCACGTGTAACGGGGCGTGTGCGTAGGGGGGGGGGTTCGAGGAGAGATGGGCGAGGAGAGAGAGAAAAAAAAAAGGAGGAGTCAGAAAGCCCGTGTGCTCCCTCTCTCCTCTTCAGCCCTACCGGCTGGAACGCTGTCATGTTCCGTTCCATTGCCCTCTGCCTCACACGTTACGGCTGTGACCATCCACTCCCGTTGCTGTCACTGTCGCGATTGCTACTAAACCTCTGACTGTAACCGTTGTCACCCCTCCCGCCGCCGCCGCGACTGCCACCGTTGCGCCGACCGGCACCCTGCCGCCGCACCGTCGTGTCATATCCTGCCGCGCATCTCTCCTCATCTCGCGCATGCGCCCTCCCTGGTCCCCGCGCGGAGCGCAGGGGAGAGAAGAGGGGGAGGAGGAGGAGGGGGGGGCTCAGCTCGGCTGCGGTCTCGTGCTCGAAGCCGCCGCTCCTGTGCCGCGCGGCGCGTGCGATTGCCGGTTTTGGGGGCGTGCGCCTGCATCGGGTCGGACGGCGGCGTTGGCCAGGTCAGCCCCCCCCCCCCCCCCCCTCCTCTCCTCTTCTCGCCTCGGCGTCCGCCCGACGGCGTCCGGTCGCTGGTGCACCACTACCACCACCCGGACCCGATCGGTGGGGGGAAGAGGCTGCAGGAGGGAGGGTCGGGCGAATGGCGCGGTGGCAGCGAGCAGGTGGGACGTGAGAGATGACGGGGCGGGGAGGGGGAAGGGGGGGGGGGGGGCGACGGAGCTGTCATGTGCGGATGCGGCAGGCCTGTCCGCATTGTAGAATATCACCCACCTGCTCACACCTGTGTTCTCTCTCTGCCCGTCCCAGAGCGGATGACGCGGGAGGCTATCGGGGATAGGGCACGTACGGCGCCCCCCCCCCCTTCGCCTAGGGCCCTCGGTGGCCGGGCACATGCGGTAATAGTAGGTAGGAGGTAGATTACGGGAGATGCCGTCTGGTTGCGTGCACGGCATGTCGCGACGTGGGCCTCTGGGGGGGGAGCGTGGGTGCGGACAGCGTCTCGGATCAGCAGGCATTCCGTCTTACGGCCATAATACCATAACAGCTGCAACGGCGACCGCAGCAGCAGCGAGTATGTAGATGCGCGCATTAGTCAGAGCCAGCATCTGATATCTGATAAGATGTTTGTTGCACGGGATGGCCCGCACCTTGTGCCTACCTACAGTGTCAGCTCAACCACTCGGTACGAGCATGACGAGAGGGAGAGTGGTGGTGATAGCGATAGCGACGGTGTCGATGCTTACTAGGTAACCCCCCGACGTCGTGGGATTAGTACGGGCAAGGTGGTGGGATGCGCCGGTGACGATGACGATGGGCCATGACGACGCCAAGGTCCGGCGTCCTATCAGGGCGCACATCCCTTGCGTTCCCCCCTGCGTGGATACTACGTAGCTACATACGTAGGTAGTACGTGTGTATGCGCATACCCTACCTGATTACCCACCCGAGGTACCTATCTACCCATGTACCTACTACTCGACGGGAGGCGGATCCGTCTGGGTCCGGTGCTCGGCGGTGGCGATGGCGATGGCAGGCGTATGACCGGCACCGCACAGGGTCGGCGGGGACGGAGCGAAGCCGGGGGCCGCGATCTGACGGCGTTCCGTCGCTCTCCACCATTTCTTGCGTGCCAATGCCGTTGATAGCGAGACAGGCACGCGCACCTATCCGCGATATTACGGCAATCAGGTACCTACGATCGCTATGCTGCACGTACCTACCTACGCGCGTAAGACGCACACACCCGCGCTTACCTGATACCTAGATCTTATCTTACCTATCGCCGACGGCTGTTGTGAGGGAGGTAGGTAGGATACCAAATGCCGCCGGGCTTGGCGGCTGGGAGAGGGGGGAGGAGGTCTCTTGCGTCGATGCTGTAGGTGTAGGTATGTCTCGATAGCATGGACAGCTGAATCCCGACGCGTGCGACGCGGTCCGCGAGTAGCTGACTGCAATTAGGTAATATCGGGACCCTATCGCCACACCGTTGCGGACGACGGAACGATAGCCTGGCCTGTCTACTCACAGGTACATACATACAATAACATACCTCCTACCTTAGGTACCTATGGGTGGGATGGCGTACTGTGTTATGTCAGGGGACGCTGACCGGTCCGGTTAACGTGCTGTGTGTTGGGTCGCACCCAGCATCGATCTTCCCATACCGCCATTTAGGTGGGTGGGCATTGATATTGTACCCAGGAGGTGGGTACATTAGATACCTACTTCCTCAGGTACCCAAGTCATCATATACCTTAGGTAGCATAAGTACATATCATATTTCGTATATACACCTAGGTACCTAGGTACCTAGGTAGATGATTACCAGGTATCCTGCGATCAATCCTGTAACAGGTATCTACCTGTAGTGACCGATGGAAGTTTGCCAACACCCGGGAATGAGGCAGGTAACGGAGTAGAGACCAGGGGCCGCGACGTTGTGATTAATATAGGTACCTAAGGTACCTAAGGCTTATTCGCAGGCGTGTACTTTGCCGAGTTTTTTTTTTTTGCCCACTCCTGTATGTACAATTTCTAGAGGTAAGGGGGATTATCTAGGTATCTTACACCGTGCTGGGGCTTGTTTGTGGACGCTCTTCGGATTTCTTGCCCTCGAGAAAAGGGCTATCTACCGGGTCCCTTTTGCTGTGCAAGGACCTGATACCTAACTAGGTGCCTAGGTACCTAGGGCCAGACACGGGTGATACCAAGTACCTAGGTCCCGAAGGTGGCGCGATGCCTAAGGCGCTTTTTCATCGCTTACTACCTACCTCCTATCTGTATCTCTAACGTCGCGTGTGCTAAATCTACGAGTACCTACGACATGCAGATACTGCCAGGGCCCGGGAGCTCGTAGCGGCGAGCTAGTGATTCTGTATACCTGCCCGTCCCTTGCCTCCTCCTACTGCCTGGTGATACGGTGCGCAGGCGTCTCATCGAGTGCTTCGAGGATCGATGCTGATACGTCGAAAAAGACCGAGCCCGACAACATTCATCCGTGGGTTAAAAAGTACGGCGAGAAGTGAGAAAATAAGCGGCAGGCGCCATGTCTAGCATCCGCATCGACGAGAGCAGACGGGGCCGACGCGCGCTGTTCTTATGGCCAGATCGGCCGTCCGATCCCCCTATTCGACGGGCATGCGCGATTGCTTGGGGGTTGTAGGCGGCGGGTTGTTTGGCCGCTGATAACGAGGCGCTGCGGAGTGAACAAACAGTATCTGCACTCGCAAGCTAACTCATATTCGTTGCCATATCTTTGAGTCGGTGTTTGTAGCGAGACTGGAGCAGCTCGAGAAGGGCCGGGCCAGGCCGGGCGATAGCCGATACCTGGGTAAGTGTCGATCTCGCGAAGGTGGGACTGCCTCCTTTTATGAAGACGGCACAAAGGGGAAGAGCGAGGTGGAGGCGGAGAGACCGATGGAGAGAGAGCGGTGCCGAGAAGGTTCCGTCGTCGCACACCGCACACGAATTAAGGATCGAATATTGGCCGATATCTGTGTGCCCGTCGCCGCGGCAGCGATCGCACGAATGACAGCCGCCAACCCGGACCAATGGACTCGCCTCTGTCCCTCCACTAATACGAGGTGGACCGACCAGCTCAGCCTCAGCCCTCGCCCTCGCCCTCGCCCTCGCCCTCGACCTCGCCTCGCCTTCACCCGGCCGAGGCGATCCCAGCTGCGAGAAAGGCGGGCCGGACTCGCTGCCGATCACCTCGTATTGCCTTTTGCTATTTCTCTGCATCTCTCTCTCCTTCTCTCGCGCGCTCTCGCCCCGAGCTCGTTTTCTCGGGTCCAAGCTAGGGAGAAAGCAAACCCGAGTGGACGACGAGTTGACGTGAGAATGGGAATCCTGCTGTGATCCCTCGGACCAATGGGCTAATCAGCCGACGTGGGCTTCGCTCCTCGCCCGCGGCAACAGGTGAGTGACGGTGAGTGAGGTGATGCCACGACACCAGTGCCTTCCTTGGGCCGCTCGTGTTCGGCCTAGTTGCCCGAGCGCTTTTGCCCATGTGCCATGAGGAAAACATCCGTATCTCCAGATGAGAATGTGCCTATCTGTCTGCGTGCGTGAATAATGCATACATGCCTACCTCCCTAGGTATCTGAGGATAAGCAAGCAAGCACCTGCCGTCTCGTCGAGGTTTGCCTCGAGGGTATTTAAGTCACCATCATAGGTGGCAATCTCCAACGAACCTTTCCACATCCTCGCAAGGTATCCCACCAGGCATCGATATAAATATTAATATATATCCCATCGGCTCTTTGTCCCTCTACACATCTCGGCATACTCATCTCCTCGCACTCATCCTGAGCAAGCTATAGCTACGAAAGCCTGCGGCCAAGCCAACCAAAAAAAAAAAGAAGCAAAATGCCTTCCGTCAAGTCCCTCCTCCTGCTGCCGCTGGCGGCGCTCGCGCGCCTGTCGGCCGGCTACATCACGCACGTAACCGCGCCGGCCGAGGCCGTGGCCGCGGGCGCCAACGTGAGGGCGACGCTGACGGCGGCTATCTACATCCAGAACTGGGATGACTTCGGCATCGTGTGGGGGCTGCGGCCGGCCGGCACGCCCAGCTGCGGGAGCGTGGTCTGCGTCGGCCGCCGCATCGCCTACACCCCGCTCTACCCCGACCACGTGCCCCAGCCCGGCTCCTTCGACATCGACGTCCTCATCCCCCCTGAGACCGCCCCCGGCGAGTACGACCTCGTCGCCGCCATCCCCTACCTCGTCGGTGTGAGTATTCTCCCCCCCCCCCCCCCCCTCTTTTTTTCCTTACCCCCGCTGTCCCCTAGCCCTTGGTGTCTCTTGATATTTTGGGGCGGGCGTATACCTATGTACTTCTGCACCACCGCCGGATGATGCCTAGCTAACGCACCCGAAATTACCAGGCCTCCGGAGTCACCGCCATCCAAACGTACAACGTGAGCGTCCGCGTCGAGGCGCCGTAAGCCGCGTCGGCAAGCGGCCCAGGGTTGCTGCATACTAGTCCGCGACGAGTGAAAGAGGGGGTTCCAACTGTACAGAGGGCTGCGTGGCATACATGTGGCACGACATAGCAACGACAGTGGCGCACATGGGGGTAATAATGGGATCGCCGGTACAGCTTTGAGGGGTAGACAGTAGACGGTTCAGGGATCACGTCCCCTACGAATGAAAATAAATACCTACGATAGCAAGGCTGTGTATAGGTACCTAATAAACGCGCTTCTTTTCATCAATCCGATCCCCTAAGAACTTTCACCCGTTTGGGCTATGCGCACTGGGACGAGAGACCCTCGCAGCGCCGAGCAAGCATCGCTCGCTTATCACGAATTCCCGACGATTGCACGAGACAGAAGCCAGGCATTGAAGCTGCCTACGTGTGGGAAAGGGATTCAACTTTTTGATTACCAACCGAGAACAGGCCTGCTACACCCGCTATGCATGATGTGTTTGAGCACGATTAAAATGGTTCGCCGCCGCAACCCCCTTCGACAGCGCCGCCGTGATCTAGATACTGTGATATCTCGACGACGCGATACATCCGAATTATCTGTCTCGCCTTCCGCGCCCACCCGGTCTGTCTCGCGGGGTTAGGTACTTACTGTTCCTACCCCGAGGCGCCATGGTAGCTTGTAATGGCGTCGTCTCGGTTCGAAAAACACGAAAAACATGCCGGGGAGAACTGCTAACCGCATAATCCCGTACATGGCGTAGGATGAGCATCTAAGTTCTTTCGTCTCACGCAGCGTCGTGATCTCGCAGCCACATTCCCCATATGGCGCGGACAGAAGAACACGACGTATCTTCCCAGACGCGCCTCTCCTCCCATCTTACCCACCCCCTCGGTCCTTCATCCACACGTCGCCCCACCGCCTTTCCCCCCTCGCTATATTTGATTCCCTCTGTCGCATTCCCGCAGCCCTCGCCCTGGCCCCCGACGGCCGGACTCAGAGGCCGAGCATGCGGCGGACGCCGTCGCGGACGCGCTGCTCGTACTCGGGGCGGCGGTCGCGCCACATCTTGGCGGCCTCGATGTTGGCGGGGCTCTCGTCGTTGGGCTCGGCGAGCATGCTCATGACGGAGATGAGGATCTTCTCGACCGACTGGATCGGGCTCCACCGCTCCGACGCGTGCTCGTAGTGGTTCGGGTCGTCGCCCGGCGGGTGCAGGATCGAGATGCAGACGAGCCCGCTCGGGTACACTGTGCCGATCGCGCGCGCGCGACTGCGCGTCAGCCCCCGCGGCGTACGTACGCGTACGACGAATGTGCGCGCGTGGATCTGTGAAGAGAGGGAGGGAGGGAGGCGGGGAAGAAATTGAGGAGAAGAAAAAAAAAAAAAAGAGAGAGGGGGAGAAAAGACGAGAACGTACCGTTCGGGTGGAAAATCTCGCCCAGAAAGGTCATCTTGGGCGGCGCGAGCGGGTAGTCCTTGGGGAACTTGAGCTCGGCCGGGAAGATGCCGCCCTCGAAGGGCGTGCCCTCGGGCCCCTGGATCAGCGCCTCCCAGTGCAGCATGTCGTCCTCGCTGACGGGGCCGGCCGTGATCCCGTCCGGCGGGTTGTTGGTCAGCATCTTGTACTCCTGCAGGAGGCGGCGGTGCGCGGTCGACTGGGCCATGGCGGGCGTCTTGTTGCCGGCGTTGGTGCTGGGGGGTAGAAGTAGAAAGGAGTGGCGCGACTTGTTGTTGTCTTGAGAGGGCGGAGGGAAAATGGAGTCGGATTCTGATACGTTTGGTGGTGGTGGACACGGCGGATTCGCTGTGTAGGTATTACCTATGAGGTTCGGTAGGTAGGTAGGTAGGTATGGTGCCTGTACGGAAACGCGACACTAGACGTGGGAAAACTGGACGCTCCTTAGGAAGCGTGGCGGTTGGCAGCGAAGCTACGTGAAGGTGGTGAGATTGGAGGTTGGATGTCGGAGGTCGGTGCTTAGGAACCTGAGAGAGTGGCGGACCCGCGGGGTTCTGTCGGTACGGAAGTACATGCCCGCATTGTGGTTGAGCCTTTGAGGTCCCTCTGTTCACAGAATAATTCTTATCTAATCTGCCTACCTCTCACCCTATTGGTTGCCCTCACTGAATAACCAACGCCGAGATGCCGAGGGGGATCCGACAGTTCCAAAGTGGTCCGGGCGTATCTCCGATTAGATAACGAAGCACTAAGATTAAGTAAGGCGGCCTGGGAAAGCTTGAAGCATCGGCAGGCCCATCGTTCGAGATTGCTTCGTTTTTCTGCCTCTCGACATCGGTTGAGGACTGGATTATGCCCCCTCGGCTGAGCCTGCGCCCTCTTGGGCACCGCCGTCCTCTCTTTCTCAAGGCGCAAAGTTCTGAGTGCAATTCTGTTTGTTTCTTCTGCTCGCTTTCTGTTCAATTTAATGCGGAATCTCGCCGGCGTCCGAGGCGCAGGTCGCAAAATCCCCGCCGCCTCCTGTCTTCCGCCTCAGCCGCTGCCTCTCTAACGGCTTCCGCCGATCCCGTAGTCGTTGCAGACCCCAGAAGGGAGCTGGAGAGCGTGCTGCTCGAGCTGCAGAAGCACGCCGCTAACTACGTTAACCTCTCCCGCTTGCAGCTGGCCCTCAACAGTCTGCGCCAACCGCCCGGTCACGAATCCATACGAGTCGCCGTCCTGGGCCTCAGCGATGGCCCGGAATCGGGCCGCACCGCGAAGCAAGTGCTGAAGCTTCTGCTCGCAGACCCATTAAAGGCCGAGGAGGACTGGGAGAAGGAGATTGAAGGCTACGACTTAACCCGGCCCGTCATCGTACGCGTCGGACCAGACCTGCCCCAAGAGCTTGGATCGGTGTCCATCCTGAAGGAGAGCCCATTGCGCGAGGTCAACGTCTCGTCGGCGACTCTGAATGAGCATAACCTCGAGTTGCTGCTTGCGGAGATAGATCCTCCCGTGCCTGTACGAGGGTCTACAACTCTGTCGCGACTCGAGGATTCGGTGTTGGTCCCTACCGTCGAAATCCCCACGTCGAGTACGGGGAGGCACACCCCCATCACCACCCCGGTACACAAGGCCCTGGTTGTGGCTGAGGGTATCTTGGGCGCAGCATCGGTAGTGCCGGCGACCGCGCTGGAAAGCAGAAATGTGGTGGCAGCAGCGGTAAACTTGCCAGACTATAAACCCACTGATGCTACCCCCTTGCCTTTTACTCCTATAGATATCGGAACCGCGAACGTCGGGCTGGGGCTCGTTCGCAATAATCTCGGCGATGCTATCAAATTCGAACACCTCTGGTTTCAAAGTAATCTCCCGCAACTGGTTGAATGGCTGAAGGCCGACACGGTGACGTCTCCGGATAATACGACCAAACTGCCCGTCAGGGCGCTCATTGGCTCGCTTCTTAGGAACGCATCCGCGGCGATACGCGACGAGGCGGCCCGTCGGGCTGGCTCATCGTTATCCGCGACGTCGTCCGCGTCCCTGAAGACTCTCCAGGCGAGCCTTGATGATTGGGCCGAGGGCGCGCACACCGAGTTGCAAGAACAGCTCGACCTAGCATTCTCCAGCAAGCGATGGCGCACGCTAAGTTGGTGGAAATTGTTCTGGCGTGTGGACGATGTGGGGATGATCACCAACGACATCCTCAGCCAACGATTCCTGCCGGCGTCGGAGAGGAGCGCCATATTTCTGGCCGGACGAATGAGAGAATCCGGCGTCGCGATAGGGCCTTTCCCCAACCCATCGGATTCCGAAGGCCCATCACGACCTTCGAGTGGCCAGGATAGCGCATCTACGCTTTCCGATGCCAAATCGGCTCCATCGCCGCCAGCGGTGCCCTGGCCGGTGAACATCCCCGCTACACGGCGCTACCTCCAAACAGAAACGATCCCCGCCCTGCAGGCGCTGGCGCAGAAGCTCGTGATGCAGAATCTGAGCACCTCGGGTCTCACCACCGCGCTTGGCGTGCTCGTCTACTGCGGCACCCTGACCACGACGCTGTACGAGGCCGGCGCGGTAGCGGCGCTGGGCATCGTGTGGAGCATGAGACGCATGCAGGAGCGGTGGGAGGCGGCCCGCGGATTCTGGGAGGACGAGGTTAGGGAGGAGGGCCGCAAGGCCGTCCGGGGCGTCGAGGGTGTCGTCGGCCAAGCCCTGTCGTCGTCGTCGTCGCCGGGTCGGGCGACGGACAGGGTGGACGACGGGGGCGAGGGTCGGGTCGAGCTGGACAGGGCCAAGGGCCTGGTGGAGAGGGCCCAGGAGATTCTCGGCCGGCTCAAGTGAGGCGTCGTCGGCTTCCTCCGTTCCCCCCCCTCTCCCCTCTCCCCTCTCCCCCTCTGTAGAACTATCGACACCTGTGCATAGCATACTGGCATTGGCCGGGAGAATCTGATGATACCAAGACGGCATGAACATTGACACTCTATACTGCTACCGTTGCGGGCTTGGCCTGCCTACCTGCCTGCCTACCTGCCTGCTCGCCCGCCCGCCCGTGTAGTCCCCCCGGAATACCCAATGCAGCGCCACCGCGTGACGCCGTGAGCTTGTGACCTCGCCCCCCATCTTCCCCCATTCCTTCATTCTGCGACCCCTCTCTGCCTCTGTATGCGTCTCGAGGTAACACGCGGTTTGGGAAGACCGCCGGCGAGAAAGGGGGGGGGGAGAGGGGGGGTTGGCGGGGGGTTCCTGTCCTTCCCCCCCCCATTCGCCGATCCGATTGAAGCCAACGTCCGACCTTCCTCCCGAAGTGTGCGATTCCCGTCTGGTGGTGCACGACATTTGACATGGCATTTCGAGAACTGCTTGCTTGCTTGCTTGCTTGCTTGCTGCTGCTGCTACTACCTGCCTGCCTGCCTCCACCACTGCACCGCTGCCACGACGGCCACTGCTACTGCTACCCATCCACGACGACGACGACGACGGGTACCGTCGCCACCGCTGCCGCATTCTCACCTCGCCGCCGCCCTCCTACCCCGCTGCGCCACCCACCCGGCGACGACGCTGCGGGCCTTGGCTCCCTGCCCCCCCGCCTCTTTCCCCGTGCACGAACGCCGTCGCCGGGCGTCGGCTCGGCGCCGAAGAGGAGGGTCGTTGTTGTATACGTGCGTACGGATGCGGTAGGATTCTGGAATGGACGTCTGCTGCGCGTCGACTGTCTGGGGGGGGGGTCTGCCTGTATGGCTTGTGTGCATGCGGCGTGTCGACATGTGTGTGTGTGTGTGTGCCAGGTATGTACGAGGGCCTGCGTGCGGTACGCGCGGCGCCGATCGACAGACAGACACGTATCTCTACCCCTGCCCCCCCTCGCAGCAGCGCTTCTTCTTCTCCTCTCCTAGCGGTTCGCGCCAGGCGTGCGGCGCGCGCCCTCGAGGATCGGGCGCTGCACGCATGTTTGTGCAGCGTAGCCTCGGCGTGCGAGTGCCTCCGCTCGCTCGACGACGAGTCGACGGCGCGAGGCCAGGGGGGAGGGAGTGAGGGTAGCCCGAACGGCGCACCGCAGCAACAGGCAAACCGCGAGACTATGACGTCGCGTCCGCACCCCGTCTGTCCGGCTTGTCCAGTCTCGGCGGCGGCCGGGGCGACAAGAGGAGGAGGAGGAGGAGGAAGAGGGGGGAGATGCGGGTTCTCGATCTCCACCCCAGCCAACGCAGCTTGGCCCGGTTTACTCTGTTGAGAGTCGTCGGGGCGAGTGAGGGGTTTCCCTCGTTCCCACTCCCCCGGACGGGGCAGGGCGTGGCGTCGATCAGGGGGAAGGAGAGAGAGGGGGAGAGGAGGGGGAGTGGCGAGTAAGTAAGCAGAGCAAGCAAGGGAGAGGATACAGAAGGAGTTGGCAGTTGGGGAAGAGGCACCGACGGCACCCGCCTAACACGTAGGGGCGAAGGGAAGAGAAAGGAGGCGACGACGGCGGCGAATGAGACGAGCGGCCTGGGGATCAGAGCTGCAGCAGTCTTCTCATCCGCCCCTTGCGTCCTCGGCCTCGCCTCCTCGCCCGCCTGCCCGTCTGCGCGCCGTCGTTTCTTGCCTGCTTGCTTGCTTGCTCGCTTGCCTGCCTACTTCGGGTACGTGACGTGCCCTCGCGCCCGACAAACGAACGAGAGAGACGGGCGCTCGCGGATCGACGAGCAAGCCCTCAGCTGCTCTGCTAGGCAACTCCCCCCCCTCCCTCCTTCGACCACGTACCTGAGTTGTGGCGCCACGCTAGGAGCGCCTGCATAGCGAAGAGAACGCTGCAGGCCTCGCGTCCCGTCGCGGCTCGGCCTGGCTACGCTGGGCTCCTCTATGCGTGGTGTAGCACAGCAGCCGTAGGAGAGTAGTCGAGGTACAGTGTTGTACCCTCGATGTCGCCGGTTGTAGACTACGACGCGACAGACTCGCTTTCCCGTCCAACTAACCTAAGAAGGTAAGGGGAAGGGGAGGAGGCTCTGGGGTTAGGTACGTGATGTAGATGGGTACGCAGATGCGCGAGGGGGTATTGTGTCTATGGTTGATTCCTTGGTGGACTCGAATAGGGGATACGGGATGGGGTATGGAAGAGGCAAGCTACGTTCCCTCACCTATACGGACCGTTAGTTAGCAGAGAGGAGTATACACGTCTGCACCGGAAAGGGGCAAGCTAGGAGTAGCAAGATAGTGATCGAGTAGGCAATAAATGGCAGGCTATGTATGGTTTACAGATATATTTATATAATCAGCAAGAAGAGGTACATTATCCACCGTCTATGATAACATGGTCTCCTGCACATGTCGCTATGCCCGCTAAAGAATACTGGTACGGGAAGACAAAAGAATTAGTATCGTGGGAATGTCACACCGAAGCTTGAGATCCTGGTGATTCACCAATCGCCGCCCGAGTAGTCCATCTGGACGAAGGCGCTGGCATCAAAGCTCATGCTCTCGTCGACGGCGGCCATTCCGCCCATGTCGCCCATACCGCCCATGCCACCGCTGCCGTCATCCATGTACATTGTCCCGCTCATGTTACCGTCCATGCTCACCCCAGCATACGCCGAGGCATCTATGTAGGAGCCGTCGGCGTACGTTGCGTCGATGTACGATGCATCGGTGTACGGCGTATCGGCGTATGATGTATCGGCGTATGATGTATCGGCGTAAGCCGTGGCATCTACATAAGAGCCATTGCTATTAGGGCCAACACCCGTCGGCATGCCCATAAACGCGGTCTCTGCATTTGCGTCCATGGCCACAGTGGTAGTAGAATCTATGTACACCGTATCCGCATGTGCGCCGGCATCTGCCCACACCGTCGTTTCGAAGTTCGCCCCTGTCGTGTTCACCGGATCTATGTAAGTTGTAGTATCAACCACGTTTGTAGTGTCAACCACGTTAGTCGTATCGACTATATTCGTCGTATCCAAAACCGTCGAATTATCGATTGCGACGTTATTGTTGATTGTGTTGTTGATGATGATGGTGTCAGACGCGGCTGCGGTCTCGGAAGCGACATGGGGTTCCCAGGTTGGATTTTCCGCTGTGTAGGTTTCGCCAGTTGGTGGTTCCGAGTATGTTGGATGTTGTTGCTCCGAGTGTTCCACAGCGCTGGGTTCGTGATGCTGATATTCACCCTGAAGCTGGGAATTTTCTGCGTGTTGCTGCTCGGAGTTAGCCTGTCCGGAAGAAGGCTCATTCTGTTGTTGCCCCGAGCTGTTCGCAGCAGACTGCTGTTGACCAGTCGGAGCCGCTCCTCCGGGTCTATCTGGGGCCAGGGCGGCGCCCAGGGCGCTTCCGAGAGTGGTACCCAAGGCCGTGTAGACGTCCGGACCTCCGTTTTGCTGGTAGCCTGGTTGATAAGGAGGCGCCTGGTACATGGGCTGGCGAAGAGGCGCTTGGTAAAAGGGCTGACCAGGAGCCGCCTGATAAAAGGGCTGACCGGGTGCCGCCTGAAAAGTGGGTTGGCCGGGAGTAAGAGGTTGTGGCTGAGGAAACGGTGGACGTCCAACTGGGGGACGAGGGATCTGATAATGTCCTTGGTTCATCACGTTCGGTTGAGGCTGCGGCTGCGATTGGGGTTGGAGTTGAGGCCGTACTTGTGGCTGTGGCTGTGGCTGTGGCTGAGGTTGGGGTTGTGGTCGTAGTTGCGGCCGCGGCTGCGGTTGAGACTGAGGTTGAGGCTGCGGTTGAGGCTGCAGTTGTAGTTGAGGTCGATGTTGTAGTTGTGGCGGTAGTTGGGGACGCAGTTGCGAAGGATTATTATTCGGAACCGCCCCAGCCGGTCCCGCGTTTTGCACTACAGGCGGCCGACCTGGCATTTGGAGGCCGATAGGATGCATGGCCGGTTGTGTCTGGCCCGTGTTTTGGACATACGGAGACGCGATATTTATGCCGGCTAAACCTTGAACTTGGGGCGGCGCCGTGGAAGCGTGTTGAAGACCTGGAGGCCGCTGGGGCATACCGCCTTGCTGAGGACGAGCCTGAGAAGTATTGAATATCTGGTTTGCCATACTGGCACCGGCGATTGCATTCCCGCCCATAGATTCAGCGACAAAAGCGCCTGCCACGATGGCGGTCGTTTGTTTCATAGCTGGCTTCTGAAATACATGCTGAACAAATTTCTTCATTTTCTTGTTTGCCCCAGACAGAGCGGCCTGGGTCGGGTGTGAAGGCCTCGCCGTCCCCGGTATCTGCGACAAATTAGGTTGGAATCCAAGAGCCTGGGCTTGTTGTGGCTGTCCTTGTCCCTGATCCTGCCCGACGGTCTGATTTACCAAGAATGGCTGGATCATTGAGGTAGCTTGACTCGCCAAACTTGGGGGCTGATTTACTTGGGACACCTGCAGCTGCTGGACCAAGGTACCTTGTGCTGGGGCACCCATTAGTTGCACATTGAGCCCCTGGCCGGCCTGGCCTATGTTCTGCTGAGGGTGCGGACTCGTACTCGGTAGACTTTGGACAGACTGCAGGAATGTATGTTGCGGGGTTGGCGTCATTGGCGTAGGCAGTTGAGGTTGAATTTGGTGCATAAGCCCTGGCATTGGCTGGCCAGATACGGAGCTTCCTAGAGTCGGTGTAGGGTGGTTTTGTATAGCTTGCTGCTGAAGCGGTCCACACATTGTTGCCTGCGATGCCGGTTGATTAGCTACCTGGTACTGGCTAGGCCTTACCGCTCCCCCGAGTCCCTGAAGATTCTGAGCCTGTGGTAGAGCTGTCAGGTTTGGATGGCCTTGTGAAACTGTAGGCGAACCAAGCTGCCCAGCGGTGGATGCCACCTGTCCCGGGAGCGTCGGATACGGTTTCATCACGCCGCCTACGGGAGGCCGAGAGGATGAAATGACCTGTGCGCTACTATGCACATGATTTCCTTGTGCAACTGGCGGTCTGGAAAGCTGGGGTGAATTCTGGTGTGACGGCGTCGAAGGTGGTGGAAGACTTAGTGAAGCAATCGATATTGCTGGCGATGATACTTGGCTCTGGGGTGGAGAGACAGAAGATACGGCTGGTGACGTGGGCGACGGTCTCCCTTGGATCGGTAGTTGACTAACTCCGTGTGTTACCGGTTGGGCAGTCGGTGAACCGTGACCCAAAGACGCAGCCGGGTTGAAATGGATTGAAGACGGTGTCTGTCCGGAGAATTGTAGATTCGATGCCGTTGTTTGGGCGGTGATCGGTCGGCTGGAGGTATTACCGGTGATGTAGATCCCACCAGGTGGTTGGGATGTCGTCCCTGGGTGTTGCAGCCTTTGGATAGATCCCTGTGAGTTAAGTGTGCTATTCTGAAGCGACTGTCCCTGCGCGTGGGCGGCTGCGTGGGTGACTCCATGGTTAGCATGTACTGCTGGTATCTGGTGCGGAGCTTGGGGAGGGCGTTGGTGCGGTCCAGATGTTGATGCCGGGCGTGACATGTAGACATGGATTTGTTGCCCAGATGCGCTCTGGGTGGCGGATGGGGCCGCCGCCGAATCAGGTCGAACCAACACTGCTGCTGACGGCGGTGTTCCCTGGTGAAGAGTAGCCTGATCATGTTGAGTTAATGTACCTGCTGCTTGTGGCTGAGGGGAAGTGTTCGCATTGACAGATGCCTGAGGTTGAGGAGCCAATGGATTTTGCCCAGGCTCTTGTTGAGGTCCGGTAGAGTTCCCTGTTATTGCCTGGGGGGCCACCGCGTGGTGTGCTTGTGGTGACGCGTGGGCGGTTCCTATTTGGGAAATAGTCGTTGTAGACGTAGGCTGGCCGATGGCCTGGCTAGTCTTAGGATGAAGGATCGCTTGCGGGAGAGGTCCGGACGCCGTAGAGGGCTGAATAGGTGATGCCTGTGTACCAGTAGGCTGGGATCCACCAGATATAGGAGAATCTGTCGCTAACTTGTCTGGAATCGTTGGACTTTGGGGCTTGGACAGAGATAGCGACGCAAATTCGGGAAGTGGCTCGTCAGTAACAGAACACGAAGATTCTGTGGATTGCAGAATTATCTGCGAGTGTATAACTGTGCTGGTCGAGGCATTTGCCGTGGTGTTGGAACCGTCTTGTGTGGTCGGATCTATCTTTTTTTCTTCTTTAGGGGGGCTTTGGCTCGAGGATATCTCCTTGAAAACAAAGATCCCTGGCCCACCCAGTCTAGGCGGCGACGGTGCGTGAGATGCCACAATATTCGGAAAAGTGCTGACCCTCTGCACACTCGGAGGAACATTATTCACGTGCCTCTCTATGGAGGTTTCGTCTCCTGATGGTGGATGACTTGGTTGACCATGCGCAGGTCTTAGTGATGGGATACTGAGTGGGCCGCGGCCGGTACCCTTACGACCCGAGTTGAGTTTCTGGAGAAACCCCCCCTGTCTTTCCCCAGTCCCTGGCAAACGCCGAGTGCTATTTTGCGGGCTCTGATGTTGCAAATTGTCTTGTGGCAATTGTGATCCGAACGGTGTTGCCGCAGGTTGGAAGACGGTTGGAATTGACGAATGTTCAGCCTCCCGAAGAGGGGTTGAACCCATTAGGGGTACCACAGGGGTCAACGCTGGTCTTAGTATGCTGGGAGTTCCCTCCAAGGACTTGGTAGGCCTAGAGGCAGAATGCTGGTTCTGCTCCATGGATCCGAGGTCCGCGTTCTGCACCTGGAGGACTGAAATAGTAGATGATCGCACCGAACCCGTATTTGAGCCGTTTGGTTCATCTTGTCCGGTGTTGCCCTGGGAGGGTCTCCACGTTTCGTACGTATTAGGGATTTCGGGTCCGGGTGGCAGTTGAGACACAGGAATGTCCTGCCCGGATTGCGGAGGTGAGCTCGTTTCTCTCACGGCGCTGTCGTTCGGGGGTCTAGTATCCCTTCTCAAAGGGGGGTATGCGAAGGATGCGGAAACTAATGGATACTCATCGACGGGTTCCATAGTATGCTGGGCAAATTGTTGAACCGGTTGCCTCTGCGCCGCCGAACGCCTCTGCGTTGGTAATTCTACCGGCGTATTCAGGCCAGGACCAGCACGCGGAGACGGTGTCACGATTTGGGTTGAATCCAATTCAACTGGAGCCAGTTCTTCTGCACATCTGGCGGTCTCGCTGCTCGCTAGCTCGGCAACAAAACTGGGCGGAGGCCGTATCGATTCGGAGCCTGCAGAAGGTGGAGTTCTGTTGACTCTAGTACTGACTGAGCCGATTTCATTACCGTTTCCCGTCCCAAAGTTTGTGAAGCTCTCGTGATCGAAATATCCCGTAGCCCCCATTTCATATCCTGTACTCGTTGATGTCACTTTGTCCCCTGTATTGCCGCCTGCCACCGTGGTGATTCCTGCACTGCCAGGCCCGTTAAGGGTGCTTGGTTGCCCAGCCTGCGGTTGACTAGCGGTTTCGTCGCCATGAGCAAGATCGAGCGGGCCAAAGCCGAGTCCCACGAGTTCAGGAAATTCATCGCCGGGTCGTGGGAAGTGATATTGCGTCAGACCCGTCGCCGTGAAGCGGTAAAACCACCGGGTGCCGTCATAATCAGACTCCCATCCCCTAGGAAGTTGCGCCATCCCAGCAGAGTAAAGCACAGGATGCGAACGCGATAGTCTCGGCGGAGGACCAGCAGAGAAGTGTACAGGAATGGGCGGACTCGTGGCAGGTTCGACAGCCGGGCCAGAATAGACCAGGCCAAGGGGAGGAGCCGTCCCTAGAGGTCCAACCCTCAATTAAGCATGCCGAGACGATGATTTCGGCCGATACGCGGGGTTGTAGAAGGGAAAAGCCTCTCTTGCGCGACGATGCCAGAGCCTGGCTGCCTCATTCAACCCAGGCCATGGGTAGGGCAGACATAGAAAAGTGCCTTGGAACGCCCACGAGGCAAAAGGCGAGGAGAGGGGGCATCTTTGGTCCCAATCAGCTTGATTCGTAAGGGCGCCTTGCCCTTCTAGATTTTGGTCCGTCGAATGGTGGCTTGGATCGTGCAGCAGCTGAACTCGTAGCCCCCATTTTGATGAAGCGACAGTCGGCGCGTGCCAAGGAAACCGACCAATCCCCAGCCGGCGCTTCACCAGCATCTATCACCAGCATCTATAAACCCATGTGTCCCGTCCCGGATACACCCCCAACGTTGTCTGACAGAGACGGGCGTGGCCATTTCGAAGAGAGTGAGGGCTGAAGGAAGACAGGCCCTAGTGCCGAAAAAGGACTCCAGGTCCGCAGCAGACGGTGATGAAAGCCCGAGCAGGGCCCCCCGGCGAAGGCGTGAAAGAGAATGGCAACACACAAATTTGCCGTAATCCTTCGAGGCTTAATCCGAGGGTAGACTCGCCTCGTTCGTGAGGGTAGGTGTGGGCTGCAGATTGCAAAGGCTTGACGGTTATTTGTCCTGTCTTGGACGAGATTCCGGTCAGAAGAGGGAGGTTAGGTTCGGTACCTGTCTCAGGTACCCAGCCTGGGGATCAAAAGGGTGCAACGTGGCTGCTGACTCATCCCAGCTCAGGGGTCGCGTTTCTGGCTAAGCTTGAGCAATGTAAGGGTTTAACGCCCTCAATGTACCTGTAACTTGGTATACTCGCACTGGGCCATGTACCTGTGGCATTCAAGTTGGCTCTCTCTTGGAGATCGTCCGCAGAGAGGTACAGGTACCTAGGGGTTAGGAGGTCCCTAACCTACCTAGGTTGGTATGGCAAGCGCACAAATGTGCGACCCTGGAAGAGGTCCTGTGACGATAGATTATGTAATTTGTTGTTCAGAACCGCCCCATCCAGCTCGCTAATCGCGGGCCCTGCTAGCGCGGACCAACCCCAACGCTCGACAACCGCGATAACCAAAGGAGTGAACCTCATCTCGCTGCGGCCCTAGACTTCGTGATCGCGTTTCGGCCGTATCCTTCTGTGCATGGAATTAGCAATAGTTACGACCGCGGCCTTGGTGCAGCGAGCCATTTGCCACTGGATCCCCGATCCCAGCCGTTCTGAGGAACGCTCTAAGAACAAACAGGAAGTAACCGACGATCTTCGTCACCACCGAGGGGCACCTTTTTAGGTATATGATTCGACCCGTTGCAGAAGAGACACTAAATTGAGCGACCGGCGACGAATTGGGTCACGAGCAGGCGCTCGAAGGTTTCTCGGCTAGTGCTCGAAGATTTCTCGGCCAGTACTCGTGCCCGCTCCGGCGCCGGCACTCCCCCGTCTGCTCCTCTTGCTGGTCGACCTTATCCTGGGGCATCCGATCCCTCTCAGATTGCAGCGTCTCCTCGAGGATTGACTTCGGCGCAAGCGCGGCCCGTACGAGAACAGCGTGGGTGACCATGGCTGATCGTCCGTCTCAGAACGATATCGCACGGACTTAACTGGGTCGCTGCTATGTAAGGCATCAAAACGTCACGCAAAGCCAACACGAGCGTCCCGGGCAGTAGCTCAACGACTTGGAATACTGGCGATGTAGAAAACCCACCGGCTAGATGGCGAGGCGGTGTCAGCTTATGAATTCTTCGGCCCCATGGCTTACCAAGAGCAGGCTGATGGCACCAAGGGCCCAGACACTTGGCGACGCGCTCCAGTAGTCAAGCAACTTTGAGCACATTTTGGTCGCTTTCTCCGCTCACTTGGGCCTGTCGACCTATATATAGTAGTCGTCGAAGAGGGACGATCGTGAGTGATAAGTCTCAACAGATGCGGATGGTGTACAGATCCAGCTTGACATTACCTTCCCCTAGGTATTTCCTATTCAGAATGCTTGTGCGTAACGCACCCGTCCGATATCTGGGCATCGATTCAAACAACTAACACATGCAGCAGATCCGGCACTTCAGACCAGCTAGCTAGGTCTAGTAGCCATTCCTTCTAGCACGAGATAGATGGATGGCACGGCCCGATAGGACGGGTCGCGAGGCCTCATTAGTAATGCCCATCATCTCGTTTGAAAAGGATGCCACGTTCTGATCCTTCTTCCGAACGCCGTCTTTCTCGAGGTCTCTTTGACGGTGGCTCACGCACGATTTTTCGGATCCTTGGCGTAATTCCTTCCCTTCATCCTCTTGTGCCCAGAGCCGCATGGCCGCGTTTCTCGTAATATCTCTGTATCAACTACACGCAGATGCTTCATTGCCCTCCATCATACTCTCGAAACGTTGACGACTCCTTAGCTCGAGGGAATTCTAGCTGATAACATATAGTAGTACGATGTTGTCGCTAAAGATTCCGAGGATTCGACAAATCCTGAAGCCACGAATAACCATGACGCCCATTCCGCCTCTCTAGCACATGCTCACGTCAATTGCGGGACACCACGGGGTGTTCAGGGTCTAGATATATGCAGGTTTGCCAGGGTTTCCGCTCATGTTGACGACGTCCAACCTTCGGCCAGGCGCGGACTCGGCTTGGCTGAGCATAGTTGGGCGGTTTCGTGCATTCGGAAATCGATTTCCGCCGGATACGCCTTGGGACGTACCCCACTGCGGTTACGCTAGTTAGATCCATCCGAGTTTGTGTGTTTAGCAGATATAAAATCCATCTGATAAGATCGATCATGTTTCGGAGGCGGGTGACAGCAGCATCGACGGATCTAACTCTCGAGATGATAGGATCCGTCATGTTTTGCCCACGTAGGTAAACCAGGCCTTGGTCGTGCGAGCCGTTCACGACTGGGTTCCGTCGAAGTAAGGAGCTGTCGAAGTGAGGAGCTCGACGCCTAATTCGTGGTAGTTGCCGTATACTGAGTGTCGCTGCACCGTGCAGTACACCCGCATGCCGGCGGGGAATACTTAAGTGTCAGGACGGAACCGGTGAACCATATATGTCACGTTGTCGTCGCCCTTAGATCAGGCACCGGTAATCTCTACGATTGGTAAGGACGAGAGATCCACGTTGCCTTTCAGGGTACATTTTTGATAAATAACCTCCCCCCCTTTCTACTCCCTCGTCTCGTCCGCATGCTCTCCTTCATCTCGTAGGTATCGTTTCTCTCGTGCCACGACCAGCTACCAATATGAAGCTCAAAACCGCTTTCCTTGTCCTGCCCTCCGTCGTCTCCGGAGAGATGATGTCGGAGGGCTACCGAGGATACGGCCTCATCGGACATGGAATATCTATGTACTACCCAACATGTGCATACGCATGTTACGGTATCCTGAAAGGGTACCAGCTCAAATGCTCTGACGGGCCGACGACATCCCCGGAGTGCTATACCACCGACGACAATTTCCTCCAGAGTCTCGCCTACTGTATCCATACGCATTGCGCCGGTGTCCCGATCTCCGACATCGAGGCTTACTGGGCAGCCTATATTCCTGGCCGCTTGCCGGGCCAGCCCAGCCCAAAGGAGCCGTATAGCGTAGCCTTGCTCCATGCCGACCCACCACCGGACCGGGTCATCGAATCTGGGGAGCTTCTCAACACCACTACCTTGGTCGACGAGGATCAGTATTTGGCAGCCTACAATAGCAACTCGTATTACGAACAGATGGAAGCCAGGCAGAGCGACTTCGGGTTTGTCTACCCCCCCCCTTTTTCCGCCACCCTGGACTCTGTTAACACGTAAGAAAAGATTAGTAGCTTTAGCCACCGGGGCTGTTATACCGATACTGCTTTCCCTACTTCGCTTCGTACCGTTTCCGAAGACTATCGTCAGCCGATTCTATGCCTACGTTATCGACCCGCCCCTGTTCTGCCACCGACATCGAGAACCAGTCTTGGGCCTCTTCATCATGCCAACTCGAGGCCAGGCGCTGTTCATAGCGTATTTCATCATTCTCAACGTTGTGCTGTCGTGCGTAGACTACCGCTTAGTGATCCCCAACTTCTGGTTTCCGTCGGAGCACGACCAGCTGGTATTCTATATTGCCAACCGCACCGCTGTCCTGGCCTTCGCGAACTTGCCACTCCTAGTACTCTACTCCAGCCGCAACAACTTCCTGCTGTGGCTTACGAATTGGTCTCACACCACGTTTCTCCTGATCCATCGCTGGATCGCTATCATCTGCACCCTCGAAGCGTGTGTGCACTCGTTAGTGTACCTGCGCATCTACGTCGCCCGCGGTGAGTATGAGTACGCGAGCGCCTTCGAGTATTGGAAGTGGGGGATCGCAGCGACCGTCGTAATGTGTGCCATACTCCTTTCCAGCATTTTGCCGCTGCGCCAGAAGCTGTACGAGCTCTTCCTCGCGACCCACTTCGTCCTTGCCCTCCTGGCGCTCCTCGCCTGCTACCATCACATCTACTTCCGGTACGAAAACCAGTGGGGCTACGAGACGTGGATATACGTCGCATTCGGCGTGTGGGCGTTCGACCGCGTCGCCCGCGTCGCGCGAATGGCTCGCAACGGCGTCCGGACCGCCTACGTCACCGTCCTCGACGACGACTACGTGCGCGTCGACGTGCCCGGCCTCGCGGTCGCCTACGGGCACGCGTACCTCTACTTCCCGACCCTAACCTGGCGCGTGTGGGAGAACCACCCCTTCTCCGTCATGGCTACTCCGGCGCCGTCGCTAGCTCCCTCCATCTCGGTCGTCGCCGCCGACGAGAAACCCAAATTCAACGCTTCTTCGACCTCGTCGTCCTCTCCCGAACTGGCGCCAGCCGTCATCCCCGAGCCATTCCCATCCTACCCCGAGCCAACTAAATCCTACCCCGAGGTATCTTCCTCCTCCTCCTCCTCCTCCTCCTCCTCCCCCTCCTCTTACACGCCGGGCCTCACCTTCTTCATCCGCACCGAGACCGGCCTCACGGCCTCCCTGCGCAAGCTCTGCCCGGGATCGGCGTCGCCGTCCGCGCCCGCGCCCGTGGCCGTGCTCGTCGAGGCGTCGTACGGGACGTCGTCGCTGCTCGAGCAGCTGCGCACGGCGCCGGCGCAGAAGTGCGTCGCGATCGCGGGGGGCGCGGGCATCGCGGGCGTGGCGCCGCTGCTGCGCCGCGCGCTGGCCGCGCCGCGCGACGGCGACACCGTGGCCGGGCCCGCGCGCGCGCGCCTGTTCTGGGGCGTGCGCAGCCCGGCGCTCGCGCGCTCGGCGCTCGGCGCCAGCGGCGTCGCGGCTGTGCACGCCGCCGGCGGCGAGGTCGCCGTCGGCCGCCGCCTCGACCTGCGCGCCATCCTCGAGCGCGAGGTCCCCGTCGGCCCTTCCCCCGCCGCCCCCGAGCACGAGCACGTCACCGTCGTCGTCTGCGGCCCCGACCCCATGGCCGACGAGGTCCGCGAGCTCGTCCGCGAGAGGGCCCTGCGCGGCGCCTCCGTCAGGCTGCTCGACGAGGCGTACAGCTGGTAGGCGGCCGGAGCTGCGTGGCGAGCTGGATGTGAGGAGGCGGGAGTGCGCGCGGTCTTGTGATGAACGAATTCATCACTTTGCCCCTTCATGGACCGTGCTTTTTGTACGGGTTTATATGTAAACGGACTTCCCGAGTAGTAAAAGGGGGGCACCGGAAAAGTTGTGATTCGTCACCTAATATGTGACGCGGTAGGTCTGACCAGAGTCTTTGCAAGGTTTCTTATATAATAGGTAATAAGTACGGGCCGCACGCCCATCTCGTCACGATCGTTTCTCCCCTGGGAAGTGCCAGGTAGATATTAGGGTCAGATAGGTCTATTGCTCCGTTGCTTCTTTCTTCGCCCTGATCTCTTGTTTTCCCGTTATCACGTAACAGCTGGCCATCACCAGTTACAGTAGTTGGTAGCTGCGATCATTCAGTCTCGTTCCCAAACGGCTTCCCCGCGCTGTTCCTCTTCGGTATGGATCAGCGCTGGTCGATATCTTCCTGGCCAATACACCGGGAGCTGGATTTAACGACGGAAAACATGTTATGGATTATTACGGTCGAACGAAACCGTCTCCCTGAGCTTAGTGGCATCCATGTAGTAGGGGCTACACCATTGATGCCGTACTTAGTCCTCTTTACTAGCGAGTCTCTCGTCCTTCCAATTAGGGGCTTCCAAGCCGCCGGGCCAAGACGCCGGTGTTCCGGATGGCCCTCTCGGCACTCTCTGCCGGATCTAACAATATGCCGGAACGGCTCTGGTAAACGATCACGCTAAACGCGTGGCGCTGTCGACTCCTGAAGTACACCCCTTATTCAAACACCGGATTCAACGCCATCTATGCTTGAAGTAGTTTCACTAAATATTAGTGTTTTCGGGCTACTATACGCATGCGCACATATATGCAAATAGGACACTTGTATCGAATAAACTTGCGAAGTCTGGTTGTGGGAATGAGTTATCACAATAATTGTCTCAGAAATCAAAACCTTAGAATTCCACCGTGTGATGTCGATATGCATGCCGGCTAAGTCCATTCTGAAAAGCCGCACCTACAGCTGCCAGCCGTATGCCGTACCCATCTCTCCATCGTACTGCTGCTCACGACGGCAAGAGAGCCTTCAAGAAAACCCACGGAAGTGAGAGCCGTAGAAACCTCCGCGTCTCCACGCAACAAATCGCACGACTACCTCGGCCTAGAGCGTGCCGTGGACCAATCTCGCGATCACTCCCCTAGCGCGATCCACGAGACGCCGCACGAGTAGATCTTGGTGTTAGCCCAGCTGTCTACGTTGACGGTGAAGCCGTAGGGATCGACGTCTGTCGCGTAGACGCGGACGCGGAAGTTGGCGCTGTTACAGACGTCGGCGGTGTCGATGCTGAGCGCCAGCTTGGGCGGCGCCGCGAACTTCCTGGCGAACTTGACGCGGCCCTCGGTGTGGTCCTGCGGCGCCGACCACGAGCGCACGTTGCTCGTGTTCCAGCTGCCCGCGTCGTACACGAGCTGAGGCCTCGTCGCCGCTATCGTCTGCCGCAGCTCCTGGCACTCCGCCGCGACCCTACCCGACAGCGAAACCAGGTCGCGTTGCACGCCCGCCGCCGCCGCCGTTGCCTGCTGCAGCTCCGCCGACTGCGCCTCGACCAGGCTCTTCAGCGAGGCCACCTGGCGTTCTAGGTCTGTCGTCGCGGCCGCCGCTGCGACCGCCCGCTGCAGCTCCGCCGACTGCGCCTCGACCCGGCTCTCCAGCGCGGCCACCTGGCGCACGAGGTCCGCCGCCGCCGCCGCCGGGCTTTTGGCCGCCTCGCTACTGTCGTCGCCGGTGGTCGTGGCCGTGGCCGGCGGCGTCGCCGCGCCCGGCCCTGCCGAGTTGAACACGTTGACCGTTACCTGCGGCCGGAACAGTACCGGCTTCGCCAGATCCTGGCCGTCGCCGCCGGCTGTCGCAGAGGCGCCGCCCGGCCCCACCGCGACGTAGTCGTCCGGCCACACCACATGCACCTGCTGGGGCCCCTGCGCCGGGACCGAGGGCTCGCCCATGTTCGTGACTGCCATGGGGCCGGGAGCGGAACGCGCGCACGCAACCGCACGCGGCAAAGAGAACTCGAGGGTTGGTTTGGGGGGCTGGGGGGGAGGGCGGCCAGAGATTCGACTCGGGCAGTTTCGGCTCGTCGTCCGCTGGCCTCGCCGAGGCGGCTCCTAGTGTACTGTGCTTACTAGAAGCGATACGTGCCGGCAACAAGGACAAGCTAGTGTGTTGTCTAGCGCATGCTAGTGTTCTAGGATTGCGGGAGGGGGTCGCCAGGATGGTGGTTGAGGACTTGGCGGGAGGGGGCGCGTTGGGCGGAAACCAGGCATTAAAAGCGCCACACCACCAATGGCGGGGGAATGTCGGCCAAAGATGGTCTGCGATGCTTCCGAGTCGATGACAACAACCCCTTAGCCACAACTGACCCAACGCGTGGCGCTGGATCGGGGACCCCAGCCACTCCCGCATTCGTTCCTGTGCTTCGTGGTTTGAGGACAGCAGAGACATCCTAGAGGTATATTCGGGCTGCCGCCCGTAACAGCACAGGCTGACTAGGGCTGAAGAACGACAACAGTGATTGCGTAGGACGACTCGGGGGCGATGCGTGGGGTTGTCGGGAGGCTTCACACCACGGTGCTAAACAGGCCGCTCCTAATGGCGGTTCTTGGCTGGAATTGTAACTACAATCCCCCTTGGATGGATAGGTTACGGACCGGCGCAATCCCATCTGTTGCTGTCATGTTAGGGGTAGTTAATATCTATCTGATAGCGGTGGCGGTCAGTGACATGTGGGCAATAGTTGCCAGTAAGGATAGTTACCAGCAATAGTTGAGGAGCAGAACAGTTACCATCAACTATGTTGAGATAGCCCAAGCCTATCGCGACTAGCAACAGCATGCGGGCAAGGAACGCGGCCGTGAAAATCCATCACGGGAAAATGTAACCGCCAGCGTTTCCTGCTTGGGCCTGAAGGTTCCGGCTTGCACGGTTTCGTTCCGATACGATAAAACCCAATATCCACGCTCTGGCGATAACAGTAGCCAAGGCCTTGATTATATGCCAACAGGTTGCTGGAAGCTTCCGTATAGGACGCAGACGCCAGTCTCGTTCTAGCACAGGACTAAATAGACTCGTGTTTCATAACACCGCCAGCGTAACTATCCAATTGCCACACTCTAGGTCCGCGCACAGATCAGTTGTAATAGTTAGACGGAAGGCTCGGAACGCCACAGAGACTAATAGAGGTACGCGTCCGCAGGCTGGTGGATATAGATAGTGTAGTGTAGGAGATGGAGACTTCTCCTTGGCCGATCGCCAGGGCAGGGCAAAGCCAGTCCTACCAAGTGGAACTCACTGAGGCTTTAAGATCAGTTTCTAGCTATCAAGGGAGGGCGAAGGCCCCAAATGGGCAAATGCCTAGATTGTATGTAAGTACCTAGGCATTTCACGGGTAAGTACACGTACACCATCAACTGGGCCCTACGATAAGGACAAAGCCGTAATGCTGGTAGCTCGTGTCTAGAGCCGGCCCTGTGGCGCCGGCGACTTGGGTGGGGAGCGAAACATGCTATGATTGTGGGCCCGATGGTGCGTGGCCTGGCATGAGGGAGAGAAGTGGTCGGGACCGGGTAAGACATAAAAATGGGAGAACCCTGGCTAGGTTCCTCGCGGGCCAACAAAGGCGAGGGGCGGCGGTGGCAATGTGCCGGCTCTCGTTCAGGGGTCGTAGAGAGGGCTCAAACCTTCGGGCTCTTGGTACTGGTGCCACGCCGCGATACGAGAAGACACCAGCCACTAGAAGAACCCGACACAGTACGCGCACATGTCAATCAAACCTTCTCGTCTTCCCGGCACGGCATATGCCGTTGACTAGGTCACCAGAATGCTGCCGTGCTAGCGCATGGTAGTTCGGTTCGGGTGCTTTACCAGACAGCTTCTCTGGGTATAGGGGTCCTGGGAGGGTCCGAAACTAGGCACCGTCGAGGGACGTGGGAATGAGAGGGAAGGAGGACGGGCGCAGAGGAGACGAGCAAGAAAAAAAAAGAAGTGAGAAAGAAGGAAGGAATTATGTATCTGAGAGGGTTATTTAATCATGGCGCTGATCGGCGCGTCCCTGTGATAATTACGGGAATTTGATTTAGCAGGCGACGCGGACGGGGTGCGGTGCGGTGGTGGGACTGGATCGCTGACCTTGCTGCGGTGGCCAATCCGGATGCTCGTCACGGACGTCGCGTTGTAATCCTCCGCGCCCAGCGATTCGGCAAGATGACGACAGGAGACCTGGCTCGTCTGTTTCTGGTCCGGCGGTTTCCCCGAACGGAGGTGGGAGATGCACCTGGAGAAGGTGGAGGATGACGACGGACTATCTATCGTGAGAACTGATCTGCGTCTGGTCGATCGTGGGGTTGGCTCCAGGTTCGCATGGGCGTCGAAGCTACGCAGAAAGGGCTCCGCACAAGAAAGAGATATATTAGATCCGACTTGCAGCGCATCCCTGCTTACTGTCTCTTCTCGTCCCTCGTTTCTTTGCCGTCGATATAAATGTAAAACAAGGCGAGGAATAAGTACTGGTGTCTCGATAGCTGGCAAGAGGCCTGCGATGGATGAACTCGACGACGACGCCGGCATGCGGTGAGCGAGGAGATGTGGATAGGTTATCCGGTAGCAATGGTAGTCTTGCAGCACCCAAAGGTCCCGCCGATCGGGCACGCAGCACGGGAATAGGATTCTTGTTGGTTGATCCAGGTCTGGACGGGTAGCTTGTTCGGTGTCGCAAGACGCGATCGGTGGCTTGAGTTGGCGGATCCATATGAGTGAATATCCAACAGACCCAACTAGTGCCTAGGGCGTGGGCGCCATTTCATCTAACGGGCGCAACACAGGAAAATGGCGATTTGTCCGATTGAGGTTGCTTATCTGCTAGGGCTTACCTATTTTGCCGCGTCTTGTTTTTTTTTTTTAATCCCCTTCCCTTGGGTTCGATCGATGGCAGAGAGCAGCATCTCCGTCCGGCCCGGCGACCGCCCCACGCACGGTCTGCCCGTCCAGGCCTAGACTCGCACACACGAACAAAGACGAATAAAAATAGCAATGCCGGCTCCGACGGGAGACACTACTATCCACCTGTTAGGTGCTCAGTGCTGGACCTGCGTACCGAGAAGAGACGTTGCAGTACCTGGTACCTCTACCTACGCGTTCTTCCCGTCCGCCCGAGCCCCTGGCCTGGGCAGGGCGACGGATTCATCGCACCAACCGGGAGACAACATGGTGTGCACACCGACACGGGTTATACTGCATTTTTGAGTAGCACGCCGCCGCCGCCGCCGACGCTCAAATTCGCCTTAGCGATGTGTCTTGTATTGCTCCATGGCCTGAGCACGCTGAGGTCTACATGAGCAGTAAGCAAGCAGGCCGGGATACAGACAGAGATGGGCGTTGGACAATTCCTTTGGGCTGGAGGGATCTCAAGCTCAGCACGGTTTTCCAGGGTGACCTGTACTCATATGTATCTTCTGGTCCCTGAACATATACAAGGCCAGGTACAAAAGCGCAGAGATGAGCAGCGAGGGGGAGAATGCAGGCACGTCCTGGTCGAGATTAGGACGATGACGACATGGTGGTGGGGCCGCCGGGAGGGGGGGGGGCCGCTTGAGGCCATGGCACAGCCTGGGCAGGACACGGTGCCGGAACCTGGGTAGGTACGGTACGGCACGGTACGGTACCTACTATAGTAGTGTGGGGGGCAGGTTAGGAGGTAGGTACCTCACTCAGCGAGGTCTCAGTTGGCGTTCCGTAGATAGGTAGGTACCTACCTAAGGTACCTAAGGTAGACACCAGAGCGCGAGTCGAGAAATAGGGACTTGTCGCTCGTATCGGCCGGGCTTGTCCCATTCTTACTGTGTACCGTCGCATGTGCTTTCACCCGGACTTCACCGTGACACTTTATCTCCCTCCTCCGGTACCTCAGGTAAGGTATCTTCGGTCGAGGACAACAAACGTGGCCCGCCGATAAAGAAACCTCTCTTTTACAGCTGGTCCACGCCTAGAACCCGAGCTGGCCTGGCCTGCCGGATGCTGCACGCAAAGCATTCCGGACCTGGGTAGATCCTGGCTAAGATGCCGGACGGTACGGGGTACCTAATGATCTACTATAGAGGCATTATCACCTTAGGTACTAACTACCTAGGTTGTAAGGTAGGAATAGCTTCGCACATGGCCCTATGTGCTACCCTTTGTTTCCGCCCTCCTCCCGACCTGTAGGCGGGTGGGTATAACTAACCACGCTGCCGCCTCGCGCACCCTCCACCGACGGTCCTATTGTACGGTCCTACAGTGTCCCCTACCTAGGTACCTACCTACTATATACCTCCCGCTATCTCTCCGTCTGCCTCTCCTCTCTCCTCCTAATCTCCTATTCATCTCTGTCCCCACTATTTCTAGCGGCCACTTAGCGCATCGGTGCCCCCACCCCTTTCCCTGGCCGGTTCCCTGAAATCCCAAGATTGTTGGTCGTCGGTTGCCCCCCGTACATCGACACCTCGCGTCACCTCCAAATCTTGGATTGTGTTGAGGTCGTATCGGTGATCTTCTCCTGAACAAGTAAAAAAAAGAGAGAGAGAGAGAGGCCCTCCCGTCTCCCCTCCGTCGACCTCACAAGCACCCGGCACCACGGGCTGCGTCCATTCTTTTATGTTCCCCTTCTCCCCCCGGGATACCCATTCCCACCAGCTATCTATGCCCATTCTTCTTCTCCCCTTTGCCCCCCCCCTTCAAGTTGTTCTCTCATCTCCCATCTGCTTAGTTATTGTCGAGCCCTGTTCAACCTTCACAGCAGAGATCTTCGAATGCATCTAACGCATCAATCAACCCTTGCCTAGGATCAACTCGACTGGGACAGATCTAGACCCGTTCGTTCATTTCGACAGCCATATACCGCACCTGATATCAACGCCTGTTCGATTTTTGGGTTGTCGACGGGTCAATGTCTGGCCTCTTCCACGCTCGTTTCTTGTTTCTCGTTTGCCCTCTGGCATAAATATCCTCGTGTTTCACTCAACCACCCCCTGTATTCCTCCTCCTACCTGAGTGATTTCGAATCGATTGCTTCCTCCCCTCGAGATACCTTCCCCCGAGATACCTTCACTCGAGATATCTTCTGCTACACGAGGCTGGTGTAGCTCTTGATTGTTGGTGGTGGCCAGGGTCGTGGGATATAAATATACGCGGTGCCCTATTGCAGCTATCAGCTCTGCTTTCTCCATTTCCCGCACACAACACGTCCACTACAGCTGATCGCCAGACCATTCTGCCTCTCCCGGCCTGGCGGCTATTCAAGATGGCTAGTGGACGCGACCATGACGAATTCGACGAGAAGCGCTCTCCTACGTTGACGCGCGCGGGAACTAGCTCCGACACCGCTGGCGATTCGGATAGGTTTCCGGATAAGTCTTTGGATAAATCCCACTCAGACCGACGCCAGTTCCTCCAGGTCCCTGACGAGACAGGCCGAGCGCCGACAGATCAGAGTCTCTTGTCAGATACCGAGTCCCGGGACCGAGCTACGCGTTTAGTCGACGATCTCACCTTACTCCAAGCCGAGCAGGCCGTCAGTCACCGCGAGTCCCTCGAAATTCGCCGTGCCCACTCCAAGTCGCGCAGCCACGAGCAAGTGAATCAAGATGTCTTCAACCAACCCGCACAGACCCCCACCGTCGGTTTGCCGCCCCAGCGCCAGAGCAGACTGAATAGAGCCTGGAGGGGTCTTAAGGGTCTCCCCCGCATCGTCCGCTACTTCTTGCATAGCGTACCCGTCGCAGTCATTCTCCTACTTCCCGTATTACTAGGAAGGATTCTCCCTCAGCAGAGCCAGGCTGTGATCGGCGGCCCCGGGGGCGTTCAACTGATGTGGTTCGGCATCTGGCTCGAGGTTGTCTGGCTCTCCCTGTGGGCGGCCAGAATCTTTACTACAGTAGTACCGTCTCTCCTGGGCTTCGTGGCTAGAATCCTAATCTCGGGAAACTATAAGAAGTGGAGGGGAATAGGTCGCCAGCTGGAGCTCCACGTCGCCTTCTTCCTCTGGATGCTGGCAGTCCGTATCTCCTATTTCCCCATTCTCAACAACCACAAGATCCCAGCCCAGGTTCCCGAGGAAGCGGATACCCCCTATCCCTCAATCTCGTGGATCGACATTGTAGACAAGGTCATCACCGCCGTTTTCGTCGTCACCGTTTTGAACTTCATCGAGAAGATGTTGATCCAATGGATAGCCGAGTCCTTCCATTTGAGGACGTACTCGACCCGTATTGCCACCAACAAGCAGTGCGTCGCGTAAGTACGGCTTCATTACCTAGCTGACGGGGTACCGTAGAAGCTGACTGCGAATGCTAGGTATTTGGTCCATCTCTACGAGTATTCCAAGGACAAGTTGGTTTCGGAAGCTTCAGTCAGCCAAGGGCCAGCATCAGGCAGCAGAACTCCCCTAGCGGTATTTTCGGAAAATGCCCGAGACGCTGTAGCCAAAGTTGGCGATATCGCGACCCGTGTGGCTGGGGACTTCACTGGACGCGAGGTCAAGTCCAGGAACCACCCCCGTAAGGTCGTTTCCGAGCTGCTTCGTAACGCCGACTCCGCCCGGGTGCTCGCTAGGCGCCTCTTCCGTACCTTCACCCGGCCCGGCTCCGACGTTCTGACACCACAGGATTTGCAGCTCGCTTTCCCCACCCCCGAAGACGCCGAAGCCGCCTTTCTCGTATTCGATCGGGACTTGAATGGTGATGTTTCGATGGACGAACTAGAGGCGTTCTGCGACGAGATTCACCGTGAGAAAAAGGCTATAACCGCGTCTCTCAAAGATCTCGATTCCGTCATCGCCAAGCTAGACAAGGTCTTCTTCGTCATCATCGTCATCATCGCCATCATCGTGTTTATCTCGATAATATCGGCCTCAACTGCTGCGGCGCTGACTTCGGCCGGTACTGCCGTCTTAGGTCTCGCCTGGGTGCTTCAGGCTACGGCTCAGGAGTTCCTCCAATCCATCATTTTCGTCTTCGTCAAGCACCCATTCGACGTCGGCGACCGGGTCACCGTCTATGGTAACACTGGATCCCTGATGCGAGGCGACGACTACTACGTCACTGAGATCTCGCTCCTATACACCGAGTTCAAGAAGATGGAAGGTCACATAGTTCAAGCGCCGAACTCGCTACTCAACACGTTGTTCATTCTCAACCACCGACGCAGCGGTTGCCTGGCTGACGTGTTTGAGCTCCGGATGAAATACGGAACGCCGTCAAGCGTGATTAAGGAACTTGAGGCCCGTATGGTGGAGTTTGTCTTGGACAACAAACGCGATTACACGAACAAGATCTTGACTGAACTCCGCAGCTTCGAGGATGCGTACTGCATGACGGTCAATTTCATCTGCTTTCACAAGACTAGCTTCCAGAACGAACTGCTGCGTCTTACCCGCCATAACAGGTTCGCGATTGAGCTGATGAATCAGATGGTCGCTCTCGGCATCGAGCAGCCTCGTCGACAGTACCAGATCTCGGGACAAGATTGGCCCGTCTACCAGTCGAATGTCCAACCCCCGGCGTATCACGAGCAGCAGCCCTCGGTAGACCCCTCGATACTTACTGCGACACGCCGGCGGGCCCATTCACGTACCATCGACACCTCGGGTGATGTTTTCCAAGACGTCTTTGTCAGCCGTAAGGCTAGCAACCCGAGCATCGGCCACCCGCCCCGCATTGATGAGGAGACGGCCGAAGCAAGCGGTGCTGCTGCTTCTGTAGGTAGTCCGCGCCTGGAGAAGCTTCCCTCGGGGGGCAGCGGCCGCCCGGGCAGCCAGAAGAAGATATTTGGACGGTCCATAAGCCTGAGGAAGGGTGGAGATCAGCCGGAACGAGATAGGGATATGGTCTAGGAACCGCGAAATTGGGACGAAACTGAGCAGGCAACGACGTCACTTCGCGGCGTGCTTCTGAACGAATGAATGGTAATGAAACAAAAAAAAAGGCAAATAGAGGGAGGTAGACTGGCAATATACCCCCCAGCGAGAAATGCCTGCCTGTCTATCTTAAGGCACGTAAGGATTGCGTTCGTGGCGTTAAAGCATTCTCGGCGTCATCTACGATTTTGGGCAGGGCCCGCCTAATGAAGGGCGGTGGGTGTGCTTAGTATAATGGCTAGCAAGGATAGCTGAGGAACTTACATGGAGGAACTTGAGGCGGCACATAGCACGGAAAGCACATCAGAGAAACAAGTTCTCTTGCTACCACACTCTTTTTTTCACTCGGTGTGCTGTAAAGCTGGCTGCTCTGTCTCTCGTTGACATTGCTGTGACTGGTTGCTCTCACGATCTACATTGATGGTTTACCAACGATAGCTAGGCCAAACAAGCCCCCGATGAGCTGAGGGATCTGGGGGGTTTCGTAGGGTCGCGAAGTTAATAGGGGTTACTGGAGCGTACGTAGTGTATAATAACCTGTCCAACAGCCCGAGGTATCCTCTTAACCCAACCAAACCACGACACGGCCCTGTCGCCCTCATCCACATCCCGAACGTGCGTACGCCTACCTATACACCCGCACACGTTGATTCCGAGCGGCATAATGCTTATATATCCTCGGATTCTAACTAGCCTATCTCCCTCGCACGCTCCGCGCCGAACCTACGGACCGGCGGGCGGCCTATTACCTCTGCTTCCGGCCCGCTGGCGCCGCAGGTCACGGCCCTGGCACCGAGGGCCGTGGTACTCCATGCGAGTGTATGCTGCGAGGAGCACAAGGCAACTATAGAATTGCGTCTCATTTTGCTCGGAAAAAGAGTGATAACAAAACTAAGCTATCTACACGCCACGTCCCTCCCCGCGCCCGTAGTCGAAGGGGGCAAGTTCTTTTTCGTATCCTGTTCATGTCCATGTATTTTGGCTCTTCGCTAGCGAGGATTATGCTACAGACATCGCCATACTATTCCGATTCCACCCGCCTGTTGTGTTCTCCAATCGACCCTCCTATCTTCTTCAGCTCTTCACACAGCGCGGAGACGGTACTTTTCAATACCACTGGTTCGGAAGCGGAGGCAGTGGATTCGGCGTGGCTGCTATGTAGGTATTTTGTTTCTTTTTTTTAATTCTGTTTTTAACCGGTCCTCCGTCGAACAAGGGGGCCCGGGGGCGCACTAATGACAACGATCGCGACCAACTAGAGAGTCAAAGCACTCTCCTGTTGAGCGCGACCACGAAGCGCTCCGTACGCACGGGAGACACGGGTCGCTGCGACGAGCACCTCGTCGGCTTGTATGGCTGGCGAGTAGTCCCTCACGAGTGGTGGTAAAAGGGCGGGCGTCGTAGATGTAATATGTGGTGGGAGGGATCTGTGATTACCGACGACCAGGCAGCCACGCCGCTACCCTATATTATAATTGCCTCGCGGGGCGGATGAAACGGAAAAGGAATCGGCGGTCGGTTTCCGCGGTGGAGTGGATCCGGTAACGGCATGATAAACTCGGGTCCAGATCTCCTCGTCAGATTTCCTAGTAACAATCGCTTCTAAAAGAGGGTTGACACGGTCAAAGTCGAAATTGTTCGTCGGAATCAGCCTTGATAGGTCGTGAATCTTCGTCGGATCCCTGCAGTATGTCCATCTTCTTCAGAGTGTCGTCGACGTACCCTCTAAGGTCACTCCCGTTGTGTTGCTCAACGTTGATCTCCAGATGGCGGAAGTGCGGTCGTGGCTCTAGTGAATCCGGCCTCATAGATACAAGAACTCGAACGGAAGGCTTGGTTCGATCCATGTCCCTGATGGTGTCCATCAATTGCCCCACCGCTTCTCTAGCACGAACCCCTAGGTCAGCCAACCCATCGAAGAAAATGGCGTTGCCAGAGGCTTGGTGGCTTTCGCTGTGTCTCGCTTCTTTGCGCAGTCGTCCCGGAGATGGGACTGGATTGTCAGAGGTAGGTGCTTTCTCACATGTGACAGTTTTGTCAATGTGTTGGAAGCGTGAGTCCAGGTTGTGTTGCAGCGTCTAACCGCTAGTTGGCAACAGTTATGGATTCGACGGGACGGACCCCCCCCCCCCCCCCCCCCATTCAGCTTCCCCGTGGTCTCGGCTGCTCTCTGGCATCCATTCCATGGATACCCCGTTGGGGTGTACTTGGCCCCTCGCTAATCATTGATACCCCCGGGACAGCTCCCACAAGAACGGTTTTGGCGCGGTAGGGTTGTAGAACCGACTGCCCTGGGGCCATTTCCCGGTTCCTTTGGCGCCGGTGTGGTACCCGGGTATAGCCCAGGGATTCCACGTGTCGGGCGTTGATCTTGGTCATGATCTCTGGCACCGAACTGGCCCAGTCTAACGGGTCTTGGAGAGGTGAAGGGTTGACTGTTTTCTTCAGTACCTGTTGCAAGATCTTGTTGAACACTTCTACCAGGCCCACGGATCTGTGTGAGCCCGACGGGGCGTTTACCACCAGTATTCCTTTGGACGTCAGATGCTGCACCATTCGTTGTGAGGTGAAAATGGAGCTTTCATCGCGGTTACCGATCTACATCATCTACCCCAGATCGGAAAATTCTCCACCACCATAGCCTACTACGCGCTAAGCAGCGAGAGCAGGGAAAGTACTGGCCTCTTATAAAGAAAGGATTGCGGGAGGCACCTCGGGATAAGAGGGCAACCCTTTTGAATTGTATCGAAGCTGTAAACGCGCCTTAGCTTGGGCGCGTACAGTACCACTGCGAAATGCGGCTCCGAATAGTTTTGGGCTTTGCGACGCCGCGGACCACCGAGATCCGTATGGATCGTTAGGACGATACAGGAGGCTGGGGATTCCGTCAAGGCCTTCTTTGTCTGGGAGTCGAAACTCCCAGATGACTGGTGGTCGAGCGTCCAGGCCGGATTCCGTTCGAAGACTGCCCGTCCTCTGGACAGGTTTTGAGCAGCCATCTCCTGTACGGACTTGATATGTTCCGTACTGAGGTATCTCCGTTTGTATACCGAGATGAGGGCGTTAGTAATGACGCGCCTGGAGTCGGCTAAATCTATACTGTCAGGGTCGAGAGGCGCCTGACGTTGGGTGGCGCTAGTTGGCGTGTTGGGAGGCAATATATTGCCTTTGGTTGCCTCGTAGATATACGCCATATCTGGCGTAGTCTCTTTCTGGTCCTTCCACCTCTTCTCGCCCCCATGTATCTCCCGATGGAGATCGTGGAGATCACGTAGATTACCACCTGTGCCCTGTCGTTATCCAAGCCGTGACAGATGAGCCAGCTGGAACGGCAGCCGGATGGCCGATATGGAAGAAGAGTACCGGCCGTTACAGAGCCGGCTGGTGGGTGCGCCGAGAGGGCAATATCGCTCAACTTCTCGGGATACCTAGTCATCTCCATCTCAACAAGAAGCCTATTATAATAAATGGCGCCGGACTATTCGAGGCGGGATCAACGGCAACGGTTGGTCCTGCGGGTGGCTGACAGAGGTCGCCTCTCTCGAATGCTCCTCACAGAGCGTAGCGCTCAGAACTTTGCCCTAACGGTTGGCTCTGTGGAGAGCTGGGAATCGCAGACGCCTGATGACAATCTGGTCGCTTGTGGATGTGCCGGTCCCCATGATGAGTCTCCATAGTTTCTTCCTCCTCCTCGTCAACGATGTTGCAGAGGAGGTTAACCCGGTCGTGGGTATCCATTACTGTCGAGAGTGTAAATAGACCCCCTGGGTCTTGGAAGGATGGTTGGACCACTGGTGTGTGGACGGTGATTTGAGGTATTTCTCTCCATTTAGTGGCTCGACAGTGTGGTTTATGAGCCACAGAATGGCCCTTACTCAACGTTAGCCAAGGATTCCCTGCAGCTTCGTGCTCTATCTGACTTCTCCTTACCGATGGCTGAGTCGCAGCTCGGATTAGGCCCCTGTAACGCGGGAGAAAAACCGACGCATACGACAGTACGTAGGGTTTGCCACAGCCAAGATCATTTGCTGCCCCGATACTCTACGCTGTACCGAGCAAGTTCCCGGATATAAATCCTCAACGAGGGGAGGCTCACGCTCCTGATTTGCCCGGAAGTATGCATGACGGTCGTCCTGGAATTCGTGGTTGGCGCCGTCGACAGAGAACAGACAGATGCCATAGGAGTACCTAAACACCCGTATCGCAGCGAGTTCAGCGCACTTCTGCTGCCACGACGGTGATTTTCTGAAAAGCGAGAGACGTCAATATATATGATCGATTCGGTGGGTGCGTTGTCTATACATACTGGAACCAGAAACTTGAATAAACAGTCAAGACAACGACCAAACCACTTGATTGTGTCGTAATCCCCCTTTCGCGGCACCAATCACTGACGAGGAAGTGTGATGAGCCAAATAGATTAGGAGATATCAGCCCACACCTACCCTACAAAAGAAGGGTAGTGGTAAGATATGGTAGGCGTCAATATATAGAAGCAGACTGGGTTCTTAGCGGAATCCGTCTCTCTGGCTACAGCCGATCGTAGAAGTCCTAACGGAGCAGTAAGCAATATGGTAAAGCCATGACTCCCAAGCTCGCGCCCGGCGAGCTGGTCTTCAATGCTTTTGATAAGCTCCAGCCGTTCCTCGAGCTCGTCGAAAGGAAGAATGCCATCGACCCCCTTTCGGGGCGGATCGGTTTCTAAGAATCGTATTACAGTATGCCGATCGTAGGCCGGGAGCGTCGGTTTCCTTTTTGATAAACTCGAGGATAAGTTTAAGGATTTTTCCGTTTTCCTTGCTGAAAGTCCCGCCTAGGAACTCGGAAAGCTATCCGGGTAAATCGCCGTCGTTAATACGCTTAGAACTTGCCATGTCCGTTGTCGTAGTCATTATCTCCCAATCTACCACTTGGCTCACTATAGTGTGATTAACCATTTAGTCAGTCAATTCAACCTCTTCCTCCCAGCTTCCATTGCCCCCACAGCAGAGCAACCTCAGCTCCATACGTAGCTCTCCAGAGTCATAACCTATTCCGTGGGAGGTTATTCTATGAAGGCATCTTATATGCTCCGTGCTTAAGAACTCCTCCAACAGTTATGACTCTGGAGAGCTACGTATGGAGCTGAGGTTGCTCTGCTGTGGGGGCAATGGAAGCTGGGAGGAAGAGGTTGAATTAACTCACAGTACGGTACTCCAGCATTGCTTCTTCGTCAAGCTCTACGAACAAGACATTCGTTCCAGCTCCCAGAGCCAGCCGGTCAAGATATCCCACGGACACCTTGGCTTGTACACGAACATCTCTCTGGGGAGCCGTGTCGGTTTGCTCGTTGGTATTGTCGGTTCGCCCATTGGTGTCACGCTGCAGTTGCTCGTGATAGCTCACGGACTGCCGGTTTGGCGGGTATGTTTGAGGCCGAGAGTAGGTACCTTGATGCTTCCGACAGGAGTCAAGTCTCGTTTACATTCCCGTTCAGACTCCTCCTGCCTGCCAGTGTTCGAAAGACTGGCAATTCCTCCAGAGCGCCGTTAGCCATGTATTTCGGTTGCAATGTGGGGGAAGCCATATGCCTACCATTTAGGAAATAGTAGTTTTTCTAAGTGGGAAGGGTTTAGATGAGACCCCTCCCTTGAAAGGTAAAGGTTTTCTGGCAGGGTGCGAAACCACAGGGTATCGAAAGGTCCCGGATTTGGTAGATGATAATATATTGATTGATGACGCTTATGATGCGTTAGGGGATGTAGGGTTTTCTGCAAGACCAGATATATACGGTGATATAGGATTCGATTCAGGGACTGGGCTGGAGATCCAAGGGGGATAATGGAGGTTAGGATGTGAGGACAGGTTTGAATCTCTCATCGGGTATTGGGGCTGAAGGGTAGTTATTAAAGACCTGGTAGCGGAAGAGAATGTATATGGGAAGAAGGTGTTGGAGGTGAGAGAGAATGGGAAGAAGGAAAAGAGTAATGGGAAGATGGGGAGGGGACTGGGGTATTTATAAAATTTTTTTGCCACATCCTAATCGGTAAGTAGTAGTAGTACTTTGCTATTCCTGTAGGTATTTGTTTGCCGGATTGATGACAATGTGCAAAAATTGTCGAAACAACAGCCATCGTCAGGATGAGGGCCATTGAAAGTGTGTATTGAGGATTGATTCACAGTGTGGGGGATTCTCAACAGTGTAAGAATGATTGACAGTGTGAGAATAATCGTCAAGACGACGCGTATTACCAGGGGATAGTTGGTATGCTACTACAAAGTAGCAGCCAGCTAATTTTGACTGGTGGCTACTAGATCTAGCTTAAGATCAGAGGGGGTTTGCTATTTACAAACTGGAATATTGCCAATTGCTAGAATTCAGACTTTGGGGGTGATGAGACTCCTTCCCGGCCTAGATTTCAGATGAGGCGATGCCAAGTTAGTATGTAAAGTGATGGATTCGTATCATGCCTGGAAGGTATAGGCCCCTGGCCCTTTGATCATCTTGGTGGTTCACGGCCACAAGACGGAGGGCTCTTGGGTTTCCCTATTTCCTTGCAGGAGCGTGAATGAGGATAGGGGGTCAAAGATGATGTATCAGAGGCCCCGATGCAACGTAAATACCATGGGAATCATAGTACATAGGAGGGAGAAATACGGAGTACGATGTTGATATGTTTATATTGTCAGCCAGTCGTGAAAATAACATGGTATTCAGCGGCTAGTGCCATCTAACATGCAGCTATGAGTACATATCTAATATAAATAACGGGTATATAAGAGTTACCACCGTACTCATGCGCTACTTACCTAGTATTGATGAAGTATTTGCAATTCTGTTGACAGGATATGGACTGGCAGCTGCTCCATACATAATCGTCATAATTACCCTGCTCTTTTCTGAGGATGGAAGACAGCTTGAAGTACGTAAAGCTCAGTTGGTTGATCATAATATGCTGCTGCTTGTGTGGAACGGGAACCAACCTAGATCTGTAACCGACACCCGAGACACGGTCAGCTGGAGCTGCCTGATGTGATAGTTGGACGGAACAATTCCGATACGCGTATCATGGAAGGGTTACAGGTAAAAAGGGGACCTCACAGACAGCGTAGGGAAACGGTGGAGTAAATTCAACACAAGATACTATCGAGGACCTTCAGCGGCCAGTATCAATCGGCGTAATTACAACGGGCGGAGAAAAAAACATGGGTTACAGGCCTACCCTAAATCTCTATGCTTATTGGTGCGAATCACAGGCGCATTACCGTATCGGGTAATCTGGTAATTTTTGAAGAGAGGCATGGCGAACCTCGGAGCGTGCAACTAGGTACCGCCTCACGACTTGATCGGAATACAGCGTAATGACGAAAAGGAAGCCAGAAAAGGATAAAGAAGGGGAAGGTGAAGATGGGAGAGATGCAGAATAGGAGGCTCGATGGAGGGGTTAGGAACTACTGACGTGTGCCCTGGTGAAGAGCGCCAAACTGCGATGGGAATCGGGGTTGAACAGCAGCTGGCGCTGGAGTTGTGACGTGATCTAGGTAGATCGCAGGATCGTGGGCCAGGAAGGATTGCGCGCACGAGAAGCCCAGTTCGTGAAAACACCTACGCGAATCTAAACGATACCCAAGTGCAAGTGTGTACGCTCTTTTCTCCGGTTTTGCATGCAGCGTAGGGGAGGACAGCGATGACGACGACTCGTTCTCGGCCACGGGGTTTCGGAGAGGCTAAACAAGCTCCAGGCGGGGGGGAGAATTGTGAAATAGACCATGGCCTTATTCTGTCCGTCCTTCGTCGGTGTTGTGATTTTCGTCGTTGACATCATTACGGCTGGGCGCGTTCGGCCCAGGGAGACGCCCGATTCTATCGCGACAACTCCGGCCAGTTCCGGCACGGCGACGAACATGACGTCGTTGCGGCGCTTCAGGAAATCTCGACAAAATGCAATTAGCACGGCCTGCGTGCCGAACTGGGCGTCTCTCGCAGGACTCCAGGCATGGGGAGGAATACTTTCCCAACATGGGATGCGGTGAAACATGCCGACACGTTGCTGACAGCGACAGTCCTCGTGGATTGGGTAGATGAAGCCCATGTTATCACTCGCCCAGAGCTTCGCAATGCATCATCATCTTATAAGCTCACGCAAAAATCGGCTCATCGAACGACGACGTTGCTGCGTACGGCCCCATACGCATCACATGGTCAAGCAAGTAGGAAATTCATCGTGTTGAACTCATCGTGGAGGTGTCTGTCGGTATGCAGAGCACCGGATCCTTCCCCGTCCCCTCCCTTTTCAATATTGTCCCTTTTTATTTTATTTTATTTTTTTCCGTGGTGACGAATGGAGGGCGACTGAGCACCGAGCCACCACCAATTTCCCGACGACGATCAATCTCGTGCGTGTTGATGTCATGAAATACACTGGGTGGACATTCGTCGTGTGCTATTAATATGTCCGACTGATAGGTTAATTAGAATCATAGACGCGGATTGCGTACTGCCGACTTCGCCTGGGTCGGGGTTCGGCCTTTACGCGGAGCGATGCCGCTCATCGATCTGGAGCCGACTTGGGACGCGGCGCGAGAATGGGCAGACTAGTACGTCGCGAAAAGCTAGGCGCCACGTAGACGCCGACGATGCATTGGGTAGTAGGTACTTGGGGTGTCATTTGTGATCATCGTCGCCTGGAGAGTCGGCATCGCGAGGGCACGATTCTGGCCGAGGCGAGAGACCGCCAAGCGTGAGTACGGTGGTGGTGGTGGTGGTAGTAAATCCCTAAATAACCCGTGTCGGTTAAGAAACACCTGCCTACCTAAGGTAAGGTGCCTGGGTAGGTAGGCAAGTCTAATCGATGTTCTTGACTAACAACAGCTCAGGTGTTGGTTCATGTCGCATGCGTCTCTTGCTGTACCTACCTCATGTATTAGTATCTGTCCATCGACGGCCTGCGAACATCCCCTTGAGGACATCTCCAGGGGGCTATTATCGCGGCGGCGTCAGAGAATGTAGGTAGGTATTAAGCCCATACAAACCAGGTACGGTGCCTCTCTTGTTCGTCTCTGTTGCCCATATGGCGGTACTTACCTCCCCTACCTGGGTACCTCTAGCTGTAAGGCGCTCCACGCCATATGGGAGACTCAGTACCACGTCCTACTCACCAAGTCCCCTGGCGTGCGGGCTTGGAGCGGGTACCTGCCTACCCCTCTCTAAGGGTATATAACCCGCCTACAAGTACCGTATGCAGAACGACAGGCGCCTTACGCAGGATACCCCGCCTTGGAGCCCACAATACGGAGGACGGAGGTGAGGGACCTCCGGGGTCCGATGAAAGCCGCGTGGGACGTGATTCAATGCCGCTGTCTAGCTTAAATTAGAAGACAATTTGGGTGTCTCCCGTAGGTACTTACCACATACCTAATATGGTGCAACCAACATCGCAGCTATGCATACCGACAGGCCCTGTGTTGACTTACATCTACCTTGGCGAGGCCACCGTCCTCGTATGGTGGCCTCCGCCCCCCCCTCTGCTTCATCTGCCTCGAGCATGCTCGAAGCTTCCGACGGCCCTGGGCCAGACCGAACTGCAGTCTAGCGAGAGAAAGAGAAGGGAGAGGGGGAGGGATACGACGTGCCGCCGGCAGCAAAAGCACCAATATCTAAGACAACGGCGGCTCCAGATCCCAACGCAACGCTCGCTGGCGGGTATTTCAGGTGCCGGAAAAGGCAACGTGTCTGCTGGCTCTCTCCTCCACCTCCACGATGCCGCTCTTCTCGTGGCTGTTACGACTTCTCCTCCGGGTCTCCTGACCGGTCTGGATGGTTCCCCGGTTGGCTGGAATCTGCATCGGCTTCTCCTACTGGCTGCCCTTTACCGTTCAACACGATCCGGGGTAGTTAGATAATGAAGCGCACTGGATGGAGCAGAGCCTGTAATAGTAAGCAGGGTGGTGGGTGGGGAGTACGCAGCTGGACGACCACGCGCCTGCGGATCGTCTTTTAGGTGGATGATGCGCCAAAGTAAGCCGTAATAGCGGCATGAGTCGCCGCGAGTCTGCTGGTGAGCACCACCCACTGCCCACCGTTGCATGGGGAGACGGGATGGCTCGGCAGAGTTAGCCTCTCTCTTGCGTCGAACGATCGAATGCAGACCGGTGGGAAACCACCGATCTAGACTAAGCGTTGGCAGGCATCACCTTTCTTCAGCAATCTCCACGCCGGACCGTCTCTAGTGACGAACTCAAGTGACGAACTCCAGCGAGGCTGGTCAACCACGCCCTCCTTAGACCGCAGGATGCCGCGAATGCATGCGTAATGCGTGCTCGACGGCCTGGCTATTGTGATCGCCTGCTGGCCATCTCCCCCGGTAGATCGTGCAGCATGAAGGCAACTTACGTGTCAACACTCTGTCATATTTACCACCGCCCCCCTTTTCTCTCTTCCCATCCTCTCCACGTCACATACGCAAGGTGCGTCTTCCCACGCGTAGCCGCAGCCGTGTCGCCTCGGGCGAGGACGCGGGCACGGAGAGTCGGCGACCGTGGCCGCTCTGCTTGCCATCCCCAGCGCATACACGCGCAGCTTATTGTGGAGGTCGGGTGTTACCCAGGTAGTCCTGGCTGTGGCTTTTGAGCCGCCTCGCGAGATCACTCATTCCTCATGTACGCGGTATCCGTGGCGTTGGCCGTAGCATCGTACCCGGAGACTCCATTCCCTGCTATGGGCCGGCGACTGGTAAGGGGGTCGCCAGCTATGGGGAGCATCCCGGGATGGGCTTGTCTCGCGTCGATCGGCGGCGTTCGCTCTTAGCACACAGCCTGGACCCTGTAAAGGCAGCCTGTTTCGCTCTACGGCCTGCCCAAGTACGTGTGTCTCTGCCAAACGTTGGCGTGGGGCAGTGAGGAAATGCTCACGGCCGTGATTTAAGACGAGACCGCCCTTTGCCCCCCGTTGCTCACATATAAACCCGACGACCCTCGGCGGTGCACTGCTGCCGTAGGATCGCCGCGCATCGCAGGACGCCTACATATCTATAGACCCCCCTTTTATTTTGCAGCAGAATCCTCCCAGACTTGCTCTGCAAGCCAAACTATTCAGTACGACCTGTAATCTATGCTCGCCAAGGGCTTCCCGGCCAATTGAGTATCATAGTCTGCACTGCAGCCATCACCTTACATACGCACGCATCCTTGCGGGGGGTGGGAGAGAGGAAAATACCTACCAGAAAGGACAATACCACCTTGGGGGGCCGCCCTCGTCATATTCCTTCAAGGGTCTACGCCGCCCAGAGCTTACAGACAAAGACCGTACATGGCCGTGTCGAAGAGAGCGGGCCAAAGCCCAAGTCTTTATTATAACAACTATGACGCCCCCCGCGTCGCAATACCTCTCATTAGTTCCATACCTCTACTTGCAAGCCTCTACCGCTGGCACCGGTCTCAATACCACCAGCAACCCAACACCATCAACACTACCATGGAGCAGACGCCACTACTATCACAACACTCCTCTGGGGCCCAAGGCCCCACCTCCTTCACTAAATTCAAGGAGCTACCCCCGGAGTTGCGTATCAAGATCTGGCACTACGCCATGCCGGAGCCTAGGACGGTCATCGTCAAATCACCCTATGCGAGACCGGGGAAGCGCGCGCCCCGGTCTCTGGAAGAAGCGCTTCCCGAGCCGCACCAGCACCCCGGCGAGGCCGAGACGTGGTACTCGCCGACGCCGGTCCCGGCGCTGTTGCACGTGAGCGCGGAGGCGCGGCACGAGGCGCTCAAGCGTTACTCGCTATCACTGGGGGCGGCGGAGGGCGGCGGCTCGCCGCGGGTGTACGTGGACCTGGGCCGCGACGCCGTGTACTTCGGGCACGCGGAGCTGCGCGCCGAGTGCGCGGGGCTGTGGGGGCGGACGCACGACCTCGCGCGCGTGCGGCGGCTCGCCGTCGTCGCCGAGGGCGCCTGGCGCGTCCTGCGCTGGAAGCGTGTCGGGCTCGACGCCCTGCGCCACCTCATCTTCGTCCACGGCACCGAGCGCGGCGAGCCCGAAGGCCCCCTGCCGCTGCTCGTCGAGGACGTCGTCGAAGACGAGCTCCCGGCGCGCCCGCAGTCACAGTCGCAGTTACGGGGAAACGAGGATCAAGAGCAGCAGCAGGAACATAGGGGCGAGGGCCTGGAGCTACTCTTTGAGGAGAGGAGGGAACGGGCAGGGGAGGGAGACGGGGAGGAGCAGAGGCGACGGCGACCCGACGATGGTGCTGCTGCTGCTGCTGCTGCACTGGATCCGGTGAACAAGCGGATGCAGGCCGCGCGCGAGGAGATAGACACGCTGATGGCGGTGCTACCGACCCAGTGGGAGAGAGAGCCGGCTGTATCCACAGCGGTGTTTAGGGAATGTGACAGGGACGAGTGGTTTTACTGATTCGCTGAGATCTGTCTCTCATCTTTCTGGGTGGGCTGAGACATTTATTCGTCATCCAGTACAATGTCTCGCCTTTGGGGCTTGTTTCAACTCTCTGTGCTCCAAGTGTAAACGTGTCAACAATGCCTTTGCGTATTTATGTGTGTGTGCTCGTCTACATGGCGCATCCGGGAGACAGAACCAGGCGGCGAGAGAGCGGGAGGGCAACGTTCAGATGTCCTTCCTACGCCACACGATGAGGGACTAGGCGTGGACGCCGTCCGACGTCAAGGGGAAGATCAATTCCTTGTTTCGGGAGGCTGTTAGGCATAGATTGCGACTCAGCGGGCGGTCCCTGCAAGACCTGATTCCCCTATTTGTCTAGACGCCCACTTGCAGGATCGTCGACGGCATACTCATGATTATTATCCCGCAAGGAGGGGCGCTACGACATGGACCTTACTAGCCACTAACAGATCCAATCACCATGCTTACCGTCTCTTCTGAGAAAGGACCCGTCAACTCTACTCTAGTCTCGACATCATGGGTGTGTGCAGAACTCCGCTGCCCTATTGTTAGACATGTATAAGAAGCAACAGCCGCTTCGCCGAGGCCATCGTCGTCGTACTACTGTCACTCTTTTCTGTATCTATCCTTATCGTCATGCTTGTTATGTACACACCACGCACTATTAGGTGAGATGGCTTGTTCCTGACGCATCGCCGAGAGCCACTGGCATCCTCCTGGGTCCGCCCCCAACCCGCAACTCTGACGATTAGAAACAGAGTGAGTAAAAAAAAAGAGCCAGGTTTCAGATACTACTGCGCAAAAAAGAAAAATGCGAAATCGAGGGCGGAACTACTCCCACCAATCTGCAAATGCGTGTCCCAGTCCACGTAACGCTTTCCAGGCATGCCTATAGGTGTGTACAGATACGTCGGTACGGCTTACATGCAGTGTATAGTTGCACACGCGGACGCCTCATGTAGGCAATTTACGGATCCGGGTATATCTTCAACACCCACCGCAGATTGCCGTGCAATATCTGACGACTCGTACGTTCAAAATCTGCCAATTATTAGAGGCGCGGATACACGCCTCGTCCGACAATATGTTCACATCTATTGCCTGAATTACGGACTGAAGAGTGGCCTATTCTACCCAATCTAGTGGGTCAAGTTTGAAGCAGTTATGCGTGTGTGTCGAGGTAGGGAAGATTTCTAAGAGGTAGATATCTAAATCGAGGTCAACGGCGGAAGATCGAAGAGCACGAGACTAGAGGGGGGAAGAGAGGAAAATAAAACCCTGCTGAAAATGACACATACACGCGTCCCTTGTCTCTCGACCCCTCCCGATCGTCGTCTCCTCCCGCCTCCTCTCCCTTCTTTTCCCCGTCACGGCTTGGGGGCTGTCGATTCCTTCCCCCCCCTTTCGAGCACCCACCTAACATTATGTCCACTGCATATGAAGTGCCGATGCGCGCCGCCGCGGCGCGTCATGTACGGACCGTATGTAGGCAGGCAGGCAGGCAGGCAGGCGAATAAGCAGAACCTGCAGGCAGGCGGCGGCGGGGGGGCCAGGCATGCTTACGTACCTACCTACACAATGCATGTAGCGAGCCGGCCGCTCGGACGACGAGGACGACGCCGACGATCGCGAGGCCCAGAACCACCGCCCGCCCGCCAACCCCCTTCTTTCCCTCACCTGGCGACGTTGTCGCTGCTTGGGCTGCGCTGCGCGGCCGCGTCGGCGCGCACTTCCACGGCCCACCGCCTGCGTAGGCACGGTGCATAGACATGCTCGCGGCACAGACGTGCATCTCGGTTGGCCGCTTACTACATCCTGCCGAAGGGCGAGTCCACGATTTGGTATAAAACGAATGTATGACTAATCTGTGCGGTGGCTATAGCGGTGGTGAAGAAAAGGAGGTGGAAATGTGTATGCGATATAAATATACATCGTAAACCCTACAAGGGCCAGTACTACACCACTGCTACAATATTGAGTGTAGGTAGGTAGATGGGAGGAATAAGCACTAGAGAGACGCAGCCAAAATGGAGACAAGATGGACATGCACAAGGTGTCGACCAGGGCGGGTAAAGGGGGGAGAAGGAGAGGGAAGTGACCAATCTACTGAATATCTCCCTGTATACGGTACTAGACGTGTAATCGTGTACGCGGCGTAATGTCGCGCTATATTACTATGCTACTCTCCTTCCTCGACACAGCAGTAATGCCTAGCTCTCAGGTGGTTGTCAATTTCCGCAGCTTCTACCCGCGACCCCTCTGGCCGACGTCGGCGCGTCACAGCTTGCTGCTCGGGGGGGCGGCGACGTCCCCGGCGGCGGCGGGGGACAGGTAGCCGTGGCCGCGGCGCAGCATGGCGACGGCGCCGTCGACCATCTCGCGGACGATGTCGGCGGCGGGCTTGACGTCGGTAATGGCGCCGGCGACCTGGCCCATGATGTGGGGGAAGTCGACGTCCTCGCCGGCGTCGAGGTCGTGGTCGAGCGGCACGACGCCGGCCGCGCACAGCTCGCGGATGCGCGCCGGCCGCGCGTGCCACGCCGTGATGTACGCGTTCGTCCGCACCCGCAGCGGCCGCCCGCTCACCACCAGCGTCCGCTCCGTCTCCTCGAACCCGCACCCGACCACGCTCGCCTTGTGCGCGTCGCTGCCCGCCCCCTCCGCGCTCGCCACGAACCGCGTCCCCACCCACGCCCCCGCCGCCCCCAGCATCAGCCCCGCCGCCAGCCCCCGCCCGTCGCCGATCCCGCCCGCCGCCAGCACCAGCGCCGGCGCCTCGCCCCCCAGCAGCGCCGGCCGGTACCGCGCCGCGACGTCGGCGACCGCCGGCACCAGGATCGACGTGGCGATGGCGCCGGTGTGGCCGCCGCCCTCGCCGCCCTGCGCGCAGACCATGTCGACGCCGAGGTCGAGCGCCTTGGCGGCGTGACGCGGGTGGCCGACCATGTTCATGACGAGAACGCCGGCGGCGTGGAGGCGGTCGACGACGCGCTTCGGCGGCACGCCGACGGCGCTGACGAAGAGCCGCGCGCCGCTCTCGATGGTGATGTCGATCAGCTCGTCGAGCTTGCCGCCCGTGTAGTCGTGGTTCGTCTTGCGCGCGCCCCCGCCCACCTGCGGCAGCGCCAGGTCCACGCCGAACGGCAGCGCCGGGTCGCGCAGCGCCGCCTTCAGCTCGCCGACGATCGCCCGCAGCTGCGCCGGCGTGTACTGGAACCCCCCGATCACGCCCAGCCCGCCCGCGTTCGACACCGCCGCCGCCAGCGCCCCGCCCGACACCCCGGCCATCCCCGCCAGCACGATCGGGTGCTCGATCCCGAGCAGGGTCGTCAGCGGCGTGACGATGGGGCCGCGCGGCGGCTTCTTCGGCGGCGGCTGCTGCTGGAGTGCCATCGTGTCTGCCGTCCTGTCTGTTTACCCGTCTCGAGGCGGGTCACGGATGTATATGTGTGTTTGTGTGCGGTCAAGCTGAGAAGTACGAAGGTAGGTAGAAACGAGTGTTCCAATGGCTGTATCCTGTAGTGCTCTGTCCGCCCGGTATATGTATAGCTGTGTCTGGGTCGGGGGCTATTGGGGGTGTGTGCTGCGCGGTGTAGAGTAAATGCTGCGTCGGCAGGATGAGGGTGAGGAGACCAGGAACGATGGGCAACAGAAATGATAGAGGGGGTTGAGGACCAAAGCGGCAAACATCAATAGATGGGTAGACAAGAGGGAGAGAGGCCTTTGTAGATCGGGTAGGTCGGGGCTGGCCACGGTAGGTGAGGCGCCTCAACAAGCCTCGGCTGGGCGGTTGATAATACCGAGCAGACGGCAACGGTAACGACCAATGGCTGCGACGGGTCTCGTGGCACGTAGCCAATAGCAATGGAAATATTTATAACAGGTAGTTAACCAGCTAGGAGCTCAGCAGGTTGCAGAAAGAGGAGGCGAAGAGGGAGAGGGAAGATACGGTGAGGCAGAAGATGGGGGCGAGAAGCTCGCAATTCAACCAGGCCCCTTTCAGCTTTCCTCCTAATGTAGGTAGGTAGGCTCTGTAGCTACGTGATATGTAGGTAGGTATGAGGAAGCTCGATTTCTTTGTTGTATTTTATGTTATTGTGCTCTGTCTCTCCCTTTTGACAACTAAGGCCCGGAATTAGTGCCGGAGACGAGGGATACCGATGCAAGATACCGTCTCTATTTTTCTCGACGGGGTCGCGATGGTCAGAAGCACTGGGTGGGGTTTCTGGGGAAGTGCGGAGACGGATGCCGAGGTACTTCTATTTTGGGCGACGTCCTGGGGAAAAGGGGGGGGAGGCTAGCGGATGCTACATTGTCGGTACTATGTAGGGCTGGGATGGCTGCGCATTCAGCGTCTCATATTTCTGTGATCTCGTCTCGTAGGTTACGTGACTAGTTCTAGTTCTGTCGAGTTCAGTTCTGTTGTATCGTAGCCGGACCAAGAGCTGCTCTCTCTAGCGGCGCGCCCTCGTTACCGTCCCGTTCTCTCGTATCTCATAGGTAGTATTACTACTATATATACCCCGTCTATATAGTACCGTCGTCGTCGACATGCCGTCAGTGTCGTGATTCCGGATGGCGCATCTCCCTAGTTGAAGAATTTGAACTTCTTAAACACATCCTATTGCCAACCATCACTAACATGGCTGCGGCATCATACACTTCGCGCCTCTCATACTACGCCTTTGCGTGCGTCCCCTCCCTGCTTCATCCTCCCCGCTGCGCCCCTGCCCTCTTTTCTTCACTCCCTCAATCTCTTCTCGTCCTCTTAATGGTAACTCATGGTATGGCCCACTGCACAGAAATGCACCGGCTGATCTTAGGTCGCTTAGGCGAAGCTGAATTGAGGAATCGGCAGGCTTCTCGCAGCATCTATCGTAGTGATGAGGCAGATTCGCGCAGCATGTAGTTCAAGTGCGATACATTTGTTGCAAAGCGTCACTACGCCTTATCTGGTGTAAATCCCCCTTCTACGTGCTGGTTTGAGCCGACGATCCTAGATATGGCTGTAGTGTTCCATATCTGCGAGGAGGAGTTGATTTGGACGGGACGGTTATCGCTGCCTGATAAATGGAGACCCATCATCATCGGAAATACGGGAGCCGCGCCGGCACAAACCCTTCTTGTGGCGGGTCGTTTGGAGGCAACTGATGCGAGATCGGATGATGCTTCAGTTCCCCAGACCTGGCCTCCACCTCGACCGGGTCTTGTTCGTCGTCTGTAGCCTCATCTAGTATCGCCTCCTCTGGCTCCGGGAGCTTCGCTACTTTGAAGAGTTCCGACTTAACTTCACGGACGGATTCAATCGCGAGGTTCTCTCGGCTCAACCCGCGCCGGAGGGCCAAGTTCGCCGCTGCCTGCCTCTTCTTCTCGATCGCTGCGCTCTCCTCTCTCTCTAGCCGTTCTTCTTCCAGCCTCATATCTTCTAGCGAGGATGCTGCGTGTAGTACCGGGCTTTCCGGCCGATCCGAGCTCGAACCCGGGTTAGGCCGTAGTGACGGTCGAGTCGAGTCGATCGTCGTCCTTGAGACGCTCCTCGGTATCCTTTGATCGGCTAATCTCTTCCCTTTACTACTTTTCGTCTTATTGCTTGCGCGGTCGTCGGCATGGTCTAGCGCGATGGTGAATTCGTCATCTAGTGGCACAGCATCTTCCTCTCCTTCCTCGTCGCTCGGAAATAGATCACCTCTCGACCTGTACGAGTCGCTCGTGTCCCCGCTACCCACCGTCCCGCTGCGCTTCCTGCTCTGCCGCGAAGATTCTTCGCCGTGAGCCACGTCTTCGTTTTCGCCCAGCAACGGCGCTCGTTCCGCGTCTAGTCCCGACCTCGACGCGCCAGGGTGCTCCTGGAGGTTGGCTGCGCTAGGCTTGTATCTCAAAGTGCCACCAATCTTGAATGGTAGGCGACCTAAAAATCCGAGAGGTGCTGTGCTCGGGATGATGGTAGGGTCTTCCTCGGCGCTAGGCTTCCTGCGAGAACTTTTTGTGCCGTAACTCATCGCTCGTTTCCGGCTCGCCGGCTGTTCGTGTATCTCGCCCCCGGCCCTCCTCTTCCCGGTGCCGGCCAGCAGGTGGTCCCAGTCTTCACTCCGCCATCCGCCCAGGAGTCCCCCGCCATCTTCCCCACCGCCCAGCTCCTCGTCCCAGTCGTCGTAGAAGTCGAAGCTGTACTCGGCCCTCCCTCGGGAGCGTTGGCGTTCCCTCGCCCGGCGCGCGCGCTCTTCGTGATCGCCGAGGCAAACAGAGGTGCAGCTGTCTATCGCCGACGAGACGGACGTTAGACATGGGGTAATGTAGGTGTGCCCGAAGCTCCAGATGCCTGCGGCTGCGTTTTCGGTCACCGTCTCTGTCGTGTGGGAGATCTGATTCCACCGCTGGCGAAGACGAGGGTCTTCGAGGAAAGCCATGGCTGGTAGCGGCGACTGTGGCTATGGGCTCACTTGTTATAGGCGAGTCTTCCGACGGGGTCGCGGGGATTTCAGTGGGGATTTCGAGATGGGGTACGATGCTATCTCGGACGGTTATCTGGTCGGAAATTCACGATACGATGGGTTAGCTAGCTAGATGGAGGCGCGGGCGTGTCAAGCTTCGGACCAGACACGTTACTCTGTCGCGCTGGATTGAATGGTCGAGAAGTGAATGGGATGCGGTTCTAGAGCAACTGCTGCTACTCGAGCGGTTGCTGAGGGGAGATCCGGGATAACAAGCGATGGCTGGGTGGGTATCGAGGACGAAGGTCGGGATGGAGGGAGCGTAGTAGCGGTTGGTATGAGCGTGGCTCAGGCCTTGGACGGGCCGGGGGACCCTGGAGGTTTGGAAAGACACAGTGAAGGGAGAGGAAGGGAGAGGAAAACTGAAGGGCCTTCCGCACAAGAATCCATCAAAGCGTGTTCGGATCTGGTCGTATTCTCTCGGCTGGAGGCTGATATCTGTTGGGTATACTACACACACCGGTACGACGTGATGGTGGAAAGTGGGTAGATAGGGAAGTGATCGATAGGTTGGGAGATCGCGAAGAGACATCTGTTGGTAGTAAATTTCGGATGCATGTAGGTAAGAGAGGTATGGGCGGTCTCGGCATGTAGGTATGCATACGTATATGCATTTTTCGGCAGACTTGCGCTTAATGGGGCATGCGACTGTGGCCAATCCGCAATCTGGTCGGTACGGCAATAGTTGGATCTGCCGAGCCCGAGACCTATAGGTACCCAAGGTACATAGGTAGCTGACCCACGAGATAGATAGGTACATGGGACCCGGGGGAATTTCAGGTGAGTGGGCAGTACAAACATAGACCAAAAGCCTAAGGTTACCTTGGGTATAGGTACCTTGGAGATCTCTGGAGGTACCTAACCTTCGCTGTAATGGTCCGGTCTAGGGCGGTCAGGTCAGGCAGGAATCCTCGGGCGGGTTTTCCTAGGTGGGCCTTCCGGTTGCGACCGTCAGAGCCTTATTAGGTAAGGCAGTGTGCGTACCGTTCCTTTGCGGTCTCGATAACAAAGAAAAGCTGCACCATAATCAACATCGACAGCCTCAGCATTGTTACGAGGAGACGGCAATCGACGACAGCCGCCGCAACGCCTACCGACGCATCCGTTCTCTACTGCTAGCCCGAATACACATTACCCTTTGCCTTCTTTCCCCTCTGCATGTTCCCACTCATCTGTATACGCTCCTTTTCCCCATCCGATCAAACCGTCCGGATCTCTTCTCGTCCATCGAAGCACAGAGGCCTCTGAGCCTTTCTCTCCCCCCTCGATTCCCGCCACCACCCAATCTCCCTCGGCCGACACCCGCGATAACCCATGACTGCCAAACCGGCGCGTCGAGATGATTGATCCCGAACGGCAGGGCGGCTGGGGATCTGGTGGACAGTCGGTCCCTTCCGCGAACCGTAAGTACCTAGATCCCTTTCCCCGATAATCACAGCTGCCTGCACTTGCCACCGCGAGCATCGATCATCTAGTTATCGGGTCGAGGCGCCGCCGAATGCGTGGGATTACCAAGCCCGACGGGTGGGTTGAACCGACGAAGAGGGGCGTGTTGTAGACTCAGGTGACGACGTGGCATGGGAGAATGATACGACAAGGACGCTTCGAGAGGAACAACGCGAGGCGCCTGGCCACCCGAGGGCATTTGCGGGACAGACTCGAGATGAATACTACGCGACGAGGTTATAGATACCGGCGCTCCGGGCGTGATGTTGGGTTTGCGCCGTCGCGACAACCTCTGATCGTCTACTTATCGAGGGAGAGCGAGGTGTAGGCTATACCTCGACGCGTTATACAGTCGCTGACGGAGCCTCTATTATAGCATTCGGCCAGCCGGCGCCCTCCCAACTAGCTAATCCTTTCGCCCAGCCTCCGGTCAATCCATTTTTACAGAAGCAGCCTAATGGCGTGGCCGCTGCTGCGAACCCTTTCCAAGCCAAACCCGCGGCTACGAATCCCTTTTTAGAACCCCCGGCGTCCACGGGGACAAAGAGATCAATTTCGCCTTTTGATCGACATCAGCAGAATACTACTTTAAAGCCTCACCCGTTCGCAAAACCCATCAATGGACATGGGCTCAAGTCGACAGCTAACTCAGGCAACAACTCTTCGGCGCCAAACCCCTTCTTAAAGACCACGTCGGCATCTTTCACTCAGGACGAAGCGCCCACGGCCCCAGCGCTCAGCGGAAAAAGGAGAAACGCCGACGCTCCCCAGCCGGCGCGGTCCAAGCAGCTGCGCAAGGATGCAGTCACGGCGGCGGCTCCTATAGGGCCTAGAAGCCAGGTCCATATGAAACGAAAAATCGAGGACGAGCTGAACGGAAAATCAAAATTCTCGAGACGTTCGCCAGACCCGAACCTCGCTTCCCTGCGGTCCCGGCCGCACGCCCAAGGTCCCAAAAATCAGATTCTTCGCGAAATCAAGCCACCCGAGGCGCCTGTACCTGCAGGACAACAAGACGACTTCGCGAAAAAGATTCTCAACCAGCTGGCGAAGGATAATGTCAAGCCTCCGCCATGGCCAGCGAACCCGGGAAGCTACTCGCAGCGCCAGGCCATCGAGGCCTTCCGAGAATCCTACAAGTCATACCGCGAGAAGGCTAGGAAGTCGCTGATACGGGCAGGTCTGATCGACGACCCCGACCAGAAGCGGACGCTCGACAAAGCGCTCGTCTTCAGAGGCATATGCGAGGACATGTGTCCCGAGTGGGAGAAGGTTACCCGCATCGTTGAGCACGACATCAGGTTGGCTGAGAAGGGAGAGGACGACAATGGGGATCTTGTTGCGATGCCCCCGTACATGGTCAAACGGCTCGCTCGTTCGGCGGCAGGGCAGGATGCTCCCCTTCCGATGGATGTGCGATCCTTCGCAGCTCTTCGACGAACTTTGGATTACCTCATTGACGAGCTCATTCCGTCCGACGACTTACTTCCTTCGCGACATAGCTTCCTTTGGGACCGCACTAGGGCCATTCGTATCGATTTCTCCTACCAGAAATATGCCATGACGGCCAAGGAGAGGACGGACCAGATCTACTGTCTCGAAACGATCGCACGTTTCCACGTTACCGCGCTCCATCTCTTGTCCCAGGAAGGGATTGCCCCCGAGGACTTTTCAGAACAGCAGGAGATAGAGCAACTAGGGAAGACACTGATCTCCCTTATCGAGGTTTACGACGATTGTGCGCAGCAAGGGATCGAGTGCGAAAACGAGGCCGAGTTCAGGGGGTATCATATAATATTTAATGCGCATAATCCCTCACTCATGGAGACGATCCAAGGTTGGGACCGACGGTTCTTGGAGACAGAGGGGATCAAAACCGCCGTGTGTCTCGTCCAGTCTATCGGGAATAGTTGGAGTGTACACGGTCCCCTAAATCCATACGCCCCCACCGAACTTGCCATCAACACCGCTTCAATATTCTTTTCAATCGTCGCGACCCCGCAAGTCTCTTACACCATGGCTTGCTTCGCCGAAATCCATTTTAATAGCGTGCGCAAGTCGATACTCCAGGTTATAAGGCGGGCGTTCTCCCGACCGCGAGACGGGCCGAAAGACCTCACACCCGCCTTCTTAAAGCAGTACCTTCGCACGGATACCGAAGCGGAAGCCATAGAATTCTTCGAGAAGCACGGCTTCGAGTTTCGGACGGACGGCGATCGTCAGTATCTCTATCTCAACGGTCGGCAAGAACCCACCGACCCCCGAATTCGGCACTCGTTTTCGCAGGGCATCGTAGAGCGCAAACGATCCGGACGACCTCTTCCTCAAGTAATACATCAGACCGTCTACGAAGACATATTTAACAGCTCATCTTCAATCCAAGTCTCCCCCGACCGCAGTCCAGAGGAAAGTTTGTTTGTCAGTGACGCTGAGGACGCGCCGCATTCAAGTCGAAATGGTCAGGGGGGGCATGACAGCGAAGCCGAAATCATCGAGCCTACACCACCTTCCAGTCCTCCAACTAGAACAGCGGAGCGGATGACTTCTGCCTTGACACAACTACCTTGCACATCGATCCCCGCGCAACCTAACGGCGATACTGGAGTACAATCTAGCCACCCCCTTTGGAACGCTACGGGCACTACTCAGACGCCTGGCAACTCTTCCAACATATACAATTCGTGGCCCCCGAAACCTCAATCGGAGGGTGCGCAGGTTTCGAACACCTCCGCCTCATCATTCCTCCCTACCAAGGACACATTCAAAAATGATGTCTCCAGAGTGTTGGCGAATCCCCCACCGGCAAGCAGCGCAACGCCGGGGCTTTTCGGCTTTCTCAATAAGGACGAAAGCAAAGGAGAAACTACTTTGCCTGCTGCACCACCGACACAACCCTTGTCGAGGGTCTTATCAAAGACCCCGGACTCATCGAACAAAGACGAGACTTACAAGTTGCCAACTCCAGGCGAGTCCGTGACACTAAAGTCAGGATCCACACTTTCAACACCTCCCGTACCAACCTTCAGTCCTTTCCCCGGCCTTCTACCAAAAACGTCAGACCCGCCAAATGCAGATTCGTCTCAACATGTGCCCTCGAGCGCATCTACAACACTGGGGTCGGGATTCCAACCCATGAACCCCCCAGAAGCCATTAGCAATATTCAACCCAGAAACCCCTCTGTGTTTTCTCCAAATCAACCTAGACATATTCCCCAAGCTGAACAAAGTCTTGCTGGTAAGCTAGTCCACGATATTACGAACACCATCCGGGACATCATTATACCTCATCGCGTCTATATCTCACGCCGAACCAGCTGCCGAAGATCTTGTATTTTCGCCAAAGCCATGCTAACAAACTTGCAGGCCAAAATTCAACGCTTCTTCACTCGCAATCTACGCGGTCATCTATAACAACGTCGTCTACCGGGTTGTCGTATCAGGTCGGTACTACAGACACCGCAGTTTCCCAGGCGCCTCCCCAGAAAGATGTGATGGGAGATTTCACTCGCTGGTTCGTTTGCGGCGACAAGGGATTAATGAAAAGCTGGCTTGTGGAATTTGCGGTTGAGCACGTGCTCAAGGAATTCTGGGACGAGTTCCAGGCCTCCGAGAAGGAGCGCATACGACGAGAGGAAGATGAGAAGTCCTGGGCTGAAGCACGAAAGTTCAGGGAGTATAGTCTCTCAGTCACATACTTCTATCGCTGGCGTGACGGGTTCCGCAAACGACAAGTCGTGAGGCGGATCAAGATGGAAAAGGAGAAGGCCAGGCAATGGAGGTTGCCTGAAAACGTGGCGAAGCGCGAGCAAGAAGCCAAGGCGGCAAAAGAGAAGGTGGTCGAGGAAGCGACGCACTCCATCCTAAAGAGGAGTATCCATAATGTCGACGAGGCCGTCAAGATGAGGGAATCGACTCGATCATCCCGGTCAAGTCTCATATCAGGGGAAGGCAATATCGAAGAAGCGTTACTGGCTACAGGTGTTTTCCGCGGCGTGCGAGACGAAAGAGCCGCTGCTCGACTGGCCGCTAAAGCAGAGGATCCAGAGCCGGAGTCAGAAATGACCCCTTCGGAGAAGGTCAGGTTACGATCCGAGAACCAGCGCCGTCGCAAACACGGCCTTCCTCCACTCAAGCAGCTTCCGGCGCCGAAAGTCTTCAAAGAGGGGTCGAAAACGGCAATGCTAAGGGCAGGTAACAGTGGCGCTGGGCGAGACTCCATGTCGATATCAACGGGAAGTATGCGCAACTCGACCTTTAGCTCGAGCTACCGCTCGAGTATCGGTTACAACAACAACAACAACAACAATCGAGTTTCCAAATCCCAATCAAGAGTCAGGGACCCGTATTGGCGCCTAAAGGCTCACGGATTTGTACGAATGCCAAATGGACAGTATTTACACGAGACAATAGCCCTTCCCATATTACAGGAGAAGGAACGGCAGAACTAGGTAGTTCTTGCGGCACTTTTGATGCATACCAATATATACATTTCCATACGGCTTCTTACACAACGGCGTTGATCTTTGTCTTATCGAGTGTATAACTAGCGCATTTGAACGATGGGGACCGACCGAACTGTTGTATTAGTACACGATGGGATTTCCTGGACCCTCATCTCAGCCCATGGAGATGTATGCATATATCGGGATCTCAGGATACTCTCGCACGTGCATCTATATGTATATAAAAAAGCCTTTTATAGAGGCGCCCGTGCAGAGTCGCACTGACTGGGGCGGAAATTAACGGGAGCCCACCTAAGCATCCATTAATCCATGTGCGACAGACGAGCCTAAATCCGACATCGTCCCAGTCTCTCGGGTCGGTGGTGACGGCTTGCAAGGGGGGGCGGAGAGTCCCAGGGATATCGAACCCCCCGATAGACGCGTAGCATTCCTTTAGGCTTTGACGCGAGCATTAAACTCGAAAGGGGGGGAAGGGAAGGTGGCGATGCTGTTTAGAGGCAATGGTTGCCATAGGGACGGCAGACAGACCGTTTCGTTCCTGGAATGACGAATGGGCGAATGCGTCTCGAGATCGTCGGGCAGCCTTGTACGGTGCGGACGAGGCAGATTTGACGCGCGGTGCTAGGCATGTGAGAGCAGATGCCTAAGGAGACGTTATTATTCGAGGCTTACAGCCACCCCCGGAACGCTGCGCAGCCGTCACATTAGCTCCCCTGGTAATTAACGATTAGCTGTCAACCACTCACAAACAGGAGCGTCGATAGCGTAGCCAACAATGGTGAGCCGTAGCAGCAGGCAGCCTATAGATCTCCTTCCAGTTATTAGCACCCCAGCATCATAGACACGTATGCAACCGCAGGAGATCCACCTAGCTAACTGTGCCAGTTGGAGCGTAAGATCGGCCGATCTGCTATCCGCTACTCGAGACGGATTTGGGAGTGGTCCGCTGGTGGACACCGACCTGCCTGGTGGCTCGTCGGCACGATCCAATCCCGCTGGCGACGAAAAGAAAATAAAAGAAAAAAAACCCCCCGTAAGAGAAAAAGGAAATGTCATTCGGCAATTCCGTGAGAATCGGCTTCTATGGGGTCTCTGACATTCAGCCACACGGGAATTTCCACTACCCATCCCGCCGGGAGCGAGTGCAACACGCAACCCCGCTGTCTAGGTAATATTCTTAGGTAGCTGGCTCTGTCCCCGCGTGCTATCCTCTGCGCTGACCCCGGCTTGGACACGTCAGGGCGACAGGTATGGATCCTAGGACATGGCACGTCGTGCGATGATCCAAATCACTAGGGCCAGCATGCAAGCGGCTAGTCCAGCCACGGTGGTCGTCGAGGGATAGAAATAATCAGATCGCAACGGGTCGGCTCGGGGGCTGTACGGATCCCTTAGAAATTGGCCGAATCCGGTCTCCGCCTCTAGCCGAATGCTGTAGCGTACGTCTGGTAAACGCGTCGTCACTGGGAGTGGGTGAGCCGAGATCGCTGTTGGCGCTCAGGTGCGCAGCGATGCTCCCTCTTGGCGATTCTCGCACCAAGGACAGTTTCGACCTGCAGGTGTGCAAGTTGGCAGCGCTGGTTGTTTGTTTCGCAATAATAGGTACTATAACATACGCGTGTCGCGCAAAGCTAGAGCGATATAGACTAAGAATGGGTGGGAAGAGAAGCACCAGTAACCGGCCGAGGCAAATGATACCTCTGTGAGTACGACGATTTGGCTGTGCCGTTGCACCCCGGAGCAGCAGCCACGTCAGTAAGTCTGGCAGGAGATATTGGAGGACCAGCTAGGAGGGGGAGGGGGACCAGGCGGTATTATGGTGCATCTCCTTTTTAAAGGGGACAACAAGGATAGCGGGACGCGAGTAAGAGAACGAAGCAGTCACAGGTTGGACCAGACGGTACGAAATAATACGGACGGATGGGAGTAATAAATTACGGAAATCCTCAATTCTTTTAGGAATCGATGTAGAATTCCGCCCCAAGTTTCCGAGTGCTCTTCTCATTATTAACAGTATAGGTAGTTCGTAGATAGAAAAGGCGCCTCCAAGACGATAAGACGACAACGCACACTCCTCACCACAACACGATAAAACTCACGATGCTCATCGCATCGATTAAGGTCTGAACGAGCTAGGCGGCCCTCGGATGTAATAAACCGGTATTATATTCCGTCCATAATCCTCGGCGCGGTCAGAACCAATGTAGTCTGCATGTACCATACGTATGTCTGGCCAAACGCCACCCACCTTGTCGCCCATCATCGCACCTGCGATGATGACGATGGAGGTGATAGCACAGGCGAGGCCAAATATAAATTTTGTCGCCTGCTTGGAATCACTCTCCGAGAATCTCTCATCCTATCTTCTAATTTCTCTTCCGCCGTCGCTTCGAAAGGGTCAGGACGATAAACAACGATTTACGCAAATGAACAAAACTATTTCCGACGTTAACAAGTGCGTGTCTAATAGCAAGTTAGCTTTCGGATCAGGGTCTTGCATGTTAATACTCACTGAACGAGCGCTCTGTCTCTCTGTCTCTCTGTCTGTCTGTCTGTCTGTCTGTCTCTCTGTCTGTCTGTCTGTCTGTCTGTCTGTCTGTCTGTCTCTCTGTCTCTCTGTCTCTTCACCTCGCCGCCTCTCTGTCTCTTCATCTCTTCTATAGCCCATTTGAACTTTTCTACCTCCCTACGCTCACCATTCACATACAGACGTCGATTTGAACCGCGCTTTGAAGAGAGCCTGTACTCCACCCACAACCTTGTCGAGAAGCAGGGCGGCTCTCAGGACATCGAGAGGTGGATGCGCTGCCCGACACCAACCCTGTCTTTCAAGTTGGTGGACGACCAGTGCGAATTCGAGAAACCGGCTGAGAGAGAGGCAGCCGTCATCGGGTTGCGTCGTATCAAGATCCTAGACATCATCACAGCGTTTGAAGAGGTGATACAGTTAGACAAGTGCTCCTCGTAGAGGACTCACCCAAAGCACTCGAGATGTTGTTTGACAGCCGCCTCTCAATGTCACCAGAAAATGTCAACAACTTCGCCTCGGGAACTCCGGTTATCGAAGCAGACTCGAAACCACTACACAGCTCAGCCGACATACTGAAGCTGCTCGAGACAACGGTTGAGACGATGTCCAATACCAATATCGATGAGAATCTCGCTTGCCCTTTCTGGAAGCATAATCCACTTCGGTACAAGTTAGTGAACAATGCATGTACAGACGGTATAGGATTCAAGGACATCGGGAAGTTGATGTTAGTATTGCCTAATTGACTCTTCTACACCTCCGGTCGAGGACTACAGCATTAAGACAATCGCCTTAGGGAACACATGAGACGGGTGCATTCCGGTAGATTCGGGTGCCCGAAGTGCCGAAAGAGGTTCACAAAATGCAAGATAGAAGACGTGGACAGGGAGAAGGCCAAACACAACTGCTGCAGCGCGGAGCGGGATGAGACATCCAAGGACCACGAGCCTGAGTGGATGGATAAGGACCAGGAAGCGAAATTCCAGCGTCTCAACTTCCAAAGGGACAAGGGACCTCCGCAAGAGTGCTGGAACAAAATATGCGAAGCACTGTTTGGTCGCGATTCGGTAAACCAGATTACAGGGCACAGTGAGTCCTCCGTGTAGCGAAAACACAGTTGTCCCGTTTCTCAGTGGTTACTGATCAGATCAGATCACGCCCCCGGATACCACGTATCGCTGTGCGTTTTCCTCCTAGAGCGGGGGCTGCGGAAAGCAACCGAGATAAAAATGAAAGAGTGCGGCGAGGAGATGCGAAATATAGTCGGACCCCCAGCTTCGAGCTACCCCCAGAGCATAAACCCGGTGGCGCTCTCTGAGAAAACCATCGCCGGTCTACCAGTCGGGCCCCCGCCCTTCTACAGAGGCCAAAGTTACGTTGACTCGGGATTGGGGACGGAGCCGTGGGGAACCCTGGACCCCGGGAAGGATTGCGAAGGGGAGATGTTTCCTCCGTCGCCCATAATAGACTCGATCTCCCACAATTTCGGGCTCTACGTGAATACCGGAGCTTGGACGCAGAATGAGACGCGGGACACACCTTCCGACTACCAATTCCATAATGATATGAACGATATCGGGATGACGACCGAGTTTCCTGACGCCCAACAATAGGGGCGGATACGAAGTGTCGGAACAGTACCCTGAGTCGTGAGGATTAGGAAGGGAGCGTTGGTTTGGATATTCTGGAGTCTTGTCTTGGCTAGCGCATATATACGAACCGAGATATACCGACAGATGATAGTTATGATAATGGCCTGTCTTTGCTTCGTCACTGCGTACCCACTCGTCCATTGCCACCCCGCAAAGAACGGGGGTTTCGTGAGGTTTTTATCGGGTATATTAGCCAGAGTGGGCCGGGGTTCGTTAACCGAGGAAGCCCGGGACGGGCCCTCCCTAAGCTGGCCGTCTCCAGGGAAACCCGGGGACTGGGTTTGGCGGCCCGGGGGATTCTATAACGACTGCCGCGTCCGTCGCCGACCGGCATATAAACCCTATCAAAGTTATCACTACCACCACCGTCTTTGCCGTCGTCGATAGGCTGGTTCGCTATAGGATCAATGAAACCGCCGGTCCTTTAATAATGCGAGGCCCTTTGTGCTTCATCGCTGATAAGCCCCAAGATTATTGAGGAGGGAAAGGGGCGAATACGATACATTATTAAACTGTCGGCACACGAGTGTTAAACAGCCGCAGCCGCAAGCGCCGATGGCTGGCACATGGAATCTTGTTACCTTCACTAATCGTCATTACTGCGAAAATGAGATGACGTAAAATGTCCCAGAAGCCCCGGTAAGTTGCCTTTATGCCACAGGCTATCTCATGTCGACGTGCGCCGAAATCTGGAGAGGTAAGGTCAAGTTAATTGATTTCCTGAAGCTCTAGCAGGCGATGGGTATTCGGGATACCAGACGGTCGCAAGCTAGGGATAAGAAATGGGCTAACACCCGAAGGCGGCTGTTGGCCGGCAGAGGGGTCGGGAAGTTGAGCAAGCTCGCTCCCCTGTTTATACCAGCTCAAGAAGGGCATATGCGAAGTTCGCACAAGAGTCCAGAGGGGATCTGCATCTCGCTAAACGGTCACTGACGAGGAGGCGTCAAATTAAGGACATTGGGCTGCTTATATATTATATACGACTTCGCATATCCTACGATTCCGAATTGGCTCGCTTCGTCTCTGCCCCCTCCTTCATGCTCCAACCCCACACGACACGACACGACATCGAGTCTGATGAGCGGGAGCAACGGTGACTCGCTCACCGCTCCGCTGATCAAGAGGAGGTCTATGTTGTGAAACGTGCAGCTACTTACAGCCTGCCCGGTTTCCTCGATGTCCTTCTCAGGGGGCGTCCAGATATTATGTATCAGACACTCGAAAATAATATTAATACAAGCGTCCTTGTGCAGTTCGTCTCCGTATACTGGGGCTTCGTAGAGGATCGCTTTCTACCCTCGGCCTTCGCAGAGTTCCCACGACACGGATTACTGCCGGTAAGAAATTCGTGCAATGGCAATCAATAGGCAACATCGCACCGTTAGGAGTCGAAGACAGAACCTGAGGTGAGGGGAAAAAGGACTTGAACTTGGCAATGTTGTCCTACGGGGATAGAGCCTTCTCCTAAATGACACAGACTCGAACGAAATTCCATTTCAACAACGCCTAGCCTGTCTCATCTTCGGGATGAATGTAGCTGTCCTCCTTTTCTACGTCGACAGTTTTCGTTTTCCTTCCCACGACAGCAAGCGCAATACACAGCATAAAAGGACGGCGGTAAACACGGCCAGTCCCTCCGTAAGGGCGGAGCCTCCGACGTAAGCAGCCATCATCTCCGGCGCCGTATCCCCTTTCATCACGCTCAGAATCTCATGCACCACGGCCCAAATGCCCGCACGATTCCGCGCACGCCAACTGGTGTGGTGAGACGACCGATTACGCTGCACCAGAAGGTAATAGCGGGGCAGAGAGCGGAGCCAAGGCGCCTCAGTAGAGTTGGAATATAAGCACCGATGATAGCTCCATGCCGAGAAACAGCATAACGAATTGGGCACAGAGCAGGTTCAGTTGTGTTGGGTTGACCGGGCTCATACTGAAACATTGCTGAATGAGGCGTCTTGAAAAGAATTTTCTAAAAAGGGGGAAGGGGTTTCGATTGTGGGCAGACACCCCGCTTTCTCAATATAATCGCGACAGTAATGCAACCAGGGAAACATACCTACATTAGATACGGATATATATATATCCCAGAGGCATTGTATTTCGGGGAATTTCAATCACAATGCCTAATACAGGACCCAGATCAGAAATCCGCACAAGGTTTGATGTTAGCATTTTCAAATCTAGCCGGGCAATTTTACGACAGTCTCTCCATTTGGGCGCTTCCTCATTTGCGCTCCTAATCTGAATTGTGGTAATATTCGGAGTGTGATCATGCGGGTAGGTATGTAATACTAGCAAATCCAGCTCAAACTTTCATATGCAATTAAAGGCATATATATATAACAAAACATAGCAGCGGAAATAGAGGTATCGGCTTACGTACAGTCATTCTATAAATCCATCATGGAACTTCTCGAGCGGACTGTTGGCAAATCCCAGTCCGTTTCCATCCTCAAGCCCTGCATGTCCCGATTTACACAATCAGTACTACTATGTGCCCGACTTACGCCAATCCCCTATTGATACCAACCAAGGGGGGTCCTGGGCCCCGTCCCGTCAACCCTTCTAGTTTACTGTGCAATACCGCGGATACTCGCAGAGGCGGGCAGGGAATCAGCTGCGCGCCCGGTTGCAGAATGGCACGACTGGCCTCGGGGAGTTCGGCACAGAATTCTACGAGTAGGCAATGCCCAGGGCGCGGAGTCCGAGAGCAGCATCTTGGCGCGCCGGGCGGGAGGGCCATGGCGCAGCCATGTCGTCACCCGACAGGGCCAGACGAGCGACCATCCCATCCGCCCAGTCCAGTTTTCCACTCGGAATGGGGATCCCAGCCGTCGCCATCCTTTCGCCCGTGAAAGCTCTTGGCGAGCAGCCGTTTATATACGCAGGCAGTGGTGCCAAGGGTAAAGCAGCCTACGCCAGCCAGCCAGCCCGACGGGGCAACGTCAAAGGGTAGTTAGGTCGAGAAGCGGACAGGTTGGAACAGTCTAATACCGCTGCCTAATTCAAATCCGATTATTAGCGTCACCTGCTGAAGAGCGGCATTGGCATCGTAACGGGCATTCCTCAAACATGATTACGATAGTAGTAGGTAAGTACTAGTCTGCCACCTCATACTACCCCTATCTTGGATTCCCCCTTTTACAAATAGGACCAGATCACAAGCGTTAATTTCGGAATTTAAATGCCAGCTAGCACAATGGTGAGGGCACAACTGTGTGCTTTCGTCTTGGCAATTCGCAGGGCCCAATACGTTGTTGGGACGGTGATAACTTGCGAAAGGATTTAGGGGCTATTCAGATCGAAATGCCGACATGAGCAAGTCAACAACAAAATGCCAATGAAACATGCGCTTCGTCTCAGTAACCTACAATATAGTCTCGAGTCTACTTACAACCCCAGAGCTAGCTCCACACACAAATTTGCTAGACTCTTAACATCAAGTTACCACCAAACCAAGGCCGTACGCCAAGGCGGCGAGACGCAAAACACGATATTACCTGATACCTACCCACGCACACGAGTCGACAACACGGCATGCCGGCTCCTCCTCTATTCTAATGCTATCTCTATTATACTCTACACAGCTTGCTATTCTGCGACGGCAAGTTCCCCAGTATCATCTCGGACATGGTCCAGTCCTCGGACCCGACCGCCGAGTGGGCGTAGAAGACGCCGAGCGGGTCGTAGCGCTGCTTGAGCTGGTACAGGCGGGGGTACTTGGACCCGAAGAAGGCCTGGGCGAAGTCGGGCTCGATGTAGTCGGCCTCGGACATGTAGGCGCCGGCGCCGGGGGAGACGTCGCGCCAGCGCTGGACCCAGTCGAAGGTGAGGCGGTCGCTGGCGGCGCGGATGTCGGCCTCGGGGCCGGACGTGTCCCACAGCGACGCGGCGATGGCGTGCATCACCGTCTGGCGCCAGGCCGGGTTGACGGCGTTGTCGGGGTACCCGGCCCTCGGCGCGGCCGCGACGTTGAACGCGATCACGTACCCGCCGTCCTCGACGACGCCCCGGACCGCGTCGAACGTCGCGTTCAGCCTCGCCGCGTCGCGCCAGCTCGCCCGCGGGAACAGCCGGCTCCCCTGCCGGATCGTGTGGCTGCCCCACGGCTCGACCGGGAAGTTCGCCGCCCACGCGTCGTAGAAGTCGCCGTACTCGGTGTAGACCGGGGCGACGGCGACGCCCAGCGCGCGGAACCGCGCCAGCAGCGGCGCCACGAGCGCTTCCAGCTCCGCCCGCGACATCCCGGGGGCGAACCACGGGCCCATGTCGGAGACGAACTGGCCGTCGCCGACGCGGGAGATCCGGAAGTACTCGTAGGTGCCGGCGTCCGTGTACGTGATGAAGCCGTCGAAGAAGGCGCGCAGGGCGGCCCAGAACTGCTCCGCGGTGACGGTCTCGCCCGTCGCCAGCACGTACGTCAGCGTGGTTACCTTGATCTTGGGATACGCCCTGACGACGACCGACGTCACGACGCCGAAGGTGGAGCCGCCGCCGCCGCGCAGAGCCCAGAAAAGATCCGGGTTCGACGTCTCGCTCGCCGTGACGAAGCGGCCGTCCGCCGTGACCACCTCCATCGAGAGCACCTGGTCGGCCGCCATCCCATACAGGCTCGATAGGGGGGAGTGGCCGCCGCCCAGGAGATAGCCGCCCATCACACCGACGGTCTGAGAGGTTGCGGGCTGTTAGCATCGGCTAAATCGCGATATAAGACGGGGAAGCTTACCCGCCCCTCGCCGCCGACAATAGTCACGCCCTGCTCGCGAGCTGCTTCGTAAGCTTCGAATGCTTGAACGCCGACGCCGAGCTTGAAGGCGGGTCCGAGGTAGCGGCCCTGCCGGTAGAGTCCGAAGAATTTGATGTCCTTGAGGTGGTGAGTCCAGATCGACAGCGCGCCCATGCCGACCGACTTGGCGGCGAAGTCGTGGCCGGTGTTCTTGATGACCAGGCGGAGGTTGAGGTTCCGGGCGAAGTTCACCGCGAGCTGGATCTGCGCCACGTTCCGGGCGGCGACCGCGTAGACGGGGTAACCGCCGATCGTGCACTTGGCCTTGGGAGCCACGAGGGTCGGCGGCATGCAGGTCAGTCCCTGAAATAAGACGGCATTGATCGACGTCGGATCTTCGGTGCTGCCACCGGGTTAGAACCAATGCACTGGCCCGCTCTCGATAACACGTACTGGTAGATGGACGCATTGATCCAATTGTTCGTGATGAAATCGCACTTGGCCTTGTCGTAGTTCCCAAACGAGTCGTAGCAGGCCGACGCGTAGGGGACCGTCTCGATCAAGGCTCCGCCGAGCAGCACATCAAACAGCTTCCAGACAGGCTTCGCGGGCCAGAGGGGGTCCCCAGGATACGTCTTGCATTTTCCGAACAGCGACTGCTTAGACAGCGTCTCCTCCGGACTGGACTCGCTCTGGAAGCTGAATAACGAAACATTGGACAGCTCCAAGTCCGTCAAGTTGGCTATGACGGCGTCAGTCAGCTGCAGCGTCTCGCCTTCAAAAAGAGCCGCCGTCGAGTTCGAGTCCCGCGCGTCTACGCTGGCTATAGCGGGGGCTACCGTGAACTCGTTGGCCGCTAATCCGGGAATTAGCTACGGTGTCTGGTCATGATCTCTTAAAGCTGGCGCAAACTAACCAACTGTGGAATTGTCCAAGACAATCGTTTGGGCCCATACAGCGCGCAGCCCAACGACCAACAGAAGGGTCAATACGGAATTTCCTGGGAGAGGCATAGTCGCTGCTACGTACGCTTAGAGAACCGGCCGGCGCGGGCAGCTTGGGTCCAGGGTAGGGTGATCAAGAGGATCTCCGCTTCGAGCGTGGAACACGTCCGCCATCGTCCTATATACTGGGCGCGCTCGGCTTCTGGATATCTTACGATGACCGCCGATCCTACAAATCCTGCATACATACCTGTTTTCCAGCCGGCGAGCGAAATCGCCATTCCGGCACCCCGTCGGGGTATCAGAACATGGGTAGAGACGTGCAATTCCCGCCAGCAAAGTGCGACAGTGAGTGGTACTATGTGCCCGGCAACGCGGGCATTGCCCAGGGCAGAAGGTGAGCCGGCGCCAGGTCGGTACATGCGACAGGCTCTGGGAACCTCTGGGGGAGGCGTTGGCCCCTCTGCAACTTTGCCGAGATCCCCTAGCGAACTGCGATATTATATGGCTGAAGACGTACGCTGATGTTACCTGTTGTATGCGATGTTTAGATGCCGCAAATTTGGACACAGCTGCGATGGCTTCATTTTATATTCGAATCTCTCGTAAGTTGCGGAATATGTTTATTAATCAATGTCGCGAGTCCAGAAGCCGTCGAGCACGTCCTAGACTCCTCATTCGAGGACAGGTCATATATACACCAGCAGAGCGGTCGTCGGCCGGGGCCTCTCCCATCCAAACGACAGGACGCAACCTTCCCCGGAAAAAGAGAGGGCTTCGCCAAGACAATGCGAGAACTCCTCTCCCGTGGGCGGGTCCACTTCCCATCGAGACGTGGCGGTATGAGGTCGAATTCTTCCCTCCCCCCTGTAGACTGGTTACATCGTGGGCGGGTTGGATAAAAGGCCCAGCAAATGAGGTCGGAGAACCAGCTTCTCCCAGACGCGGTCCCCAAATACCCCAGACCTGACCTCGACGGCGATGATTCGCACCAGTCGAGAACGAATGCGGGCCGAATGAATGCGGCCCGTCTTCGCAGGCGTCGAAGCCCCTCCTCCACACTGATCCCCGCCGATCCCCGCCGTGAATGGTGTCCCGGTGCGCAGCAAGCTCCTCCCTACGTTGCGACGCTGTAATGGGGTCGAATCTCGGTTGTATTCAGACGGGGATTCATTGGGCACGTCGCCCACGGGACATGGAGCTACGTTGGAAAGGCGGCGTCGGTCCACCTCGACCAATCGCTCCCGGTCAGGAAAGACGATTCATACCAAATCGAGCGTGTGTCCACGAGACGGTGTGTGTGCTGGCTTGCCGTCCGACGCAATGGCACACGGATTTGTCACTGCGAGCGCGCCTCGCTAGGCTCACCTCCTTCAGATGAGGGCGCCCGTTGCAGCGCCGGACTCGCGCGCGAGTTTTCCCATCCGTCCCCGCCGTGAGTCGTAAAACACGGGGGCTGAGATCCTCGTCGCCGCGGTGGGAGAGGAGCCGGCCTCCTGGGTAGGCCCAAGGGCCGGATTTGCAGCATCGCAGAACCAATGCCGCCGCCATCGACGGATATAAGCAAGTGAGCAAGCAAATGCAGAAGTGTATATAGATTCCCTACAAGAGAGAGCCTTGGCTGCAGGAAAACTCCGGCCGCGTCTTGCCAAACTCCGGTGAAACCATCGCCTTTACCCGAATAGAGACGCGTCGAGGCGGCAGAAAGAGGCTGAATTCGATATTGTCGTCGTATAACAGCTCTTTCGGCATGCATGCGCCCTCCCGTGCTGCCGCAGGACCCTGCTTGCTTGTTATGCGAGGCGAGCCGGGCAATCTAGAGATTATATAGATGCAGTTGCCACTGGTCCCGAACGTGGCCGCCGCCCCCTTCTCTTGGTCGTCTTTCTCCCGACGGGCGTAGCAGATCTGCTGAGCAGCTATAAGCGCCCAGACGAAGATGGAGTCTTCCCTTTACGGATTCCTCTCTCGCGTAGAGAAACGGCAGTCCCTCGAGGGGCCGGGGCTGCCCTCTGGAGACGTCAACAACGGCTACCCCTATTCCCCCCTTCAGCAGGGAGGCATCTTCATCCTGTTCTTCTTTCCCGCCATTGCCCTCGTTGTTATCTTCTTAAGAGTTTACGGGAGAGTGAGAAGTAGGCAGTTCGGATGGGGTAGGTGCTGGGCTGATGGACCAGATATCCCTTCGCGTTGTCCCGTAGCTGATAATAGCCCTTCACAGATGACGCTCTAGCATGCTTAGCCATGGTGAGGCGTCAAACACACACACGTCTCTGCAACTCCGCTAACACGCGTTCAGGCGTTCTCGGTCGCTGAGACTGGGTGTTCTTACATGGGTGCGTTTGCAGAGGAAAGAGGGAGACTTCCGCCACCAAACATATAGCAAGGGGATACGTTGTGCGTGTGATTAACCGTCTTCTCCATATCAGCCATGCGGACCGCCTTCCTAGGCGTCCACGTCTACGATATTCCGATGGGCGCGGACGTTAGCCTCGGGATGTTTTGGAACTACGTGATCCAGATCCTGTACAATCCGATCCTCGCCATCGTCAAGTCTTCGGTCCTCGTGTTCCTACTGCGGATAGGCGGGCAGCGGCGGAAGATCAGATACTCGATCCACGCGCTCAACGTGTTCAACGTCGGGCTCATGGTCGCCATCTTTGTCACCGTAATCTTCCAATGCTCGCCCATCCCCTATTTCTGGCAGCGGATCACAGACCCAACATTGGAAGGGAGATGCGTCGATACCGGAATATTCTACGTCGCGACCGCCGGCTTGACAATTTTCACGGACGTACTCGTCCTCGCCCTCCCGTTCTGGATCTTCATGGGGCTCAAAATGGCACCCAAGGTCAAGCTAGCTATCATGGCCGTATTCCTCCTGGGAGGGGTGTAAGTTCCGCTGATGGAACCGAAACGGAGTGGCCCACGAGGCTGACAGAACTTATTACCTAGGGTTACCGTTGTCAGTATCCTTCGGATGCTGTGGATCATCGAGACTTCTCTTTACCCGATGAAATACGACTACTCCTACGATATCCGATTCACGTACTCGGCGGTGGAAACGAACTTGGCAATAATCAGCGCCTCGGGGCCGGCCCTGCGGCCTCTGTTCATGGTCTGGTTTCCCCGGTTCTTCTCTTCGCTCCGCGGCACAACCAACCCGAATTACCGTTACCGCGATGCTGCCTACGCACTGAACGACACGGAAAATGCCAAGAAGTCCGCAACGAGAACGGGGACGCACGGGAATAGCTCGAAGTCGGAGCATACCTACACGCCGGCTTTCATGCTCAAGGATACCAAGAGACGGACAGAGATACGGGGCCACTCGCCCACCGACAGCGAGGAGGAGATCATGACGTACAACGGCATCGTACGGACGACCGAGGTCGACATCCAGTACGGCGTAAAGCCGCCGCCGTCTCCCCGTGAAAAATGAGGAAGGGGGTGTTAAGGGGGTGTTGTTAGCAGGGCTCTCTCTTTTCCTTCGAGGCCGAAGCCTGCTAGCGTGTACATTAGGTGCGATAATAGGTCTAGCTTCCATTGTAATAACTAATGCCGTCGTCTTAGACATTGAATGCGTGGACGAACCACCAATGGGGCATCCCATCGAGGTCGCTAATACCCAGCCACCGATGGTTTCATATTGCGAGAGATCGGCGTGGAGAATATTCTTTCACGGAAGTGCCACGGCATTGAGGGAATTCCTAGGCAATCTGGCGTGGTTTTGGATTTATTCGATTTGGTAGGCTGGGGAACTCTCGAGGACATTAAAGTGACACCTACCTAGATCTTGAAGCTATCCAGGCCCGCATACCAGCCCGTGCTCCTGTGCCCTGGTGGCTGGCCCCGACACACGACCCGGCCGCGGGATGGATCCCCCGGGCTTGTCCCAGTTCAGGGGTCCGGGGGTCAGGCCCGGTCGAATCAAACCGCAAACACGGCCAAACAACGAGGAAGCCCGAATCGCTAGTTTGTTTATTTAGTTGGCGCGCGGCCAAACGGGCTAGCGGATGTTTCGGTTTGATCCGCTGCAAATTCGAGGGCTCGATCATTTCCAGAAGAGGCCGAGGACAGAGAGGGAAATGTAATATTTACCAACTAATAGAATCCCGGCAAGTCGGTGGCGATCACGACATGACGTGGCCTCCAGAGACAGACAGGCCCAGTTACATAGCCCCGGGTTTTGGGAAAGATGGCCAATGTGGAAATCGTTCATATATTAGACCGGCTCCTGAAGGCACCGTGACGAATGCTGAGTGGTCGGGGAAGAGAACAGTCGAAACACGCTACCATCGCATCATCCGAAGTGATGTGGCAAGCACCGATAATACTACCTGGGCTCCCCGAACAAACTTCTAGAAGCTCGCCGGGGTGCGTATCTGGTCTATACTCGTTCGAGAAGTCGATGGAACTTGCGCTAGATAGCTGTCAGGCAAATACTACAGTTTCCGACTGGCTTCCACCGTATACACCGAGAACCGTATGCCTAGAAGCCCTTCCCCCCTCTCTAATATCTAGTTTAAGTGCCAGTTGGTTCACTTGAGACGACCTGGCTAAGGCCACTTCCAGCCTCGTAAACGTCTTTACAGGCCCTAGGTCAGCGACTCTCTGCCCCGTCAACTCATACGACGACGCACGTAGTTTGCAGATAACATGTGGCTGTCCCAAACCACTCCGGAGCAACACGCAACCCTGCTGTCGCCCCTCGGCCCATAGAGTATACTTAGGCCGCACGAACATACAACGGCGCCGTTAGAGCCCGCCCTCATGCCACAAGAACACTAGGGAGGAAAAGACAGAGCCTCGCCAGGACCCCTCCTCAAACCCACACACGCGCGGAGGAGGCACCGCGTAGACCCCCCCTAGCCCGCGCCGACCCATCGACGCCGGGCCCGCTCTCCTCGCCCAGGCCCACGGCTTCCTCGCCGCCCGCAGCCCGCGGTCCCCAGTCCCCGTCCTCGCCCGACAGCGCAGCAGCCCGCTTTCTCTCCTCAGGGTCCCGCCTCGATCCTGCACTCCCCTAGGCCCTCGACTCCTCTCGGGCGCAGCCTCGCGCGCCCTCCACACACGCACACACGGCACCGTCTCTAGCACACCGCCCGCCTCCCCCCTTCCTACCTGCCCACCCACCCACCTACCTAGAGCGCCCTCGCTCTTCGTACCCGCCAACCCGGCAGCCCGATCCGAGCATCCCTCTCTCTCTCTCTCTCTCTTGCCCACCGCCCCTTCGGAAAGGGGCCAGCCAGCCGCGGCGACGCCTCGCGCGTCCTGAACCGGACGTAGATTACCCCCCTCCCCCCCTTCCTATCCGCCCTCTCACTCTCTCCGGTTTCCCAGGTTTGTATTTCGACAAAAATGATTTTTTTTTTTCTTTTTTTGCATTCTCTCGCTTCTGCCGCTCTTGTCTCTCATCCTGGCTACGGCTCGCATTGACTCGGCTTCTGCTCTATTTTAACGCCCCCCCGCCCCCCCTATATATTATTATTATTATCCTACCTCCTGCAATGCAATGCAATGCCATGGATCGGTACGCCATCGAGACCCACGAGTCTGCAGACAGCCGTGGTGCAATTTCTTATGCGGCTTCCATTTGCTTTTTCTCTGCTTTTCTTGGAGCCTCCGGCGGTCCATATCTCTATTATCCAGCGCCGGCTGTCTAATATGTCCTGCTTCGTATATGTATACGTATATGTGTATGTGTATGTATGTGAGTATGTATGTGAAGATATGCGTGCGTGTTGCGCCGACGTCAGACTTCAGGTCAGCATTATACCCCCCCCCCCCCCCCCCCAATTCATTCCTCTCCCCCCTCTCTGATCTATACGCGCGCCCCCCTCCCCCAATATGGCGGCCAGTGGTCCTACCCACCACCGTGAGCCCGCGGAAGCATCTATCGTCACCCGCGTCCTCGCCCTCGAAGACAGTCCCCGACGCACTACGTTCACCTCTCCCCTATGTGCGCCGGCCAGTAGGGGATTTTTCTTTTTTTGGTCTCCCCTTTTTGCTTCTTCTCCCGCTGCCTTGTCCTTTCGTATAACCTGTCATCGGACGACTCTCGACCGCCTCCCCCGCTTACCTCAGATGTTGTTGGGAACTTGCATTGGAGATGGGGGGAGGCAGAAGTTCTGTAGCGAAAAAAAAAAAGGACGATCAACCTATTGACACATGAATAATGCTGGCGAACTAAAGGGGGCGCGGGAACGCAGATTTCTTCACATTGTCGCAACCGACGCCACCACCCACCAGATCGAAAACCTCCCCCCCCCCCGGCAGCTCGCGTCGTTGCGGTGTGATCCCGTATATTTTGCATGCGGTGCCCGGACGATTCGCCACCGCCGCGGCGGATCGACGGGCCATCGAGATAGCTCAGCTACGTAGATATAGAGAGGGGTTGAGCCCAGCTCGCGAGCAGACAGCCATGTTTTCCTATTTCGATCCTTTCTTGAAACATAACACACACACCCCACCTCTGCTTGCATGCATGCACAGACTCATACATATGTATGGACGCGCATGCATACACGGGCGGAAAAGCTGCTATTTAACACGGCCAGGCGAGAGTCATCGAAGATGAAAGAGGAGACGGAACGAAGGACCAAGGCAGGTAAGGCAGTGACATACCATCTCTGTCATACTTGCGTTCCGACACCGAAGCTGCCGCTTGCTCCGCTCGTCGAGCCGTGCGGCCCTTGAGACAAAGAGGCGTTCCTCTGCACGGCACCACGTCCCCGATTACACAGCGTCCTTTAGCAGCTCCTCTAGCCATAGGCGCGCGCCGGCCCACGAACTCCTGGCAGTGGGACGCCTCGTTCCCCTCTTCCATGAAGCCACCCTAGGAGGTGGGAGGAGAGAGTGATGAAAGGAGGCCAAGCGTTAGGATGGCTCTAGTGCCAGCCGAGGCGAACCGGTCGGGGGCCGGCCCGAACTAACGATCAGCTCAACAGGAGATCATCCGACTCTTTACTCTACCTCGTACGAGCCACGGGAGGAGAGAGAGAATAGAGGGGAGGAGAGAAATTCCTACGCGAAGGCTCTAAAACAGAGCAGAGCACACAGGAGAAATTGCAGACGGACACGAGTAGAGAAGGAGGGGAAGGGGGGGGGGGGGGTAACAAGCCACCAAAAACAGCTGACCCGACCGCTTTCGTCGGAGAAGCCGGAACCTATCGCGCGATATCGGATCGCGCGGTCCGTACCGGACGGGACGAGGTCGAAGCTGAGGCCGCATCAGTTATATAAAACATAGGGTTGCACCACGTCAAGCAGAGCGACCTGACCTACCTTACCTGTCCTACAAAAGAAATTAGAGAAAAAGAAAAGAAATTGGGGGCGGAGGACGAACCGAGGGAGGCAGGAAAGGAAAGAAGAAGAGAAGAGGGAGAATAGATGTGGAATTCGGAGGAGAGAGAATTCATTTCCCCGCTGTTTGGGAGGAATAGGAGGGCAAGAGGGGGGGGGGTTGAAGTGACGAGGAAAACCAGCCCTTGGGTGTTTTTCCCCTTAGACGACGACGCACATACAACCTACCACCGGCGCACACAGCGACACGAGACACACACACACACGCATACACGCATACATACGCAGGCCCGCGCACGCACGCGACAGGACGAAAGGGTAACGGGGAGGGACGAAACCACGCAAACCGTCCGGTCTATTTACCTACCCGTCCGCCAGTCTGACTGGCTAACCTGATGTACTAGGAGCCTTCTCGACCGCGCAGGGGTCCATATTGGGCGACGACTCTAGGTGTTGTTGCTGTCGCTGCTCCTCCTGCTGTATGACCGTCGCACAATAATATAGACCAGGGGAAGAGGGGGTAGGGGAGGGCGTAGTCGCCTGGAAGGGGTACCTTACCTGCAATAGGAAGAGGAGAAAAGACAGCACAGACAAACCCTGCTGTTCCCGCTGCCGCCTGCTGCTGATGTTACGGGATGCTACTGACACTGCGAAACGACCTCGCACCGCACGCGCGCACCGACTTTTTGGGGGTAGCCCAGGCTAGGCAGGCCAGGCGATCGCTTGATATCACTCCACCACACGCACGTGCCGGCTGGGCCCGGTGGGATGATGATGGCGGTGATGATGGCGCAGACGTATGTGGCATGATTAGGCGACCGACCGTGGTTATGAGCCGGGAGGGCCTTCTCTCGTGGAAGCGGGTGATTCGGCCGTCCGTCGATCGAAGTGATAGCGACGGGGTGGGGAGAGAAAAATGCAAGAGGAAAATGCAAAGAAAGGGAACCAGGGGATGGGATGGGGGAAGGAAAAGAAAGCAAGAAAAAAAAGAGGCAACCTGCCCGTCCGTACTCTCACATGGTCCGCGGCCATCTGAGCCAATGATTGATTTGACGAGCGGCAACCCAAACGCAGAGCCGATCCCCCGCGAGACCTATGCGCGTTCGTATTGCTTATTGCCGTCGCCGCCGTCGTCGTGCCTAACTTACAAGGCCCGACCTAGTCAACCGGGCGGCGGGCTGGGGAAAGGGACCAACCAGAGCTGCGACCGGGCGAGGCAGCGAG